CATTGGTGGTTAGTTCCAAAATTAGGTATAAAGATTTTAAAACATTAGGCCTGTTCAGAAGAGATCTAAAGCTTTTCGTCTGACACTCTTCAAAGTTCAAGACGTCAGAACATAGATCGAAAACTCTATGGTAGGAAATATATATACCCAGTTGTGGTTCAGAATAGGCCAATCAGAAACGCGAGCACATGACTGTTGAGGTTGAGCAATCAGTGCCGCTTGCCTATTGACCAATGGAGTCTTTACCGAAGGTGAAACGAACTCCTTTTGTTTACACAATACTTTGTCGAACCGAGGTGGCTGTTCTCTTTGGGGATGAGTTTTGTTTCTACTACTAGACAGGACATGTTGTTTTATTCAATCCTCAAAACCTGAAGAGTGTCAGACGAAAAGCTTTAGTTTACTGAAATGTTTGCTTTTTTCAAAGCCATTTTCAAGATCTTGATACTATTTGTCTTTGAAGATGGCACGGAAAAAGAAAAATAACATACTAGAGCCCTTTTCAAAAGACACTCCTCAGATTATGTTGAATAATGACTAAGGGTAAGTAAAAACTTCAAGATGCGAATCGAAAGATACATGAGAAGAACAAGGTCGCGATTGATTAGTTCTTTGTTTCTGAATGACCGACTTGTCCCGACCGACTTGTCCCGACCGACTTGTCCCGACCGACTTGTCCCGACCGACTTGTCCCGACCGACTTGTCCCGACTTCGTGAACAGAAGAGTTTTTCTATAGTTTCGTTTGCAAACTTAATCAAAGCAATTATACCTTGACTACAAAGTCTGTTTTAAGTATTTCTACGTCCCATAGGCGCAGACTTATATTTTTTCCAAGGAGTAGGGATGTTCAAAAATTAATTGCAATTGCCAATGAAGGCTGCCTATGGCAGAGGGTAGAAAGAGGCTTAGCTGGGGGGTTTTAAGGTGATCTTCTATGTACTTTTCATGTTCGCTATTGTTTGATCTTGATTAAATCTCTTAAGGTGATTTTTATGCGTGAAACCAAGAATATTAAAAGTTAGGCTAACAAACTGATAGCCAATTTATGTATTTCCAAGAGAGCGCTTAGCCCCCAAATTTTTATCCGGATGGGCTCAAGCCCCTGAGCCTCCCTTCTTTTAAGTCCGCGCCTATGCTACTTCCACAATCACTTGAAGACAAATTGAAGCAGATTTTACATGCTTTTGTGCCCGTTGATAGCTGCGTCCTCGATAGCTGTGGTATAAAAAGTCTGTTCATTGAATTTTCCCCAGAATATTTCAGAACATTGAAAAAGGTTTTTTTCATTTCAATAAAAAGTTTTCAATAAGGTGATTACTTAATAAAAGAAGGAAGGTAAAAACATGTTTATAAAGATAAAGTCCAATGAACAATTTCCTCCTCAATTGAATGGCAGGTTCCAACTTTTTGCCTGAGATACATTCGGAGTTCCTTCAACCACAACCTTATACTTATCAAGCTTTGGATCAAATTTGAAGTTAAGGCAGCCACTCGTCTTGCTGGGATTCGGCAGCATCTTGCACCAAAGGCTCGCTAAAAGAAGGAAGATAATAATTACACGAACTTTGCTTCATGCAAGGATGCCGGGAACCAGGGCCTAAAATAAGCGTGGATCTGACACACTTTGTGGAGTTGTAAATTAAAATTGTGGAACTGTAATTGTAGAAAGTGTGGATTTGTTAATGTAAATAATGCATGTTCTTAAAAGTGCAGCATAAAATACCAACCGAAACGCCTGGGAAAGAAATGGGAACATTTTTTCAATTCGAAGTGAATGCCCAATCCCAGCCTTATGTATTGCACTCATCTTTTATAAGAAAATTGCGATAAGAAATAAGCAATGGACAATAAAAAAGAATTAAGAAACTTCAGAACTCGAAGCTTGAGTACATGCGGAGAAAAATCAATTGCGCTTTATGATATTGTTGTGTGCTGTTTTGAAGTAATATGAACTCTGTATACAGCTTTGATTTCAAGACATCATCTCAATTTAGTTTACTTTTATAATTTGCTTTAAGAAAGACACTGAGCCTTAAGACGAAGAGTAATGTATTTTAGGGTTTATATGATATCTTTCAGTAGATTTCAGAAAAAGCTATAAAGCAATTCAACTAAGGTGTTTTAAATTCGAGAAGCATTGGAAAAATTCCTCTCAAGGCTACAGCAGCTGAACGATGATAAGCCTTTCGGTGGTAGCCGGGAGGAACATTCAATTGGGAATGTTGCATGACAGGGACTATATTAATAGCAGTTCTGCTGGGTACACGTTTCTGTTCTTTCTGGTGGTGCTTTTTCTTGTGTGGTCAAAGATAAATTTGTATTTTATCTAACTCGGTTTTGTATTTCTATGTTAATTGAAATCTTCTCTAAATCGTTATGTTTATGAATAAGGACATTATTTAAAAGAATCATTGTTTCCATTGACCCATTGTCTATCGTTACCAAATGCAAACACTTTACACCAGCATCTGTGGTTTCATTTAGAGAGTAAATTGTGACTTTTCCACCTTCAGGATTTTGCCAGTTGTTTTGAATGGTTGGCAGCCACATATTTTGTGGTTGGCAGCCAAATGCAGCCAGCTAAACGCAGTATACAAAAAAGCTAAATTTTCGCTAATTATTGGGAGTGATAACGTAATCAAAATTTGCTTTGTAGGTTACAAAAGTTTTCACTTGCTTTTATCATAAACTGTCTGTTATCTTTTACTTTGTTTCATCATTCATAATTTGCAATTTTGAAATTATTTTTAAAAGTTTTGAATATTATCTGTGCAAAATTTTTTGTTTCCTTTGCATTTTCGTCGTTTTTTAAACATGGGGCCAGAATTCAGCCAAATTTTCTTCTGCCAAATAAATTTGTGGCGGCCAAGGGGTTTTGAAAAACTGCCAAAATGTAGAAATTTGGCCATCAAACCATGAATCTAAATTGCCTTTTTGTTCATGAAGAATGAGTGCACTGGGTTGTCAAAAAGGCCAAATTGCAACTCTGGCCACTTTTGATATTCTGAGCATGCATTAGCCTCTTTCTCGAGCAGTGTTGCCTTGATTTGAAATCTAGCATAATTTTTGCAAATCTAGCACAATCTTATGACAAAACAAGATGCATTAAAAACAAGATGCTTTACAAACAAACATTATAAACAAGCACTACAAACAAGGGGGTAAAGGTCATGCTTTCAAGCTGGGCGAAAAGAGAATAAGAAGAAACAAGCATAATTGTACATCGGTGAGAGAAGAGTTTATAATATCAAAACGTTTTGAAACAAACAAATTTGATGGTTAAAATTATTTGATGAGCTGAATGCAGTTAAAAAGTTTTTATAAGTAAAACAGACTTGAGCAAGCTTCGCCCAGAAAGCTTCGTCCCGGACAAAATATTTCATTCAATCATGCATTAAATTTTGAGAAATAAACGACTAAGATCGCAGAGATCTGAGACTTGTTCTCAGAGGAATTCGAGTTCCAAGAAAAGCTGCAAAGATATGGCTCCCAAAAACCAAAAAAACCAAAGACTGGCAAGAAAGGCTGATTTAAGGGAATTTTTAAAGGTGTAAGGGAATAAAATAACTTAGACAGAGATCCGAACAAACCATGTTAAAGAGTTTTCTTTCGATAACTTTTTGCTCACATATTAAGACATAGCTATATGTAGCTAGTTTTCATATTAAATCCATATATTGTAAAGAAGGACATGCTATTTGCACTATGATGGCAGTTTCTATATTTGCCAGCCCCATGATGCCAATCCCAGCAAAGTACCACGCCCAGTTTTTATAAAAAGTGTGGATCTGTAAAAATTACTTATTTTAGGCCCTGCCGGTAACGACCAAGGGGCAAGGGGGTCAAGCATGAAAAAAAGGGCCTTTGAAAGATAACTCCCAGTTCTACTACTACTACTAACTTCTTCTACTAACTTCTTCTACTAACAGTTCTTCTTCTACTAACTGCCATTTTATTTCGATCTTCTGTAGGACAAGTTTTGAGAAATGTCGTCATGAACTAAGCACTGCAATTAGAACTTCATGTGAATCTCTCTGATTGTTACAGGAATACTTTAATCAAGAGTACTTTAATAAAAAGGGAACTCTGGCGCCTCTTGTCTCTCCTATCAAAAGGCAATCCTATCAAAAGGCAACAGGGGCGGTCGACCCCCCGCCCCCCTTCTCCGGCGTCCCTGGCTTCATGACTTTGATTTAATATACAGCTAACGATATAGCAAAAAATCTGGCTTCTCCACTTCCGGATCTACTGGTCCGGATGCACTAAGAACCGATTCACTTTAGATCCGATCCACTATAGATCCGATCCACTTTTTCTCGTTTAAAAGTGGCCTTACAAATTTTCCTCAGAAAAGGAATAAAATAAAGCAGAGTTTTGGCATGGTATCTCATTTTAACATATTTTTGTTGGCCTTTGTCGTGGTCTATAACCATATGACTCATCTGCTTGTCCCCTATTCAAAATGATCAGAATAAGTGTATTCTAACATTAAGAAGAAAATTATGAGCAAAAATTGAAACATGACATTATCCACTTTTATATATCGACAACGGTCAAAAGCTTTTACTATTTTTTGTGTAACTGTATAGGTATCGTGTGTAAAGAGAATTAAGTGAAAATAAATGAAAAAAGCTTCTCGGGGATTTAGAGTGCCTCGTTTCAACAACTTCGTCCAAGATGATATCATTTGGATTATAAGGCCTGTCGCTAACTATTGTGCTCAAGGGTACCCTGGGTACCAGACTCACTATATAAAATTTTATTTCATATATAGTGAGTCTGGTACCCAGGGTAGCTCAAGGGGTGCTGGAGCGATCGAGTCCTGCGAATAGGGTGGTGCCCAGTCTTTCTCCCGTCGATCACTGCGTTGACATGTCTTTCGTGATAAATCGCTTCGGCACATGACCTCGAGGTTAGTTATTGGCTATTGTGGCTGAGTGTGTAGTAAGCACAATTTTGTTACGAAAATCACGTACATAATCTCAAAAAAAAAAAAAAAGATGGCATTGGTGCGGATAGGAACGAGAAACAGCTGGTGAACATCCTGTTTGACTCAGGCAGTCAGAGAAGCTACATTTCAGAAGAAACGGTGAAGGAGCTGGGGTTGGAGGTCGAGAAAACAGAGACCGTATACTTGAACACTTTCGGTTCAAATAAATATGAGAAGAAAAGTTGTGATAGGGTAACGGTAAATCTAGAAGTAGGAGATGAAATATTGCCGTTAACCGTATTAAGTTCCCCCCATCTTTGTTTGCCATTAAGTACACCAATAGATGTAAGTTGCTATCCACATTTGCAAGGTTTGCAACTCGCCGATAGTTATGCGACTTGCGAAAAGCGCATAGAATTAGTCATAGGTGTAGATTATTATTATCGCATAGTGCAAGGCGAAGTAAGAAAGGGCGGCAATGGCCTTGTTGCAATAAGTAGCAAACTCGGTTGGTTGCTTTGTGGACCTGTTGTTTGTAATGAAGGTGATAAAAGCTCTTTAAATAATGTGATGAATTTAATTGTTGATGTTTTACCTTCGAGAGACGAAATTACAGATGATAGCAGAGAAATCGTCGAATCGCTGACGAAATTTTGGAAGCACGAATCCGCGGGTCTTTATGAAACCGAGAATCCTGAAGACAAGAAGACCGATGATGGAGGGGTGGATATCAACTTCAAGGATGGTCGCTACACGGTAAGACTTCCATTTAAAGATGATTTGTATCGTAGCCTACCTTCAAATTATGATATGAGTAAGAAACGGCTTGAATCATTGTTCAGTAAACTTAAAATTAAGCCCGATCTTTTGAAACAATGTGATGAAATTTTCCAGCAGCAACTTTCTGATGGTATTATTGAAGAGGTTTCTCAAGAAAATATTGATAAACAAGGGTCGCATTTTCTTTGTCACTTTGGTGTTATTAGAAATGATAGAGAGACAACTAAACTGCGTATAGTTTTTGACGGTTCCGCGAAAAATTCACAAGAAAATTTGTCTCTAAATGATTGTCTTGAAACAGGGGAGAATTCTATGCCACATCTTTTTAACACCTTGATACGATTTCGCACGAAGCCAAAAGTTTTGACAGCGGACATAGAGAAGGCATTCCTCCAAATCGAAATTAATGAGGAGGATCGTGACGCACTACGATTCTTATGGTATGATGATGTGACTCGAAATAGCCCAACAATACGTTGTTTTCGATATCGACGGCTTTGTTTTGGTCTTAATTGCTCGCCATCAATCCTAGGCCAAGTCATTAAACATCATGTTTTGCAATTTAAATCGGAGAGTCCTAAGGTGGTCGAGATTCTCAACAGGTTGTATGCTGACGATTTATCTTGTGGAGCTCAACAACCACATGAAGCCCTTGAAATATACGAAAAGGCTAAATCTATTATGTTAAAGGGAGGTTTTAATTTGCGTAAATGGGACTCTAACGATAAGAATGTGTTAGACGAAATTCGCAAGTCAGAGGACTCAGGTGAGACACCTGCGGTGGAGCAGGGCGTGGTCACCGGTGAAGATGACCAAACATTTTCTGAGTATTCATTAGGGGCCGCAACAAGTAGTTTTGATAATGCGGGTAAGAAGGTTTTAGGTGTTAACTGGGACAGCAAGTTAGATAGACTGTGTTTTCAGTTATCCGATATCGTTGAGTTTGCTAAATCACTGGTGCCAACAAAACGTTCTGTGTTGAAATTGGTAGCGAAAATATTTGACCCTTTTGGTTTGTTAAATGTTTACACAATAAATTTGAAGATACTTTTCCAAGAACTTTGTACTGAAAAGGTGGCCTGGGACGAACTATTACAAGGTAAACATAAACTCAAGTTTGAATCACTTATATCCACAGGTACTTGTTTCAGAAGGGAAAAGAGGTAAGAAGTGTAGAGTTACATGGATTCTCAGACGCTAGCGAGAAAGCTTATGGGGCTGTGGTGTATTTACGATGTGTTTACGAATCTGGAGAGATCCAAGTTAACATAATTGCTTCCAAGTCAAAAGTGTGTCCAATTAACAAACAAAGCATTCCAAGACTAGAGCTTTTAGGTGCATGTTTACTTGCCAAACTTATGCAAACAGTTAAAATTGTTTTGCAGAACGAGCTCCAGGATAAAGTCATTGACACATTTTATTGGACTGACTCATATTCTATTCTTTGTTGGATTCGCAATGTGAAACCTTGGACACAATATGTTAGGAACAGAGTTTCGAAAATTTTGAGTACTTCTAAGCAAGAATAATGGTTCCATTGTCCTGGGGTAGATAATCCGGCAGATCTGCCTTCCAGAGGAAAACATGGGGGTCTCGCTGCCAATTCGTTCTGGTGGGAGGGTCCACAATTTCTTAAGTTAGAACCACAGGAATGGCCCAAGTCCCCTAATGGCAGTGAGTTGGTCGTAGAAGAAGCATTGCAGGAAAGGGTTAAACAGGGGCCTATCATTACCCACGCAATATTTACTTCAAAGGGGAAATTCGAAGAACTTATTGATATAATGCGTTTTAACGACAAGGGTAAACTGGTACGAAGTTTTGGATGGGTTATAAGTTTTTTCTCCAACTTGAAAAGTGCGGTACAAGGTACTGAAATAAATCGTAGCGAAGGTTTAAGTGCCCCGGAAATTCAAAGGGCAGAAACAGTATTAATACGGTCAGTTCAGCACGAGTCATTTTCATCTGAAATAAAATATTTGTTAAGCTCGGAATCAGGCAAAAAGGGTACGAAAACACCGCTGTACATAAACCAGTTTAATCTATTTTTGGATAAGGACATGATTCTTCGATGTAGAACACGTGTAGGAAAGTCTACAATTGCTGAAAGTACCAAACGACCTGTATTTTTGCCTGCTAAAAGTAAGTTGTCGGAGCTAATAATTAAGGATTGCCATGATAAAGTGTTCCACAACGGTGTAAAGGACACGTTAAACTTAATGAGACAGCGTTATTGGGTTCTCCGGGGGAGGGAACAAGTAAGAAAACTCGTACGTCGTAGCATTTTGTGTAAGAGACTTGAGGGTTTACCCTTCAAGACCGTGTACAGCCCTGAATTACCAGAGTTCCGCATTGATAGTGGTCCGCCCTTTACAAATGTAGGCATAGACTTTGCGGGACCATTAATGGTAACAGGTAGATGGAATAAAGACGAACAAATTAAATGCTATCTGTGCTTGTTTACGTGTGCTGCTACGAGAGCAGTTCACCTTGAAGTTGTCGAATCATTAAGCGTTGAAGATTTTATTTGTGCTTATCGACGCTTTAGTGCTCGTAGAGGGACACCCTCATTGTTGATTTCCGACAATGCCTAAACCTTTAAGTCGGCCTCCAAGGAGATCACTAAACTACTGCGTTCTCTCAAACTAACTGAATATTTTACGATAAGAGGTGTAAAATGGAAGTTTATCGTAGAACTCGCACCATTTTACGGGGGGTTTTGGGAGCGACTGATAAGAAGCACAAAACGTTGTCTGACGAAAGTCGTGGGTCGAGCGACACTAAGTTATGGGGAATTGGAAACAATTGTCGTGGAAATTGAAAGAGTAATAAATTCACGACCCCTAACCTACGTTTTTGATGATACGGACGGGATATCATATCCACTAACCCCATCCCAACTAATAAACGGTCGTAACTTGAGTCAATACCCAAATGAAGCACATTTTGAAGTAATTAATACGTATGAGAGTTTGTCGAAACGAGCTAAGTATAATTTGGAAACTTTGCCGAGTGTTAGAGCTGCTGACAGGAACAGATGGTTCAGTGCGAGCAGCCAGGGTATTAGTATTATCACGGGATGGCAGTAAGAAAATTTTGAATCGAAATTTGAAATATCTTATTCCGTTAGAAATTCGATGTCCTTATTGGCAGAAAACCGAGTGTGCCGCTAATGCAAACAAGGACACGCGAGCAATGCCACCTCAGGATAGTGCGCAGCAAACGCAACCTAGGCAAGGGCGACAAGCGCCTTCGCAACCACTGCAAGCTGTTACTAGGGCGAAGCGCAACGCTGCTATTATTGGAGAGTTGCAAAGGCAAGCTAGTATGAAACGTAAATGAATATATTGTGATTTGCAGTTATGTTTCGAAATTTAATAGATTGTAGTTGATTTTGTATTCGTATTTATAAAGATGTTTGATTACGCTGTATATCAAACCGGGGGAGTGTGTTGGAGCGATCGAGTCCTGGGAATAGGGTGGTGCCCAGTCTTTCTCCCGTCGACCACTGCGTTGACAGGTCTTTCGTGATAAATCGCTTCGGCACATAACCTCAAGGTTAGTTAGTTGGCTATTGTGGTTGAGTGTGTAGTAAGCACAATTTTGTTACGAAAATCACGTACATAATCTCACAAATGGATTTTCTCTATGCTCCGACCTAGACTTTACAACAAGGGGTTTTCTATGTCCCAATGGGTCAGTCATCCGAAATTCGCAGACTAAGCACCCTTGGATGGCAAATAACTCCTTGCTTTTGCAATAGAATTCTTTATCAAGGGGGGGGGGGGTGTAACATTCCACACGCCTCCCTTTAACGACAGACCTGCCTATTTCCAGACCCCTGAGGCTAGAGAGACGCCGCGATTGTGGAAAAATGCTCAACTTACTAAAACAAGTAGGGACATCGCAGTACTCCCATCTGACCGACTTTGATGTTGTGTAGCACCACGGCCCATCTGGCTCCCCATCTGGATTTCTGCAATAGTTCTCTTCCAACCCTTCCCATGGATGTGTTTTTGCAGTTAGCTGCCGATGAGAGTGGGGCTTATGAACATTCCAATGCTGGCAAGTAAGGCCTCCAACTGTCTTGTTCACAGTGCCTCTGAAGTCCCTTCCATCGACAGTTGTTTTACATCCACCTAGAATTTCAAAACCAAACCTAATAAGTCAGAATAAACAGTACGGAGCATGATGGGAGGTACGTCTCTCTTACACATTTAAGCAAGCGATAACACCCTAGCTGCTTTTTCAAATTCATTACCAAATCTGATAACAATCTTAGAGCAATCCTTCTGATTGGACCATACCATAGCATGTTTAAAATTTCTGAGTGGTAGGCCTACTTGAATATAATTTAGTTGTTTATGATGGAATAGATAGGAACTAGAATTTAAAAACTGTTTTCTTTTCTACTATTCAATACTCTAGTCTGGTTTACTTCAAGTATTTTAAAAATGACCTCAATAAAGGGGAGCCTCCGATAAGGAATGATAGCTGAAGGTCAATTAATGAAAAATGTTGATATTTTCTCCTTGCAGAACTGCGCATATAATTTACGTGAAGTACCACCAACGTTACCCGGCCTCTGACGTCTAAGATTTCAACAGCCAGAGGCCAAAAAGTCTGAAAGGTAATTTTGATAAAACTCGACTTACTGACAACAAAAACCAAAGTCTTAACGGCCGGAAGTGGCCGTGAAAATACAACAGTCAATGGCCAACTTGATTTTTGGAAAAACATTCTTCAGAACAAAGCAATCATTATCGTGCTGTTTATTTAAGACGGATAAGTTGGTATAATCAACCTTTATGACCCCCCTCAAAGTTTCCCTTAGTTGCTGAATGAATTCAACAGTCATTGGTCAAGCCCCAGGCTAGTTTTGAATTCCAGGTAATGATATTGTATCTAGCCCATAAGTAACAATGTTCGGCTTTTTTTGTATAAATGATTGATTTAGTAAATTATATGCAAGTTCATTCAACTGAAATATCTCTTTCATAAAAACTGGATTTAAGTTATTTACTGTTTTGTATATTTCTATTGCTGGTAGTTGTAGGTTCTTTTGATGTATCCTGACATTATTTTTTGTGTGAGAGAATATTTTCAAAACTTGATTCAAAATCATTGTAAGCCACTCTCAATGCTCTTTAATGGATATTTTCAATAAGTTTTCCAGATTTGCGGCTACAATACATCCACAAAAGAGGGCGATAGTTAAAGCGACTAAGTATAAAGGTTTTCATCAAAAGTGATCTTTTATATTCATTCATATAAGGGGCGATTCTGACTAGGGCATTTATCTTTCTACCTGCTTCTTTACATAAATTTTTTACATGTTCTTCAAAGTTTAGTTTGCTGGCTAAAGTTATTCCAAGTACTTTCGTCTCTTCGATTGTGGCATTTCCTATTTTAATATTTGCTTTTTCAGTTCTGGTTTGTTTATGTTCAAATATCATAAAGTTACATTTGTCTTCATTTAAGAACAATGAATTATCCTTAAACCATTAATTCAGAGCTGCTACTTCTGTTTCTAATTTATATATTATATCATCAACATTTTTACCAACTTTCCATATTGTATTGCCATTTGCATAGTAACAAAGATTTTCTGTAGTCATGAAATAGAAAATATCATTTAAAAGAATGTTAAATAATAGGGGGCCGAGAACTGATTCCTGTGGGACTCCTTGTGTAGCATTTTTCCACGTGCTTGTTTGAGAATTAATTTTCACTTTTTGTGACCTCTCCTTAAGGTAATTTTGTAATAACATCAGTTCTTGTTTGCTGAACCCATACGCATGTACTATTTCATGTGAGAGGCAATCAAATGCTTTGGATAAATCCATCATTATTATACCTGGTTTTTTCTTATCGTCTAGATAAATTTTTAAGTTTTCAACCCAGCGTATCAATGCATGTTGTGTACCATATTTTTCGCATAATTCCACATGAAAGAGGGCATAATTCTATTTTAATGAATGAGAATATCTGATTATACATTATGCCATCATATATCTTAGACAGTGAAGGAAGAACACTTACTGGCCTGTAGTTCCTTTTATCATTTGGATTTCTTTCTTAAATACTGGTGATACATCTGCTTGTTTCATTGCATTGGGAAATTCATTAGTTTTGTCAGTGTGGTTAAACAGAATTTGTAATGTTTCAGAAAAGTTGTCCACTGATGCTTTGATTCAGGACGATTATATTAGGACAATTACACTTCGGTTGCAAATAACGTGTGCAGAGTCAATTGTAGACCGATGCGCAGAGTCCAGAAAATATAACGGTTCCACGGCTGTGAGCCGGAGGGCGGTTATCTAACGATGCAGTAGTTTTGAGGATGGAAAATTCGTACCTACCAAACCATACATGGTTTTACTTAAATTCCATGTCTAGAAAACCTTTGTACAAAAGATATAAGAAAAATTTTGTGGATGAATAAATATCATGACAAGGAATAAATAAATATTCCTAGCATTAGCTTCGAACTATACTTTCGATTCTAAATTATGAAGATTCTGGCCCCAGGGGGGTGCAAAGCGAAGCTCTTTCATAATGATCCCTGAGGAACTCTGATGCACGTGAAAGGCAAAAATCAGCCAAAGGAACGATGTCTCGAAGATGATCCACTCCTTTTGAAGTTTTATGAGGAGGTATCATTATACCTTAGCTCACTGACTGCTGACTGAGTTACAGAATTCATTGGTTTCTGAGAAAGATGTTAGAGCATCAGAACATATTTCTGTCTCTTTCCAAAGGAGTTAACATCATTTTACTTGATGTGCTACTAGCGAAGATGACATGAAATGTATTCAGACCCTTGCAAAGTTTCTAAGGCAGTCCTTAAAGCATAATAATAATAATAATAATAATAATAAATAATTTGTTTAAAGTTGGCGTACTAAATGAACGGCTGATAGCTATAAAGAAGCTAATTAAGGCCAACTATCTATAAAGAGTTAGTATGAAATAAAGATATATGATACAATATTAAAAAGGTTTAAGGTATGATGTTCTAAATAAAACCTAACCCAGCAATAAATTTTTTACACAATCTACAGTCGCATTCTATAGGGTGTGCTCTTAATTCTTTTTTAAATGTTGCCAATGATTGGGACTCTCTTATACTGTGAGGTAGTGTTTGCCACAGTTTTTGACCTAAATATCTCACAGTTTCTATACCATAAGAAGTTGTCCTGGCTTTTGAAATGCAAAGATTATTTTTAGTTCGCAAATCATAATGTACATTTCTTGTTTCAAAAATCTCACTCATGAAACTAGGGTTCAGGTTATGTTTGGTTTTGTATATTTCTATCATCAAGTACTGTAGATTGCGTTGGTGAATTGATACTGCATTATCCAAAGTCAGCAATGCTTCGTAGTCAGCATGACTGTCTTTATAAACAATTCTGAGTGCTCTTTCGTGGATTTTATTTACTTTAGCATTCAGACATCTGTCATGGAACATCCAAATTAGGGGGCAGTAACTAAACTGAGCTTTTATGAAGCTGTTCATTAGGAGACGCAGTTTATCAGAACCCATAAATGGCGAAACTCTAGCAAGAGCATGCATTTTTTGGCTGGCTCTTTTGCATAAATTTGAGACGTGACTTTTGAAATTAAGATTTTTATCTATTATCACCCCTAGCAGTTTTTCTTCAGAGCTTTCTTCAACAATGGCCTCACCGATTTTGATCTTAAAGTCATCTTGATTTGTTCCAAAAGTAAGAAGATGACATTTCCCTGCATTCAATTTCATAAAGTTTTCTGGCAACCACTTTGATAAAACAAGAGCATCAGTTTCTAGCCGTTCTAAAACTTTATCTAATTGACAGTCAGCTGCAAAAATCGTAGTATCATCAGCAAAGATACATACTGCAATATCAGTTAACATTAAGAATAAATCATTAATATAAAAATTAAATAGAAGAGGCCTAGGGACTGATCCTTGTGGTACACCTGCAAAGGTTTCTTGCCAAGTGCTGAATGAACCATTTAATTTTACCCTTTGTCTTCTACCGGACAGGTAATTATAAATCAATAATTGAGCATCTTTACAAAAACCATAGGCATTTAATTTCGCAATTAATAGCTCATGATCTATGCAATCAAACGCTTTTGAGAGATTCATTAGCAAGGCACCAACCACCCCTTTTTTATTTAGGGAATTCTTGCAAATATCCATTAATCTCAACAGCGCATGCTGTGTGTTGAAACCTTTCCGAAAACCACATAAGTAGGGAACTAGGAACGTATCCGCGAAGTCGACCATCTGAGCATATAGAAGCCGTTCAAAGACCTTTGATAATGCGGATAGAACTGTGATAGGTCGATAGTTTCGTTTTTCTGTAGTTTTGTCACTTTTGAATAGTGGAGTTATGTCTCCTAATTTAAGATCTTCAGGAAACGTTTTCTGGAGCAATGAATTATTGAAAATTGTCGTCAGTAATGGTGCAAAAATTTCTTCGTTTTCTTTCAGTATCCGCGGAGGAATACTTTCAATTGTAGACGCTTTTTTGCATTTAGTCTCGATAATTCATCATTGACTGCCTGCATTGTAATTGGTTTGAATTCGAAGAATGTGCCATGGTTTACCTTATCCTTAATCTTGCGGGTGCTGGGATGATGTTTATATTTTTCAACAGCAATTTCATCAGGATCCAGCAAATGGTCTGTCGAATTGAGAATGCATTCACCAGGGGCAATGTCAATTGTCTTTGTGATATTTGTAAAAAATTCATTAAGGATCTCAGCTATTTCACTGTCATTCGTAATAAACTTTTCATTTTCGATAAGCGTAATACTTGAAGAGGTTTGTACCTTGTCAGTAAAAAGTGGTTTTACAGTTTTCCAGAACTTTTTATTGTCAGTGACAGAATTTATATCAAGGTTACCATAATATGACGTTTTTGCTTGTCGCAGAATTTTCACACACCTATTTCTTTGCTTTTTAAAAGCGTTCCAGTTTTCAGAAGTATTATGCCTGTTTAATCTGTTACGTAACTGTGAACGGAGCATAATTGCCTTTCTTAAAGTTTTCGTCATGAAGGGTGCATCATTTGCGCGTAAATATTTCTGTTTTAGAGGTACATGGTTATTCAGAACTTCTTCGACTACAGAATTAAAATTTTCATATTCAGAGTATGCTTCGCTGCTCTTAGTTAGATTGCTTCTAAGGTCACTGCGAAACTTTATAGGATCAAATTTACTGTAGTCTCGGTATGTCACAATCCTTGGACCTCTTTTTACAAATCCACTCTTTAACACTGTTAGTATCATTAGATGAAAATCAGACAATCCCACTTCTATTGTCGTAGTGTTTTGAAAACCAGAGGTTTTATTCGTTAGAAACATATCAATGGAAGAGGGATTGTCAGCAGATTTATAACAAGTGGGACTTTTTATTGAATTTTTTAATCCATAGATATCCATGAAATTGCTAATTTCATAATTTTTCTCTTCCGAATTTAAATCTCCAATAATGACGAAGTTTTCGTATCGAGGTGTAAGTTGGTCAAGCACTTTGCCCATCTCTGCGAAGAAAATTTTTCACATTGAGAAGGGGGGCGGTAGGTACTGATCAATGCCCATTTTTTCTTGCCCACATTAATCTCAGTTAATACACATTCAATTGAATTGGCGATGTTCACCAGTTTAATTTCATTTGCTGGAACTTTTTCTCTGATATAAACCAGAATCCCACCACCGTTTGTATTTCTATCATAACGGAAGGGTTTTTTGAAACCATCAATTAAAAACTGACTAGTAGGAAAGGATTCGTCTAATTTGGTTTCAGAAACTGCGAGGATGTCAACATTTTTTGCAATCATGGTTTTGAGATCCTCTATTTTGTTTCGGATTGAGTTTATATTTAGATGTGCCACAAATAGGCCTCTCTTGTTTTTGTTCCTAATAGTTGATAGATTGGCAAGGGGGTTAATATCTTCGGTATCAGAACTAGCAATTTCATTAGTATTTTGATTTTCTAAATTGGGATTGACTATGCTTTAACGAAAATAGCAGAAACGATCGCTTGAACAAACGATCGAACATAGCATAACATGTATTTAAGTAAAAAACGTTGAAAAGTTTACATAAACGCGGTTACTCAGCCTTGTTCTGTATCTGATCATTTTTGTAAATAATGTACAGTTTTGTTAGGTTATGTGAATAATTTTCATAGATACATCGATAGAAACAAATTAGGTTGAGGGCAATCTCGGCCAATTTACCTATATTATAAACAATGGATTTGGATACGTCAGTCTACCTAAAATCACGTCTTTGGAATTTAAGCCAAATCCTCGGTGCCTTCTTTGGAACACCCAGTTGACCTTGACCGTATTGAGTAACATTTCGAGATCTATGACGGATTCCGTGACGGTTCACCTCGAGGCAGTCAGGATGGCGGCACCAAGTAGCAGGAATATTCCTTATCAGTTTTAGCAAGGGCTTTCAAATAGTGGCACCCAATAGATACAGCTTGTACTTAAATAAAAAAAACTCAATTTGTTTCCTTACCTTGAGCCAATGCTCCTAAACTTGCAGCAAACTTCAGAACTGCTGCACACGATTTCTCAACGGCAAGGCACATCGATCTGCACGGAGGTAAGCTGCCAAACCTATCTAGCAATGGAGGAGCCAACAAGGAACAAGCCAGTGGTCGAACTAGTTTTGAGCAGCTAGTCCTGTCTAACGCTTCAAATGCCTTGAATAGATAACCCTGGGCAACTTTCGTCTGGTTGATTTCTTTCAAAAAGTTTATTTTTCCTGTATCTTGATACCCTAAATCTTTGCAAAAATCAACATCAAGTTCCTTGCCAACTTTAAGCAGCTCTGTTAACGAGCGTTGCAAATTCAAAGCTGTTAAACTGTTAACCAACGAAAATGCGATGAAGAAAGAAAGTGATACCTGCTTCATTTTTGACGGTTGTGTATCGTACATTTCCTCTAAAGGCAAAATTTGCTTCTCTTATGTGCCATGTGTGTCTCTTAGTTTATGCAACATCTATTTATAATGATGTCTAGAGGACAGGGGGTTGATATGAAACCCGTGTTGGCGGGTTTCATATCAACCCCCTGTCTTCATCATCATCGTCGTCATCATCATCTTCATTATAATCATAATAATAATGGAAACTTTTCATTTTCAATTCCAGTTAAAACTACAATTACAAATCTCACCATTACAAGGTAATTTATAACTGGCTAGCCTGTTTTTACAAAATAAGACTATTACAATCGTAGTAAAGAGAAAAGAAAAAAAAACGTTAAAAGGGGAGTAGCTCTGGGTTAGTCCATGTTTTGTTCCTACAGCAAAAAATGTAATAGGTGATACGAATGGATATCGTAGAAAGCTTAGAAATGAGATATCGTTTGTGTTGATCATCGATGGAAAGAGAGTCACACATTTCAAGGAATGAGCTGCATGAGTCGCCGAAGATGCCAAGAGAGCTGATGGAGAGATTTACAAATATCACAGATTTGAACCTTGGTCTTAGATCTGAGACAAGGCGAGCATATTTTGAACGTTTCCTTTCTGCATTGCAGTTAAGGTTAGTTTCAAATCCTATCGTTAGTTCCAAAACATAAAGAATGTTTTCCTTTGTACGCAGATTGTCTCCAGTTATGATGGATGGTGAGGAGAAGCCAGGTAATAATAATAATAATAATAATAATAATAATAATAATAATAATAATAATCATCATCATCATCATCATCATCAGCATCATCATCATCATCATCATCATCATCATCATCATCATCATCATCATCATCATCATCATCATCATCATCATCATCATCATCATCATCATCATCATCATTATCATCATCATTGTCGTTTCTTGAACTAACTTCCTTTTCACCATCGTTCGATAAACATTGTTCTAGCGCATTGGCGTAGCGAGGGGGAGACAAGAGGGGGCGGATACCAGACGAAGTTTTGTCACGACGAAATTTTGACAAGTTTTCCGAAATCTTTATCGACGAAGTTAATCCGCCGAAGATTTTTCTGAAGAAGTCCTTTTATTGCTAATCTACCTGGGGTGCGCCTTGATTTTTATCCCAATTCCCACTGATTAGCTGCCACCTTGCTTCCAATTGCAAGACCCTCCACTTTCAAGTTAGGGGTTACGAGAATGTCTAGGTGGCGAGCAATATCGTGGAGAAGGTCTGGGTCACCAACCATATCAAAATTGTTAATTATCTGATGAAAAATGCCTTGTACAGCAACAATGATAGCAGTAAAAGCTTCGTGGCCGTCTCCTCCTGGCTCCTGCAACTGCAATTCTCCGACGAATTATTTGTCGACTGTTTCACAGGATTCAGTGGCGGATCCAGACTACCGCTTACTGCTCGAGCGGTAGTCAGATTATTCAAAAAATTATAAAAACAAGGATCATTTTCATGTTTATCCTACTACTTTAAATAAACCATAGTTAAAAATTGAAAATATTTGATCGCACTGCAAAGCAAGCATTCCTTCCTAGAAACATGCCTAAAATTGCCACAGAGACATAAATACTTTTTAATCCTTATCGCTATGGAAATTGCGTGCCAATTGGCCCAGTCACATGCTTGCAAAAAAAAAGGCTAGCATGGGTGGATGTACCCTGGGTACCAGAATCACTATATATAAAATAAAAAAGAGTCTCTATTTTATTCTCTCTCTGTTATTTTATATAGAGCCAATAATCGGTCACCAGACTCTCTATTATTTTATATAGTGAGTCTGGTACCCAGGGTAGGGTGGATGATGAAATAATGGCTTGCTACCTATGGGGCATTAGCGGAAATTCAGGCTTTAATTGAGGGGGGGGGGGCAGGCCTACGATTTTCCGACAAGATAACATCACGGACCATGTATAAGTTTAAAAAACTGCACATTTTGATAAAAATAGTTGATTTTTTGACGAGACTCTTTAGAAATCTTTGCTGACCATGCCATAATTATGTAGCAAGAAAAACAATCCATTTTTTATTTTTGATATCAAGATTGATATCTCATCTAAGACAATTGATGATACAAGAGGTCGATCGATTACACTTTTGACAAGTCGTACGTTCATTTTATCCATTTTATCTTGTTTTCGTCAGTGAGAAATACGTTTGAAAATAACTTTTGTTCAGAAGAATCCGATGGAAATTTTGGCCAAACTTTACGGAATTGAAATTAAGTATACAATTCACAAGCAGTTTTGATTTTGGTCATATATTGTTTGATTGATTATTTGGTACTGGCTAATTTTTTATCAGCTATGCCATGTTCAAATTTTGCAAAAAGGGCACAGAGAGGTTATAGAGGCCCGCGGGGTAAAAAGGGAAACGCAGATCACCTGCGAGCGAAGCTAGCAGAAAATTTGGCGGTTACGCCCCTTAGATTAGCTTAAAATTCCTTTTCAGAACGATTATCTCTTGAATTAATTACGACACGTTAAACGGTTGTCAATCATCCGACGAAAGCCCGAATTTTCCTACGACATCAATGATTGGGGGGGGGGAAACCCCCATAATTTCCGCGACTGCTAGGGGGGTTGAGTCGTTGTAGAACGGATTCGAGCTTAACTGGGCAGTAGTTAGCCTGCCTACATCAATCAAATCATCAGAAATCACAGTCAACCTGGGGGGATGCATACAAATTTTGTTGACAACCAATGAACAAGTTGACTTCCGCTCAGCTGGGGGGTTGAGTAGTACTGCCGCTCAACACGGCTCAAACGTTACAGAAAGATTGGGGGATGCCTACATATTATAAAAGTGGGCAAACTGTAACTTCAAAGCCGACATGACCCATTATTTTGTACAATACATAAATATTGGTAGAAAAATATTTTATGAGAATATTAAGACTCAAATATTCTAAAATTCAAGAAGGCACCAGGACCATGCAGTCAGGCCCATAAAAAGGAACCAAGAGTATGATTCTTTGTTTAACAGAAGTTGCTCTCAATAATTGCATATTTTATCTGGCTTTTTAAACTTATAATTTCATTAATTAATTAATATAATTAAGTAATTGTGAGACCTAATGCAAGTTAAAGGCGACATTTCAAAATTCTGCCAAATGTATTTTTTTTCTTATTCTAAGGTGTTCCTCGGCTAAATGCCGCAAATATTTTTAGAATATCAATCCTCAGAATATTGAATAAGATTATTTGTTGCTTCTGAAGGTTGTTGTAAGGGTACTTGAAATTTAACTAAAGCACGGCTTATGTTTTGAAAATGGTCTTCATAAGAAATTACGGTAAAAAATAACAATTTTAGAAAACAGGAAGTGACCAGGAATTGGGTGTGGTCTAAAAGATGTGGTCGATCCTCTATCTCATTTCGGCGGTAGTCAGATTTTTGGCTGGATCCGCCACTACAGATTCCCTTGCAGTTTTGCTTTGTACGCGGAATACAACGCATCATGCCGCAATGCATCATGCCATATGAAATTTGAAATGCCATATAAAATGGAACTTAAAATGCGATACAAAATGGAACATCTCTCGGAGTATAAAGCCATATAATGAGTAATGCCACGCAGGATGAATAAGCAGTGGAATTATGATATGTTATCGAGAATTTGAAAATCCACACGAAATGTTAGACTGCGGATTTAAATGCCGTAGAATAACATATGTCATTTAGAATTTAGTTAAAGACCATGTAAAATAAGGTGAATGGGATGCGAAATCATCAAACACTCTACAAAAGTACAATTGTAATACAGACACCAACGGCGCTCCATATTGCAATCCATGTTTTAAAGGTAGCGATTTCTGTAAAGTAAACACGTAGTTACACTGTCTGGTTATCATTTGTGTATTGTATGGTCCATCTCGTATTTCTTTGAGCAGAACAAAATGATAATAGTGATGAAAATCTGAAATGCGGAATCCAGGATACGAAATATTTTTTGGCAAAATATTTATATACAAACCCCAATGTGCTTTTTGATTAAATTTTATGTAAGCGCTGTTTTGTAATTATCTTAGATTTTGTTTAGGGTTATTAATGTGAAGGGCAGTCAATTACTGTTTAAATAAAGCGCTACGCGGAACCACGTAAAGAACTTGAAAAACAGTGTATATGATAAATTTTCTTAGGTTTCAAAGATCCAGCCCTGAACTTTTTCAACTTTTTGAAGAACCGAGCACAGCTTTCTTATAAAATACTTTCTTATAAAAAATTTGTAGAGCTGAAACAATGTAATAAAAGTTAGTCATTAAACTGATTCAGAAACAGCGGCTAAACTAAAAGAAGCAAACTATTTGATGACGATAGAAAAGAAAAAATATATCCAAATGAATGGAGAAATAGGGGTCTCGTGACAAGGTGTCTCGCGTTACAGATTTAAAAGTTTGAGAGCTCGTGATTGAGGTACAACACCTTTTAGGAAAGCATGCTTAAAAGCATAGTGTGACCACGGCCTTTCACTAATGGTCTTGCTAAACATTTCTGGAATTTGGTTGGTTTTTTGCATTTTCAAAGCAAATTCCCTTAATCCTTTAGGATGCTCTGTACCTCGGGCATTAATTTAAGGAATTTTCATCACTGCACAAAACAGCGTAAAACACAGATTTTCGGGGCCAATAGGGTGTGGCAAAGGGTGTGGCTAGGTTTTGACTGGACCTCTTTTGGACGGACCAACAATGTTTACATTGTTTCCAGGGACATTTTCAGTGTAATTTGGCCTAACTACAGCTACCACTTATTTTGTATATATCTTACCAGAACAGATCAAACCTGGCCAAAAGAAAACAGAGTAGCAAACCTAATAACAGGTAATTTTTTCTTCATTTCCACCCTATGGAGTCAAAATAGTATTTATTTGTGAAAGGTGGAAATAGCAGTATTGTATTTCATACAAAAGAAGAGAAGCAAGCCGTCATTTGATGGTGGTAGTGACACTGGGTCTTTTTGCCATGCAATGCAAGAAATCCAAAGTTGTCGGAGGCCCTAGGATTATCTGACAGAGGAAGCTTACCTGCGAGAAAATTTTGTGACCACACCCCTTAGATTATCTCAAAATATATTTCAGAATATTTCTAGCAGTTATTTTCTTGCAATCATTTTAAACATTTTGTTTTTTTCAAGGCATGCTTTTATTACATTTGATCAATTCCAGTCTTAAAATTTACATAATTACTTTATAAGACCCCACAGACCTCGGCCTATTCCTTGGAATCTTGGCAATAACAGGATTCATTGCACTATTCTCTTTATCTATTTCTTTTCCAGTATTATTTCTATTTTCTTAAAAACACTTTTTACATTATGAAGTGGGTTTGTGATTAACTGTATATTATTTTTATTGTTAAAGCTGGCTTTAGTTGAGTTTTACACGTAGGTTGTAGGTGGATTCTGTTATCTCATTTGACTCTTGATTATAGTTTGTATTCATTTGTCTTTATTCTAAAAACATCCAAATCAGTAGTATTTGGAGTATTTCAAAAGTGAAGTAATTCATCACTGCACATTTTTCAATTCATCACTGCACGTTTTCGCTTCATCACTGCACAAATTGGTCACCACTGCACCTTAAATTAATCCTTGCTGTACCTTCCCAAAACCATGCTAAATACTTGTTATGCCTTCTAAATGAACAAAATCAGGATGTTCTGTGTCCTTGACATGTGTGTCCTATGGCGGTTGACATAAAATAAAGCGCACGCGTACAATTCTTTTCATTCATAAATTTTTCACTGAAAATGCAACAAGCAAAATTTACAATACAATCATGTCGTACCCTTCCGGATCTGGAGGCAATTCTCAGCAAAATCCGTTTCAGTACCAAATGTATTTGCAGCAAATTGAATTTGAATGCTACCAGAATGGGTGTATGAGCTTGAATCCAGGGAATGAAGTTGCAAACGAAGATGAAAAGAAAAAAGAGGAAAACAATTGTCGCTGGTCCGAGATTCAAGCAAGAAGCCTGATTAAAGAGTGGAAAGAAAATGTCCCGGAGCTGGAAAGCAGTCGCAATCGGCAGGCATGGACAAAAATTATAAATAATGTTAACAAAAATGGACCTAAAAAAACTGTCAACCAGGCCAAGAAAAAACTTTCGAATTTAAAATACACCTACAAGAAAGCAAAGGATAACAATAAAAAGAGTGGCGCAACTCCAGACTTTCCTCAATTTTACAACGATTTTGATGAAATATTATCATGTAGGCCTTTAGTCAAACTGGACTTGGTAAGAGAAGTTGGGGTAGGTGTCGAGGAGGTTGAAGAAGGGATAGAGGCTGAAGAGGAAAGAAATCAAGATGACGATGTTGTTGATAATGGCAAGAAATTAGCGAAAAAAAGAAAGACCTGTATGGAAAATGATGGAAAAAAGGCAAAAAAAGTAAAAGAAAATTTCAAAGACAAATTGTTGGAAATACAAGAGAGGCAGATGGATGCATTTGCGGAATCTGACCAAAGGAACAGAGAGTTTTTGGTGGAGCTGGAAGAGCAGCAGAAAAAAGCAGCGGCCGAGGAAAAACAACGGAACAGATAATTTTTTATGCAGTTGGCAACTCTTTTGGGTAAAAAGTACCATGTATTATGCATGTTTATATTACATTGTCAATTTTTATTATTTAAAATTATTTGCTTATAAAACTTGTAAAACTTATAAAACTTCATTATCGTGATTATATTCATGTTGGTTTTTGATTCTGTTCAATTCAATTGTTTCTTAGAAAGTTTTTTATTAATGCACGAAGATCTTCGCCATTGTTTTCAACAACATCTTTGTTTATTATTGTGTTGCCTTGTTGTTCGCGTTCAATAACACGCGCTGTGAGTTCTTCGTCCTCCATTTCATCTCCATTTTCTTCGCATATATTAAGAAGAACACAGCAAGTTATAATGACCTCAACAACATTACTTGTTCTATTATCAAGCCTTTTTATTAGGCATCTCCAACGGGCTTTTAAAATTCCAAACGCCCTCTCCATAACAGATCTGGCAGAAGAAAGAGTTTTGTTATATTTCGTCTGTGATCTTGTCAATGCTCCATTGTCAGGGTACGGCTTTAAAAGCCAACTGCTCAGTGGATATGTCCCATCGCCTATAATGAAAGGTTTTACGGGCTGGTTCTCTATATTTGCGAGTGGCCTATTCAGAATAGCGCCCCTTTGCGCTGTATGATGAATTGAGCTCGTACGCAAAACCCTTGCATCGTGAATGCTGCCTGGAAAACCGGATGATACATCCATAAATTTCACATTTCCATGTGTGACCGGTGGCATAATATAAGAACAAATTCGGATTAGCAAAAAGGATGCTTGGAAAGGTACAGTGTGACCGCAGCCCAACACCTTTTAAGAAAGCATGCTTAAAAGCATAGTGTAACCGCGGCCTTATTTGCAAAATATCATTTTTGTGTGTTGAAGACTTACGAGCTGGGCGATACAGTACATACATGATAACCACACAGAAGAGCCGCATGGATACTTTCACATTGCAGCATTTTATTAGTAACACACACGCACCTTCAAAGCACGGATTATAAGTGTATGGTACGTTGCTTTCAATCAGTCATCTGTAGACAAAGTCTTGGCTTGTTGGGGGTAAAATACCTTTTAGGGCCTGTTTACATAGAGTGGGCTAGTTGCCACAGGTGAGATCGTATTCGCACGAGTTTACATGAGGACGCAATTTATCCCACTTAGGTGGTATGGCCTCTAATTTGAAAATTGTAAATGAGGTTTTTTTAGTTTTTGGCGTCACAGTATTGAATATCAGCTTTCCTTAACAATGGCGAATAACAATTAGATTCCTTTTCTGACCGTTAAATTATACGGTATGCTCGGATTTGTACATCAGGGCCCTTCAGTTGACTGAATTCTGATTTTGTGTTCGATCTATCATAAGTATGCGATCGACAGGTTCGTGTCATTTCAATTGAGGAAACGTTTGAATTCCTTAGGTTTCTGTACGCTTTTACTACAGTTTTAGAGCCCGATCTGTTGCTGCCGATTCATACGGCATACCGTAAAAACCAGACCCTAAGACCCTGAGACCTAGGACCCTAAAGTACTAAAATAAAAAAGGACCCTTAACACCAGAAGGGTCTTCGCCCCGATAAGACAATAGTCGATCAAAGTTGACTGTCATCATTTTACAACCCCGATCGAGTCGTTTGATCGGGCTTTGAAAAGGTCAGACTAAAAAGCTTTAAGTATGCTTTAAAATGTTATTTCTTTGAAGACAATTTTCAAATTTTGTGCCACCAAAAAATTGTTCGCCCTAAAAAGTGCAAATACATATTTAAAAACAAATAAAAGGTACAGATAGATTTGATGCATCTAGAGAAGATTTTAAAAATTTTGAAATCATGAATGGGCTTTGAGATTAAATACACCACAAAAAATGAAATTGTAACTTACTAGGCCAACTTTGTCTGATGCAAATGAGCATTGAGTTTTTCGCTGTTCTTGTTGGTAGGCCAAAATGCCTTGGTCATAGCAAACGGATATATCTAAGTTTAAATCTGGGGCGCACAGTTCTTTTCTGAGCTCTCCTTGACTTGGGTAGAGTCAGCATTAGGCTTGTCACCATCAACCCCTGTTATGAAACATGCCTTTACTGAACTCTTTTGCACTAACAATATCCCTATCAACGGTCCTTGCGGCATTTTCCAATGCCATGGCAAGCCATCTGCCTGGAGTCAGTGCTTTATGGTAATTCAGTAGTAAGTGAAAAACGGTTTAGAAAACTTTGGTGACAATTAGAAGGAGATCTATTGTTTCTTTTGCAGTTGCAATGCATCAACGATACTGAACAAGGATCCGCAAATATTTTATTCATGCCTATCATTCATGGCTGACTGGCTGTTAAATGGAATACTTTTGATCAATTTAGTGTTTTTGTACAAGGTCTTGGACAGTATCATACTCATGGGGCACAAAAGGGAAAAATTCCTTTCTGCCAGAAACAATACCATAGAAACGTATAACAATATAGCACCGAATGTTGAAACAATGGTTCCTTCACACGTCACAGAGTACTTTTTCGAAAAATATTAGGTCGTATTTTCACGGTGAGTTTCGAATTTAAGCGTCTGTATCTTGAACACGAGTGTAGATTTTCGAAAAACATTTTTACGATAACTTTCAACTCTCAACGGTTTACCAATTTATGCAAAAATCTCATAAAAAAAATTTTGGGATGGAAAGAATAAACCACTTGAACCAAGCAGCCTCGTTTTGAGATAGTTCCTTCTTGAGATAGTTCCAGCCAAATTTCTTCTTGTTGCTCAAAAAAAACTTTCACCCCGGAACGAAAATTAATTTTCATTCCATTTCTTTTGCAACATATCTTGCATACTGAACTCTTTACTGGCTTTAGTGGCTTTTAAAGCTGGTCAAAACTTTTTCAAGAAAAGCAACATCAAGTTTTTTATAAGTTTGCTTGCTACTTTTACCACTCTTACTAGCAATTTTTTTTAATAAACAAGTCCGCCGCTGGTTAAAATAAGCTGACATCAAGGGTATTTGTAAACTTTAGTTCTGATAATTTTTTTCTATTTGTATTCAATTTGCCTATTATCAAATTTTCATTTTTAGACATGAAGACCAAGTACCAGAAAGCTTCTATTTCATGCTAAAACTCTGTTTTCATCAAAATTGGAACGTTCAACTGTAGTTTTGAAAATTCCTCGATTCTTATCCAATCCAATTTGCTGATTTCAAAAAACAATGTTTTACAGAAAGTTTAGGTACCAGGAAGCCACTATTTCATTTTATAACCTCGTTTCCATCAAAAATTTGAACGTGGAACAAAGGCTGTAAATTTATTGGTTCTTATTAATTGTGATATGCTTATTTTGAAACTTGATCTCATACGGCGAAATCCTTTTTCATGCTTAAGGCTACGGTAAATGTTTTCTGGATGAATGCATCCTTTTTTCAATTATTTCATAGTCAAGTAGCCGAACTTTAAAGGCACACAAACATACCAAAAAAACCCATGTAAACGAAGGTTTCCATAATTTCTTTATCAAGCTTTTAGTTGAGGTCTTGACCCGGATTACACTGTGGTTTACGAGTGTACCTTGCAAGTGTAATCAGTAAAATCCCGTTTTTTCCGGACTTACAATTCCTCTACATACAGGTATGAAAAAGCTATTTTGTACCCAAGGAACCAATCGAATGGCTCATTAATTTGCACACGACCAGGACAGATGTCGGGAAATGAAAACGTATTTCAAAATTTTTGTATTTGCTCTGGTCCGTTTTATAGCCAAATACAGCTATGAGAGGGAGGAAATATTGTTTGCCAATTTTTGACAGGGTATAGTTTCAAGGGGAGGTGGAATTTGAAAAATCTGACACAAAGTTTGGTAGCTAAGGATCTGCACTTTCTGCTGATATGAGTCAGATTTTGATACCTCAAACGCAAGGGTACAAAATAGCTTTTGAAGGTGGTGCACTCATTTAAGGGGTAAACTTGCAAGTATGTTGATTTGAAATTAAATTTGGCTCGGTTCTACATCAATCAAATTTGACGTCACTCGACTTGTCCCTCTCTGGCTCCTTGTACACTGCACGTAAAATAGGACAAACGATGGAAGGGAATATCCATAGAAGTTGAGATACGTAGCTAGATTTACGAAAACAATCGTTTCTAAAGGGTTATAGGCCTAGAGCTTACAGGCCCCAATCTAAAGAGCTACTAGATGTCTTAATTTTAAAGGAACATTGGTAATTAGACAGAAGGCAGGTTTAAAATATGAAATTTTTTACAAATGCCAATACATCCCTTTATGTTACTTGGTTCAATTTATCTAATTGCTAGCATATGTTTTGGTGTTAATGTATAGGCTACTCAATCTACTATGAAGAAGAAGTGAATCGCCTTTTGAATTTACAAAACAATTGTTCTTTCAATTGTCTTCGGAAAGTCTTATTATAATAGCAGTAAATCAAAGGATTGGAAAGACTGTTGAGGTACCCAATCAAAAGTGTCACTTTGTCGATTGTTTTAGGGATGTGGACCGACGAAAGTGACTCGACAAACATAGTAACAACAAATGGAAACCAGGAAATGAAGAAAACCGCTACGATCATGATGCACATCATCGTCAACTTCTTTTCCTCTTCCCTTTGCCTGTTCGCCTGTATCACAACATGAAGCTCTTCACTTTGTTGGTGGCTATCAAAACTAGAAGATACTTCATTTTGCTGGCCAACAACGGTATTATTGACAGCTGAAAGTATGTCTTTAGGTTGACTGCAATCGTCGGGTGCCGAAATTTCAAAAGTAACTACTGGTTCGTCTTCAACCGTAATGTTGACGCCTGAAAGTATGTCTTTAGGTTGACTGCAATCGTCGCATGCCGAAATTTTAAAAGTAACGACAGGCTCTCGTAAGCACGACGCTTGCTCTTGATCAGTATAATTGTTTTTTTTAATAAGATCAGTTGCCTTCCAGTCAGTGATACTGTCTATGTCAGATGCATCAGAATGACTGTTTGCCATCTGACTATAATGCAACTGTGGACAAGATTTGGTGCGCTTACGTAGACTATTTAGTATGGTCGTTTTGTCATTTCTTTTGCTATTTTCCCAAGATTTCTGTTTAGGTTTCAGCTTTTGTTTACGCTTCAAAAATTTACGTAGTTTCCTCTTGGATAATCCTCTTTTTTGCGTGATACATTTGGTTGGATGAGTCTTCTGTGAGCAGCGGTGTTGAGTTTCAAAAGATGTACCTGGTATTCCATTAGTAAAGCCTGTTACTTGAGACTTTCCATTAACTACAAAAGCACCGGCCTTGACATGACAGTCACTGATTCCTTCTGTGTTCTTTTTAATCTGCTGCAGCTCCACTACATCACCTCTAATGCCTGAGTCATTCCCAATATCGTTGGTTACCTGTTGGTAAGCTAGCTTCTTCTCCGAAGTATTAGTATCAGGCGTGTTTGACAAATAATGCCTAGAAGGCGATTTTTTACTACCAAGTTGCTTTCTCTTGTTAGAGAATGAGCTTAGATCCGCTTTACTCTTCTTCCAGAATCTGTATATTTTGAAGTAGCAAATACCCATAATGCAAACAGGCAAAAAGAAGCAAATAAACATGAGGGCAAATGTATATAAGGGTGTGACTCTCCAGTCAACAAAACAGTGAGCTTTTCCAGATTTGAAAGAAATTTTTGAAAAATTAAAAAGTGGAGGGGCAGATAGAATAAGAGCTGCCAACCAGATTGCAAATACAGCAAAGGAAATTCGTTTTTTTGTTACAATATCGTAATATGAACTCCAATGCACAAGATGAATGTATCGGTGCACATTCATTGCGGTGACAGAGAATACAGAGGCTATCAAAAAGGTCATCTCGAAGAAGCCTGAAATATCGCACAGAATGCTTCCTGTCTGTCTGAAGTAAGGCAACGATGTCGAGGCTGCAGTAAATGGGATGTTGAAACAGGAGACAAGAAAATCTGAAGCAGCGAGGCTGAGAAGGAACATTGTGCCACGAGTCTGCAGCCTACTACACTTATACACAGCAATAAACACAAATATATTGGAAATGAATGTGAAAGTGGCAGCAGCTGCCAATATTACTATCCAAATAGCGACACTTGCGTCCATCTTGCACTGGCCTCCTTCTCAACTACATTTTACTGGCAACTGTAGGCAACTGTTGCATGTTTGTCGTTTTGAAAGCTTTCACGATATCACCTTGGCTCAAAACCTTGACTATCTTTCAGCTATCAGTTTTGCTTCTTGCAGTCACTGATTAGGCCTAAAATAAGATTTCTTTCTTAAAGGATGTTTTAATTGGAATTACAATATATCATGATTAAAAAAGACAAAAGGAATCAACAGTCAGTATACGACAACGTCTAAACGATAATGTTACAATTTAATAGCTAGAATAAGTTTCTGTAAAATCTTCAAAGCTATTTTCTTTACTTTTCAATGTTTTCCAGCTCTAAAAACCATTTTTTAACCATCAGTTTTGCAACAAGTCTTTGAACGTAAGGAAATCATTATATTTGGAAAAAGTTTAAATCTAAGAAAGGATACTTAACGCCCTACACAAGAAGTCGATCAATATTTTTCAATTAAAATAGCCTTTCTAAACAATATATAATATGCAAGCTGTCAAATGATTTAGCTAGTTCTAGCTACCATTTTGACCTTGACATCACCCAAGATCGTGCATCATCCAAAAAAGAAAAATTATATCTTCAAATGAATATGGATTTGTATGAGAGAATTTTGTAGCACAAAAACTGAACAAACTACGAATCACATTATTTTGGGGGGCCTTTCCCATGGACTATAAATTTCAGTCTTGAATCATTAAATGTCAACAACATACTAATCTTTGTATTGAAAATATGACTTGGGTGTCGTTGACAGAATTTCTTTAGATTCTGTTTGCCGTTTGGGTGCTACTTCAAATGAAGTTAAGATGAAAAGTGCAACCATACATTTGAAAAAGTAAGAAATCGTGGAACCTCTTAGAGCCCGTTTACACTTTGCCGGATAAAATTTATCCGCATAAAACTTGTTCGGATTTATCAGCGTTTACACTGTGCCGCACAAATTTTGTCCACTTTGCCCTCCCGTTTACACTGTGTCGGATAACTGTAGTCACATGACTTAAATCATGCACAGAACGCCCAAAATAAAGTCTTCTCTGGGCAAGAAAGTAATAACAAAATTCCCGCCAACGTAAAAAGACTTCATTCTCTTTTCAGAATCATCTGCTTCTCTTTTAGACCAAATCCAAAGATATTGTCAATACAAATTAGGCCTAGTTTATTTTAATTGTTTGTTCTTGAAACAAAATGGCACTGAACTAGCAACAAAAGTAGGGAAAGTTGATAAGGATGGCAATTTTTCGTGGACTGGCAAGATACTGCACTTTTAACACGAGTATTTATCGACAACAAGGCAACCAAGATGGCGAAAGGTCTTGATTGGTAGACAGTGAAAACTAAATTGGATGAAATAGCCAATCGCTTTCGAGCAAGATATGATGTGGATAAAATTTATCCGGATAAAAGCGTTTACACTGTACCACATAGCCATCCGAACTAATTTAATCCACTTTCCTAGGTGAACTAATTTTGTTCGAATAGCCGCTCTCAAATTTGTGGGAATAGCGTGGGTCTAGTGTAAACGCGACGCCTATCTGAACTAATTTTGATGCGGATGAAATTTATACGGCACGGTTTGAAAAGAGAAAGATAAAAAATAAGGTCCATAAGGTGTTTTCCTAATAAAATTTGCTTAACATTGGATTTTCGTCAAAGAAGATTTGTACGCGGGAAAGAGAGGGGTCACGTAGAGTAGCCCGGCAAGAGTCTAAATGAACAATGGTCTTTGAAAGATCAATGACAGAGATAAAGTACCATACAGAGCTCGTAGAAGTTATATAGAATATTTAAAACGTTATTAATTGAAATGATGATTATTTGTTGTTGTTGGGAATCCGCCATTTTGCATATAGCACGTGTATTTTTAAAATTAGTTCATTGATTTCGTCAGGTTCTTTGTAAGTCATGCAAGTATTTTCTTCTTGTTGTTTTAGAGTAGCATTTGCGTCAAAACCTCGCTTTAAGCTGAATCCGTCCGAGGTTTTGACGCAAATGTTACAGAAATTGTTATACCACGCCCGCTGATTAAGTTATTATGCTTATCCAGAATAAACACCTGACTAACATATATGCAAGTTATTATAATTAAAAGTTTATGACTCAAAACTAATTAGCAACGTAAGTAAACGTATATATTCCGCAAATTTATTAGAAAAAGTAGAGTGTTCGACGTAGGAGTCGTCGTAGTGTTGTAATCGTTTGAGATTTTGGAAAAAGACGGAGATGTAAAGCAAATAGTTGTATTTTCTTGGATTCATGTTTCTGCTCTTGGGTTCTCTATTCTGATACCAGCGAGATTGGAGGTTTTCCTTAACAGTTGTTCTTCAAAATCATTTTTCAAATTTGAAGTCTCGAATGAACTCCAGTTTACTGACATTAAAAGGCTTTAACCAAAAATACAGGTCCACGAAAATACTTGCCAAGTAAATATCAAAATCGATCCTCGTCCATAAACACCTTACTTCTACACCCCAAAATATATCATGCTCTAACTACCTCCCCAATAAACGCCTTGCTGTTATAAGAAATCTTGCCAATACGAAAATTCTATGTTTTTATTTCGTTGTTATAAGCAAATTAGCAGCATTGCAACTCTATAGCAGTTCAGAATGTTAGAAGATTTTTGAGTAAAAATGGGGTTAAATCAGGAGAAGTTCCTGCTTATCTTCTGTGGAGGAACGGGGTTGGGATGACGTTTTTAACAAAATAAATCTGGTCTAAGCAGTGGAATATGAAGCACAATTGATTTTTGGTAGAAGTACGTTCAAAGTTACAAAATGAGCTTTACGTAGTCACGTGACGTCATATTGCCCCCATGCCCTTATATGGATATCTTAATAAAAACGGGCAAAGCCAACTCATCCTTTGCCATCGGACATTCAACTTAGCATGCGATTGACTATCAAAACTTTAGGAAGGGACTGTCGTGGTACTCAAACTAACAAAAAGGGACTTTTCATCTTTTTATCAACCTACATTGATAGTATTAATTGGTCACAAAGAATATTACTATGCTAATACAGATAAGATGATACTACACTGGATTCAGCCCGTTTGATAGTTGTTATTAATTATGTGAACGTACCTTTTAGCTCAATCATCGCAAACAAAAATGTATCCACATTGTAAAACTTTATTCTTAGTATTTAGACACTATTTTAAAATTTCCATAGCTCCTTCCTTTATAGTGAAGAAACGTGTTTTTTAATACCAGATCTATCTTTTAGAAATATTTCAAAAATGAATACAAGCAATCAAAGTTACCTTGATGCATACCGAAAGCAGAGCTTCATCTAGCGGCTTTTCCTTTCTCGTCAGCTCAGCTCAACATAAGTGGGCACACAGTCACCTGTCCGCAGCACTTTGTCAATAAAACATCAGTCCTGTTATAAAATTTCTTGTCCTATGTTTTTACACATACACAATACTTCCTGTACACATTGGATTTCAAACTTTGAAGTCGAGACAGCTTTGGGCATTAGAGCACATTTGTTTCACCTTAAACCAGTGGAAGAACCTTGCTGGCATGCCACCTGTCAACGAAAAAAAACAAAATGTCACTCAAATGATATTGGAAGTGTGAAGAATGGCAGCTGTGACATCCAGAGGCTATTACGTTCAATTCATATCGGTAGAGCTGAAAATTACAGATAAAATTCCATAACACGGAATATCTTTGTCCATACCTCTAGGCACCAGTCTATTTTTTGCATCAAATATTAATTCTGTACACACCTTTTCACAAGAAACAAGTGAAAAATTGATGATTGCATTTATTGTACAACTTTCTCTTGGAAAAACAGATGAAACCTTAGAAGAAAACGACGCTGTAATGTACCACTTTATCTTTCTGTAACATATTGTGTAAACGTTGTCTAAGGTAGCATATGTGCAAAACACATGAAAACAAGACATCTGATGTTTTCAAAATTGGCCAAATATTGTGCCAAAAATATTTTCGTTTCCAAAAATATTTCAATTGGAAAAATTTTTGGAAATTGATGAAAAAAGATTTAAAACAGCTGTGAAGGGTTGTGAATTTTTATTCTAGAGCGTCAGAAGAAGGTGTTTATTCCATCTTGAAATGATCTTTTTACGACCTCGCCAACCTCGCCTTGGAAATGGTTCTACAGACAAGAGACTAAACACAAACATTTCTGGCATCTAGATTAATACTCATTTGTGAATGATATTGACTTTGTGAAGATCAAGAGAGGAAAAACTTGAGTCTGGCAAAAAGTAAGTTAAGAAGGAAAATAGAAAGAAAAGATTAATGAATGAAAAAACAAGTCATAAAAGGTTTTTTTTTCAACAAAAGCATGCTTCGTGATATTGAAAACAATCTTCACTGGGATCAAAAGTGTTCAATTTTAGCAACCATGTCGACTGCCTAGTGTGCAAAGTAAAGCAAAATTTGATCTATATCAGTTAAATTTAACAATCAATGAAAAATAGAATAATATCACATCGATGTATTTAACAACCTATATAATCCAGTTCCCATTTACACTAGCCGGATTCAAATTGATCCTTACCAGTTTGGATCGGCCTATTGAATACGGATAGTTTAACCGTGCTCGTTAAAGATGACATTCCAAACACGCAGAGATTGCTTTAAATAAAACCCGATTATAGGGACCACTACACTATTTTTACAACAAAGGCCAGACAAGGTTATCGTTTCTAGAATAAAGTTTGAGACAATGTAATCCACAACGTTTCTGAAATAAAACCATAATAACGATAATAAAAAAAAGTTATAGCAAAAGAACAACCAGCTTTACAAAGCAGCGTTTTATCAATTCAAAAAAAAATTATCTAAAATGTTTAGCATAGAGGTTCTTGAAACTATTTTATATCAATTATTTTAGCCATGCTTAATTACCTCTCATAATCGCCTATCGTATCATCAACGTATCATCCATTTTGGCTGTGATTCGAGCAGTGTTTGGAATTACCCTAGGCTCTCACTGTTGAAGTGTCTATGCAGCGAAATTTTATGTCCTGCTTTTTTTTAAGAGTTATATTTTCCCATCTTTTCCGATACGTTTGGCACCAAAATAGTCATAATTTGACCAATGAAAATGTGATTAATCAGCGTTTGAAATCAGGTAGTACTTGCGAAAACCAAGGCCATTTTGTGACGTAACAGTGATTATTCGGGTCGACAGCAATCCGGTTATACAGAATAGGATTTAGTGAAGAAGATAAGCAGAAAAATTGTGAAAATTTTGATACAACTACCAAAATTTCAGAAAACACCAAGTTTGATACGCTAAAAAAGATGTGATATAGACCCAAATCATATCTTGCCAATAAGATCTATTTTTAGACTGGGGTACTCCGGTCAAGACCCCTAGTTGTACCTTTTAGTCATAAACGGAAAACGCCAGTTCATAGACAGTTGAAATTCACCAAAAAAAGACAGTTTAACAAGACAAAAAATATGTGATATAGACCCAATTCATAATTTAACAGAGAATGCCAGTCCATGGAAAGTTGAAATTCACAATATAAAGGCAGTTCAACGAACCGAAAAATATGTAAAATAAACCCAAATCATATGATGCCCCCTAAATTCTATTTTTAGACTGGGGCCCTCTGGTCCAGACCCCTGGCCAAAAACAGAGAACGTCAGGTCATCGAAACTTGGAATTCTCGATATAAAGGCAGTTTGACATGCAGAAAAAGATTGGATATAGACCCAAATCATACCTTGCCCCTAAGTTCTATTTTAAGACTGGGATACTCCGGTCGAGACCCCCTATTTCACCATTGGCCATAAACAGAGAATGGAAATTCTCAATATAAAGGCAGTTTGATATGCTGACAAAAATGTGATATAGTTCCCATTCATATCTTGCACTCTAATAATACAATAAGGGGGCAATTTTCAGTCGGGGTCCATATCCTATCTTTTTAAACGTATCAAACTGCCCCTTATTGAAGAGTTTCATGCTATTCTACCAAAGTGAGACTGAGATACGATAATACCGTCAATAAAGGTCTAGGGCAAAGTACCGTAGTCTATAAATAGGAAAGGGGTAAATTTTAGTTGGGGTCTATATCCTTTCGCTTATCAGATTGTCACTTGTTACAAAGTTTCATGTTATTGTACTTACTTACAGCAGAGATATCGTAATATCGCTGCTAGAGTCTCAGGGCAAACTACCCCAGCTAAAAATAGCTGAAGGGGGCAATTTTCAGTTCGGGTCCCTATCCTATCTTTTTCAGCGTATCAAACTTCCCTATTATTGCAGAGTTTCATGCTAGTATCACAATTTGCACAATTCTTTAGTTTGTGATTCGAAGACAATCCATCTTTCATTTTATGTTTAGGTTTTTGTACTGTTAGTTCCCCGTCAGGGTCTCGTCGACCATTACCCCTAGCTACTTAATTTTATGGAACCCCTTTACCTGTAACTCCACAGGCCCGTTGACTTTGCAGGTTCTTCAAGTAAATGAAATCTTGGCGCCAGGCCTGTCGCTAGCTATTGTGCTCAATCGCCAAGATCTGCTAAGATGCCAGTTACACTAACGGATTGCTTTCGGAGCGGAGCAGAGCGGAGTAACTTCTACTCCGGAGTGATATTTAGGGTAGCAGTTACGCTACGACGCTCCGCTCGCTCATAAGCCTGTATTTCTTTGCATTTTTTGTACAAAAAATCCACCAGATTAATTTTTTGATGATATTTTCAAATCTATGTGCTGTTGCGAATTCGTTTTCAATAGCTATGCATTAAATGACGAAATCAACCATGAAACTGAGAGATAAATGATGGGGTTCGTAGGACGGATAGCGAGATTGTGTTGCTATCTGATGTGTTAAAGTATGTTTTTCGTCCAAGGGCCACTTCAAATAAGTTTGGGAAGAGATGAAATCCAAATACGAAAATGTTTTCACGATTTCGATTTGGCATTACCCAACAGCAACAAAATCTCAGTAAGTGCCATTCCTTTGTTTCAAAATGGAGCATATCGGATTCGTGCGATTACACTGCAACGCTCCGCTACGGAGTGACTCCGGAATGAATATCGTATCACCTCCAGAGCGGAGTGATTTTCACTCCGCTAATCAGAGCGTTGTGTACCGGATTGGTGTGGCGTAGTGTAAGGTGCCAGTTACACTATACCGGATTGCTATCGGAGCGGAGTAACTTCATATCGGACAGGGGTTTGAGTTACACAGTTTGAGTTTGAGTTACGTGAGCAAGGAATTAGCTCTATTTACCTACCGTAGTGTAGCATTTGTTGAAAATGTTCAGAGATGTCAAGCACCCATTATATTGCGTCATAAGCTCTGATGTTCGTTGTGTGTAGAAAAATTAGAATATTTTATCAAATCATATTGATTGTGACACGAATCTGCAGGTTCAAAGCAAGCATATTGTCGACTTGGTGCAACACCGATACTCTTATCAATTGCACTTGAATGCTGCGCCGATGGTGCGACATTTAAAGACTCATTGCTAACAATGAGCCATTGCGCTACGCAAGCATCCCATAATGCATTTTCAGACAGTCTGAGATCAATTATGGTTAATCCGTAGAAGTTTACTGCCATTATTTGGATCGTTGCCTAGATAATTTGCCACCCTCGCAAAGGCTCATTGTTAGCAATGAGTTTTGGTTTTCATCCTTTAACAAGTTTCATGCAACAATGTTTCAGTCTCATGGAATGAAACTTTTTACTGCCGCCCATTGCATTGCTTCCTATTCAGTTCACTGTTATAAAGGAAATATAGTGCAGTTTTAAAATTATTGGGGGGAGGGAGGGCTCCAGCCCAGAATTAATAAATAGAAGAGTCAACTATTCCTAAAGCTTGGTTTCATTATATCTTTTATGCGTCGCCGATGATTGAAAATTTTAATGGAGACATACATCGCCGACGCGTCGGCGAATCCTTGTATACAATGACCAGCAATAGCCAATCAAAATTCGTTATAAATCACCTGGTCAACTCGTTACAAGCGGTTTGTTGTCCGTTCGAAATATGGCGCAGCAACAGAATAACATCAGCGAAAAACTCAAATGAATGAGATTCAAAACTGTCATGTTTCGTGCGATAAAGTTTTTGTACCATAAAAGGAATACAAAAGAGACCTAAAAAACTTTTGGCGGCACAAAATTTGAAAATGGCTTTGAAAAAAACAAACATTTTACAACATACTAAAAGCTTTTTCGCCATACACTCCTCAGAGTAAAAAATGTCAGAGTGAGGGTCCAAAAGAACACGATGAAAAATATATACCCAGTTGTCCAACCAACACTGCGTGCCTAAAGAAGAATTACCACTGGAGTCCAAGGGAGAAAACGTAATGAACAACGATAAGCTTCTTTGTAAAATACGAATGGATTACCACGGGACATTGATATGACTGTATTTAAGTCAATTAGACTTAGAGGTATTTAGACTCTCTCCCTTTGGACTTGGTGGAATTACATATGATAATTGGTTTTCATGCTGGCTGGCCCCCTTCAGTAAAAAACGTAAAATATTTGAGTGTGAGTCCTCCATTGGTCGTGAGGTTATGGCTTCCATTAGTGATACTGCCATTATTTGATTGATTGCTGGTGTATCCCAACTGGGGCCACCAAGGGAACGATAAAAATTGTTGGAGTTAACGAATAATCGTCGGCTTTTTAGTTATCGGGGGTTTGAATTATCGAGGTTTTGAGTTATCAAGACATAATTTTGTATTTCTAATGATATTCTCCTCTCCCGGCTGAGTTACTCTTGTCAAATCTAATCCAACCAACTGTAGGACGAGGCTAATTCCACTCGCTTAGATTGAAGCATCTGAAACTCTCGTATTTACAATGTATTTGCTACTTCACAAACGAATGACATATACAGATGTTTTGGCAATCAATATAACGAGTTCTCACCCAAAGGCTGGCCTTCATGACACGAGGTTTAAACTATCTCTCCTTGTCTACGAGCATTTTCGATGGAATAAAAGATATGTAAGATCATACACGGTGAAAATCTCATTTTCTCGAAAGCCCTTTTCTAAAATCAGCAGCTAGGCCGGCCAAACGGCCATTAGATTTTCGCCATTCAAAGATAAGGAAAGGCCCTTAAGGAAAGGCAAGTTTCTTAGGACAAATTTCCAATTAAACTAAGTAGAGAGTTATCGGTGTAAAAATACCTTTGTTGAGAGAAGCAGCTCCTGTACATTCATTCTTGATGTTTACAGCTTTGAAATGCAAAGTCGCTGTTTCTCTTTGCACTGCTTTTCATGCAGACTTTTGAAAGGGGGGCAATAAAGTTGAAAGCAGGTTTAATTGTTTATACACATCACGAGTGCAATGCTTAACAGGCTTTCTTGTAGTTCAGTTATTGTTCTTCAACTTCCTATTCTTTTACTCATACATCGTTTGAAAATTATGTGGGCAAGAGTATCTCAGATCTCAGTAAATAAAAAGCTTTTTGGAAGAATGCGAAAGGGAGTAAGTCCGCATATTTAAGATTGACGTTAATTGTCATGAGAATGTCTAATATGCGTGACCTAAAACGACATTCAGTTGTAAACACTCATTATGGCGGGTTTGTTTACGTTTTTTTGCCGTTTGTAGAGGCATACTTTAGATACAATGCCATATGGCATATATAATGCATAACTTGGATAGGTATTCTTTAGTGTCACGGCTTTACGGGAGCTTTGAGTTTAAAACAGCTAAATGTAATGAATCAACTTTTCCGGGATACATCATTGAGTCGCAAAAGTATATTTTTATACCATAACTGTATGAACAGAGCTAAAATAACGGTAATTAGTTAGCAAGCTTCAAATCTTTCATTGGCCATTTTTTTCCCGATTTTCGGTATTTTTCACTGATTATCCATATTTCAAAGTACTTCATTGTGTTCTTTCAGATAGTATGGTCAAAATTCAAAATTTCTAAAAGTATATTGTCTATGATATTCTCCTTTTGCTAAAATAACCAAATGCCCCTTGGATTCTATTATCATTTTAAGATTGTTTTATTGCTCTCTTATATGAATGGTCTGCAGTAAAACTGCAAATAAGGAAGTTGTATAGATCCTTATATCTTATATAGTGAACAAGCAGAAGAGGGCAGATACTCTTATATAGTGAACAAGCAGAAGAGGGCAGATACTCTTTGAAGAAATAGGCATCGACTTGCGTTGTTTGCGCCCTTTTCATTTTTTGCTCTGCTAATGTGCTTCGACCGTTACTTGTTCATCTTCAGAGCAACTGAGGCCTGGTTCAAACGTCGCACTTCTCGTGTGCCGAACCTAACTCTGTTTGGAGCGACACTTGAGCATGTTTAATGCGACTCCCGTTTCAAACGTCGAACTTAATCATGTCGCGCCAAATGGCTATCAGGATTGTTACATGAAGTATCTTGGTTAAAGCGCGCAATCTCAAATATTTGTTTGAAACGCATGCGCCCTCCAAGAAAGAAATGAATTTTGGGAAGGAAAATAAATTAAATATAATTAAGCATTGAGTTCGGTACATGACAAGTTCGACGCTTGAAACCGTGCCGTGCTGGAGCCGTGCAGCTCGGCAAGCTCTGCCGATCCAAACTAGTCTGCCGCTGATTCAGACGTCGCGCCCCTCATGTACTTAATTCTCGAGTTAGGTTCGGCACATGAGAAGCGCGACGTTTGAACCAGGCCTGAGAGTGTTGTTGTTTTGTTTGGCTGCTTTTATAGCTGAGAATTTAATAAAAACATTAATTAAGTGTTCATATGGAAGTGTTTCAGTTTGTTATTTTTGTTGCTGGGATTATTTTAGTTTAATTTGTGATTATTTTGTGATTATTTCGAAATTGAATCATAGATTCAAAAGTGCTCTCAAATAATATTTTGCGCAATAAACGTCGTTTGGACACGTGACGGTAAACCAATTTATAGGCTAAATTAAACAACAATATTTCATAAATTAAATGACAACCTATCATGCCAGTTTGGCAAAAATTTTCCAACATACCATATTAAAATTGAAAAAGAAAAATTAGCAGTTCAAGGGGGGGGGGGTGAATTCAGAGAAAAATTTGACCGTTGCAGATTTGCAAAGTAAAAAAGGTGCAAAAGTTTAATAAAATTGAAACAAAAACAGAGTTGTATTTTATGAACAGCAACATAAGCAAAATCGTGTAATTTCATTACATGGAAAAGTCCGAAAATATTATTTCTTCATTGAAATGGATCAATGGCAAATCCGTAGCGGGACGTCCACTGAGCAAAAACGCCATTTTCCATGTTTACTCGCAATACTATTTTATCGTTAGATACAATCGGTGGTATTCGAGTCTAATGGGTCATTTGATCCACTTCCAATTCCTCGTCAAACTACGAGCAATCTTAATGATCGCTTGTCTGTAAAATAATTGACATTATTCTAAAGTCAGTAGATAGCGAAGCTGCTGCTGTTGATTCCCATCGTTAATAGAAGACTGTCGTCCATAATTGATGTAAGATGAAATCTAATCCTGAACAACAGTATTTGGTCTCTTTAATTTCTAATGACAGGAGAAGTGGCCTTCGCAAAATCTGTCTTAGAGTATTATTTTGCAAGAAAACTGTCAATGAAAGGGAAGAAAACTTCACTTATATTGACATTTTTCAATAAAATATGCCTTCTGTGTTACCTGATTAGACTTCACAATAAAATATGAACTAAGACGATCAGCTTCAAAGTGAGTTTGCTTATTTTCTCAGTTCAGGCAAACCGCCTTTTTAATGAAAGTGGAAGATTTTGAAAAAATCCAACTCAATACAATTTACAGATTATTCCAGTATTGTGGTTCACTGTGTGGTGTAGTAGGTCGATAGGGGGTGCGATATGCTTTAAAGTTGTTAAAGAGAAATCAACGGAAAATTTTGACCCCTGAAAATTGCAACAAGACATCGGTCATTTGAAATGAAGGGCCAAAAATGAAGGACATTTACATACATGCTCTGTATCCCATACGTGTTGCGAAAAAAAGCGAGAGAAACTATCGCCTTTTAAGCTTTGGTAACCTAGCTTTTTCGCGGACCGATGGTCATCAACAAATAATCGATTATCCATATGATATAGAGTGGTACAATAGCCTATTGCTTAAAAATTGCTAACTTTCTCTGGTAAAAGCTCGTTCTAAAAAGAAAACGATTTTTCCTCTTTCCCCCTTTCTGCGCCATGGTCGTCCCAAAATGGTTTGTTTACACTTATCAGCGTGACGTTAATCGCTGCTTCTGTTTGTGACCCGAGATTTGCCATCCAAGAAGAAGGCCTTTACTGTCACTCCTAGCAATGCTTTAGCTCAGCTGCTCTGGTTTTTTTCTACTTCAGCACTCAACAGTCATACACACAACATTGCACCTCTCGCATATATATATATCCAGGGATGGCTTCCAGCTTTCATTGGGGCCCTCTTCCTTTTGAAAGCAAGCGGGCTTCAACATTTGATGTTTCAAGACTGAATTATTCAGTGGCAAGCTCGATCTAGTCTTATTCATAGATCAATTGTCTCGGGTCTTTGTCTATTGGCTCCATGGTTTTGTTCCTCAGGGAAGGTTCTTCCGCCAAAACACAAGAAATAGCTACCGGCTTTCGCAGAACACAGCAAACAAAAGTGAGCAAACCAGATTCGTGTAAAAGAGTCAAATATTAAAAGGCAACAATAAGCTGTGAACTGAAACCCCTATCAGGAGCGAAAACGAACGCGAAGTGAAAACCAATCAAAAGTGCGAAATAATCTGAAGTGAAAAAACTGCGTATTTCAAGTTTCTTGGGACGATTTAGTCAGATAACAAATATTGACTAGAAAAGTCACTTATGACGAGTTGATCTATGAGACTTGCCACTGTCCTGTCGTTACTATTCTTTTTAAATTATAGAAAATTAGACCCCTCAGATCAGACTTTTCATATTCGAAATTTGAATATAAGCACATAGGAAGAAACTAACTAACTTCCGCCTCCGGCAGTCTCGCAAAAATAACACACACACAACTAGGCCTTTGTACCCCAATTGATTATGTGATACGCCACTTTTTATAATTTGAAAAAACTCACAATTCATAAGAGATTGCTCTTCTTCATGTTTCTAAACTCTCTTTGTGCTCCCCAAAGTGATTTCCCATAAAGATTCTTTGGAAAATGCTAGAAAACACAACGTTGATAACAAAGCACCTTCGACTTCTGGCCCGGCTGGCCTTACTTTTCACAGCTGAAAACGAGATTGTGTGGAGGCTGAAGTCGAGGTCATTTGCAACAAAGGATCTTGACAAGAGTGGCCATTCTAGACAAACTCTATTTTATGGCATGGTGCAGGAATCTTTTTGTTTTACTAAAATCACGATGTTTGGATACAACGATTATATAATATACAAAGTGGAATCTAAATTAAGTTCCAAAAAATCCAAAAAAGTTATTTTACATTAAGTTATTTCTATTTTCAACATAATGTTGTCTGAAACGCAATCACCAAAGTTTTTGATGCAAGTCCAATGAGTGGAAGTGAAGAGTTGGCAAAAACTGTTATTGAAGAGGCGATCTTTGTTAATTAATTTTTTATAACCCATGAAGGAAAAGTAATTGGTATAGGTTACTGTTCACAATATTTTAGATCGCCGATCGCAACAAAGGGACAAGAGTCCTGGTCGATTGTGAGTTAAAAATTGAAGCGTCCAGATTGAAACCACTGGAACTTTAGAAAGAAATAATGGAGAGAAATTTTTAAGAGCCGGAAGAAACGTTAGTTCAGCCAATAAAGAAATCAAATTTCTTGGATGTAGAGGGTGAAAGAGAAGAAAGTGAAGATGAACAGGATATCTTGTTTGTTGACGAAGAAGGAGAACCAGAGCCTGCCAATTGATATGTATTGGATGTAAAGTAATTCTCTAATAACAATATCAAGAAAAAAAATTTTCTGCTATTTCGAAAGTCAATCGGTGTAAAGTGAGATTTTTCTAGCGTTTGAAAAATTCCGTAAGAAAAAATTTCAGTTTCAAAAAATTCAGTGGGACTAATTTTCGGTTGCCCCATATCAACAAATATAAATCCCACCGAAATTTTTTTGTAGATAATGTATCAAGCGCAGATGAACAGGCGACTTTTAATTAGTTATAATTACGTGAAAATTAACATAAATAATTAAATTAACATAATCACTCTCAAGGCTGGAAACTTAAACTGCGTGCTCAAGTTCAACAAAAATTCGAATTTTGCTGCTACTAATAAGAATTCAAGGTGATGTTACCAACGAGATCCCTGTTTAGAATTAAATAAGCAAAATCATCAATAAACAATTTCAAATGCTTAAAAGATACTTTGATGTTTATTGTCACAAATCCTGAAATTTGGGAAACAATTATATTCCTTGAAGATTTTCTTTAAGTCAATGCTTGCAAACAAGAACAATCTAAGCCTCGTTAGGGTGGTATCTGAGTAAGAGAATCATAGAAAGTAAATGGTGAATTGTGTTGCGAAGGAAAACAGATAGGATTAATCCCTTCGTCTTCCGTTGTCCTTCGCATTTCTCACTGCCTTTGACTACCCCTGGCTCTGGTATCAAGGGCAGATGGTAACAAGCCGTTAAGATAACCCATTCTTTTAAACTTCAAGTCTTGTTTTTTTAACATCACCAAAGATTTGTTGCGTTGCACCTTAATGAAGGGCAATGGAACAGGAACAATTTGTTGAAAAATTACCATTTGAAAAATTTTAGTAACTAAAGGGACTATCTTTAAGAGATAAAGCATCGACAAAGATGCATTTTTCTGTTGTGAGAACAAACACTTACAAGCATGCCATATAAGAATATGAAGGTGTTTTTATATCGCGGATCGAATATTATATCGTTATATTATTCTACGACAATTTTCCGAAATTATCTTTTTTACTAAACAATTGCTTGAAGCAAATTCAGTAAAGCCTAATGGTAGCTAATTACGCAGCTTGAATTGTATTGAGACTGTATAAAATGAGAGCATATTGATTTATTTACTCAGAAATTTTTTAGTAAAACTGGTGACTTTAAAATTGTGTTTAAAATGGCAAAATAAATCGCCATGGTTACAAAAGTGCTTCATAAACACATTTGCCAGCTGAATAAAGACAGCACTGTCATTACAAGCTTAGGAAAAGATAAAATATTCGTGTTAAATACTTAATGGATCTTTTAAAGTACTGCATTTTCATCAACATTCTAGAAAAAAATTTCAAGGAATAAGGGAGTCATTCCTATCAAATCGTGACAGACTGTGATAAAATGAATAGTGCTGAAATAATTTGTATTCCAAAGAGAATTCTCAAAGCTTCAAGAGCGTCCTCTCTTCAGCGATGTTCTTGCACCTAAAGCACCTTGCTGAAATTGTTTGGCGGCCCGTGAACAAAGAAGATTTCATATAGATTTGGGATAAATTGAAGAAATTTCGTTTGAGCAGAGCATCAAGGAAAGCTTCCGCGTTAAGAAGCAAAACATTTCAAAGCCTACCAACGTGCTTAAAATGTGGGATCATAGCAGTGAAACCAAAGTTTTAGCTTTGCTTAACAACAAGCTTAGAAAGATTGTTGGTGTAACATGACAAAGAGAACTTTTTCCGATGCAAGAAAAAATTTCTTCTTCTTCCAGTTTTTAAACACGAAGCAGGTTTTTTTATGTTCATAAGAATTCGTTGTGCTTTAATTTCAGCATAGAAGATATTATAATTCTTCGTCCTGAATATGTTTAGCTGACTTTCGATAAAGCTGTCTAGGTACTGAAAGTATCAAATGAGCTGAATAAACTATAAGATTACTCACAAAATTGAATGGTTCCCTCTTGAGTGCAACAATCGGAGACTCTGTTAGATATTTCCGCGACTGTAATTCACTTGTTATTTCTCAGGCTATACTCGTACTAAAAGCTATTAGAGACAGATCTGTCCCAAACTACCAATCAATATCATATCTTCTCTTCAGCGATTTCTCAGTAATGTGAGGCAGCTAGTGTTTGCTTGAATGAAGAATGGTTAGTCATATTATACAGATATGATACTCCGCATCTTATTATCTCGATTGCAGGTGCTTCATAGCGTAGAGTATTTCATATTTCCCACATGCAAAAATCTTATGTAACTTAAAAGTAACATCATGCTAAGCGTAAAGAATGGGAATTTCTTTGTTAAATAGAGTAGAAACAAATCTAATGGCAAAAAATTTGAAGTTGGCAGAGGGGAAGGGGGGGGTGGTTATGAAGAGTTCTACCTCAAAATTCCATCCAATACAGTTCTACCTTGCATGTGATTCTTTTCTTGTCATTCGGTCAGGTATTGGGATTGAAAACCGTACCAACATTTCTAAAAAACCTTGAACGTAACCGCTTCCTCAAACCAAGTCTCGGGGAGTGGTCAAGTTTACGGTAAGCTAAGACCCAAGACAAGGATCCTGCGACATATATCGAAAGCAGAGAGCTGTAGTTTAGCAAGCAAAATGAATCTTATAACTTGTTTTAATTAAATGTGATGATAAGGTTAAACAATATAATGAATCGAAGAATTTCAACGCCATGTTTTATTGACAATGCATACGGGGAAACGTGTAAATATTTATAACTAGGAATTTGAACAGCTATGTGCCTGTGTTTTAAAAACAACCCTTATAAGAAATACCAGGATGAGATTTGCTCAAAAAATAAGAACAACATAAGAACCAAGACAAGCTAAAATTCAACAATACTCAAGAAACAAAATACTGCCAAAAATTGAAAAATGAAAGAATAACAACAGAAAAAAAGCGATAAGTAAAACAGAATTAAGTACTTTATCAAGCACATGTTATGTCCGAACACTACTATGCACGAGAAATTCCATTAAAAACAAGAATCAGAATAAGAAACACGTTAGGGTGAAAAGATAAAAAACGCAAGGCTGAAACTGAGTGTTCTTAAAGAAAAAGCGCGTATTCTTTACCAGGGACGTCTGATGCATTGCGATGTTGGAGTCACAGGCGTAGGAGACAAGCTGGGACTGGATCCCAACCAATTAGGCAAAATTTGCCGAAAAGTAGGCCCATTCGGGCATTTTTATCTCAATGAAACAACAGTATTCGGGCAATACTATACTAAGCCAATTAATTATTGAGTTAGAGGGTGAATATGAAAGCCTTTATGCCGCTGTGATAATTACATTGGCGATCACCGCCGAATCTAAGGCTGAACAGTGAGTGCATCTTTGACGGGATTATGAACCATTCCTAGATTTAAGGTAAGTATATAATTGATTTTGTCTAAATTTGAAATGTCTAAAGCGCTTTGGGTGGGGAGAGGTAAAAACGTAATTTATCTGAATCTCGACACGAAATTTAGCGATCAATTGCGAAGTGTTTTTTTGTATTATTCTTTGCGATCGAACAGTGACGCCAATATAGGTTAAATAGCAACGCATGATGATGAACTGGACAAAAAATAAGGTGGAAATTCGCCTTGTAGAGGCGTGCAATGTTGTTTGTAGACAATGTGGTAATAACACGCTGAAATGGAGAAAATGGGCCTAATTCTAGCTGCAAAGCGATTTTGTTGTGAGAATCCTGTGTGCTGATTGGCTTAGAACATGGTAGCGGAAAGGGCTCTTAGCCAACCAAAGATTTGACCGCTATGCTTAATAAGCCCCAAAACGTGAAGCATCCGCTACGTGCATGGTTGGAGTGGGATAGTTTGGAAGTGGGTAATGTTGATTTTCAAAAAAAAATTTGGATAGTGTTGATTTTCAAAAAATATGGGTAATGATGATTTTAAAAAATATGGGTAATGTTTATTTTCACAAATATGGGTAATGCTGATTTCAAATATATGGGAACTTGTACCCCTTGTTCTGGTGATGTTGACTGATTTGATAGAGGAAGCTCGAAAAGAATCTCTACTGTATTTTATTCTAGAAATTAAGAAATTTATACAGTTCTTACTACTTAACACTTGATAAACTGCTATTCCTCTTCAAATAAATTACAACATTTCTACCCAATAAAGAAATATCACATTTTACAATACATATATTCAACAAAAAAGATAAAATTAACATACGATCTAATGTTTTCAATCTTATCTTAGCTAAAATTGATAAGCACCTTGGAAAAGTTTTACAATAACCGCGCAAGCTATGCAGGCAGTGTCATTTGGCGGATTGAACGTGTGAGAACATGAAACTAACTAAGAAGCTTTGCTCCCCAGAAAAACGGTCCAAAAAGGAGACAAATCGGTAGGGAATAAATAACAAGGACCTTGTAGCAATGATATAGGCATACAGCTGGGAAATGAGAAAATTTGGAATCAAATAGAGTTAAATCGTGTGTAAAACTTGGTTCTTACTAGGAACACCAGCAAAACACAAGCACAAGGGACAGATGCATTGATGAAGACGGTTCAACTTAAAGACTCATTGCTAACAATGGGCCTTTGCGAGCGTGGCGACGGTCCAAACTTCTACGAATTAACCAAAATTGATTTCAGACTGTCTGAAAATGCATTATGGGATGCAATGGCTCATTGTTAGCAATGAGTCTTTAAGCGTTTCTAAAATGAGGACATTCAAGACAAAAGAACGAATACTCTAGGAAATCAAACTAACAATTTTGTCTAGACTGTCCCCACTAGACTGTCTAGACTAGCGCAAAAGACTTTCGGTTGCATTTGTGGTTGTGTCGCTAGTGAGGAGCAAGGATAACGTGAAAGTAGAAATCGCTTTTAAAAAAGAAAACCACATCAAGGACCTTGCTATTATTGTTTTATAACACCAAATTGGTTCGAAAGCTTCACGTTGATATTAAATTGCTGAATAAAAAATGTTTAAATACTGCAACCAATGCAGAGAGAATATTCATAATTCATCATGCTGTGGACTTTGTTGAGCCATTTATAAGTCTTTCTACGTAAAATAGAATATACCTCAAAATTGCATTTCCCATTGCTATCTTTGACAAGATTCCCTCACTTGTTTCGTTCTCCTTCGACATGATTTTTTTCGTTCTATGCAGGAGAGCAAGTGTTGTTTTCTATAATGCTTAAAGCACTCCACTTTATGCAAGTAAATTTTATTGTAACACAGTTACTCTTATGCAATTCAAATGCACAGCATATTCAAGATAATGCTTTAATAAGCGGGATTCTATAAAATCTTTTCAAAACAAAAACAATAAAAGGTAGGAAATAAACTTCTTTCGGTATGGAATTTTCATATGCAATGAGATATCTTTTATTTGTTAATGCTTTTGTGGAAATCAAAAGGTAACTGTGTTTTAGAAAGGGGGGCATTGTTTCAACGAATTTCGATGGATCAAAGTCAATTAATAAGAACCAACTCATTTCTTCCTTTGCATAGGAACATAGCGTTAAGCAGGTCTTCTATTCAGGCGGTTTTTGGATGTAGCAATTAAAATACAGCTGAAGATTATAGGACAGGACAAACAAGACGAGCTTATTGCTAACAGTGTGCAAAGGATTTATTGCATAATAAAAAAGGACTGTTTAGATTAAGAAAATGAAGGCGTCGGGAAACTCAATGTCGTGAAGCTGCATATTTTTGTCATGGTTTGAAAATATTAGCACGTTAAATCAGACGCAATTCTAGCCAATTTTGATTGTTTATCTTGAGCGTTGACTTTCAATGAGCAGTGCAAAACGTTTGCTGTTTACGAGAAGGAAATCAACATCCAACGGAGCGCTACCTTTAAATGTCGTGTCATATCGCCATATGGCGTACCACAAATTGATTTTTGTTGCACACTTTCCCACCAAAAACTCTACAAGTTTATCTTTAAAAAAATAATCCCTTTTGTTCCTCTCAAGCTGCTGCAATTCATAAAACAAAACAAAAACAAAAAATGATTTTATCTGATTTAGAGATATTCGCTGGATTTTGGCTTTTCTATCGTATTCAAGTTTGTGTTGAATTGAATCGACGAAAATGATTTCAACTAATCTTTAGTTGAGTTGACTTAAAAGCCTTTGTTATGTCGGATTTTTAGAAACATATCACCTTGTATATTCTATTTTGAATTCTGTTTAATTAAGAAAAAATTTAAACACTCTTCCTCTTTGCATAAAATTATTTTGCAGACAAATCTACTTTTTCTTGTCACTTTGATAATCACAGTACGTAGACTATGACCATAAGAAAACTAGTCATACATTACTTCTATTTCCCAAAACCTAAATAATTGGGGACAACTAATGAACAAGAGAATGAAACGAGCACACTAAAACGAACTCGTTACCATTTGTTGGCAATTAAACCTGGCGTCCCATGCCGAACTTCTTGCCAGGACTCAATCCTCTATGAACCACCTAATAACACTTGCTTGAATCCCTGAATAATCGCAATATTACGATGAGGGTGCACCAAACTTCGTTTTACAAAGTACCTCCCACATCTCTCGGGCGCAGTAACCTTGCCAGGTATTTTCAAAGCGCGGACTTGCTATTAGTCCAAATCTTGCCCGAAAATACTCCTTATCAATCAACGCTGATCCTATTTTTAAATAACTACACAACTGTTGTAGCTTTCCACTGGTTCGCATTTTTGTCTGCAAAAGTATTTGCATATTCGTCTTTGCCAAGCTTCTTTTCAACCCCAAAGTCTTTCAGTAGCTCCGAAGCCCACAAACCGGCAGGTTCTACCTCTTCCTTATGATCAACAGGGCTGATGACGTCATCGCCATCATTTTTCCTTACAGTGTTACCAATAGATGCTCGTTCGGGCTTTTCTGTGTTTGTTTTTGCAGGATGGAAAACGAAAACATCGTCGATATCTGAAGAACTACGCCCGGACCCGCTATACTTACTAGCATGCTCTACGTCGATAACTTCTTCATTTGAAGATTGCCTCATTTCATCAAAATGTGGGTGCTCAATTTGCAGAAGCTTGCTCCGGCTGGCAGGTGTCAGGCATATATCCGGTACGGACTTGGACCGCTCGTCGGATCTTTGTCTTTCTCTAGATCTAAAAGATTAAACAGAGACTTAAAGAACTTGAGTATGTAGCTAAACATTGATTAATGGTCTTCAATTTGTGCAAGAACTTTAAGATCTTAAATAAGTACAAAGGATCTTCAAATCTAAAAGATGTCGACAGTGACCTTTAAAAATTTAAAAGGTGTTAACAGGGACCCTAAGATCTAAAAGATGCTGACAGGAACTTTTAGACTTAGATTTATTGACAATCTTAAACTTTTAACTGGGAATTAAAGGCCTTACTTATGTTAACAGGGACTTTGAAATTTAAAAGAAGTTTATAGGAACCATTTATCTTAAATTTGCCAACAGGGATCTAATAATTTGAAATATAACAACAGGGACCTTGTATGCAGGAAGCATGCAGGACCCAACGGATACCAGTAATGTCAATGACTTGAAAAAGTATTTAAACATGAAGGAATAAAGAAATTTTAGTCTTGATTGTCTTGATTGAGATCAAAATTGAAGTCTTGATTGAGAGGCAGTTGTCACGAGACAGGAGTTGCATTGCAGGTGAACTTTTTAACATAAGATCAGTTACCAGAAGTGGTTTAGCCGTAAAATTTTAGGAAGCAAAATGCAACAGTTGAAAAAAATCAGAGCCCCACTCTCCTTTTTCTTTAGAAATATGAAAATTATACCATACAAATGTTGAAAAACATAAACATAACATCTGTTTTTGATTACATGGAATCGTCAACGACAGGACCTCCAAACTAATGTTGCCTAGCTACCATAAGCATGCCAAGAGCGATATCTTCATATGACTTTCACCATTTTCATACTTAGTCGAACCTAGGTTGGGGCAAGTCTAATGAAAATTTAGCAGCGAAAATTGTTTGGAATTTAGCAGAGTCCGGACAATTTTACAATTCCAAGGTTGTAAGCCGGAGGAAGGGTATCCAAAGATACAGTAGGTTTGAGAATCTAAACTCCACAACCATAAAGGATTTTAATTTAATTCAATTTCTAAGAACCTTTTGTACAAAAGATGTAAAGAGAATTTTGAGGAAGACGAAAAAGGCAAAATTTCATCCCGAGGAAGGTTGTGGCGTTTTCTGAACTCTGTTATGTAGAATTATGCTAATATTTAAGAAGCCTAACCCTTCAATTTGTTTGAAACAGTAGCATAACTCTGCAGCAAAAAGTTCAAGAAGCTTTACGGCGCTATGCCGCGTTATTCCTCCACTGCACTACTGGTTTCCAAGCTAACATTGCACTTATAGCATATGCCTATTCGGGGAGCTGCTATTTCACTACCATAAATCAGATGCAGACACAGCTATCAAAACTACTATCCTGTACATTTCAAGAACGGAACACTTCGTGTGATAAAATAGTCACTTTATCCCTAAATCTTGTGCCTGACCCACTTATTTGTTATTTTACTACCCACTTATCAGTTATTAAAACGTATCATCTTGTACCTGTAACTTTCTATATTTTCTATATTTTTTGTAACACTTCTTATGTATTATCATTATAATAAACATAACAAGTAGCGTTTGGAGTTGTTAGTCTATTTGCGTGTAATGGCCATGGGGTTGTCATTGTCATTTGCCCCCCGTGGTATCGTACCTGTAGCATCGTAGTGTAATAAGATAGTATAGTAGAATGTAGTTTGTATCGTAGTATTTTGTCTGGATAAAATAAAGGCCATCAAAACAAAATACACTGGCTCTGTAAACTGAACACATAAGATGGCTTATATGTTGTCAAATCTACTCCTCACCAGCACAGACTGATCAGTGACACGAAGTTAGGGCAATTAAATGACAATCAATATTATTTTCTGTCTACATCAGTGATAATAAAGCTTAAAAGCAAGCTAAAACTGTCTACAACAGCAATTCCAAAAATTATGGCGGCCTGGTTATTTTTAACAATTAGACACTGTCAAATCTAACTGACACTGTCAAACCCAGCCTTGAATTGGTTGTTTTTCCGAGGGAAGTTTTGAGTTTTGTTAGGAGGAAGCTGAAACACATTCAAGCACTTTGTACAAATGAATGAACTCTGCTGATCGAAGTATTTTTCAAAAGCCTCAAAAGACACACAAAACATACTTACTCGGAGTCTCTAGCTTTTGAAGCGTGCTCCTTCGAATCTTTTTGATGTTGTGTTCTATCCTTATTTCGAACTTTTCGAAACGATCGTAGAATCGATTTCTACGAAAGAAGAAAGACATTTAAGCTAAGCAATCTTGCAAGCGTTGCCACAAGCTAGCTAAGAGAAGGAAAACTTGATATTTGTGTTTTCTATGTTTGTAAGAAGACTGAAAACAATAAGAAAATGTACACCTGAATATTGCAAGTTAATGTGCTTGATAAATCGGTAGAATAATTTCTAATGGGAATATTCCTCTCTGTCTTTTACTGCCTATTGCTTTTGCAAGAAATCTTTATAAATTCATCTAGTTCAAGACAGTAACTTTGAAATGCGGTTAGTTTCACGCATATTTGAAAAAATGATTAGATTGGAACAGTATGTGGATCAACAGAAAAATGATTTCCGCGGATATGTTAACTATTTTCATGTCAGGATGATGGTCTTTGATCTTTTGATTTTTTACTTTTCTTTACAATCAAACACGATCTTGTCTTGCCTATCATTTATTTAACTTTTCATGGTTTATCGAAAATGAATAAATAAGGATCAGGAGTAGAAATTGTAGCGGCATAAAAGCCCCCTATGTAGATTAAATTTTTTTGAAAAATCAAGATTTCTTTGTTAACTTTGAATAAGGTTTTCGCCTTCTTTTATGACCGAGAGGGAGGAAAGTTAAAGAAAAGATTTAAAGTGCTTAAAAATGGGATAAATTGTCTTGGCAATAGTCACTGCTTCGTTCATTTAGACCCAAAATAACTGCTCTGGCAAGATTTTTATTATATCTTCTGAAGTCAAATCAATTTTTGTCGGTTGAGTTAACATTATCGCTCCCCCATAAAAAATGTCCAGTTTCCGCCTCTGCTTCGTAAAGGTTGCTTTATCAAGAAATTAATAATCTATGGAGGGACACGATTTCAAAGACTTTTCTATCGAAATCTGAAGAACTATGTTTGATTCCATCAAAAAATGCTTTTAAATTTATAGTTTCGGGAGTATGTGAACAAACATATACCAGCCCTAGAAATTTTGATAAAGGTCCTCGATTAATGACTTAGAAGGCCCTTCAGAGTAACTCCAGTTCCAAAACACCCTCTCTATACTTCTTCCTGGTGGATTACTATTTCTAAGTAAAGTTGTTCTGAAAATGGTTTAGAAAGCATTTTAAATTGCAAATTCATAATATCAAATATCTAACTTGATATATTAAAGATGAAATTTTATGTAGTAGAACGATATCTGTCAGACAGAATAACAGTAAAAAATTAACACCTATTTACCGTTCGAGATTTTGAAGGATTGTCCCGCTCTTTTTTGTCTGCCGCCATTTTCTCCTCTAAATTTTCGTGTCTAAAGCTATTCCACGATCTTGACACTGACTGCTTGCTCATTGCCGTCAAGTTTGCTGTTGTCGCCATGACAAGAGCATCCACTTTTGCACCGTCAGATGCTACAAAAATTACATATATCAATTGATAAAGTGAGGGTTTTGTTTTCGTTTTCTGCCATGTCTGCTTGTCTGGTACGTAATGAGAGCTAGCGTTTATGGACCATCTCATGAACACGAACCTTTGCAGATGGCTCAATTAGAATCAATTTATAATTCTTCGTAAGCTAAAGTGAGAATCTACAAAGAAAGCTCGTGATCATTTTCTTCAGATTTTGAGGACATGTATAGAGTAATTGTCCCTTTTTTGTTAAGAGCAATCTTAAAATGATCCACTGATGATTCATGCAGAGGACAAGCACAAAAACGGTAATATAACACAATTATTATATCGTTGACTTGATTAAAAGCGATCGACAGATACAAAAGGGGCTTAGGCCATCTGTAAGTAAAAGAATTGACCAATCAGTTAGTGTATTTCCAGCCACACGCTTATTGATTGGCTAGTTTTGATTGACAGATGCCTGAAGCCATTTTCATATCTGTCGATTGCATTTAAGCGCTCTCCCAATATTATCAGTATGCCCAATATTATAATGAACAAGTTTAATGCATACAAGAAAATGTGCAACAGAATAAACTTAGAATATTGGGACTGTTGGAAAGAAGGTATGAATACATACTGCTTTGGTTGGTTCTCAAGGCTCCTGAAAGAAGAATACCATGTTAGTCTTCTATCAAACATTGATAAATAGTTAATACAAACCAAGCTCCAACCAAAGTCAAAGTTTGTTGGTTTAATCAACTCTTATTAAAAGGACTTGTAACTACTGTGAATCGAATACATAAACTTGTATAAGAAATATCTTCAGCGCTTGTGTTCTTGACGCATTTATTAGAGGTGATAGTCACACAAAATGCTTCTTGAATAATAGTAACTGCAGGCAGGAAAAACTTTTCATAACAGTCAAACCCGGTTATAGTCACTCTGTTTAATATACCACGGCTGGGTACATTCGTATTTTAAAAAAGATTCATTTATAATCTGCTTTCTGTTTTCTTACATTGCCTGCAGTTTGAAAAATTACATAATTTTCATGTTTGGCAGGTTTTCCATTGAAAATGTCATACAAGAAAACGACATATTGTTTGCGATCTCAGCAATTCATTTCTGATCTTTATTTGCAGTATGCTTAGATTATCAAAATTGTTGAAATGAAAATGTAATGTACGGTTGAGGATAATTTCACCATGGTTTTTGGAATTGTAAACAATAATATATACATTGATTGTATGAAAAGTACATTTAAGTACAAACATCGAAGATACCAAATACTGTAATGATTACGTACTTTGTACCCATGTGGGCATATCTGATTGAGCATAGTGACCAGGCTTCTTGCCGCTGTAATCTCTGGTGTTGATGTCTGCATCTGATGTTTAAGTGATAGCATTAACGACTATGCATTTCATTTTATCATTTCTACATTTATATATTTTTGACATAGACATTTGTCTCGGTCTCTTTAAAGGGATAACTGCTGTTAAACTTTGCAACAAAAACATAACAAATGGCGATTACAATTATAACAGAAAATGATCAACTGGAATCTCCATCACGTAAAAATATCTTTAACATAAAACTGCTCATTTTTGGACAAATTTATTCAAACAATCTTTTGGTGGTACAAAATTTGTCAATGGCTTTGAAAAAAGCAAACATTTAGTAAACTAAAGCTTTTCGTCTGACACTCTTCAGAGTTTAAAACTTCAGAACATAGATCGAAAACTCTACGCTAAAAAATATATATACCCAGTTGTGGATCGAACTAGGCCAATCAGAAACACAAGCACATGACTGTATAGGTTGACCAATCAGTGCCGCTTGCCTATTGAGAACGTTACCAATGGAGTCCTAAGGTGAAAACGAACTCCTTTTGTCTACACAGTAGCGGTTTTTCGTGCTTATGTAGATAGATTCTTTACCAATAATCCGAAACATGTCGCCATTATAGTTTTTTGCACAATCTGGGTTTTCTTGAAAAACTTGAAAAACTAACTAAGATCTCTCTGGAGAACGGCTATCCAAAAGATGTTATTTCAGTTTACATTAAGGAGAAGATAGGAAATTTCTCGGCTGACGTAAAATTCGGTCCTCAAAAGTGCCCGGTCTATCTAAAACTACCCTGGATCGGTAACAGCTCCCTACGTTTTGAAAGCCAAATAAAACAGGCCATTACAAATTGTTTCTTTGCGGTCAGCCCACGTGTTGTTTATAGTACGAGAAAGGCCCTTCCGTCCATTCAAAAGGACTGCGTTCCTGCCACACAAAAAAGTTCCGTTGTATATGAATTTACGTGCCAGTGTGATTGTGGCTACGTAGGACGCACCGCCCAAAGATTGGAGGATAGAATAAAACAACATGTTCCGTCTAATATTAGACCCATCCCCAAAGAGAACAGCCACCTCGGTCTTGCAAATCTAAAATTACAACGAAAACCTGCGATTCTGCTATCGGGCAGCATTTACTAGAAAACCGAGATTGTGTAAAAAGCTATAATGGCGACATGTTTCGGATTATTGGTAAAGCCCGATCGTCGTTCCACCTAGCAGTTTTAGAATCTATCTAAATAAGCACGAAAAAACCGCTACTGTGTAGACAAAAGGAGTTCGTTTTCACCTTAGGACTCCATTGGTAACATTCTCAATAGGAAAGCGGCACTGATTGGTCAACCTATACAGTCATGTGCTCGTGTTTCTGACTGGCCTAGTTCGATCCACAACTGGGTATATATATTTTTAAGCGTAGAGTTTTCGATCTATGTTCTGAAGTTTTAAACTCTGAAGAGTGTCAGACGAAAAGCTTTAGTTTACTAAATGTTTGCTTTTTTCAAAGCCATTGACAAATTTATTGTAAATCAGTTACTGGTTAGTCGATTTTCAAGAAAAAAACAATCATAAGTCCACGAGTTAAAAAGAGCTTGACATCAAAGGTGAATAATATTGAGTGAAGATGTCATGAACTCTATTTCTTAAACTTTTTTACATTGGATCGCATAATTTGAAAGAGCACTGTTATGAAATAGTACTAATGTTGCAAAATCAGCTAAATGATTTAGAAAAAGATTCATCCAAATGAGCACAAGCTATTTTCTTACCATTTACTGTTCATCAGTCCTGGTTCCACAAACCACAATTTTACAATACTACAGGTCTTCACTGTCTCATGCCATTTCGCAGCATATTTGTGTACCCATTTCATATTTGTTACAGACTTCTCTTAATTGTCACATTCAGAACTAGTGGTAATCTTTTAGGTTGTATAGCCGAAAATAAAAATACTAACAAAACAGAATATGTAAAGAATACTGTTCAAACTTATCATTGTGCATGTTTCTCACCATAATCAGTGATCAGGATATCAACAATCAGCGCCTTGCAATGCATCACAGCAATGTGTAAAGGTGTATAGCCCTGTCAAAACAATGGCCTGTTACTCACAGTGGCAAGTTCAAAGTTTCAATTACGTCACAAAAGAAGAACATGGGATGCAAATTAGAGAAAGTGGTGCGTTAGGATGTTGGCTTCATTTGTTTTTTAATCAGAATTTTGTATAAAGCCAACAGCTTTGAATAACTGGCCTAAAGCTGGTCGATATGCAGAATTGCTATGACATAACAGTTTTCAGGACAAATGCTATGGAATCAGCTAAGATATAACGGGACAAGTTACTGTTTTTTGTAGAGTTTCGTAAGGGTCTACCTACCACCAAATCAATGGAATTTTAACCAATTAAGATTAAAAGAAATTGCTAATTCATTATAAGAATTATCACCGTCATAGAAAATTATTCTTGTCAAGTGATAGTAAAATTCAGATAATAAAAGGAATGTATTACTTACTCCCTAAAAATCCCGCAACGAAAGAGAAGTTCAGCAACAACATTGGAAAGAAAAAATGACATATGATTAGCTAGATATTGATAATGTATGGCATATTCTGATCTCTAAATTACTTCCTGGAATATATATTGAATAATTAAGACAGTTTGTTATCTTAGTTATAAAGTTCTAGTCAAGAGCACACTATGTTTAAACTTTTGGCTGAACTTTAAAGATAGAAAAATAGAAGAGGGGAGGGGGAAAATGTCACAAAAACTCGAAAATCAAGATTTAGCGGAACTTGCAAAGTCGCAAAATAATGTGAACGGAATTAGATTGTATTCTAGATAACGAAAGAAACTTAAAACTATTAGAACTAGAGTAAAAAACCTTGCTTTAAGAAAGTTGAAAGTCGTTAGAATTAAAAGTCGCGATAAGTGAGGCAAGAAATTGTTACGACAGAAAAGTCTCAAAGTCGCGATATTTCGCGAGCGTTCCACCGAGAATTCTTTTAAATCGATTTTCTAGTAGCATAAATTCAAAGATGACCATGTAAAAAGCAAACAATTTAAAGCATACTCCTTCTCGCAACTCTTTCCATTAAAAGATATTATCTCCGAATCAACGTAGAATCCAGATAGATCTAGATACTTATTATAGATAGTTGAATATATAAAATAAATGCAGAACAGTGTGATGTTCTTATTCTGTTGATATAATTTGTAGGTAATGTCCAAAAACTTACATTCTGTTTGTGTGAAGGCCAAAGATCAAGCATAAAAGATATCCAACATATAAGGAAAAATAAAAATTTCTATTAGCCAATGAAATCAAACAGAAATATCTATATATTCAGCAAAAATATTGATTTTAGCTAAATTTTTTGCTACGGACATTAATTAGACATATTTATGGCTGATTATATTTTGAATATTGCAAATAGAATATTTTTATTAGGTTTTACATTGTAGCGTTTTTTAAAGGACCCCTCTAAAGCAGTCTCAACAGACTGACGGTGCTACCATGGATAAATAATATGTCATAAAATGAAAAGTTAAAGGACATTATATTTTGGTATTATGGACACAATTGCTGGACATCCCAACATAGATAACTCTTCTCCGGGAAAGTTTTCCTAAGATTACAATCGGAAAGAAGAGGCAGCACTCTAACGTTAGTGAAAGAGCGCTTCCATGACGGGCATTATATTATTTTAGCATAAATACTTCTGTTCCTATTTTGATAAAAGGAGCTGCTTTGATAAAGTTCCTATACATCTACGAGTACATTCCTCTACATCTCGTAGTTTGATGGATCAGATCCGTTTAAGTCCTTCAATGCTACCTAACAATTGGTCCTGATGACAGATGCAATAATATTGAGGAACGTGATTGAAAGGAAGGAAGAAGTCTACATCAGACTGAAACTCAAAACACTAGTTAAAGTTCGAGATTCGTTATTGAAGACCACAGCCTTACAAATGCTTCGGTAGTCCTAAGAACCTGAACTCACCGTTTTAATGTTGACGTCAGCACCAGAATCACAAAGCCAGTGAAGAAGCTCCGATTTTCCCTCTTTTGCAGCCCAGTGCAATGCCGTCTGTAGGGAAGATGTTGATTTAATATTCCATGATTGCTTTTAAGAAATCACTAAAATTCTGGAAGGTTTTACGTAGATCTCGTTTCCTACGATTATGATTCATGTAAGTTCAGATTGATTTCAGATTGATTTCAAGTAGAAGAAATGACTATGTTCAAACTTACCCTTATCATTTCAAATTCAAATTATTGATTCAAATCATCTTGGAATAAATAAAAATGACTGATAATAGAGGGGACTTGTCCTTAAACCTATTAAGGCACCGATCGGCGATCACGGGACGACGATTAAAGTCATAGAAATTGTTGATCCCTGATTATATATCCTATATTATTTTTGAAATACGATAACAAACTTTCAACGTGGTTGAAAAAACTAAGAATTAAGAATAGATATTATACTCACATACTATTTATTCCATCAATTTGAAGTTGCAAATGTGATGTGAGCATAGAAGGAATCAGACAAAAATTGTTGAGTAAATAAAATGGGAGAAAGTGTACATGCTTGTGGTAATATAGAAGTATATTTGAAAATCAAAATGGTACGATTCAGTAGCAGCTTGAAACATTTCACTTTAAAAACATTTGTGATATCTTTTTTTTACAATTTTAAATATTCTTTGTGGTGGTAAAATTCTTTAACAAAGAGGCCTTAATAATTTGACGAAATCGCTGCTCGGTTTCCTTTAGTAATTAGCAATGTTCTCAGTTTTCAAATAAAAATCTAGATAGCCTGGATAGTTAGAAGTACACTAAACCAATCCATGTGTCAGATAATTTTTGGGATACAGTAGATGTTGCAGTTTGCCTGTGATTTAAAGTTTTTTTTCTTCTCCCTCATATCAAAACCAAATTTTTCTGTTAATAATATCATAAAATCTACCAGCAAAAAAACATAGGTTCATCAGATATGGATTCTTTGAATATCATAAAATTATGCTAAAGAGTTCTACTGTGAAAATGCTCATGGAAAAGTCGAATAATACTCACGCCCTGTGGAATTGTCATCGCCATAATCAAGAAAATACATCAACATGAAATAGAATTGAAAGAATGCTTGTGAGATTAGGTTAAGAAAATCACAAGTGGTTCGAACTTTTGTAGTTTTGGTAGTTTAAATTATAAACAAAAGTTATGATGCTCCAGGGCACTGTTAACATAAAAAAAGCACAAAAGTTTCTAATGCGTTTAGTAATATACATCTTTATGACATAATAATAATACGCAGTTGTATAAATAAAATAAGTAATGATATAAGTAACATAAGTGAGTAATAATATCACAATAAAAAAAGCTGCAACGGAGAAGGCTTTTCATTTATTGTACAAATATTTTGCTTCATTGAGATATTTAAGAAGATAGCTGCAGAAATTTAAGAATTTGAAGCCATTATTTTCATAAGGTTGCGAATAACTGCTTAGAACAATTTATTTACTTGTAGGTTGAAATTTCTAAACGAAAATAAATTTAAAATCTTCTTTTCTATAATGCACATTCAACTACTTCAAAAAACAAGGAATCTTTACACTGTTGGAAATGAAAAATCTAAGATCTTTAGATAAAAAAATAATCCTTCAAACATGAAAGCCAATAAAAAATGATTTTAGAGTGATTTTCGCGTTTTAGCGTTATATTACAACCATGAGAAAGGAGACAAAAATGAAATAAAACCTTCTCACCATGACAAAGTCCTGCAGAAGAGAAAAAAGATTTTTGATAAGTTTTGGAGATGGAGAATTGGTAAAGCATGCGTATTGATTAACAGGGGTAATAGGAACAACGACGAGTTAAGCGTAATCTAAGAAATACATTATATTATGCAACAGTACACATTTATTTTGAAACCATTTTTGCGAAGAAAGGCTCAAATCTATGCTACGGTCTCCTTTCATCACGAAAGCGTTGTAAGAAAGAAACATACAAGCAAATTTGCGTGTAAGTCGTGTTTGCTAAAAAAACTCTACTCATATAGATAAAAAGTATAAAAGCCGATAAAATACGAGAATGGATACTATTCTTAAATAGTATCACAGTTCCAGTTTATGAACTTCCATAATCACAGTTCATAAATAGTAAATTTTTACAAGTTCAAATCCAAAGTTTATCCCCGTATGGCAGCCATCAAGAAAATAAGTACGATAAAAAGTTGTACCCTGCCAGTATTATTTCTGAATCTCAGAGGCTAAACATATCCAAAATAATGGGTTGCTTATAAGTAGCACCTAGATTGTGGTTTGTGTGAAGAAAATATTGCCCCTACGTCGATCACCTCGTGCGATTTTTCATTCTCTTGCGGTAATAATGTAAGAGCTTTTCTAGAGCTCAATCGACATTTGTAATACGAACCATAAACTTTCAGATGGTGAGCGAGTTAGACTGTTAGATGTAACTCTCTCAATCTATGTGGTGCCTAGGGCTATACTTTTTCACCAGTACATGGGGGGGGGGGAGATTTAAGTAAAAAATATATCGATGAGTTTTCTCTTTTCCCTTCAACTTTGGCAAATAGGCTGCTTGAGCGAAAAAAAAACAAAATAAATAGTTAACTATCAAATAAAAATACCTTTTTGTCTATAAACCCGCTATTGGCAGCAAAGAGGTCTTTTAACTTTCCCATTTGACATTGTGAAGAATACAAAAACCACTCTTTTTCCGAGATATTGAGCTAAAATGGAAAGACTCTTTCTTTATTAATCTTGCTGATAAACGTTTAAAAGAAGGCACAGGGGAGAAAGAGGAGGAGGGAAAAGGAAGAGGGGAAGGGGAAAGGGAAGAAAAGAGACGAAAAGGGGGAAAAGGAGAAGAAAAGGGAAGAAAAGGAAAGAAAGGAAAGAAAAGGAAAAAGAGAGAAGAAAGAAAGGGTTGAACGCAGAGAAAAGGAGAACGGGGATAAGGGGGTTAACGACGAGAAGAGGTAGAGGGGAGAAAAAGGAAGGGGAGAAACAGAAGAAAGAGGAGAAAGAAGAACAGGGAAGATGGTAAAAAAAGAGAAGGGGAAGTTGGAGAGAGGGGGCGAAAGAGGAGAAAGAGGACAAAGAAATGAAGGGATAGAAAGAAAAGAAGAGAGAGGAAGAGGAGAAAGGGGATAAAGAAGAAAAAGGGAAGAAAAAAGAGAAGGGGAGAAAGAAAAGACGAGAGAGAGCGAAGAGAGCAAAGAAGAGGGAAAAGAAGAGAAGGGGAGAGAGAAAAGAAGGGGGAGAAGGAGGAGAAGGGGGAGAAAGAGGAGAAGGAGGAGAAAGAAGAGAAGGGAGAGAGCTGGAGGAGAGAAAGGGTCTATTGCATAGAAAGCATTGCTTTTATTGTTCAAATCTTTAACAAGTTATCTCTCTATGTAGACAGCAAGGGCTACGTACTTCTAGAATATACAGCTCAAAAAAATCTGTTTGCATGAAATCAAATAATCATTTATCTGTTAACGTAAAACCACAGCTCTATAAATTTCTCTAGGAAAAGCCTTAATAGAAACTCGAAATAAGCTTCTACAATGAACAATATTATCTACAATGAACAATAAAATTTTAGGCGTAGTCTTATAAGCATTATTAAATTTCCTCCTTTGTAATTTAGAAATAGAGATACATTATTGCCCTTTTATCAGTTTCCTCAAAAACGCAATCCCACAATTGACCGATAACCAGCCTTTTCAATTGCGTTAAGTTGGGAAAACAAATCGGATTTCAAGATTTAAACGATTTCACTGTAAATTTGAGGTTATAATCTCCCAAGCCTTTGCATGGGTTTATTTATTATGTTATGTGTTTGCTTCGATACAATGCTAGCCTAGGACCAATATTGAATTACCGTAACAACATACAGTTAAACTTCAAAATTTTCCTTTTATTGAAATCCAAAAAAACTGTTTTATTTGCATTTCCATTTTTTGGTGTCTTTTACTTAAATACAACCAAACAACAAAAAACAATCGCCTAGATTTAAGTCACCATTTAATTAATCTATCATACTTTTTATGATAGCTTTGAATGTCGTGATTTACGTAAAAGTGAGGTAAAAAAGAGAGAGGAAAGTGTCAGCCACAATAAAGCTTAACAAAAAATTGGACAGGTTGAGTTCCACGACAAAATTACAAATCATTGCAGTCAGTAACAGGGGTTGCGAAGATCAGAAAAACAAACTTTTCAACACTCCCTTTCCGTCACCACACCATGTCATCATTTCAAAGATGATAAATTTTCTGGGCTATCGTAGAAAATTCTGTTTTGCAGTTTGTAACCGATCAAAAACTAGAGTTGTTACTAACAACGGTGATATTCTGCAAACTATGTGCTCCACCCTGCCTTATGAAATTTGGCTAATATTCATTGACTACGATTGAAAATCACACAATACAACCTAATCATATGCAGGTTGATATGTCTCGATGCAAACCTGCCCCGTCATTATCAACATGAGCGTTTATTCATGGTTGACCACTGAGTTCCAGTGAAACATAGCGATTAAACGGCAACACCCTCAGTTCATTCGCGGCTCTACTCTAAATAGACCTGAATACTATATTGGCTGACCTTGATTGCAAGGTTTGACATAAGACGAGGAAGTGTTGGCCTGTTGACCAACGTATTCGACAGAACGCACGTGTGTAAATCAGATTCGACGTTATTTAATAACTAACCATCAACCAGCGTAAAACCATTGAGTTTCAATTTTATTACAGACAAAGAAAAGAAAAACTTGAATTAATGGCTGAATCCTCTGGTTTCAAAGAAAGCATATGAACAACGAAAACACTATATCAGTCCACTTTTTGTCTGACATATACATAATGACACAAAATAAAAAACAAAAACATTCAACTTTATCATCTCATTGGAAGAAGTTAAAACTGATGAGCTACAACTTGGCATCAATAAGGCAGCTAACATGCCTGCTAATCAGGAAATGAATTTGCTAGCTTAGAAAGACCAACGAACATTGGTTGAAGAAGTAATTTCAAAGTAATACATAATGCGGAATATGCGGTATTTCTCTGATAAAGAATAATAATCGTCGACATCCTTCTAACCTCTCCTGAGTCTGCTTCGACACAAATCAAGATTTTTTGAATTCCTACACTTTTCGAAAGATTTCTTATTGGAAATCGTATATTGAGATTTAATGATTCTAACACACCTAAATAAATATGATTTTCCTGATATGGAGCTTAGCAATTCCATGCATGCTGTAGAATCTCTTTAATCAGGATTTCTATAGTGTATCTGTTTCGTTTCTGGCTTATTGTGGCTATTCAAGTTTGCATTAGAACTTATCGTCATTTTGTTAGGCCTATCTTGTCACCACAACAGAAAACTTACCACCACAAGTCAGTGAAAAATAGTCTCGAACATAGTCTCGACATATAATATCAGACTCAGATTGAGATTTCCACTTGAAAATAAGATGATCTTTCTTTTCGTTCTGATGATTTGTAACGAGTGATTTTTGTGAAGAAGTTGATTGCTTTAATTTAGCCTAGTGAGTACATTAGGAGACCTTCAACGTAATATTTGATGAGGATATATCTATATCACAGAATCTGTGTGTATGTGCTTGAAAAATGTCACTCACCGGTAATGGGGACCTAGTACTGCAGACACTTATTGAACTGACGTCGCTGCAACGTCTGAAAGACGTGCTTGCCTGGCTCGATCTCCGTGAAGAACAATTTGAACCATTGATCAGGATTCTATCCAGATTTCTTATTACTTCGTCTTTTGTCTGCATTTTGTACATATTGATACTAATGCCAATAACAGGTCATTGATCCTTCAATTATTCTTGTAACAATCCTTTACAAAATATTGTGATCATGGCTTAAGGAAACAGCAGCGTCAGTTCAAGCCAACGGGACGAGCTCATTCCAATAATGCAAATTGTTCGAATCGATCAATCGACACAGCGCTTTAATTGCACTTTAGCGCATGCCAAATCTTTTAGCGAGTAAATCTTAGTTTCAATTACAACGACTTCCCCGACGGTGGCTTGCGTATTTATTCATACAGGCCGCTGGTTTTACCGGGGGAATAATGCTCCTTGATTAAGACAAGTAGACATTATATGGATTCAACCCAGTAAGAACTTAATTGGCTATCACTTAGATTTGATTGCAGAGAAATTTCCAAGTATTGCCGTATCATTGGCATCTATGTCACACCATGAAACAAACTCAAGGAACATGGATTCTTTATTAACTCAGCAATAATAACACGAACTCATAAATTGGCTCAAATCAAAAGCTTTTATTAGAATGAATTTCTTTCAAAGAAGAAGAAATAGAAAATCAGATTTGACACATTTAATTTGAAACTATCTCAAAGAGATCGGAGACAGCAGAACAATTCACAATATGAGGGGTTGAACAAACAAATAGAAAGCAAAGCTTTATTGTTGATGACGTCACGAAGGATTAATAAACAAAAATGGACAGGGAAGCCAATGGATGTTTCCTATACTTTAATTCTTTGTATTAAGAACTGTTATCACCTCTTGAGTGCCACGAAGAAAATCACAGAGGACCAAGCCACATATATATATTCTTACATATAAGACCATGATCACAGACACTGGACAAGGTTCAGAAACCCCCGATATAATAGAGAGAAGAAAAGATATGGTCTTGTTGAACGACAGATTAAGGATTGAATAAAGAGCACCTGTCATTCATAGCACCAAAGCGATTGCGTCATTAAATATTAATGTCACCTGACCATTGCCATCCCAACTTATATGATACGGCTAACATCCTCTTTCACATATAAACAATTACAGCCACTGTCCTAAGGCAATAGATTAAAGTCAATACAAGTCTAATTTTGATCAAATAGATTATATTAAACAAGGAATTTGAGCTTATTGACAGCTCTAACTAAGCTAGGTGCACAGTATTTAATAAAAATTAGCTCTTACTCTTTAATATTCTATAAATCTTCCTTTCAGACACGCACCTAGATTTTGCACTCTTTTATAATAATGACAGGCACTATGTCCCGACGCATTTCGCTGGCCATTTAATTTTCCCATTGGTTGGACTACACAATAGACCTATTGTTACGTATCCAATCAGCTAATTCTCAATATTGTTTTATCATAAACACGCTGCGAAGTTTATCGTTAACTCTGAACGGTTGGCTGGCGTGAAATAGTGCCTTTAGGAAAAAAAGATACCATTGATTATGTTGAAGTCAATGGTTAACCATCAAAGAAAACATCTAAAAAAGGTAAACATCTTTTTATTTCACGAACCACTAAGCTTTAGGTGTGACAGAATTCCAAGATTATGACGTCAGAAGAAGAATGTACTTTTTCAATTTGATCACTTAAGTTTAAAGAGCATTAATGCTTTAAAGAAAAGTTCTTAGAATAGGGGAAAACTTATTAATGTCCTCAACAACTACACAATCAATGCTCCTTTATCAAAAACGTAGGTAAAGGAGCACAATTAAGCACGTGCCCTTTCCCGTTCATCAGATATTCTCTGATCCGGGCAATTTTTATCTTTACATTCAAACAGCCTCTTTTGGAACCCTGTCACGGAGTTTGAAGTCAGTGACGTAATAAGTAACTTAGATGCTAAAAAGTCAGCTAATGCTTATGGTATTCCTATCAAACTAGTCAAACTAATAAAAGCTGGTATTGTTGGTCCATTAACTTTATTAATAAACGAATCATTTACCACTGGCTACTGTCCCCAAATTTTGAAGTATGCTAAAGTTATACCAATTTTTAAAGCCGGCTTCCCACTTGAGGTAACGAATTATCGCCCAATATCACTTCTTCCAATTTTTAACAAAGTAATTGAAAAACTGATGTTTGTGCGAGTTAGTAACTTCTTAGAGTCACTCAAAATTATTTTTAATCATCAATTCGGTTTTCAGAGAAACAAATCTACAACCCTTGCAATCTTAGATGTTTATGCAAAACTTGTTGATGCGGTTGAAAGCAAAAAATATTCATGTTGTATTTCCTTGATTTCGCAAAAGCTTTTGATACTGTTGATCATGAAATTCTTCTTAAAAAACTAGATTAAATATCACTTACTGTGTACCTCAAGGTAGTGTTTTAGGCCCCCTTCTATTCCTTCTTTACATTAATGATATACCTAAATCAACACAAGGTTTCGATTTTCACCTTTTTGCTGATGATACAAGCCTTTTTATGTCACATGAAAAATTGGAAACTCTTGAATCTCAAGCTAATAACGAGTTAGTTAAAATCTCTGTTTGGCCGATTGCCATAAGCTATCTCTGAATACAAAAAAATCTAATTTCTCAACTATTCCTCCAAAAAACAAGATGCTAAATCGAAAAATGGATATTTTCATAAACAATGAAAAACTAACTGAAGCACAGTCTGTTAAATATCTAGGTGTTTTGATCGATAATAAATTAGCCTGGAAGGCTCATATTCAGCAGATTAATTCAAAAATATCTAAAAGTATTGGTATATTAGCTCGCATAAGGCACCATGCACCTAAAAATATACTTGTTAACATATATAATGCATTTATACAGCCACACGTTAATTATGGTATTATTATTTGGGGAGAGACCTACAAGACTGCTTTAGATCCTGTAAGAAAGAGCATGAAATATGCTGTGAGGTTGATTACATTTCAGCCAAGAACAGATCACAGTCAACCTCTTTTTAACGAATTAAAACTTCTATGTCTTAATGACTGCTATAAAACAGAATGTGCCAAATTTATGCATGATATTATTAATAATAAACTAGGTAAAATCTTCTGTAATCTCTTCCAGCTAACAAAAAATAGACATAATATTTTAACTAGACAAGCAACTTCTGACTTATTTGTACACCTTGCAATAAGAACTAATATCAAGCATCAAAGTATTTCAAACAATGGAGTTAAAACCTGGAACAGCATACCTTTTGATATAAGGCAATCTCATAATAAACGTACGTTTTCGAAGAACTATAAAGCATGACTTCTAAACAACAGTGCTCGATCGGTTGATATTCATATTTGTATACAGTCTTAATTAAAAAATCCTTCTCAAATCCATTTTAATAAACATCTGTATTTTGGTCTTTTCGTTTTTGATCTTAATTGTAATTTTAATTTTGAATAATAAACTAGCAAGTATCCTGATTTCCCAAACCTAATCCAGTTACTTTAGTTTCATTTTGCTTAGTTTAATATTCTTATTTTATATAATCTTATTTTTTAGCTGTTGTTGTTATGTCACTATTAACATAATTTGTTTCGTTTATATCGCAAATTGTTGTTAAATTGTGTAAAGGGCACTTGGCTCGATAGCTCTTCTGAGTTTTTTCCAAGTGTCCTAAGCTTATCTAATTAATATTAAATCGTATTATCAGTATATTGTAATTAAAAGTTTGAATTATCAATATGAAATGAAATGAAAACATTTGGCAAAAATGGATCATGGAATTGGAATCTTCATGTTGAAATTAGTCTGTGCTGAAAATTTCAAGTTGTTTGGACGGCAGACAGCGAATTAACCCATTTTCAAGATTTAGCTTTTCTTATACATTTCAATGGACTTTGTTGCTGTAGTGAAATTTTTTCACTGCAGCAGCAAATTCCGGTCAAATCTAAAGAAATATCTAAATATTCAAAACAAAGTAACTCGCGACCGAACGGTCCAAACAACATGATTTTTTCAGTACAAACTAATTAAAAGATGAAGATTTTAATTCTGAAGTACAATTTTTCAGAACGATCCATAGATAGCGAGATTCAAAATCAATGACGTCAACCCGGAACGAAATAGAGGTAAATGTCATTACTTGCTGCTAGCAGTTGGGTATCACATGCAAAAATAGGAAAACTTCGCCAAATTAAGGAACCACTGTCTAGCTGTGGTGCAGCTCACTACAAAAGGACTGTTTGATTTTACCCTATAATGAAAAAGATACAGAAGCAAACAAACTTTGCAAAGAAGAATGCATGCTAGTTTAGAATAGAATTGGTCATTCATTTACTAACCTTTAGTGGCTTATTTAGCTTGTCTTGAGCATTGACGTAACGACTTTCCTCTAATGATCCATCGTCTAAATAAGATTCAATATAAAATCAAACTTCGAAATGCTAAAAAAAAATTACTCAAGAATTTATTTAAAAGCGAATTTATGTAAGAAAAATATCTGTTGAACATTATTACCCTGAAAGGTATATTTATTTGCAGTGTAAGTTGAAAAATGTGTTTTCTTGATAAGCAAACGACAAATTCTTAGCGAGGGAAAAAGTACTGAAATGAAATAACAATATCTAGATATTCTAGATATTTGAACATGCCAAGGGAGTTTAATAAGAATCCCAAATGTTTGTAAGAGATCTCATTTCTTTTTCTAGAGGGCTAAAAGAGTACAGTCCTCTCTCGCCTGTTAGGTCAATCAAACACCCTCATAAAGACATGAATTTGTTTGCTCAGAATTTCAGCTAGTTTTGCCAATTCTCTTTCCATTTTTTAAACAGTTTCTCTTTTTCCTTAAAAAAGATTTCAAATCCAAAGCCATGAACAATAACAATTTCCGTAACATTAATGCGCTGGTTTCCATTCTCCTTCACTATCAGCCTTCTCCTAAAACAGGCACCACAGAGCGTTGAAAAAAATAGGGATGGTTGGGGGGGGGTTGGGGTAAACGAAGCAAAAGAAGTCTAATCACATCATTATTTCTGGCAAAAAGTGGGGGCTACAGCCCCCCTATTCCCTGTAATGTTCACTTTGCCTGTAATGCCGTAATAAAATGATATTCAAAGACAAATTTACTAAGATTCCCAAGAAAGTTAATTTTTGCCCAATAGAGTTGGTCTAGAGTATCGTACAAAGGGAAAATCGAACAGAATATTTCAATTTATCCAGCTACTTCTTCTAAATTTTCTTTAATCGTCCAAGAGTCAATCGAATTGTCATACTAAGAATGAAAGATGGCTGTGAAGTGATCTATAATATAAATTTACTTTTGCTTTAATATCACATGATCAACGATAGAGGCAGTTTTCAATGCATCATAACCACTCCATCGGGTCCCAAATGTAAATACAATGCTAACTCTAAGTATCAGACGTGTAACCGTCCTTGTAATGTGGCATCCGTTTTCCGAGTCTGAACATACTAGGTCTGGACACTGGAAAAACTTGGAGACGACCGATGTGAGGAAGCGTGCTTTATTAGGGGGTATCTTTTGAATTATGTTTCTCTGAATCTTTACATCTGAACCCTTATCAATAGCTTCATGCTCGGTTACGTACTAAGACTTACTGATCTGCATAAAGACTGACTGGAATGACACTCAAATACCTTTGTTAAAGTTACATAAAATCTGCAAAAATCCTGACAGGCTAAACAGTATTGATCCTATTATAAATCTCCACAATTCTCCTTAATGAAATTGTTGTTGAAACCTAAAGAGATCTCACCAATTGTTATACTTTGAAGATAAGCTTGAAATTGCCTTTGGCTTTTTCCCTTTCTTCCCTTGTCGTTTTTAAGAAACAAGGCTGGGATTAGCTGTTTAATCCCGGTCATCAATGTAAAACGTTTGTTAGTTTATGGTTCTAGGCCGAACTCATTCCACTATTCAACTACTCCTTCCCTTTATTTGGAGACAAAGACGTAGCTATTTAAGATAATCAATATAAGATGTCCATTAGAAATAAATTGCGAACAGTAGAGGCTAGATATTGCTACATGGAATGGAACATCTATCCGAGACTAAACACCAATCTCCTGGGTGCCTGGTACTGACATTTCTCAATTTTCAATCATTTCAGGTCTTGCAATTATTTCAAAGCCTAGAAATTGCAATATCTACAAATCTATACAATTATGAATGCTCAACTTTGCTGATGTCGTTATTTATTGGTATCAGATGAATCTGTTGAGAAGACTTAACTAAAACAGTGAACAGTTTAAACGAAAACTACAAATGAAGCTTGCACTATAAATCTATGATGGAACTCACCAATGCCTTTCTGACTATCCAATTTAGATTCTTCCATGTCCTGAAAGAGGGAATACATATTTGACTATTGGTTAATGAGCGTCAGAAAGCCAAAATCAATGTTCTAAATTCACAGACCTAGCTACATGTACTTCGTAATATTGTGGTGTAAATTTGATTCAACAATCAATTGGTTTTATTCTCATGCAACAAGGTGTTCGATGATGTTTATCCAAGGTCAAATGTAATCTTTTGTATTGTTTGAACGAGCAAATGTTCTGTTTCCCAGGGTGATCCGATCTTTTCTTCGCAGTAAGAGCACCACGACAATACTTCTTTTTATACTGCAAAACTGATTTTGATAATACTGTTGAGTTATTGTTGAATAAAAGCAATAACCTTGCAATGATACTGAAAATGATATTACAAACCTTTTGAAAAGGAGGCCTCTATACGCTAATTTTCAGAGAGGTGAGTTAACTTTAAAAAAACGTTTCAGATTTCCACTTAAAAAAAACGGTTTCTACAGATATTCTGATAATGGGATTTTCTTGGTTGAGATCTCAACACAGAGTGATTTGCCCCTCTATTTTATTTGTGATAACTTACATTATAGACAATTAATATTGACTTACTTTTCATGCAGAGAGATACGTCAGCCAAACTTCAGAATAATCGTGATATCATTGTGATAAAATTATAAAATTTATTGCTACATGGAACCACCAATAAAGGTGCCACTAAATACTGCTACAAGTGCAACTAGTAAACGTTCCTAAGAAAGCTCTCAAAAATGACGTCACAAGTACAGGATGGGAAAGCATTCTGCAAATGCTTCATGGTAAATGAACGGCTGGACAGTGAAGACATAATATGGATTAATGACAATTCTAAGAACTCCAGGCGTACATTCGGTGACGTTTTAAGTTTAAGAGCATAACTGTTAAACATTGATCTCCATAATCGATAAATATCTTATAACAAATGGAAGAAAATCCCACTACAATGGAATTTTTGCAGCTAATATCATTTTCCTGCAACAGGCTTTAGTCTCCTTATTTTTTGAGGTCACTGTATTTCGGAGAAAAGCCACAGACTAAATTGCAATTAATCTAAATTGCTCTTATGACGAAATCATAGTAATTTGGTGGATCGAGAGACTTTGGAAGGGGACACGTAATTCAGGAAGTAAGAAAACTTTCTTCCAAAACCAGAGATGTCTGAAAGTCACTAGGGGTTTAGTAACATTCTATCGCACCGCCTATAATGTTAAGCCCTGGTCAAACGATCCAACATTTCACCCAACATATCACCCAACATCATGTCGGGAGAAATGTTGGATTGTTTGACCACCATAGTTAGGTCACATTCCAGCATAAAAGAAAAATGTTGGGCGAAATGTTGGGTGAAATGTTGGATCGTTTGACCAGGGCTTTACTTCACACAACTCGGGGAAAACAGTCAATGTTGCGTTGTTTAGAATGATTCAAATTACATGTCTGGGGTCTGGGGTCTGGGTACAAGATTCTCAACATCAAAACACAGGCGCCCTTCTCTCCCAGCGTTATGAAAAAACTTTGTTGCCTTGCTGGTAGTCCTTTTGTGCTGAGTATGTTAGATTATGTTGTTGTGGCCACATTTCGACGGTATACCTAACTGACAAGTGGTACATATTTATAGTTAGAATGTATTCGCAGCAAATGCCTGTTCAATTGTTCAACCACCGGCTTTTTTATAGCCACAAAAGAAAATGTTCGTGACAGTATATATCATAGTAGATCAACATCGAATTTTTGCAATACACTGATATTGTCAGCAATGGAATCTTATTGCGTGTTTACTATATTCAATTACATTGTTAGTGTTGTTGTGTTCACAGATAACAGCAGTATTTCATTATGAACATTTGCTATAGTTGATGCCGCCCGTTGTAGCACAAGAACGGCAACAGGAAACATTTATCAGAGAAGCCTAGGCCTTACGTGACACAAGCATTATAAACAGAGCAAACTGTGTATCTTTTGCAGGCCATTTGACAATGCCTTCTAACAAATGAAGACCACGGACTATATATCCTTGTTTATATTCCACGTTTACAATGGCTGCACAGCACCACTTGAGCATTTATCTTTAGAATTGTTTTCTTTGTAGATAAATGAAGAGGGGTTTTTTCAATTATCATAGAAACGGAAAATTAGCCTTCAAAAAGCCAAGTAATAAAGTAAAAACTATTCCAACCTTTGAAATGGTGATTTTGCCAATAAGACAAACCCCATTAGCCCCAAATTGTATTGTTTCCCCACCTCTTCCTCTCCTTTCCATTTTCCCCTTTTTTATTTATGGCTATTTCTCTTACTCTTCCTTTTACCTCTGTTTCACATTATTTGCGTTTTCTATATGGATCTCTAGTCAAAGATCAAACGAGCTAAAAATAATTAAAAAAGGTATTAGTTTTGAATAGGACTTCATCCCACCGTCAGAGTCCAATGATCGATCATGTGACAGAGGGTAATCTGACCACGCTGTTCGATCTTTGAGATAAAGAATTTCCAGAGCTTTAAAGGGCCTAATGTTGTGGACAGTTTCAATTCTCTGACCCAGACGTGTTTTGTTCTATTGAGAATTTCGCTTGCTCATCTTTATCTTTTGGCCAGAACAAGTGGCATAGGTCACAAACACGATTGTCGTTGAATTTGCCAAGGCCATCCATGTGGTGGCGAGGATAGTATCTCTTACAAAATATAAAGAAGGCATCGCTCCAGGGATATACTTTAGAGAAACTCAGTTCCAGGATTTGTCCTTGTGGTTCTGTTTTTCATTTGTAAATGAGGAGAATATGATTTACAGCGACTCATCCTTAATAACGTTAGAAGGATAATATTTGACAAAGAAGGGGGCAAGGGTAAAAACCCCGTAACCCTCATAAACGCCTATACCATTGATTCTTGTTGAGACATAAAATGATAGTTTCCAGCAAAAGGAAATGTTAACTATCAAATACCCTTGATTCTCTTAAAGAGCTTCGGCAATGATCTGTAAATGCAGAGTCGAGACGTCCATAAGTCCATCAGAGTCAGCTGATTCAAGGCAGCCCAAGGTGCAGTGCAATGTTCACAGTCCCATGGGAGATTGAAACAACTCGTTTTTCCTTAGTTATTTAGGCTATTACATAGCACTTTATATAGACTGCACTTTATACCTCAAGCAATGATTATCACTAGTCAGTTGTATTTTTCATTGAAAACAAAAACCAGGGTCAGAGTGGGATCTAACACAGTTTTGGCTCAATGAATACTCCTAGCAAAGACTTTCGATCGTGATCATTTCAGAGCATTTCAGAGAATACAAGATTTATTGAGCTTGCAACCAAAGAAAGCTTTTCCATGTTTTTAGAAAAATTCGAACAAGCATGAATAGACAAGCTATAACTTTTGAACTGTGTTGACATCGATGTATCCACAAGAAGCCATTTCCCGAAACACTTAGTCACATGATTTTGAAGAGGAGGGGCTTATGAAGCAACTTGGAGCTGGACCTGTGATACCTATTCAAACTAAAATCTTGTGACACACAGTACCTACAACTTCTGCCAAAGAACCTTGGAATAACCAGCAATTTTCATGATATTCTATCTTTCACTTCTTTACTGAAAAAATAACACTTTCGCCACCTCCCCTATAGAGAAATGTTGATACTTAGCTAAGAAAAAAATCATAAAAGTAACGCATAGGAAAGTACTTCCTTATCTCCAATTCCACTTTATAGTAAACCAAAATTGTTCCCTGACGAAGAGGAGGATCACTGAATTTGACCTTCAAAAAACTTCAATTCCCAAGACCTTTGGCATGGACTGTAGCTGATTAATAAGGATATGAAAATGTGGCACATTGCGACCCTGTTATCTTAGCCATACAAAGAAGCTTTCTTTGCTAGAACACCAAAAAAGAGAGTGAGAGGGGAGGACCGATATGAGAAAAATATGTTTTTGTGAGAGAAATATATTCACATATGCAAGAATATTGTTTTATTTACAGGGAGATTATAAAATGAAAGCTAAAAAAATGTTTTAGCTCTAAGACCGATGCTGACCGAAAGACAGGTATCAGGTTCAATGCTGACCGAAGAATAAGAGTCGCAAACTTCTGAATAAAAAAGAATTCAAGTCTCCTGTTTACAACATTCTAGCAGGGGTGGATTTAAGTAGCAAGAATGGGGGGAATGTTAGATGATGATTGGATTTTGGTGCCGTACCCTAAGGCGACTGGAAAATGATGGAAACGCCTATTTTCAAAGTCAATTTTTTGCTTTAAAATAAATTAGATAAGCCGATAAATAAAGCTAATTTTTTTGCATTATTTCTTTACTGCTGAATACAAAAAAGGTTTTTTCTGCGGCATACCCTAGAATGCAGAGACGCACCATGAAAACCCCTTGGTATATCAGTTCCTGCATTCTAGGGTATGCCTCAGAAAAAGTTTCCTTTAGGTTGAGTCTCCAAAAGTCAGGTATGTTTCATTCATTTCATTATTTTATGTAATTGGAACTGTATTTAGATTTAAAAGAAGAACTTTAGTACCGTATTTAGATTACGCATGAACGATGATTAATACTTCAAGTACAGAAAATCAGACGTGGATTGAAGGGCTTTTAGAGTTACTTAGACACGAGTGCGTCAGCAGGATAATTTTAACATGGAAAACTCATTATAATCCATTTAGTTAACTTTACTTTGTCCGAATATATATGGTGATTTGATCCTTAACCTTCCTGTATGAAAAGAAGTAGCATTTAATATAATCCGTGCTGTTTTTGAAAATAATCCTATAAGATAGTTTCGAAATCTCTATTCCAGCTTTTTGACAAAAAAACATGAAATGTGAGAAGACATGGAAATTCTTAAACAAATTCTGCCGCAGCTAAAGACCAGAACATCACTGACACACTTGCGTATTCCCATCAAGAAACTGCAGTTCATTTTTGCAATGGGCGAACGTTTCTTAACTGAATTTCGTCATCACATATGTACAACACCATTACCGGTTTGTGATTCAACGAACAAAAAAGAGACTTACTTTTAATAAATGGTACTTGTTTCGAAAAAAAATTTCATCCAGCCAACAGTTTTCACTGAGCTTTTTTCGATGAGAAATATTACTTTAAAATGATTAGATGAAGCTTTTGATTTTGAAAAGAGGCAGTACAAGTATAACTTCGTAAAGGAACTTTCATTTGAAAAACAATTCTTGGAAATAACAAAGTTTGATGTAATCTTTATCCGGTAATGTGAAGTGTCTAGAAAACGCTACTAAAGTTTATGTTAACCGGCCTATGGAACCAACACACAGTGAGTTAAGAACAGCAAACATTTCAGTTTGGCTTTAAGACACTTTCTTCTTTTATAGCAGGTACTTTAGAAAGACTAGACATTAAAACAAACTCCAAAAGTAAAACAGTTTCTCAAATTGGTTACCTTGTTAGTGCCAAGTATAATCTGATATCTTCATTTATTTCTTGAAATATCAGGAAACCAAGTCTGTTAGTTTATGTTCGTCGCTGAACAAGGCTCACAATTGATTTGAGCTATCTCCGTCTCTTGGTACCCTGAGAACCAAAGATCTAATATTATTATTTGTTCATATTCGCCACCTTTGTTCTCAGTCTTTCCGTCTCTGAGATCTAATTTTGTTGATGTAGCTGTTTGCATGTAGAGTTTCTTTCTCAAAGTGTGACGTAATTCCTTTTGGACCCTTTGTCGCGGTTCCTTATTTAATCTATAAAGATCTCACTGTTGCGCAGTATCGTGCGTACAAAAACCGGACCAGAAGAGCATAGATTTATGCCATAGGACAAAATGGAGTCAAATTACCTAGTTTTCCCAGAGGTGATCCAAGATTTGAAACAAACATTTATTTTGAAAGTACGAGTAAACTACTTAATTTCCAATTGTAAAGTTGCATTTTACAAGTGAAAAACTTGTTGCGCAAATAATGCAAAATGTAATTAGATTTGAAAACCAAATAAATACCAATCTTATTTGATATTTTTTAATGACACTGCCTTTTCCAAAAAGCTGCTTCCACTGAAAAGCTGACAGGAACTAGAGCACTCGAGTCAATTAAAATGGGAAGATAAAGTCACTATGCCCTGATAAGATGTTTTGTATGTATTTCAAGGCTTGTGTGCTAAGGTTTTTATGTGGTTTATAGGCAGACGTACAGCAGACATAAAGACTTGGTCAATCTACGACGATTGTGCACAGATGGTTAGATTGTGGCTTATATAATCGAGCAGTCTCTTTCTGTTTATTATTGTCTTCTATTTTAATACATCTTATCCTCCTCCCTCCTCTGTTCCAGATTTTAGTCATTTTTTTTACTTCCGATAAAACTAACGTTCCGGAAATGCAACCGGGTGTTAGGACATGAGTCCATTTTGCTGATGCAGATTTGATCCTGTATCATCAACAGAACGGATATGTTACAATCAAACCGCAATGCAAGGCATACACTACATGCTAAATTTAGAATCAAGTTGTATTGTAGGCATTTTCTTGAAATAAAATTCTAGGGAATTCCCGGGAGAAGAGAGCTTCAGATCTGCAGCTATTTCCTTTCAATTAGAGTAATACCCTTTCTCCCTGGGGCAAATCACTCCAAGAAAGACTCGTAAACCTTTGGTGGAAATCCCTTTCTTTCATCGTAAAAACCCTGGAAATCCTTTTATTTTCATGAGAATCTCGCACGCTAATTGCAAGTATGAATTGCCCCTCGCTTAACCTTAAGAGCAATTTTTAACAATGCTTCATCTCAAAATCGAGGAGTTTGTTGCCTTCCAGGGGAGCTTTTTCGCTGACTTTTCAAGCTTGTCGCCAAGGAAGGATGTCTCACTCACTTTGTTGTAAAGTGATGTTCAGGCTGGTTGTTCTTAATTTTTTAGAGAATCTGAAGCTGGATTGTTCTTAATTTGTTCTTTAATTATCAGGGTGTAAGCATTACAATTGCTAACTTTTCGCTCTAGGGAGGTGTTCAGGCCTCATTTGCTAAGGAAGTGAGCGAGATAACTTACTTTAGTCTTGTAGTTCTTATAAAATTGTTCTTATAAAAGAAGATTGTGTAGAATTGGTATATTCTAGATACTTTTACTGTAATACGATATCGCCGTCAAAAAAGAGATAAATAGCTTATATTTATCAAATTTTAAAATTGTTCCTTTTCTTTGCTAAATAGGTTTCTTCCGTTGTAAAAGTCAATAGACTATTTTGGCCTGGAAATCATGTTTGAAAAAATAATAATATGGACTTATAAGCAAATTTACCTAGTCACTTGATATTAATACGGAAGCTAAGTCCCTTGATTTAAGGGTAAGGTAATGTTACACGCAGCCTGTTCAGCCTTCTCATTAAATGCTGTAATTTTTGCTGCATCTGTTGCTACTTTGCACCCGAAGACAGTGTACTTGTTATTTCTCTCGATCTGACCACACCTCGCAATTCCTACCACTATATTTACAGAGAGCTGGCGATTTCACCCACTCGTAGCGAAAGTTCCGTTAAAATTTAAAGATGAAAGCAAACAATAGACTCTTACGACCCAAGCTAATGAGCCATTAAAGATTTTCAGCTTTCAGATTTTCAGAATCATTTGTTTAATTTTTCAATCCGATTTTCAGTTTGGCAAGATTTTCGCGTAGATTTGAACATGCTAATTAAAGCTAAGAAGATTAACTCTTCATTTTTCTAATTTTCCAAACAACAGAAGAATATGAAAGGATGCTTCCATAAATAGAAAATAACGATACTGTCTCAAAATATTTCCTAATATTACGGTGCTGCAATAAATTAAGCAGAGTTAGAGTTACAGGGTAACCCCCCGATCGATGATTTGGCTCTATACCCCTGCCCAGTGCATTACGAAGATTCTTGGAAATGAGCTCACTGCAAGTTGTATTTTGTCAAAATATTTTGATATGTTAAATTAATGGTAACACTACTTACCCTCAAAACTCATCTGCGCTCTTCTTTTTTCCAAGTTGAGATGGCCTTGCAATGTTTTTGTTTCGATCAGCTGTTTTTGTTTCAAATTAGGCCTAGCAACGACTGCAAGATTGATTGGCAGCGAGTTTACCTTCAACCACCACGACTAAATTGACGGAAATAACAACCAAACAAGGAAAGACTAACATTATTTCGTCTAATTTTAATAAATCTAGCTCAGCTAAATTAACGTATTTCTAATATCCTTAAAGTTGTTTTCCTTAGCAAAAAGGCGGGAAAACGTCATCAGATTACAGCCTCGTTTTAAGCTACAGTTTAAATGAGCAACAGAATCGAGAAAACGTTGAGCTAGTAGTTACACACATTAAGCAAAGACATAATGAATCAATATTGCAACACTGTACATTTTGCATTTGTTCTTCAGTTTTTGCACGAGTAAAATGATTTGATTCATTTGTGGGCAGTTATCTGATGGGTCTGACACTGTCAAAGTATCGTGCAAAAATCACAAAGTTTTTGCATTTTATTGGCAAGAGAATTCAGAAATGTTTCTCAATTTTGTCCACAGGCGAGCAGACAAGAATTGTAACTGGGGGGGGGGGGATTTTTCTCAAAACAGTATTCCAATCCTGTTTTTTCCTTCACGCTGCATTGTGTCAGCTAGACAGTCAGTTTTACCCCTTACTTCGGTTGAGCGTTTTCCTTTCCTTAAAATATAATGATGCATGCCCAAACTGGTCACGCCCAGTCACGCCCATTTGTCTTTATACCAGATGCGTCTGTTCCCTTCACGAAACCAAAGCCACAACGCCAAGTGTGATGTCATAAAAAGCTGTTTTTGGAATTTTTTCCATTTAGACCACATAATCTAAAAGAACATTATAAGCAATTTCTGAATATGCAAAACCAGTCAAAAACGTTAAAGCCAATGAAAGATTTGAAATTTGCTAACGGATTCCTGTCATTTTGGCTCTGTTCATAAATATACGAACAGACGAGAACATAGAGCAATTTACAAAGGCTTGATGAGGAAAGAGTTTGTGCTGATGAGAAAAGAGCCTGTTTTAATACGGCCGTATCTCAGCCAATTCGTAACACATTTAACTGATTTTGCATATTTAGAGAGATTTCATGATGCTCTTTCAGGTTAGCAGATCCAAAGACAAGATTCTAAAAATAGATTTTAATGTTCTTAAGAAAAAACCCTGGTCTGTGATTAGTTTACCGACAGACTCTTTTTCTATTGAAAAACACGCCGGTCCACTGAGTTACAAACCATCTGCAAGGCAGTACCCTGTCAAACAAACTTGACATTGCAAAGAGGTAGCTCTAGACATAAACGCAAACCTTGTCAAAAGTCTTGTGGAGAATCATATGGACAATCACATTGTTCTTAAGTTAGATAAACATGAATCTAAAAAACATTATTGACAATCTAGGATCAGTGCATTAAACATATCAGAACTGAAGTCTACGAAACACTCTTATTAAACAATCAATGTATCAGCGCTTAAGATAAAAGTTAAAAAAGCCTTTTCGATTCAAGTATATAATACAGTAAACACGAACTAACAGCAATCAACACAATAAATAAACGAACCCTAACAGGGCGGTGTACGGGTGGCTCATTTATGAACTGTTGTGTAGGCACATAGGCACATGTTTTTTGCAACCCGGTAAAGCGTTCAGTGTTAGTTGATTGGGAAGTTGGATTCTTGTTGGCCCAATATCGACTGTCTAAGTTTCATAAACAATCGAGAAAATGAGAAGGCAGAAAGATAAATCTAAGGACATTGTCCCATTCAACAGAAAAAATTGATCAAAGGTGTGATGCAAGTTGAAAAGAAGCATATCAACCAACTTGTTACCTTTGTGGCAGTTCACTGGTCCTACAAAGCTAAGTTAGTTATCGGCAAAGACAGGAACCTTACAGATGCTTTGATTCCTGAAAACCACATCAGTTGTTTACAGTGATTTCAATTCAGCACTCTAATTCAATTTTGCCCTAAAGAATGTTTTGGCTCGCTGCTCAAAATTTTGAATGCAAGAGCAGTGCCGAAGAGGAAGGCTTTCCGAGTAATCTTTGTGAGCCAGTTCCCAGAAGGCCGTGGGTTGAGTTAGGGAGATAAAGCAAAGTAAATACTATTTGTATTTGGCAGCATGAAACGAAAGAAATTTTTCGTGCTAATTTTTATGTGGCTCGTGGAAACAGAACAGATTGAATTCTCTTGCAGACCCGACAAAAAAGAAAGATGGCCTTCGGAGTATTCTGTCCTATACCCAGTAGACAGAGTGCTATTTCTTTTACAATTTTAACAATATCAAGAAAATGATTGACTGTTATTCTTGTTTAACAAAAATGTAACTGCATAGGGGTCGACTGGCAAGAGAAAGCTAAAGAACTACCAAAGCTGACATAACACAACGTGCACTTTTTGCAAAGAGCATTAGAAGATAAACAAACCCTCTCTTATTTGAAAAATATAGAAAGCCATTAATGATACTTTTTAACAAATATGTGATTAAATCTTGGTTAAAAGTTGGCCTATTGCAACATATTTTTTAATATTCTGCTTGAACAGAATGCCATAATCGCTAAAAGACTTCAGTGATCCGTGTTTTGTTCTAGATACTGATATATAATGAGTCACAAACTATAACAATAAATACATCTTACGAGCATTAGCAAGACTGGAAAATTATTTACATTACAGAGCATGCTTTACTTCCGGCTGAAGCGCTCGAACCGCTTGGTTTCACTTCCGTTTTTATGTCTCCACCGTTTGCAGTAGTACCTTTCTGGTTTTTCAAATACTGGAAAGAAAGAATGCATGATTTATGGCATTATTTTCAAAATACCTAGCTGATAAAGGTTAAAACAGCTGAATTTCTTGCAAATATAGGGGTATCATTGCTACATTTCGATTAGGCCTTGCACTGAATATCTCCTCGAGTTTTAAAAGCTGGTGCTAAATCGTTCTCTGACCTTTTTTAAAATGTGGATCGGATATGTAAAGGCCGTTATAGAATCTTTGCCAGACTTCTCAATGCAAAACAAAATGTCCTGATTAGAATATAATAACTGCATTTGTTTACATTGTATTTATTAGTTAGACTTATGTAAAAAATATTCATCATTACAATAAAATCATTAATGCTTGGTTTTTAAGGGGGACTTCAAGAATCTAAAGAACGAGGTGAAATATCAACTGGCTTTGTAGCTATGATAGGATAAGATAAAACAGATATGCAATTTGCTGCATTTCCTTTTAAGTGAGACGCAAAACAGTTATAAAAGAAAAACAACAAATTAAAAATAAATTAAAATAGATAGCTAATTAAAGGCATCAAAAAAGTACAAAGAGTTTAAAAGAAAAGCTTCAAAGTGAATTGATTAAAAAGCAGCAAAACAATTAAAAGAGGTAATATAAATTATAAACTGGAATTTGAATGCATTCCAGTAACAAATACACAACTTTTTCACAGAAATAGGAACTGAAAACTAAAACCACATTCAAGGACTTGGATACCGCAAACTACTTTCCAATTACTTCCTAGGAAGTGAGATAAATAAAGGAACAGTAAGAGAAACTTACCGACTGGAGCATGTTAACTTTGTACTTGAGCTGGCCACGTTGATAGAATGCAGCAGCTTGCATGGCCTTGTGGAATGCATTGAAATCCTTCTCGTTATCTGGTTTCTTTCCCCACTCAGTGACAATATCCTTGGAATAGAGGATTTAGCATTTCAAGAGCATTGTTGTAGGAAATGTTGTTGGAAATTTTGAGGCACGAATAAAAACAGTATGCACATACGAAGGAAATAAAACAAGTCTAACAGAATTCTGAACAAGAGATTTCCTCCTTAAAAACTTTAGTTGCACCCACAATGGGTTATATAAAATGTGTATGAAAGAGATTGGCCATATAGAAATCATGTCAGGAAAATGGACGTGTGTAATTTTATGTAAAAGATTAGCATAAAATCCCGTTACAATGTACATTGAGATTAAAAGGCAAGATTAATCCCTACTCTAGATTCCACAGATTAATGAGCTAAAGTCCCGATGTGATCGACAGTATCAATAAATATTATTATACATCTAAAAATCTAAAATACAACAATTTCTTGCAGGATTTTGTGGCGTTTGTAGTAAGAAACCTCATGTTTATGAAATATCAGCGTTAAAGTAATACACAAAAATATATATTCTAAGCATAATGATTACAAAATTATTCATGAATCATTGTCCATTGATTTCAAGGCATTTTAATAAAAAGTTGCTCGTGTTTGCCAGTTCATTAACAGCCCTGTAGTGAAGGAAGGGTAAATAGATTGTGCCTAGAGTTGTTTACCTGGATTCTCTTCTCTTTCTCTGCCAGCCTGTTGAGTTTTCGTTTGAGCAAAATCAGCTCTGATTTCAACTGCGCTGATTCGCCAATCGCTGGCCTGAACGTCGACTGTCTGTGATTCATACCAGGGTTTTGTATGTGTTCCATCTGTCGCAATTCCTATAATAAATTCATGGGACATTGTAGCATTGAATACTAAGCAACAACATTGTCATCCTGAACAATCTAAGGAACAATGCAAATCTTAAATTCAGTGAGAACAAGAATCTGCATTTAGCAATTGATTCTGCTTCCAATTTTTCGCTACGAGACCTTTCGTCTATCTGTGTTGAACACCATTCTAAGAGAGAAGCTACCTCAAAAAGGTACGAGCATATTCCCATATCCCAAATACATACGCTCTTAAAACAGAACAAGCTGAGGCAGTGTTAATACAGAGGCTGAACGTCTTTTCCTATATTTCACTTTTTCCTTTCTAATTACAGCAGAATCTAAATCATAACCTATAAACATTATGATTATTTTGGTACAATGTGCCATCATTGCTAGATTCTGCAAGTTTGGAATAAATCATGGGGTTGATTTGCTTCAAATAGTCATTAACCCGAATATAATAGCTTTCAAGCTACTGTAAAAAGTTGTTAAAACAGCGTTTCTTGAACCCCTTTTCTCTTAGCATCAGTGTTCAAAGTAGAAACCATAACAAAATACGATTATTAACCGCAATGGTAGGTTATTCATACCTTTGTTGTCATTTTCAAAAGCCTTTGGTCTGAAACGGTGTCCACTTGCTTTCCATACACAGAGAACGTTATGCAGCCTGAGTCGAACCATTCTAAATGCTCCTCTGTGATGCTTGGGAATGAGAAAAGCTTAGAATGATTGTATTCTGGCGACAGAGTGTCCTTCACAACTGGAGTCTCCGTTGTCTCAGTTTCACCCATGGTTGTATACTTGATGTAGATGCCTTGAGAATATCTGGCTTTCAAAATTTCAGCATTTCTGATCAAAACCTAAGGAAGAAAGCGAATAAATAGCAAAGTCAAGAAAATATATTAGTTCGATGCAAACTGCTAAGAATGAGCTTGAACCATGATTTTAAAAAGGTTCACTCAGCTTCAACATCGGCTGAACAGTCTTGGTGCATTATATCTGATTTTTGTAAAATTGTCAATAGTCCCTCACCCCCCCCCCCCCCCCCTCAAACAACAACTTTTCTTTAGAATTTTTCAGAAATTCCATATTGTCGAAATAATTGATTTTTGATGATGTTAAACCACAAAATCTTTCGAGTTTATTAATTTGAGTTTTATGGAATACATCGTCGAAAATACTATATTCTTGCAGCAGGAGATTAAAGCAAGCAATTTTAAAGACTGCACGAGATGCTGACACTGAGGCAGATGGAGTTGTTGAAAGATTTTAGTGCTTTAAGTCAAGGGGTAGTAAGAGGAGGGAAGGGGGCCTGGGCCCCCAATATTCTACAGGATCGGCAAAATAAAAATAACACCAGCAATTCTCTGAGCAAGGATTACCATGGGCGGATTATCTTTTTGCAGATATACAACCACAGTTAGCAGCAAAATAATCACCGTCTTGGATTATAATATCAAAGATTCATAGACCAAATGACTGAAAAACAGTAGCACATACCTTGAAATGGTAGGGTTTTCCTAGTAGATCTTTCGGTTCATCAACAAAAGATTCTTCGTCCAAAGGCTTGCCATTTGCAGTACATGGTGTCACGTTAATAATCAAAGTGCCTTGCTCGATACCCTAGCAAGAAAGAAAACAAAGGTATGAAACTTTTTTGGCAGAACATACAGAACTTGAAAATGACATTGAATAAAGCAAACATTTCACAATATATTGGCTAAAAGCTTTTTCGTCTGACACTCATCAGAACATAAAACGTCAGAATAAGGGCCCAAAAGAACACGATGAAAAAATATATCCATTTGTGGATCAAAGTAGGCCAATCAGAAAAACGCAAGCACAAAACCGGTATAGTTGACCAATCAGTGCCGCGTGCCTAAAGAAAAATTACCACTGGAGCCCAAGAGAGAAAACGAACTCCTTCTGTCTACACAATAGCGGCTTTGTCGTTTGTATGTAGATCGATTCCAAAACGCTTAGATGGAAAAACGACCGGGCTCTACTAATTATCCGAAACATGTCGTCATTATAGAGTTTTGCAGAATCTGGGTTATCCAAAAGATGTTGACCGATGGCAGAATCACTTGTTTTAAAGGTGCTTCTAGACCTACAAGATCGAGGAAGCTGTTCTCTTTGAGGGACAGTTCTGTTTCTAATGTTGGAAGGAACATGTTGCTTTATCCTATCCCCTTATCTTTGGGTAGTGCGTCCTACGTAGCCAAAATCACACTGGCACGTAAATTCATAAACAACGGAACTCTTTTGGGTGGTAGGGCTCTCCTAGTACTGTAAACAATAAGGGGATTGACAGCAAAGAAACATTTTGTGATGGCCTGCTTAATCTAACTCTCAAATCGCAAGGAACTGCTACCAATCCATTGTAGTTTAAGATCTTCTCCTTAGTTTAAGACAAAATGATATCTTCTGGATAGTTGTTGTCCAGAAAGATCGTTTTAAGTTTATCCAGTTCAGCATGAAGTTTAAATTTCGAGCAGATCATGATTGCGCTATGTACTAACGTTCTGACGAGGTTGACTTTGCGTTGTTTTTTGGGCAAAATGAATCCCAGAGTATGTACTGGCCAGTAAAAGTGGGCTTGCGATATACACTGGTAATAAATCCAGTGTTAAACTTTTCGATCAAAACATCTCAACAAAATTGTAAGGAATCATTTTATTTCTTTTCAAACGTAAACTGGAGGGCTGGGTGTAGGCTATTAAGGTGTTCTAGAAAAATATCACACTCAGCCTCTGTTTTGAAAATGGTATATGTGTCACCCACGTGTCGAAAAAAGACGCTAGGCCTTTGACATATGTATCATCCACATATCAAAAATTGATGCCAGGGAACGCAGAGTGGACATAACATCTTTAGGTTTTCCAGACCTGGCGGCCTTTTTTCACTTTTGTTCTTAAATGCTTATACTAACTTCAAAGGAGAGCATAATAAAATAAGTCTTCGAAAATCTTGAAATTTTTCGGGATTCTTGTGCAGTTTTGCCGCTATGAACAAAAACTGTACCTACCTTGTAATCTGTAATTGCCAGCTTGTCATCAAAGTCTAAAGCATACGATAAACTCTGCAAGAAAACGTTTGCGGTTCCAATAAGGACATCTTCCGGAGGCTCCCAGAAAGGGTCTTCTTCTTGAGGAATTGTTTTCACTGTCTCGTCCCCATCAAGAAACCGTTGATACAGATCCTTGAGAACATAAGAGTAACTTGGCTTATAAATGCTGAAAATTTACTCAAACGATAAACTGGATTCAAAATTTATCATATATATACAAACACTGAAGTGAATATATGAGAAAATAATTGCATCATTTTAGACACGCTGATTTCTCTGTGAGATATGGATCACATGCGAATTTCGAATAAAAAGAGAATTCATTACACGGTGCTGAATGCTTGCAAACAGAAACATAAAATAGATAAAACTATTTAGGAAACCGAAACTTCACACTAACTGATCAAAGGGTTTTAAAGCCCTAATATTCATGAAAAAATGTCTTTCATTTCATACCTGCATGAGAAACCTTCTGTTCATGAACTTTCCTCGCTCCCATAACCACACGTTGTCATTCAGAAGGTTCTTCATCTTTACAAGAACTCTGGAAAGTATCAGCGAGATTTTTAGCTAACAAATAATTTGTAAAAATGTTTTCCAAGTACAACATTGTCAGTACTGCTAAGTAGCAATCATTCTACTGATTATTTATGATCCCAATGATTACTGTTGATTAGAGATAACGATTAGCTATGATTCCTAATGATAAGCAGCGATTTCAAATGATAAGCTATGTTTTTTCATAAATCCTTGAAAAAAGCGATCCTAAATAGATAGTTCTTCACAACCTTTACATAATGCCATACCAGTTTACATTTCGCCTCTGATTCCGAATATCAACTTTACGAAAACAGAACTTAAGATTGCCCCTCGAAAAATTCGCAAGATTATTCCTCGACCCGATAAATGTTAATGATTTTTTCAAGTTATTCAGTCTTTAATTTTTGCAACTCAGCAGTTATCATCACAAATAATTCTAGATACGAGCGAAAATCTTGATTACTTTGTTTCTTTTCCTCCAGCATCCTGTGCTGCACTTGAGATGAGAATGATTTCAAAAGTCCTGCAAGAGATTCGTGTAAAGCGTCACCAGATATCGACAAGATTCAAAGATAACATTTAAAACCCAATTAAGTACTCATTATTGAATAAAGTGATATATTTTCGATCTTTGTGCTAAATCACAATATAGTTTGTTATAATTGTTTTCACAAAGGGAAGAATTTTTTAGATCATCAAAATGAAAATAAATGCTAGTGTTTTTATGCAACTTTTTTCAATGTAAGCACATGACATTATTACAGCTTGAAAGGAGACGACATCAAAATTCAATTAATTTTTTAACAAACTCATACAAATTAAATACTTCAATTAATTCCTCGAAGCTTTGAAATCGTCTCTCAGTCCAGTAAAATCTTCTTAATTTATTAGTACGGCTCTGAATCCCTCTTTCATTCAGTTTAACTAAAGACGTAAACAAAGGGTAGCAATGATGTTTCCACAAACAAAGATGACATCACGAACTTATCAATACTGAAAGGAGAAAGTTTAGATAGTGTCATATAACTTATGTGCTCGACACGACAATTTTGGCAGCGGTTGTAGATCTGACTTTCTATGCGATGTAGCTGAATTTTAGTGTTGACATACTTTTGCTTGTCCAGTTCTTCACTGATAGCGTTTACTTCGCTGATCAGGGGTAACAACTCCAGGACTTGCTCTTGAGCTTGTTGCTGGTCTGTTTAAAAAGAACATTGGACATTTGAAAGACCGTCGTTAACTGTGATGAAAACACACTGATATTAGCAATGAAACCATTTTTAAAGATGAAGAGAAAACCTATATTGTTCCTTAACAGTTAAATTCAAGCAATAAACTTACTTTATATTAACCTCCATTCAGTTCTCAGATAGGCAAATGCTTTAGGTTACAGAAAAAACCCACTCATAAAGTTAGACAACCACAAACTGTCGAAACTTAATGGATCTAATTACTAAAACGCATTCAGAACAAAAGGTCACTTGCCTTTAGAAAGCCCAGCTCCAAAACCAGTCTGAAACCCTTTAGCCTGGGCGATTTCCTTCTGTGCGAATTCCCAATCCACCTTTCCTGGAGTTCCATCGCTTTTCTCAGTATTCAATGGATTTACAAAATAATACATATGGTTCGAGCCTGAGAAAATAAACATAAATTTCCCTCTAAAAATGGCGAAAGCCAAATCGCCTTGCAACCATCTAAATGTTAGTCTACTAAACAGGATACAGATTAATAATTTGTGATTAAGCATAAAATTACAGCCAAATCAAAAGCCAGATTCAAGAACATTAAATGTTACCATTCTCATTGTCTTGTGAAATTCCCTCTATGTGAACTCGCAGAAATTGAAAAAAAATTCATTTAAAGTACGTGGGTGTATATCGTTTAAGTGAATGAAACTGTTTGCGCCTTTGTTCTCGCTAATCGCTTGAGGTTATAGCATACCAGAATGTTGCATGAATCTAACGTTCTGTTACCGCTTATAGTGTAAGGGGCGTCCAAAAAAACGTTGAAACATGTTTCCAAATTTGGAGATACCCAAAATTTAGAGAGGAGAGCCATTGACCAGGTCATAAGATGCCATATCATAAGATCACCACTGAATAGCCTAAGATGACCATTTAGTGCCAAGATTATTTAGTCGAAACAACAATTTGTTATATGGATATTTTTCGATTGGACAATAATGCTTCTAACCCTTTTATCCAAATACATGGAAAGAATTGTCATAGGATGATAGATAGGGAAAAATGTCTTACCAAAGAGGATTCGATCGTAATGTTTCAAAACCCTCTCTCCAGTCAGTGGCATGCCATTGACTTTTGTCTTAGCACCAGCCGTAGCCGGTTTCAGTGTAACCTCATTTTCATGCCAAATAAGAACTGCGTGCTGTTTCATGATACTGAAAAACATTAATTAAAATTTTTTAGACTAAAATTAGAATTAAATTTCGTATGGCATCAAATTTGCATACGAGAAAAAACCTTGTCAATGTTCTGCTCTGGATTCTTGGACTTTTCACCTAACACCCTCCTCAAGAATTCTGACCTTAAACATTCTTGATTGCACGGGAAAAGAGAAAAGAGAAAATGGAAGAAGGGTACTATGATATATATTGAAATGGCCTGTAAAGAACGGCCAATATATCTAAGGTAGAATACTAGAATTACTATAAAAGGCAGGACTTTTCATAGAAGAAACTTCGTGAGTAAATTGACTTCAACTCGTAAACTAGTGAGTTCATTAAAAATTTAACCATTAATGTGACACATCATATTGGTTGAATAATCTAAAATAAGAGGAAAACACAAGCACAATTTCTCAATATATCGTAATTGGGCATCAAAGACTTAACATTTGTACCTCAATCCGGTCATAGGTACATTGGGATTTGCATCTTTCCGGCCAATCGTTGTTTCTCCTATCAAGCAGAAGGTAAAATGTTAGTAACAATGAACCTGAAACAAGGAATAAGGCAGTTTTCGCACAGTGTTATTTCGTAAATGGAAAGGATAAATGTTCCTTGAAAACCATAACGGTTGGAACATGTTGATTAGAAACAAAACAAGGTTTTTCTCAAATATCCTTTGAACTGGGGCAGCAAAAAAATCTGAACAAGAATAATAGTTTGATGTTTTCCTATACAGCAGAGCTACTTGAATTTTATTTGCATGCATACCATATTTGACTATTAGGACTACCACTATATACTAGAGATTCTGCCTGAAATAAAATTCAGCATTTAATGAATACCTGACGAACCTTGAACTGCATTCAAAAATAAAAGATTGATGGGGGAGGGGGGGTAACACCTGTCTCAAAACCAATACTCCAATTCCACTATTAAACTCTGCATGTGCACAAGTTGTAATGGGCTCAGAGGCGTTAATTGCCATTCGCCTGGGAAGTTATCGTACAACAAATCCTTCCCCCATTCTCAAATGATTTTGTTTACTTGCTTAGTGGGTTTTTATGATAAAACAAAGATAAAAACCGCATTGATAGAAACTGTAAACGGAAGAAAAAATTGTTAAATTCAAGCGGCATCTTTGGCAATTAACATTCTAAGATTGAAGTTAATAAAATAAAGATAGCTTGAGATAAAGTTACGGTAAACATTGTCTGTAAGATCCCTGACGACAAAATATTTTTCGAATTCAGATTTCAGCTTGAATATTCGACAGGCATTTTGTTTTATGATTCAAGCCCCATTTATAACTTGTGGAAGACTGTCTTTTTAGTTTCCACAACATATATGAAACAGGCCACGATATTTCAATGTTTTAAAATAGATAGTTAAGCTGCACCTTCATTTAAGGAATGTTTAATGACACCAGACAACATATTGTCTTCGTTCAAGTTGATAAGATGTGGGGTTGTCTGCAGCTTTTCGTTTGCAGCATCATCTGCCGGATCCGTTTCACTTCGCGATGCTTGGAGCTGTGAAGAAAGCACAAGGAATTAGGAAAGCTGCTAGAGATTTTTGGTAATCGAGTAACAGAGAAACAATACAACAAATAGTGCACTTTTAGTTTCCATTGGAAGTAGGAGTGCCATAATATCATCTTATCCGATGCTACTGACGAGAAAGGATTCAATTTTGTTACAAGTTTTTATGTATATGCAGTCCCGTTGGAACGAAATTCATATTGGGGGCTGCCCATTGTATTCCTTCTCATTCAATACAATGTAATAAAGGAAACATACTCCAAGTTGACAATCATTGGGGGGCTCCAGCCGCCCCCCCCCCCTTCGGTTCCGACGGCCCTGATATGTAGTTCTAGTATAATTTACGATGTTCTCCAAACCACAGCTTTTTGCTTCTCAGAATATCGTCCTAGCAGTACTGTAAATTGCTTTCATGTCAGCAGTGTATCTCGTTATATGTATTGGTAGATGTATATTGGATTGTAAAAAAACCTGACAATACATTGAAAACTTGCAACCTGCAGAAGCATGCAACAAATATGAATGACAAATAATCAACGTGTTAAAGAGCATCAAAATTGTCTCAATGGTCTACGTTTCCCAATAATAAGGTGGAGAATAGCACATATAAATCAAAACAACAAGTAAAAGGCGTAAACCTTTTCATCCCAACTCATCATTGCCATAGCGTTCGCTTCAAGTTGAGCACGTATTTCTTCTTCCATTTCTTTTCTCATTCTTTCCTTTTCTAAAATGGTTCATAAACGAGTTAGAATAGGGATTACGTTTGCACAGCGCAACTTTAATGGACTAAAAGAAACAGCCGTTTGAAATGGATTGTCACCAAGAAACGGATGCAGACTATTGGCAGCTGCAAAATTATACGAGGTGGAAAAAAATAGTGTAATTGAAAAATACGGTTGAGCATTGCCCATGTTAAGCAGTATATTCTGACAAAGACTAAGGATTTCAAATTTCTTCAAATCGCTTCAATTTAAAATTAGCTTACATTGTATTATTGGCTAATATTAAACTCTGAAAGGTATTTTTACACAAATAGAAAGTCATGTACATTTTTTCTAGTTCTGATACTAGTTTCAACACTATACGCTGGTTATATATAGAAGATTTGAAAACGATTTGGGGGCTGGACAACAATTCTTCATTAGCAGGTAGCGGAACCTGTGATTATCGTCAAGTACAAGGAAAGGAAATGGTGTTTTGTGCACTGCATAATGTTCAATATCTGAGCAATATTAAAGGCGAGAGCAATATGTTTGTTAACATAATACCACTTGAGTTTGATGACATATGTTCAGTACTGACTTCAGATAGATAGGCAAAATGCCACCATCTGCAGGGAATATGTTGCTGCTAAATATTACCAGTTTAAAGACAAAAATTCGATGCAGAGAAATGCATTGTGTTATATACACATAGAAGTTAACATGCTCAACCCTGGCCTATTTTTGAAATACGTCAGATCGATGATTGCTTACACAAAACGACGAATGCATGCCATCAATGAGCGACTCCGAATTGGCAAAGCTAATGTGGTAGAGGTCCCGCCTCGTAATTTTGAACCACGTGAACAAGCGAGGCGAAAGACAGACCACCAAAAGACAAGAGGAAGATTTATCAGAGAAAGATGCTGGACAAAGTGATGAAGAAAAGGGGTAGAGACAAAGCAAAAACAAAAAGTTAGGGGTAGCAAATTACGGTTTTTAGTTGTGAAATCCATCATATAGGATGTTTTAGAACCGATTCTTATTTCTATGGTAACTTGAAAATTACCTCAACACTATTATCAGTACTCTGTTTCATTACCAGAAAAGACAATGGAACTTGACGGCAAAAAACAGTTAAGGAAGTCTTCTTACCCTCTTCGGTCATGGTTGCCCCAGGTGCGGACACTGGCAAATCTCCACCCATAGCTTTTTTCAGTCTTTCATTCTCCTCTTTGAGCTCCCTAATAAGTTTGTCCATAGGATTTTCATTGACAACGGCTTTGTTTTTGATTTTCTTTGCTCGATCAGCATATCTAAATAAAAACATAAACAAATGTAGATATAAGGAGGAAAATCCAAAAATCTGTGAAAGTCAAACGGAGCTTCTAAAAACATTGCTACGTAAGATGCGACAGTTTTTAGGGAGTTGAAGAAATTTTGCCTCCAACATGTTTTTAAAATAAGCAAAAAAATTGCTGCTTCTTTCATTTCTGCCAGAATGAAGACAGCTTCGCGTCATTTGTAGATTTCACATTTCATCAAATACATTTAAATTGAAATTTCTGTAACAAACAATTTTAATATCGTTCAGTTGGCAAGTTTACATTACAATTATTATTGCTATTAATTTCAATACCGCAAAAATTAAAAAAACTGTAAAATTATAATTAAACTTATCTTTTCATCGAGCTGTTTGAAACAAAACTTCATGCATATTTTGATTTGCCTCTTTAGTGCATTTAGCAACTAAGGGTTGTGCTTCTTCTGAATAACATACGAAAACGTTTTTCCTGTTACGTTTTTCGTTTGGCATACAAAAATGTTAATGGAATTATGAACTTAAATCCAAACAAGTAGAATCTTACCGAAGCGTGCCGAGGGTTTCATCGTAGTTAATATCAGCAGGAGACAAAGCTGCTATCATAATGGTCTTACTGTTTCCACCAAGTGCATTCTGCAGCAACTTGGTAAGCACTGAATCTCTGTACGGCACAAGCACTTTCTTTTTGCCCATTGACTGATCAGCCAATGCTGAGATGACATTGCCAAGAGCTGATAAACTCTTGTTGATGTTAGCTCCTTCCTTGAGGCGATCACCAGTCGCTCCAGTGCTGTCAGCACGTTCAGAACCTAAAATTCGTTAAAAACTAGCGATAAAAGAGGAAGTTTTCGATTTTAACCTGCAGTTCTATTCTATTTTTTCTTCACTATTATGAGAGCAAGGACCTACAAGGCTAGAGCTCATTTTGAAACATGTAAAGGAGCTAATAGAAAAATCCAGCTTCACAACTTTCATGTAAAGCTTCATGAAACTTTATGTTTTATTACAGACAGTTCCATATCTATGGATAGAAAACTGAGCACGATTTCCTTCTATCAGGTTTCTAGCTTTTTTACCACTATGGCAAACGTAAGACTTGCTAAGCTCTCTGCAATGTTATCATTGACAAACAACCCTTTATGATAAAAGAACCTACTGATATGTTATCATTAAAGAACAATCAATCATGAGAAAAGAACAACCATTTTTTAATCTAGACCACAACTTATCTGATAATTCATAAAATAAGCCGATCAAATCATCGATATTTTATCAATTTATATTCAAATTCACACGCGTTCCATAAAATCAAAACAAATGAAACTACAATTACCTGCCAAATCTACAAGGTTAATAATACTGGTTTTCTTAGTTTCTTGGCCCATGTCATTTTTGCATATCTGGTCAAACTGAATTGTGACGACTGTGTGAGCACGTGAGCTTGTTGCGTTCATTTGAGTTGACGCAACAGTTCTGTTTGCAGTGCCTAGAAATAAAAAAAGGACAAATCAAAGATTTTCCGGACTTTGGAGGATCATGCAGATACTTTGGCACGTACCAACTAAATTCTAAAAAAAGGATGAAAGACTTTTTACCGATATTAAAATCAGGGCGAGACAGAAATGAGGGCCACTGATATTTGACAATGTAATAATATCTTGGCATATAAAATTAAAGAATGGCAAAATTAATGCAAAAACAGAAAATTCGAGTTGATTTTCCTTGAGTTTTTTGATAAAAATAACCAGAGGCAAAAAAGACGCAAAATTCATTGCAATTTATCTAAGAAGCGAAATAGAATCCAGTTGAATTAAACTCGAAGCAATTCAAAAAAACTTGGTCCATATTATGGAGATATAAATAACAAGGAGACTGAGAATAAAGGATAAGATATCTGCACTCAGAATCGTTAAAAATTGCGGAGCTTCGAATTCCACCCACCCTCTTCTGTTCTTTTCTCAATTTCCTTATAACTTCCCACGGCTACAAATTTTAATCCTTGGACGTAGAAGGCACCAATTTTGGGATTTTGACGCACCTAAAGTCACAGAAAATAAAAAGTTTGGAGGATTCGAAGGCACAAATAGCAATTAAAGAAGAATAAACAAATTGAATTTACTCAGAAAAGACTAAAAGAAAAATTCTAAGAAAGTTAGTAAACGTATTTAATACAAAGACAGCGAATATAATATATATCAATTCAACAAAAACAATAAGCAGTAATATACCACAATTAGTAAGAAAAAATCAATGTGCTTAAAACATCACAAGAAACGTTTTTAAGACAGATTCTCTGTTAGTTGCCGGATCTGACAATGGTCGGTCAAAATTTGATTGGCAAGCGATCGGGTTCACTTTTGATACCAGAAGGCAGTGAATCTGATTGGTCATAATTATTTGTCAATTATAAGCAACCAATCAAATCACGGCTTTAAATTTAAGGTTAGCTGTAAAAATACACAATGGCAACCAGGTCTTTTGGAGAAAACAGTTACAAAAACAGACAATCTAAGTAGGTAAACACGTGTTTTCAAGTTTCACCATCTGAAATGAATTGTGTCAGAAGCTGAAGTCTTTTAATAGAAAGCCAAACTCTCGAGTCCGGATTTCGAGCTTAACAAGCACTAATAAAGAATTCAAATCCACTGCAACTCACATCATCTTACATGATGTAAATAGATTATCATGATTATCATGACACTAACCTGCAAACCTCCTTTTGGGTTTTCTTTTGTGAGCAAATCTCGGACCTGCTCGTTATAGATCTCCAGCATGCTGAATGTTACTTGATATTTCTAAGGAAAAAGGTTATCAAATCAAACAAAGTAAGTACAGGAAGGTACTGCATGCATAAACATATTAATAGAAGGCAGAATTGATACTAATCAAGTCCTTTAACATTGACCAACGACATGGACAAAGTGAGCGAAGTGAGTATAGAGGGCTATTCAGCAAAGGAGATCTTGAAAGCCCTTAAGAAATTCAGTTAGCTATCTAAAATTGCCAACACGCTATTAAGAAAAATATAATAATACTTTTGACCATTGATGAAAACATTTTTTCAGGGTGTTGTAGTGCCGTATAGATAAGCCTTACTTCCCAAGTATACTACTAGACATATTACGCAGACTGTAATCGTTCAAAAAATCACTCCTGGCACATCAAGGAAGACTACAGTCCGCAATTTATGTGTTATATATGAATGCAACGGTGGTACTTACAATGCTTCCATCGCCCCTTTCAATGATTTTGAACAACTCGTCACATGTAATAGGTACAATACCTCTGGAAAGTAATATAAGATAACGAAATAATTGAATTGAAATATCGAAATAATCCTGTTTAGCATAGTTCACGCTACTATTCTAATGAAGTATTGAGCAAATAACAGGCTTGGATTCCGTCTGGTACCATTCATTAGAGAAAAAGCTTATCCATGAAATATTTGTTAGGCAAAAGAGTCTTTCACCATGGCTAATTTCAAATAAAGAAAACTGACAGCAGTAGCATCGCAAGTACCTTCTGATAGAAGCTATATGGCGCGAGCCATTCCTTATTTAACAAACATCAGAATTAAAAAAGATGCTCAAAATTTCATACTTGTTCTGTCCATAACCGACCATGGAGTATGATTTTCCAGCACCCGTCTGTCCATAGGCAAACAACGAACAATTGAATCCTGATGAAGTATGTTAAGAAAATGTCGAAAAACTTGGAGTCAAGTCAAAGGAGGGAATTGTTATCGAAAACTTTCATAAGAATGATCTGCTTTTTTGGTCTTGAATGTTAGAACTTTTATCTATTGGATTAAGTTTCAATCCACCATTTTGGTTAAAAGATTATATAAAAAGCTACTTTTTTGGTTCAGCATATTCATCGTGTTGTTGGGGTGAAATCTTCTCTGTATATTTATATTCTTCGTTTTGCAAAATATTCAGGCTACCATTGGTGGCTATTTCTGTTTTGATACCGTTCGGAAACATTAAGGCTATGGGTGAGCCCCTCTTGAATAAAACAAACCAAAGAACGACATGGTATGAAAAGAAGCTTGAAACAGGATTGTCAAATATCACAAGTTGATTTAACAGTTACCTAAGATGGCATTGTCCAATACACCTTGGCCTAGATCATTAAACACTGTTCGTTGATCGGCGTATCTTGGGTTGTCTGCAACAAGTAAACCATCTGGCAACTCTTTAGCTCCATCATGAGACCTGAGGAATAAATGTTCACTTAAGTTTATACCAGGGATTAGAGGCTTGAGGTTTTTACCATTTAGTAAATCCAAAAAGTATTTACAACAATCGAATGAGTTTCTTTGTTCTTAACTATCAGCAGAGTGATTTTTAGGCCCATCCACGTTCGCTTTGCATCTGCAATTCCTGCTAAAGAAAACATCTAAAAAGCTTCCAAGTATATGAATTATATTCCTATATTTATGTTATGATTGACCATTGCTGACCGATGTGTCAATTTTTTCTCCTTCTCGAGATTCTTTCTTTCAGGGTCCAATGGTCCAATAGTTTTCCGCTTTTGCTTCCAAAAGTTATGTCCCAAGCTGCAAATTATTTTTGCGTATTCGCCCTTGTTTCGTATTAAAAAGGGTTTGCATGAACAAATTCATGGATGGGCAAGAGGTTCGTTTTCTACAAATACCAAAACGTTGTACTTACCAATATGAGAAATCAAAAGAGAACTGAAAAAAGATAAAAAACATCATTAGTTAACAAATAAAAGGATTTGAATAGCAATTTATGTATCTATTGCAGTACATGAAATTCGTTTTCTCCATTAGAATATTACTGATTTACTATCAAAACAGAATTAACAAAGACAATTTTTACCACAGGTTGTACTACCAACACAAAATAAATGGTATCCAGATGTCGTCTAGCATCATATCCTTGCTATTTTCAACCAACCATAAAATAAACTCTGCAAAACCGTTTGATTTGAAGAAAAAAACAGAAAAAGCCACATGACACCAGGTATAAACATTGGATGAAAGGAAAATGGTGTGTGTGGTTGCTAGCCCATAACATAGTTGAAGGCAAGGCAAGGGTCCTCATTTGGTGAAAAAGTTTCGGGATCCAAGATGCCTTTGATTTTAAACGGAACACCTAATAATAAATTTTTGAATTAAATAGCAAGTGTTTGATATAACAAAGAACTTGACATTATATCATGCATACGCTACCAGTTACATTGAATAATAGAGTTTGTTTTAAAAGTGTATTGCAAGAGGACTAACTTTCTAAAGTAATTTCCTAAAGTATCTTATCTTCCAGTTTATTGACAACACATCAGCAAGGAAATTCTTAAGGCCTTCTTGAGTTGAATAAAAATAAACAATTGGGTATGGTGATAATTTGGTCCATGAAAAAGAACTATAATGGCACAAAAAGTTTACAAATATATACAATCAAAATCATTTCTTTAAAAAACTAATTTCTTGTACCAGAAGCAGATGTTTTCATTTCTATTTAGCAACAGATAAGAATAAAAATTGGAAGTACAAGATACTTGTGAGCCTTAGGAATTTGCTATCTGGATTAGATTGGCCTTGTAGACTCATCCTAGTGAGATCGGGGCACTTAGCAAAATTTAGTAATTATGAGATAGTACGATATTTGTTTAGAAACCAAGGTTGTGATGAGAGTAACACTGAAATAAAAATGAGCTGGTGGTAAGAATTTCAGACTCTGTACAAACAGTGTTTTTGTACTGTGTATAGAAGATGATCTAAAGGTAAACAATGGCCAGCAAAAGTGTGATTTCTAAATCCAGGAAAGCTGTCTATAGAGACAAACAAAAGGGCTATGTGTAATATTATTAGAAATTTGATATGCAAAGGCCTTTTCATGTTTGTAACCAATAAATTGCTTTTAGTAGTAATTTATGAAAAAGGTTTTACCCCTTAATGAATAGTAATGAATGAATATTATTACCTCTTTTGGTGGTTGATCTGCAAAGAAAGAAGAAAACATGGGTTGAATTCCAGTTAACAGAAAGAATGATCATGCCAAAAGCTTTAATGGGAGAAGGATACTCTAATTTTAAAAGACTCTATATAATGCCTCATGCTATACAGACAGGGCTGTACACACATGGTGCATAGGGCAGAACTGTTTTGAGCTTCAACTCTGAGTGATTGTCATACTAATGTGACAATCAACTGGGTGTTGGTCCTACAAGTTTAATATTTTTCAATTTAATCTTGTGTGATAAGACAATCGACATGTGGGCCAGGCCTTTTCCAGAAAGGCACTCGATCGATCGAGCGCGGGTACCTAGAGCACACCCAAAAAAGACTTGGAGAGCGATTTATAGGGCCCTTCAAAAGGTACAAACAATATTACCACGGAGCAAAATAAATTTTTGGAATTTGGTGAATAAACTTAATCAAGCATAAACAATCTTCCCAACAGACAGCAATATTTTGAATTGCGTTACCCCTTGAGAAAAAAATTCAGCAAATTCAATGTTAGGTTTTTGATACCATTTTTAATCTAATAACCCTCTAATAACCACCAAGGACACAGGCCATCAAGCATATTCTCTGGAAGATTTATTGGATTTTCAAGCAAGCTTCAATATTCTGTTGAAGTATTATTTTCTGTTTTCTCTCAATAGCTGTGCAAATCACCTGTTTAATCAGCGATCATATCTCCGCCCCAAATTATTGCATTGCCATTCAGCTTTCATTCGCTTTCGTGAGTAATAGATATTCTAGCGTGTTTTATAGAATGGATAGCATAAAAAGGGAAACAAAATTTAATGTTCGACTTAAAGCCATGCATTTTGATGAAGCAATATTTGCTAACATAACACAGTGATACTGACAGTGATAAAAGCTCATCAAATGATGGCAACTTACATATCTAGAAAAATCTGAACAATTTCGAGACTTTGCTTTGTTATATTTCTATATTTATATTAACATAGTGTTTGTTGCATGTTTTGTTATTTCATTTTATGGTGCTTTTTGGTATCACTGTTGAATCTCTTATTTAACACTCTTCCAAAGCTTTCGATATAAAGATTTCAATCTTCCAAAGCTTTTCAAGGATGCTTTCAAGGACATTTTATTTAGAGGTGCGAAATAGAGCGCCTAGAGTTTCTAAGGAGCTCGTTTTATAGAGCACCTTCATTTTGCTTAGAGCAATTTACAATGTTATCCACCATTACACAAAGACTGCAGCTCAATGCAGCTGATATAGCCACAGTGATGCAGCTTTGATCAATAGATTGGAGTTCAGTTGCAATGGATTTTAGAGGCAAGATATCATCAAATTTCCTAATCACATGTAGCTGTATGACTCATATGAATCTTCAATTAATGTCATTTTAAAACTTAACAACCATTTTTCTTCCACTTTTTTCAATCCAACATATGGTAGCTCTTCAGATGAATTCTTCTAAATCTTAAAATAAAATTTTATTTTGTTAACCATATTGGTTATTGTGCTCCATGCAAGTGAACTGCTATAATCGGATTATTCTGCTCCCAACACAGGCATAAAACCCTTCTGTCAGAAACTTACTTAGCTCCTCTGGGTTTTGGATGGTAGTCATTTTTCCTTGCATATCAATTACACATTTTGCATTTCTTTCTTTTTCCCTAAATATGATTAAGATGCATGTTAGTTTTTAACAGTGACAAATTACATGATTCAAATTATGATTCAGACTCCATAAGCAGTGAGATGAAACTTTTTATCAGATGAAACTTTACATTCTAGCAGTAAAAATATGAAGCAATTACATATTAAATAATAGGAACAAAGTAGTTTTGAAAACTGATTGATCTTTGAAATAATTAATTAGAAATAATCAAATGCATCTTTTGGATCAGATTTTAGGAGAATATTCAGAAGGAATGGTTTATCACACAGTTTTTGGATGTAACAAAAATGATTTTTCTGCATGATTCCACATAGCCTGTTAAGAAGTTCCAATTGTAAACGTTCTGGTTATACAAGTCTTCATTACTATCAAAAAGATAATTTTATGCAAGTTTCTTCTTTAAAAACAAGGAGGATATTTTCCACAATCATTTATGCCATAGCAAAATACACAAATTGTCATTTCAAGCAGAAATGTGTACTTTTTTAACATTGTTTCATTAACATATGTAATCTTCTTTTAAAGCAAGCTAATAAACATAAAAAAATGTTTCTCTTTTACCTGGAGTTAAAGGGACGAACCCTGACAGCTACACGAACCCTAAAAAGAAGATAAAATAGTTTCTCTTGCTTGGTGCATAAAACTCATAAAGTAAATTAAAGGAAACAACACATCTGAATTTGCTTGAATTACAGACCTTTTATTCAAGTATTAAAATATCTGTCATATACAAGATAAAATATTTATGCCCAAATAACATCTCTCCATTGTTAAAGCAAATTAAAGTTCTCGGACTAAATTCTACAAAGACTTGAACTTAGACAAAGACTTTTTGAAAAAACTTATAATGGTATTAAGCAATGAGAAAAAGTTATAAGAAGTGATAAACTCTTACATCCAATTTTGAACTTGTAGTTCTACCATGAAACAATTTTCTGACATAATTTACAATATCTAATTGGCCTTTAAAATTTAATTCTAATAACTATATCAGGATATTATTTTCTTAAAAAAATTCGTGTGTAAAGGAACAAGTTAATCAATTAGTTAAAATGGGTTTTGGAAAAAGTTTTATGGCAACAGTTCATTCTCATAAATGATTTAGATCAGATGAACACCGTTGTTGACATATTAATTCAAAACAAATTATTGTTTGTTATATACCAGCAATTTGATTTATTCAAATCAAAAAGGGACTTATAACGAAACCTTACAAGTTTCCAATGAAATTTCTCTAAATAACTGATTTGAAACCTGATATGGAGACTCGGGATGTCAGTACATTTGATATTATTTTGAGTGCGTTGGCAGGGTTGCCCTGTTACTCAGACGCAACATCCCACGTTGTTGTTTACAGTTGCGCCGAGCGGAGAAAAAATAATTTTTACAGTTTCTTCTAACGATAAATTTGATTACAATTAGTTAAAAATCCAAGTCAAGTGGACCCAAATCAAATACCAACAGTAAAATTACTAGGGTAGGGGCAGTTGTCACTGCATTCGAGCTTGCCGTTTCCATTTTCAACTGCTGCAATTTGATACACCGGCGCACTCAATAAAATTTTAGTAAAAAAATAAACTTTTAGAAACAAAGAAGAAAATCAGAATAGTAGCATTTTGACTGAAACAAAAGTTACTTAGTTGTTGTAATGTATATTAAAACTTAGCGGATGGCTGAAAGTGGTTACTGGCTTGACTTTACGTTAACTTAGGCCAAAAGCGGCTTCGAGAAAAAGAGGAAGTAATGAACAAAGGCCTCGGGCCCTCTCAAAAATGACAGATTTTTAATATCTGCGTTTTTGAAAGCACTTACGACTCGTCCGGCATGATTGTGGCTTTTTCCTTGCAATATCTTCTTTAGTTTTGGTTGAAGATTATCTTTGACATTTCAAGGGTAAAGGACGTCGGTTTTCGATTCTTCAGTGCACTTGTTGCTATGGACACATCCAAGTTTAGTATTATCACGTGACCAAATACTATTGTGGTTGAAAAAATTTACGTAAACAAAAAAGTTGTGTTGTTATTTGTTTCTATGGATCAAACTCCAACCCATCATTTCAAATAGCTATTGAAAAATACCTTTACTTTTAAATGTAATTATGAAATGATAGTTTCAGAACTATCGGAATTCTGCACCTGCTGTTCAACGTAACCGCAGCAAGTTTTTAGGGCTATCACTTCAAATCCTATGAAAACGAGCTATAAATTGAATTCTAGGCAAGCAAATTGAGCAAAGAGGTCAAAAAGAACTGCAATCTGTGGACGACGTGCGGCTTATGGTGGCGGAAGAAAGATGCATTGAGGCGGAAGAAAAATGGACGGGCTGTTCTTTAGGAAGGACGGGCTGTTCTTTAGGAAGGACGGACTGTTTTTAGGAAGGACGGGCTGTTTTTTAGGAAGGACGGGCTGTTTTAAGGAAGAACGGGCTGTTCTTTAAGAAGGCGTGTCTCAAGAACGTGAAGGCCTTCTCTATTCAAACCCTAATACGAGGGGAAATTGTTGAAAATTCTGTAGATGTTAAGATGAGGGTCTCCTGCGAGCGAAACGAGTAGAAATTTTTTGCAGCGACGACCTTGAGATTAGCTTCAAATACATTTCCGAATATTCACCCCCCCCCCACTCCCCCTCCCCCCCCCCCTCCCCCGCTACGCTACCGATAAGAAGATAAATACTGATAAGAAAATAGATAAAGTAAAATCTTGATGTTACTTTGCTACTACTGACTACCAACAAACGATTATTACTGAATAAAACAACATTTACCGAAGAAGACAGAAATATTGGGGGTGTCGCTTGCAAATCTGTGCATTTTTTTGCATTATTAAAATGTTAAGCTAAAAGCTGTCCAAAAAAAACATCACAAGGATAAGAAATAGCATGAAGATTTAATAATAACAAGACAAAATAATAGGATCTATTGAAGAATCGAATAGTTTTATTATATCATTATGATAATAAGAATTCAATGGACTAAACATAGTTGCGAGAAACATGTGTATCAAAAACTGATTTATTAAAGACTTGAAGACTGTAGTAAAGGCTTGATTGAGGAGCAAAAAGACTTTCTTGATTATCATTGTGTTAACTTTAGCAGTCATACCCAATGGCGTAGATTAAGGGGGGTTCAGTTCAGAGTGGGTGAGAAACTCCTCTGTAAAGCTTAACTACTACTTTTTCGGGAAACTTCAGATCTTATCGGAAATGTAACATTGTTACCTATCTTTTTATCTAAGCATTACATTTTGAGAGAAAATATTCGATGCGTCTAATTTATAAGAGGGCCAGACACAGAGATTCCTTAAACTCTTCTACTTCTCTATAATTGTTTATTTTTCTTAACTTTAAAATCTTAGAAAAAACTTTACCATTATTATAATCGTGCAATAAGCTTAAGTAGAGAGTAGAGAATTTGTATTTGTATTGTATTTTTTGCTAACTAGCATCCGAAAATAGTTTTTAGGACACTGAGAAGCTTATGCTTATCGAGCAGTGTCCTGGCCCTTCCTCTCGATGTGACCAGACCTCGTGATTCCTACGCCTTGAATTACAGAGAGCTGGCGACTCTCCCCACTGGGTGAAAGTTTGCTGATGCCAGGGACTCGGACCACGGACCCTTGGGTCTGTAGTCAGCGCCTCTAACAACTGAGCCATCCTCACACCTAGTATCTAGGTCCAGAGCTCACTAGGGTTCTTCTTAGTGTCCTAAGCTCCACCTCGCTGAAAACTATTGTAAAACGACGAAGAGAAAAGCATGTATATTCTGAATCTAGAAATTTTTCGATACGCTAGTAGTGCATATATTCTGTAATCTACCGTTTACATTAGTCGGAGCAGTCGGATAAGAGACAATCAATCTTGACAGGAAGCAAATTTCTATTCTCGTGAAAATTTCAAATTTTTGTCGTTTATTAGCTTTTTACTCTTTTTATTCTTTCTTATAGACTGCATTGCCTAAGAGGAAGTAAATAAGAAATTTCTAACCGAATAAAATGAGCAATATAGCATTATGCAACTTTTGGTTTAAAATAATGAATGTATTTTTGCTTAAAATTATGATACTTTGCACCTATCTGCACAAAAACAACTCGGAAAAAATAGAATTTACTGCTTCGGCCCATCCGACAATGGCATCAAGAACACTTCATGTGGTCCCTGAAATCTTTGCTGAGATTAATAAACAAGTTTGGCAACCCTGTACTATAGGGTCAGGACGTGGTGATTTTCAGTGTAACAGGATAATTCATAAATGTCAATCATGTAATTAACCTACTGTACGCCATTAGTATATATATCAAAGGATGTAAGCACAGAACAAGATCTTATTTCTTCATTTCTCTTATGAAATCCTCTCGCATAAGTCTGCGCAATACAGCGTAAGACCTTTACATCAGAAAGGGCACGGGGGGTGGGGCATCACAGAGGAGATGGATAATTACACCAAGGAAACCACGGTAGCAGTTTTTATCGAGATGGATCCCTAAAAGTGACCTATATCCCTGCTTCTTTTTTTAAGAAAATCCTATAAATGAAATTTACACCACTGTCGCTATTTATGCACAAACGAATCTGGTACCTGTTGAAAAGGCTTTGCTGTCGGCAGCATATCGACAATTATTTGGCATTGAAATCATACCCAAAGCTCGTTTAGTTTTTCTTTGTTAATGCTTATATCATCAAGTTAAAAGACTCTCTTGATTGGTATTCTATTCTGGTGTTTTAGTTGTTTGGATGTTGCTATTACATGTGTTTATATATTGTGCTGTAGTTGAAAGAGTTAAGGTCTTTGTTGATGAATAGCCAAATGTAGCTGTGTGACACACCCCTTGGAAAAACATTAATTGTATAAACGAGGAGTTTTTACTATCTAGGGAAGCTTCGTCGGCAAATTTTCAGATTTTTCGGCAAATAAAGGATGGTTCACCACACCACTTTTGTCGGCAAATGGGATCTGAGCTCTGAGCACAATGGCTAGCAACGGCCCTGGTATCGGTTCTTTTACTTAGAATTGTTTAGGATTTCATGAAATATTTTAGCAGAAGGACTTTCCAGAGAGTTTTGGCAAAAGTAATAGGATCAGATTCGTCTACTTTTCTACAAATATTGAGTTTTACAGTATATCGAACTTCAAATAAACACCTGCCTCTAATAATCATGGCATCCTATTCCTTTCAAGACAACATGAAAAATATACCATACCTTAAAATGTAACGAACACCCGGGCGCTTATTGGAGGAAATACCATAGTCAGTGGCATTCGAGCTAGTAGGGTGTGGTGTCTGAGGGGGAATGGGGTGGTGTCAATCCTTAGACATTGACACCAGTCCTGGTAGCTTTTGGGCAAATGCTTCGGTCGCCTTATCACAAACTGAGGCTCCACAAAGCAAGGAATGACGATAATAATCCTTCATAACAAGAAAAACCATTAGCACCTGTGGCTTACACAAAATATATTTAACAAAACAAGACAATATCTTAAAATCATACAATAAATCTGCACCACACTCGTTAACATAATGATGTATTTCACATATTTCATTCTATTTATAAACATACGCAATAAAGCGAGGGCACAACAGTCTGATCTAGAAGAAGTATCAAAAAAGCCCTTTCCATCACTTTACATACGAGTCTTAGCCCTGCCCTTGATCAAAAACAATTACGTTTGCAAAATTCAGATACCTCTTAAAGGACGTATGGAATATATGCGCCAATGAATTCAGGGGTAAAGGTGCAATGCTATATGAGTCAAACCAAGGGCTGTTTAGCGAGAAAACTCTCAGTGCAAAGGAGACTGGGTGAATTCAAATGCAGATAGCTAAATTTTCAACCTGTCAAAGGTTTCCTGTTACTTTGTAATGTTGACTTGGCATATGTGGGAGGCTAGGCCTTGACCTGTGTATGCGTTAAAAATTAGGACACTAGAATTAATATCAAACTATGTTGGAATAGGCTTGTCTTCACCATCGTCCTCTGTTTCAAATTCCTTTAGTCCTTCTGGTAAACTAGTATCTTCTTCTTCACCTCCAGTTCCGGCCACAAACTCCTCATACGTTGACTTTTCAAGGAATGGCCTGGGGCCTAGCAGGTCAATCATGTCGTCACGACTGAGAACCTCCTTTTCGAGTAGTCTTAATGCTACCTAAACAATGAAAAGCGAAAGAGTTTCGATAATGACGAAGCAACAGTAAGAATCAGTAGGATGCAGAACAGACAATGGCATTTAAGCAGTCCTGTAAAATATATTTTCCCAATCTGTTAAAAAAAGTTTATATACTGGCTTCGCATTTCCATTATTGTTTCAAGTTACCTCTTCTTTTGAAGCTTTTCTTTCAAATCAATAATTAGCCCGAATTTGTTAACAGTTTCAAGCAGTACAAAGCTCTCCTTCTCCCGATTTAAGCATTAGCTACAAGGATGGACAAATAAAGGGAAACTAGCTCACTCTAAAATATTCCCTTCTAGCAGAAGAAACTGTTAGAAAATCGAGATATTGATTTTTACTACATTCTGTTCAATTGTTTTAATGTGTACTACACTCCAATTAATTATGTGATGTGCCTGACAATTAGATTCACTTCTTTAGAATCATTACTTTTTTGGGGATTCTTTTTCAGATCAGCAACCAGATTTTTGGTTCAACAAATAAAGTGCTAAATAATGTTAAGTACAGACCTTTTCAACATCCTCCTTGTGTTTCTCGAGCAGATCAAATGTATTTTTGTGTGCTAAATCGATCAGTTCTCTAACTTGCTCGTCGATCAGCTGCGCTGTTGCCTCGCTATACGGCTTGTCAAGGCTAGGTTCACCCTCTCGAGGCAGGTCAAACGAAACATTTCCTATTTTTTCATTCATTCCGTACGTAACAACCTAGATAAGATTTCAATTAAAATAATTTAAGATATTACACAGCACGACTGTTATAAGGCAGTGGAAATTACAATAAAAATTGAAGATAGCGACGTCATTCAAACTCAAAAGTCTAACAAAATCTTCAAGATTAACAGCCAATGGTTCCTTAAGATATGATAAAAGCTGTTAAAAACCTTTAATTCGCTATACATTTGGCGAGAAACCTTGTTTTTAAATAGAAACAACCACAAAATACAGGGGAGCAGCAGTTTTGTCTGGCAAAAATGCTGTAGTATTTAGAAGTTCAGCTTCAATAATAAATGAAAGCATGCAGATAGACTGGGAGTTCGATCGAAGGTACAACATAATGATTGCACATAATTCAAGGAAATCGACCTAGCAAAGAATGATAGCTCTTTTCATATCCAGCAAGAATGCAAAATAGAATCTGACAGAGAAAGACCTCTAAGTAGTATCCTTTGTTGACCCTAGGCTTATAACATGAAGAAGAATATTAGAACAAAATGATATACATACCTGCGCATAGGCATTTTTAGTTATTTTGCTAAGGTCATCTTGAGCTCCTGTCGTAATTCTTCCAAAAAATATCTCTTCAGCAACCCTGCCACCAAGGGTCATGCACATCCGATGGAACAGCTACAGAAAAAGAAACTTTTTACGTCACAATAAAAAAAATTGTTTTCATAGATTTTAAAGCCAAATTTTCTGGAATGTTTAATGACGTATCCACAAGTTTTTCGATGATTCAGGGTCTACAGGAGAAATTTTTAGGGATATTAAAGTGTTTGCCCAACCTTCATATGGAATACACACTGTTATATTCAAAGCGAGAAAGGAATAGCAGTAATCAAGATAAAACATTACAATATTTCGAGGAAAATTAGACGCAACGTGCTCAGATTTAGGCTAACGTACCTCGTGGCCCTACTAAAGGCTGCATAACTACTATCTCGTTATTACCTTTCTCTTAAGTTTACGAATTAAGAAAAAATTATCTTAAATTCTCCGCCTTTAAAGAAAACTGGTTTTGGCTATACAAATCAAATGCCCGCTTGAGCTGTGATTAGCTACATAGACAGAATACAATATTTCCAAATACAGAAGAAAGCAAAAATACACTGGAGGCAGGCTTTCAAGTTGCATAACTACTATCACGCAATCCTTTTTCTCGAACGTTTTTGAGTAAACAGAGAATCTCTTAAATTCAAATCCTTTTAAAAAGACGGCTTCTAAATATAAACAACAAAATGCAAATGATAATTAGTGACACATGTGAAGCATCGTATGGCAGCCCCAGCCTCTCTAATCCCTCTAACAAGATCAATGTGTTAATCTAAACTTTGCTTAATGTCTTGGCATTTCTAAACACAAGTATTGCGGCATTATTACTCACCTGCTCTTTCGAATAAAGATACTGCTCCCTTGGCAAGTATTGCGCGTAGCCCAACCCTCTGCCACGCGGAATAATTGAAACCTACGGTAAAGCAAGATAAAATAAGTTTGGTGATAATTCCTGATCTATGGAAAAGCATGGTAAAGCGTAGGCGGTCGTTGTTGGAACAGGTCAAAGGAACTCGTAACCGAAATATAAGATATTTCAACTGTAAATAGACTTTAGGGAAAGCTGATGAATAACAAAAAATGCCAGGTAAATGATTGGGTTCCACAAGCTCAGGAGCAAAGGAATCCCAACTTACAGAGAAAGAAAGTTTTTGCAGTTGAAGGGAAAGTGAAACAAAAAAGTGACACAGCAAGGATGTGAGGAGCTTGGCACAAGGAAGGTGTCCCAGGCACTGACTAGAGGTATAGCGCTAATGAAAGCCAAGGGAGAAATTTATACGAGCTCATTATTGAAAATTATCTTAATGAATACAGCAAAAATCTCAAGTACAAACAAGTACCATTAACACTACCAAAATGAGTGTTTAGTGGTGGTAGAGCTGGTTTCTGAAACATAGATGTCAGCGTACAAGGACAAAAATAAGAGACGCTGCCAAGAGTAGGAGGTATGCGAAGATTGATAGATGTTGAAGCCTATCATGAATTAACATCAAAAAAAAAGTTTCAAAAACGATCGAAAAAACAGACACCTAAGACTAAACTACCAAGTATATTATTGTTTTCAAAATAAATAGCAATGGATACTCTTGATACCAATGTTGACAGAACTCTTCTTCTTAAATAGTAGGACACAAAATTGTCGTTGGAAACGAGTAGCTAGGCATTATACCTCAAGTAAGTTACTAAAAAAGTTATATGGAAAACAAATGAACGCTTCTTTTAGCAAACTATATTTGGTATATGATAACACACAACGCAGTCGTGCAAAAATTGGTTATTTCGAAATCTGGTCACCTTTAAAACAGGATCAGCATGCTCTAAAAACCATCCGGCAACAGCATGACCAGCTTCGTGATAGGCCACTGTTTTCTTCTCTTCTGGCTGCAGCACTTGGGTTTTCTTTTCTAGGCCTTAAAAGAAATCGAACCAATTACATAAAAGTGTACAAGCAAAGTGCAACTGGAAGCGTCTTCAGTGTACGCAAGGGGCAAGAAATCTGTTTTTCAACTCAGTTTTGCTAATTGTTACTTCAAGCATAATGTGCATTGCTAAATCAGCCAGAATTTTTTACAGCTCTTTCAGATTGCCGAATGCTGTTTTCCTGTAAATTGTTCATGTACGATCTAAAATACGTACTTATTTAGATCCGATTATTGAAGATTCAAATCGGCCTTTTATCAAATCTTTAATTTTAGTATTTGTCGCATTGGTTTTTTTATCTTTCTTCATTAAAGCAGCAAATTGTCTTTCTTAAGCATATCTTATGCTACGAAATTACTTGCTAAGTCCGAATTGAAATTCGATACATATAGCATTATGGACTTTTCATATGCAAGTTAATTTAGATCAGAGTTCTTATACAATACTTTGTAAGATCGAAAGCCTTTTAATAGGTTACCCACCTCCAATAACACGCTCAATAGCTTGCTCAAAATGCTTCATCTCCACCATTGGTGACGAAAACCTTGCAGCAATCAATGCAGCCTCATTGCAGACATTAGCTACATCAGCGCCTAAAAATTGGCAGAAAAACATAAACTTTAGTAGCTATTTTGCTAAGTTAAACATTTGCCTAAATACGTAGCTGCAAAGGTTAAACCTAACGGTTTGCTTTCTGAAAAATAATAATTTAAAATTCCTTTTTTTTTAATACAGAGATATGTAGATATAAATAAACAGATAAATAAAAAAGTACGTAAATAAATAAATAAATAAATAAATAAATAGATAAATGAATAAATGAGTAAATGAATAAATGAATAAATGAATAAATGAATAAATGAATAAATGAATAAATGAATAAATAAATAAATAAATAAATAATTAAATAAATAAATAAATAAATAATTAATTAATTAAATAATTAATTAAATAAATAAATAAATAATTAATTAAATAAATAAATAAATAAATAAATAAATAAAGTTAAATACATAAACAAACAAATAAAGAAATAAATACATAATCCAAGCCTCGACTGTCCCTAATAATCTGCCTTTGTAAAACATTTGGTACCCTAACCATCAAACAGAACGACAAAAATGTAAAGGGGTGAAGGATAGCAGTCGAACTAAAGGCATGCTTTCTGGTTTATCACACATGTGGAGTGCTAGAAAATTTTACTCGGGGAAATTACAAAAGAAAAGAGCAAGGGGACCGGCTACAATGGTGCTGGAAAAATTACTCCGAGAACTGGCAAAAAAGGGGAAGAGGAGTGACTACAATGTCATTGAATATATATAAAATAAAGGAAACCGTGATATCATCGTGCCGGGCATAAGCTACCCTGGGTTCCAGAGCGTCAGTGTCGAGGAAGACTTCCTCTCTTCTCTCCTCCTCCGCACTATCCGACGCCCCACTTGCTACACTTGACGCTCTGGAACCCAGGGTAGGTATAAGCGAATTGTCTGTATAATTTAAATTTAACCTGTGAAGCCGGGGGTATATGCTGCCATTCTCCTTGCAACTTGTTCAATATCCAAGTCCATTTTTAAAGATTTAAGATGAACCTTGAAGATCGACATCCTGCAAAATACAATACATTTCAGCTTATTAGATACACGAGAACGGAATACAATTCTGTAGATAGTACAATACATGTGTCAGATTAGGTTGACACATGTAGTTAGATTAGGTTGAAAACGCCGACTTGAATATTGGACAGTTAATCTGAAAGAACATCATAAGATGATGCTACCGTTATAAAAGTTTCCCCTACAGTTATAAAATAGTTATACATAGGATAAAAGAATGGTAGACTATATTGGCTGCGATGAAGACAAATGACCTCGTTCGCTTTCCCTATCCAATCATTGTAATTTGGTTTTGGTTCTCATCTCTGTGACACTTCAGATTTTCAGACAGTAGATATAACTGGGTTTGCAAATTCAGAGGTATTCAGGTGACAGGGTCAAATAAAAGTATCGAAAAATATACTTTAACGACATCATAATTTTAAACACCATTTTTAACATTCTGATTTGTGACAGTTTTTGTTTGATAACAGTACTTGCAGAATTGACAAGGTATAAATATTTCTTTTATCATCATCATTTTTATTTCTGATCAGTTAGAAAACTGCACGACTTTCTATATGTTGCAATTTTTTGTGATCAATTGATTATCAAATGCCATTCTATGGTTTCTTTTCGTTATATTCTTTCGATTATTTTGTAAATATTTTGGGACAATTTTAGTAGTGCACACGACTAATAAGGGCTTTCCTCTCGGGGTACCAAAATTTAGTAAAAACGGCTCCATGTGATATTTGGAAATCTCTGGATATCAATTTATTTCAAAATGCGTAATTACACATAATTGGTAAAAGTCTAGAAGAGAAATTGGTCAGAAAATGGCAGATTAAACTGGCAAAGAGAATCGTTTCAAACAAGGCGGAAAATTAAATATAAAATATAGATAAATGTATATTTAGCATTGTGAGAACGGGAAGTAACTCCCACAAGCAAGGTACGGTGATACTCATTAACTCTTCAGTACAGTTTCAGTTTTTTTGCAAGTGGCTCAAACGAGCATTGTTAAAGACTCATTGCTAACAATGGGCCTTTGCGAGCGTGGCGACGGTCCAGACAATGGCAGTAAACTTCTACGGATTAACCAAAATTGATTTCAGACAGTCTAAAAATGCATTATGGGATGCTTGCGTAGCGCAATGACTCATTGTTAGCAATGAGTCTTTAAGATACGTTCCTTAAGTGTTAACAACCACTTAGGCTTAGTGCAATGAAAAAGCTTTAATATCCTTGCAAGGAAATATAATAACCAATCGCAGGCCAGGTAGATACGATGGAGACTAAAAAAGGGGAAAGGATTGTAAAGATATACAAACCTTCCTTTAATATCTGGTGGAGGAAGGTGAATCTGTCGATCAAAACGGCCGGGTCTCATAAGCGCTGGGTCTAATACATCTGGTCTGTTAGTGCCAGCAAGAACAATAACATTAGTCGTCGACGTAAAGCCTAAAAAGATAATTTAATTCTGATCAGAAAAGTCCTTCATATTCTTTCCTTTGTCGAAGTGGAAAGAGAAAAACAAAGACACGCGACCTCCAAAAGTTACGCTGATAAGGTATTTAAACCTTCGTTTCTTTTTCAAATATGGACAATAAAGAGTTTATCTTTAACTAACAGTAATTTTTTTGTGTCAAGAAATTTTCCCTTTGAGAGATAGAAAATTCTTGGATGAAAAAGCAACAAAAAATTAAAGAATTTTCATAATTAGGAACATAGAAATGGAAGCAAATTAAGTCGCAAAAACTAACACACCAGCAAACGAACTCAACTTGAAATTTACATAAGGTACTTCTCCAGCCAAGCCTAGGAAATTTTTATAACCTCTTTCACATATATCTCATGTCCTTGCTTATTTCTATTATGATTGTGAATATGACAGTGCCTTAAGGGGTGAAAATGCCCCCTGGAACGGCTCCCTGCTTTATCAAAAAGTCCGTTCTGATACTGTCAATTTACAAAACGGAACCGAAGATTTAAACATAGGCACATGGCAGAATACAAATGGCTACATCAAATTCCATGATGAGATTTTTTTCCTTGCAGATACAGCAGCTGGAAACACAGATAAAATTTGATACAGAAAAGTAAAACGAAGCTATTTCTATTTGATAATCAGCAAACAAATAGAAAATTTGTCAAATAAGTTAAGGAACCATTCCTAAACCAAAACCAATAGACATATTTGGTCACGGATAAAGTTGACGCCTATATAGCTAAACAGGTTTCGATTCAAAACCACATCTGGCCAGAATCTGATCTAAAATTTACAAATTCAATAAAAAGGAATACATTTAAACTTATTACAAAACAGAAAAGTCAATTAAGAACACGGTTATTTGTACAATGGTGATCCTGAATGAATGTTTATATAAAACCCGCATTTTTACGATTGTGCATTCCAAGTTTTAATATGACCTGATAAGACTGGACCTCGGAGAAAGGCAGTAAGGTTGTACCACGCGTTCACTTACAAAGGAAAACAGAACCCCAGAATAAATACGACTATAATGCAGAACATAGGGTGCACAACAGATGTGGGAGGGGGCGGGGGAAAACACTCAGTAAACGGCAAACAGCATAATGTCGCTAAATTTCCTTTTCAATATGTACCAAATTTAATTTTTTGAAAACAGGGCTAATTCGGTCTCTGCAAGGCAAGAAACGGGGAACAGGTGTTTTTAGTAAAATGCCTTACAGCACGTGGTAACTGCAAGCATACCATCCTTAATACCAAGGGAGCCTAGTTGCAAACAGCATGTTGGAGATCATGTTTTCATTTCAGCCATTGTTGAAACAGCAAAGAGATAGAGAAGAATCATCCATACATTCTTGATAGGAGGTAACGGCTCCTTTAAATACGCTGATAAATGATACGGGGTTAACGAGGCAATATTTGATGGGTGAAAATAATGGTCATGATAGAAGCGGGTAACGATGACAAATGATAGCTTGACTCACCATCCATTTCAACCAACAGTTGATTCAGCGTGTTTTCGCGTTCATCGTGTCCTCCAAAGGCGCCCGAACGGCCTCTTGCTCTACCAACTGCATCGATCTCATCTATGAATATAATACAGGGCATATTCTTCCTAGCAGTTGCGAATAGATCTCTCACCCTTGCAGGGCCAACTCCAACAAACATTTCTAGGAACTCAGATCCCGAGACAGAGAGGAATGGAACACCAGCTTCACCCGCAGTGGCCTTGGCAAGCAAGGTCTTCCCTGTGCCTGGCGGTCCTGATAGGATTGCACCCTAAAAAATGACAAAGTGTGCACTGAAACAGGAGAGGAGCCAAGGCAATGGTCTTGAAAACGCGAACCTAGAAGCAACAGACAGTACAAACGCACCACTTAGTCATGTCCTTTCGGATAATCCTTTAAACCATAGACGATCACAACAAAGATATTATTTCGGATTCAAATAAATAACTGTTAAGTCACACACCCCCAATTGAATCTCAGTAAGAAACTTCAGGTAAAATCCACTCATTGGAAGAAACGGTTTAGATAGTTCAGAGACTTTCAAGTCTTAAAATCAGGGGCGCCTACACAGGGGGCTGGAGGGGCGGCAGAGGGGGCTAGAAGTGCCCTGGAATATAAGAAAATACTATAGGATCTTATCGATAATTGATGACCACTTTGACCACTCTTCTTATGTTAATATATATTAGAAAATATCAGAAAGATATTAATACCAGCACAATAACGCAAAGGATAAAAGCGACAAAGATAATAGATGATAAACAAACGACTTGTTCCCTCAGAAGTACTCCAGGAATCTTAGGAGGATAAATCGGTATAAAAACTTAGCGGGCAATCAAAATTTTACAACCAGCCCATTTATAACAGCCATGATTTTTTATAAACCAAATATTGTGAATAGTGACAAGACCAATAAATACCCATTTTTATGTATGGATAATTTTGTCAACATTTTCTCTATGTTTAGAATCTTTGATGGTGTAATAGAGCTAAATTTAGCAATTTCACCTGGTTTTTTGTATACGTAGGTATTTTATATATTACGTAGATTATTAGGATATCCCCTTGTGCACGCGAGAGATGATCCGAAGACTGAAACTTCAAAGAATGACAATTTCTTGCGAGCGGCTATACTTTTCCTTATTTCTATGGCAATTATATGCCGTAGAAACAAATTGACAAAATGTATTGAAGAGGTTTATGTGAGCAACTAAAGAATCTTAGGTAATATTTTTCAACCAGGAAAAATTTTTAGTCCACACAGCCTCCTCCCCCCCCCCCCCCCCCAGGTCTGCCTCACAGCGGTCTCACACAAGATTACAAGAGACGTAACTCTAAATTTACAAATTATTCATTCATTTGATTACTTTAGTAAGGCACGAGGAACGCCCATCCAGATACCTATTCCGCTGTTTTTTCAGCTGTGTATGCAAACTTCATAATCCAGTCAGGTGGTAATTTCAGCTGGTGTTTACAAACAACAGTGAAGAAAATAATTCCAACTAATGCAAAATTGTTTATTTTGGTCACTAAATAAAAAATAAAAATAAATGTCTTCCTTGTGCTGCTTAAATTACCGCAGTTCCTTCAATATTCTAACTTGTTCTATTTAATTCATTCGATTTTAAGAACACTCGAATCTCAGTCGAAGCAACATGCAACGTAGCACCTATTATGCATCATAGTATTTAAAATAGGGAGTTTGTTTTGGATATTTTTAGGTGGAATAGTGACGGGTATATAAATTCTGATGTCTCTGACAAATCTTGAAATTTCGTTCAAACCCAAAAAATTTTAAAACCCTTTAACAGAAATATTGGGATAATAAAAGTTCCAAAATCTCGTCCACATTTCGGAAGTGTGGTGCCTTTCGTTTTTCACAACAAGTTTTGTTTTAGTATAAATTTCAGTATAAACTACCACGAGTAAGATCAACCAGTTAATATCGAAATTTATCTGCATTAAATTTTGTCCCTGCCACACTAAGCTCCAGCATTTCTAAATTTCCTATGCACCCCAGTAGCTGAGCCCCCTTCAAAAAGGAGCGGGCGTGATAAAGGAAAGAGGGATATTTTTTTAAGCTTTATACGAGAAAAGCAACGTGTATTCCCCACAGTGCCGTTGACAAAAGTGGAGAAAATGGAAAGGATCATGAAAACCTCCGTCTCGTGTGCTATGTTTTTAATTACTGTCATGTATTTAGTTAGTTAAACAGCCCAAGCTGGATAAGTCCATACTTTCTTGGGTCGTGTATATTACAAGTCCATACTTTCTTGGGTCGTGTATATTATAGTATTAACTTAGTATTCTTCTTCTGTAGTATACGAATAAAATTGACTGAAATTTAATTGAATTCTAAATCAACAGAGTCAGGCAATTCACGGTCTCAATTCAGCCATTTTGGGTATATTCATGAACAATATAGACTTCTGACATCAATAGCTTTGGAAATGATCAAAGAAATTGATTTGGACTAAATTGATTTTACTTTCTCGAACGCCTGAATGAGTTTGATCAAGATAAAATGAGGAATATTTTATCCTGATTTGATGTAATCCTTAAATCTGAATGACGTATAGCATACTTGGTGGGTATGACCAGAGCTCTTTCTTTGACTCTTTCATTACGTCAATACACTTTGTTTTTCTAACAATTAGTAAATTGAGGTTTTGGCAGATTGATCTTATACTTCCTTAAACCTAAGACTTGATTAGTCTTTGCTTGTTTCTAGATCATTAGGGTGTAAGCCTTATATTGGATATGCATAATGCACGTATTATTTTCTTTGAAAACACAAGCAAAAGATATAGGTTTGAAAAATGTTTTTCAGGGTGGAGATCAAGGTTATTGAGGGGCACTTGTTTGTTGACTTATGTTATTTAAAGCTAAACCCCACAAAACCGAAAACAAAACTATAACTTTCGATTTCTATAACTAAACTATAACACACAAGTACAAAAAAAATGAAGCAGTGAAGTATAATATTATATCCGATAAAGGCAATCTTTAAAGCCTATCTTCCAAATTATGATACGCATATATGAAAATGATATTTGCCAAGGAATACAGCTGGATCGACTTGGCGGTTCAATGCTAAAGATCGGATCGCAATACGTAAACGGCATGAGAATGTCGAATAACGTTATAATCCGGTAGATGGGACTTGAACAAAGTTTAACCGACACAAATAAACATAATCGCAGTTTACCACGGGTTACGTGTGCAATAATAAAATCAATATATAATAATCACCCTGATTGCCTGAAAAGCAAACACTGATTAGGACTGAAAACAGACGTGCTTACCGAGCTGTTCTTTTGTTAGTATTTAATCTAGTCGCGAGTAAAGAGAATAATCACTTTAATACTGTTGGGTAAATAGGAGGAGATATTGGGCAAAACACAATGCACTCAATGCATAAGGCAATCACGGATAACTGCTAAAATATTTCGACTATGTTCATGCTTGTGTTTTATTTTCAGGTATATGCATTTTCAGGTCAGGCATTTGCATTAGTAGACCGCCTTGTGCTTATCGAAAATCCATGAAAATCCCTTGAAATCCCGTTATTGACAATCTGCAGGCAACTGCTACAACATATCCTCTCTGCAGATTACTACAAAGGTTTCATAGTAAAACAATTCTTTTGACAGATCCATCCCTGTTGCTGACAGTACGTCCCCGCAAAGAAGAACCTACTTTTTCAAGAGTCAGGATTTTCTTTGTTTTTTCAGGGTCATAGGTTCTTATTGCAAGAGGTACATTCCTTCAGTTTGGAGAATGAAAAGGCACAAATGACTTATATAGAAAATTCAATTCAATTTTCTTCTGGCATACTAAATTGTTAACAGATAGTTAGGAATCTGTGCGTTTTGGCCCGAATTGGCAATACGTTGACTTCGCCCATTTATTAGGCAATTCAATAATTACTCTATTCAAATAGCTATGCAGTGAGGCAGAAGCGATGTACAGCTCTTTAAGCGTGTACGCTCAAATAAATACCCATTCTGTTCTATGGACTGCTTGCATATAATATTGGCCCACATTCTGAAATTTCACACTCGCATAGTTACTGTAGAGCTGACATTGTAACTCTTATGTCCTACAAACTCTAAAGCATGAATTAAAAAAAGATTTAGGGGTTGGAAAATGAGATTTAATAAATAACAATGGGGTTGCTCAAAGTTTTTTAATTCAAGAAGAAACTCCATACCTTAGGAATCTTCGCACCGAGCGCTTGGTATTTGTCAGGGTTTTTCAAAAAGTTAACAAACTCCATAATTTCTATTTTTGCCTCTTCACAGCCAGCAACATCTCTAAGAAAGAAATCTCAATCGCTTAACTGTTATACCTCATAAATACTTAAATACTTAAATACTGAACTTTCATGCCAAATTGCGGGAACACTAACACAAAACTGAAAATTTCTGTAAAATTGTCCCTTTTTCCATTACAGTGTTGCTGGATTCCACCGTTTTATTCCAAAGGTGAATTAATGCATTTAGACGATTTGTTTTAAATTTGCTTTGCCTTTTTGCATCCTGTCAGGGAAAAGCGTTACATCTTGGGAATTCATCTTAAGCTTTCGTGAACTCCCATGGTGTAATAAGCCAAATATTGAGACGTAAAAAAGACTTCAAAATATATTTATCTTCATCATAATCGTAGACACACAAAAAATTAACTTACAACACGTGCTAACTGAAATAGAGGCTAGATATGATTTATGCACATATTTTAATACTATTGTCCACAGGGGACAACAATGGGTCATAAATCTCTCCCAAGTGACAAGATTAAAAGGCTTTATTACTTCGAAGTTTAAAAAACCTCGAAGGACTGGTGAATGGATAGCATTACGAAAAAGCAATCTTAGTTGGAATTTTAGATTTCTGCTCTCTCTTCTGCTTTCTATGTTATGATCAAAAGCAGCGAAAATGTTAACTTTAATGTAATAAAACCTAAACAAAAATGTCTTAAAATTCTAAATTATATCGCCCGAATGTGAGTAGAAAGTTGTAAGAAAAACGGGGAGGGTCTCAAGGTTTTGAATAAGAACAGAGAAGCTCAACTTGGCAAGTAAGACAGCTGTTAAAGCAAAAATGCCGTGCTCTTCAAGCAATTGTTGAAAAAGGAATTTCATTTGCTCTTGTCATAATGGATTTGTTGACTTGCTTTGGGTTGATGATTCATACACAGTAGAAACCATTTATGACGCAAGGACATTTGAGGACAAAATAAATCATTGTGTGTACATAACTTGTTGTCTCAAGGCTAATGCGAATAATTAGGACGACGATACATACCTAAATCGCATTTTAACACCAGTTTCCTTGCTATAAAACTTTGCAGTTGTCTGTCCAACACCAAATATTCCCTACAAAGGTGGAGAGCACAAAGAAAGCTATAATCAACAAACCTTTTAGATTTTCAAGTCATTTGCTGAGATCTCAGACAAGCTGATATTATAATGCATCTCCTAATCATGTGAAGGTGTGTTCAACCCCACACCATTTCCATTGCTGGTCATTTACCATGCAAATTAATTGCTTGATATGCATGTGCTTAGTTCTGTACCATCTCAGTTTTACATCATCATTACTGATTCTATAAAATGCTACCTATCCTCAATTTGGGTAGCGATTTGGGGAGACCATGATTATAAAAGAAGTCAGTGATCATGCTCCAAGTTTATTCGAGACAAGTTTAGACGAAATATTCTAATCTAGAAGAAATTAAGACATGAGACTTAAGATGTGTTTAATTTCATCTGCATTAGGATATAGGTAGTGGGGCTGAGTCTACAAAACCAAACTGCGAAACTATGAATGAATAACTTGTTAAAATTCTATCAAAAAAAGAGCCTTCAATGTATTCATATTTGCTTTTAAATCTTATACTGTCAGAAGCACCAAGTATGTTTAAGCATAGCCAATTGAAAAAGCATTTCAATTGAATATTGGTTTAAGTGAAACTTCAACCATCTTTCTGATTCTTCTGCTCATATTTTATAAAATCATAGTCTTACATGCAGTGCATTTTCTTGAGTCACCTGAAACAGAAATTTATTTTTAGAAAACCGATACTAACCCCTTGACCTTTGGCACCAGCTGAAAGCCTTCTGCTGAAGTAAAGAATGGCTCCAATAATCAAAATCGTTGGTGTCAACTTCAAAAACTCTTTCCTGCAGAAATCAAGAAACATGTGATAAGGCTGAATCTAGATTTAGAGGTTTTACTGAAAACACAAACAATAAAGAAGTTTGCATATCATGCTGAAGGTTTATTATTAAGTTCAAGACTGCCAGGTATCTTTAACTAGGTTAGATCCTATTATTAGCCATAGATTGTTCCCAGTCATCCCAGCATTCACAGCATTCCTGTTTACCAGCAAGCACATTTAATTGCATCAAATGACAGTGTTTGCAACTTGTCAAAAAAACTCAACATCTTTATGTTTCTTATGTAAGTAACAATGATCTGCATTGAAAGTAATTTTGTGCATCAATGTTGGAAATTTATAACACAACATATATTGGGATAGAAAATCTGTACAGAAATTTTCAGTTCAGCAAAGTTCTATTATTATGAATAATTAATCAACTTACAACCACTCTGACTCTCTCACATATGTAACTGGTACAAACTGTGAAGAATCAAGTCCCCTTTCAATTTGCACACGTTCTAAATTCTTCTCAAAGTTATCCACACTCCCAATGTTAAAGCTCAAGTGGGTCTGGAAGGAAAATTATCAGTAAAGATCATAACTACTAATCATTGTGATCCAGTAAAACAATTTACTGTGAGATGCTATAATAAAGCAAACAAACTTCAAAGAAATAAAACAGAACTCACAGCTGTTGGGTCACCTCTTAAATACACTTTCACATTGCTTTTGTTGGAGACAACAAGATGGTCAACGTCTCCTCTGTCTAAATAGTTAGTTCTGAATTCTTGCCAATTGATTTCTCGAGTTGATGATGAGCCTCCAAATAGAAAATAACCAAGACCAGAAGCGACTGCTAAGCCAATGAGCAGACTTTGTTGGTTATCAATCAATTCTTTCCACCAATCTCTGCCACCTTTTCCACCACCGGTTCCCCCACTGCTACCACCACCACTGCTTCCCTGTTCTCCACTTCCTCTTGGAGGAGTGCTGCCTGATAAGAAACATATTTTGAATCTTAAAAATTCAAAATGGTCAAGCTTACTTGAAAAATTAGCCAAAGTCCCCTTTCATCTGCTTTACAATGCTTTAATCCCTACCAAAAATCCATATAATGCCCAGTTGTGCATGTATCATTTTGAAAAAAGAACCATTTCTAATAAAAATAATGTTACCACACCCCTTCTTCGTCTACACAATGTTGGTTGTAGGCTCAAAAAACATAACTATCTAATAAACATCACTTGAAAATATGGTCCTAGTAAACATTACATAAAGCATAACACAACACTATTTTGATATGGAAAGATTGATACACTACAATATTTCCAAAATTCAGTGTAGTGTACCTAGAATTTAGGCGGGATTTGCTTTAATTTAAAAAAGTGCTTTATCATCTACACTAATTATGTTTTACACTTTAAAATGAGATGCTCTTTAGACCTTCTGGTGTCATCTATTTCTAGAAACTAGAAACAGACTAAAGCATTGAATAACATTCAAAGTTCATGACTTCATGTTCTTTGTTGAAATGGTTATTATTCACTAAAAAAGAAGCAACTTAGTGCCACATTTTGTATACAAATTGGCAAAAATACAAGGATCAACTTTTGTCCCATGGCTGATGGAAACTGGGGGTTCCATATTTGTTTAGTTTTAAAGAACAAGCAATAGTTTACATTAGAAATTTGCATAGGTTTGCTATATTATTATTAACAAAACAAACTTCTCCTGTTTCTGATATTTTTAGTGTTTTTATCCATTACGTGAAAAAAGAACAAAACAAATGGACACATGAGCACTATCCAGGAGTGAACTCTTGAGAAATCTACTAAATCATTTGTCAGACATAAGCTCATTCATGTTCTTTCGTCATACAATCAATATCTCTTCTCATATTTTGTATACAAGACGGTTTTAGGATGAAAATGGCTTTAACTGGAAAAAAAGGAAATCACTTAATGAGGGAGGCCTTTTTCGTTTAATGTGAGAGATCACTCGCAACCGGACCACCACTCACCCAAACCCAACCATGCAAATGTTTCCTTACTGGTGAAAAATTGTAAACTGTCAGGAATAAATGTTTTATCAATTAACACATTCTTAATCATCTTTTGTGACCCAAGCAAGTGACATAGACAAAATAAAGCTGATACAGTATAATCCGGTTATAATGTACCTTAAGGGACTAGTGTATCAAGTACGTTATATCCGAAGTTTGTTGTAACGAGGGTAAGTAAAGATTGACTAAAACCAAGCACATTTTTTGCTGGGACCAAGCACACCACTACGTTATATCCGAAAGTACGTAATAACCGAGTACGTTATAACCGGATTCTACTGTATATCAAATAACAGAAAACATAAGTAAGCTGAATTTACCACATCTCAATGGAAAAATGCAATAAAAAGTCAACTCCACCGCAAATGTTTATGAATTCTACAGAACATGGTCTTAGCAGTAAAGGCGTTTTTAAAGGAGGTTTGGAACAACATTTTGTAATCATCTAGCAATAGCATCTATATGACCTTTGTGATGAACATAAAATTTTTAAACAAAGCACATTTTGTATTGAGTATTTAATCTTTCTTGGAGTGCAAAACAACAACAGAGATCATTTTCATTTGGTATTGCCTACATAAAAGTACCTTATAACAGGATCATTACAGTTTTTAAATGTTGCAGATGTATTTAGCATTGTTCAGTATTATTATTTTTAGGGTGTTTGCTTGCACAAGAGAAATCACGCAAATGCTGGGCCACTCATCTGGGCTTTTTCTTACCAAAAAGCCTGACAAGGTTACAAAAACCTTGCTAAGGCCCAACTTACCCTTTCAACACAGATTTTCACACAGTTCTATGGTAGCTAAAAATATAACATATTATTTGACAGGCATATGGTCATTTATACCAATGGCACAACCATAGAATAGGTCACAAACATTGCATTTGTTTTATCGCTTTTCCCTCAATGTTTTGCTATTGCAGTAATTAAATTGGTGGGAGTTGTGCTTAAATTTTTAACTAGCAGGAAGTTGCTTTTGAAAATACCAATCAGTTTAACATAAAATCTGATCAAATAAAAAATACTTACCAGTAGGTTTTCCTGCTTTCCTTGATTCAGGGAAGAAGTTCCCAAATCCTTTTGGTATTTTTGAATTCAACAAAAAGGATGAAACTTTGTCTACCTATTAGAATTAAAATACATTATAAAATATAAAATTCAATTAAGTTTTTTATTTAAAAAAACTTACACTTATCTGGGCATCTCAATCTGCTAGTAGTCTAAGTTTTTTATAAGTTTCTTATTGAAAACTCTAGCAATGTCTTTTTACTGTCTTTTTTATTTGACTGTGCTATTTTGCTCAATGGCAGAAGATTGACTGATCGTGGAAGTTTCATTTTTTGGCATTTAGTTAACCTTGGATAGGCAACAGACCAGGAGGCAGTATGCAGAGCATGACAATTCTGCATCCAAGAAGGGACAATGGTACCTTATGGGCCCTCCTATTGACATTTTTTTAAAATTCTATACTGGCATTTTTGAATGAATTTGGATGACATCTTGTCAAAATCTGTCATACTTTGCAAACTGGCTAATAGGCAACAGACAAGCAGTGCTAATGGATTCTAATTTATAACTACAAGAAGATATGGAAGTTAAAGTGAAAAGCTGTCTGTTGCCCTGGAATTACACTGACTTCAAGTGACCAATGTTTGCATCTGGCACAAAGACTTAATGTGCAAATCTGAGAAGCATGTTCTACTTTATTAAGTTAGGGTAACGTCTTAAGCCACACTCAAGCCACATCCAGTTCTATTTGGGGAAACAGTAGCCGTAAACTGTTGCCAGCTGCCCTTGCTTGAATCCATATAAAAATGAATATTTTCTGGAAAAATGTTTTTTAGAATGCCGTAGAACCTTGAATGTTCAACCAGGTTGGGGTTCGTATCATAGCTCCTGGGCTATTTTCAAAATAATTGACAACATCTCTGTGACAAAAACTTCAGAAATTTTCAGAAACTTTATAATTCAATAACCAAAACATAAAAAACAGTAAGGCAACAAGATGCAGTTGAGGTGAAAATAAAGCCAAAAGTAAAAAATGGCAGATAGAACTGATAAAAAGATCTCTTTTACTGCTAACCTGGCATACAAGATTTGCTTTCACCTCTTTTTGCTTTTACCAACATTTTTCCTTAACAAAATGATTTATGAACAGACATAGGTATAAGAAACAACTTCTCGAGTTTCCCTACATGATGACAAAACTCTTTTACAAAGTATATACTGAAAACAATACCCTTCTTGCTACAAGAGGTTTCCATGCCAGGTTTCCACGTATAAACGGTGCCAGGACACTGCCACTGATAAGCCTCGTCGTCATCGTTCCTTGGACCTCTTAGTCTTGTTGTGGCACCTTTCTGAACCAGAACGCTATACACTTTCAATATCTGCCGTTCTTTTTTCACGAAGCTTTGTCAACAACTGTTTTAATTCTTTGAAACCTCATACAACTGTACGTATTCCTATCTTCACAACAATTCTGGTATTTATGTTTGTCTTCTTACATAACAGAATACTTTGAGATTGAAGCTGAAGTAATTAGGCCCGTTGTTTTTCTAGTGCCCAGCTCCCTAGGATTGTGTTTGTAGAGGACGGTGATCGAGCATGATGGTGCATGTGGAGGAGATGATGCAATATGAAAATAGAGCAAAATAAGCATCATAATTCATATGCGATCCAGGAAATGCAAAGCCCATCGATCCTGGGCCGCTTAAATTAAGATCCAAAATACAAAACAAGCAACCTTGAAATATAAGACAAGACAATGTTGACATCAATCACACGGTGTTTAAAACATTGTTGTCATGCAGCTTTTTAGCAATAGATAGGGTCTAATATTATGAATCAGACAAAAACTATCATTTAGGACAGAGCTACCTGATTGTAACTGTCGATTATGGTCTTTTCTAGTGTCGCCTTCAAAGTTTTGTATCTTGAGACTACTTTGTAAGATCTCTCAGCAGATTATTCCATAGAGCAGCTCCCCTGGTTTAGGAGTATACGAACACCCCATGTACTGGTTGCCCTATAGACTTGGTAATTTGGTCGTTGGCGTGTGTCATAATCATGCTCTTTTTCATTTGTAATGAAATAATTTCGAAAAGTTTCAGGTAGGCCGTGTTCAATGTAACGGGATCAACACAATAAAGTCATGTTGATCAGGATAAAATCTTTCTGAGAAGACTTCAGGCAAATTGATACACAACTTTCATAATTTTTACACGAGTTTAAGGTTTTACGCGGCATTTACGCTTTTTATAACATGGTACCTTTAAAAAGCTCTCAAAATAGCAAATAAATTTTGGTCTACTTATTACACAGTGGTCAGTAAAACAATCTAAATCTGCAGATGAGCGTAATCAAAGAAAATGCAATAGGTAAGTCTGCATTCTTGTTATCTAATTAAACTGAATTCATCTAACACTTGGTGAAATATAATGATAAGAAAATTTGCAAATACTAACAAAAATAGAAACATCTAAACATACTTTTAATTATACGTATGATAAAATACCTTACAATAAGCAAAAACAGGAACTAGAATATGAACTGAGTTTAAGCAGAATAATCTCTGACAACCTTGGCTGAATTGTGATGTGGTGAAATCTATGGAAAGTCAAAAGAACGGGGCTTTTGCATGAAATAATATTCCATTCCATAGCGAGCAAGAAGGAGGAGAAACACCTTGATGAGTACCAGGAATTCTCTCTTTCAGTTGTTAAGTTAACTTGGCTTAATTCAATTTTTTTGCACTTTTTTCTATAAGAAGCAGATAATTTCGTATTTTTTGGAATATTTGCAATCTGGTGTTTAAACATTAATTTTCTTTTATTTTACATACCACAAATTGTTTCTAAGAATACTAAATAACAGTTTTACATGATGTTATAAGTAACACTGTTGAATTGCTGATAAAATCTACCCAGTTTTGTAAACACAACATACAATTTTCAAATGCACATCGGACATTTTCTTCCAATATTGCTTTCCAGCAGAGACTGGGTATGTTTTTAGGTAGTTCTTATTTTTTAGTAAATCGAGCCCCGCTGTTCTAATAAAACGTGTTCTTATAATTAAAGAGGGTATCACAAAATTTCCTAGAAACGGTATCATTGGAGTTTCTGTAGAATTTGATACTCCACAAGCCAAGATTGATGTTGAATACTGTGTGGTTTTTCTATGGTCTTGGCTGCAGTTGATTGAGTATATTTGAAAGTCTGGATCCTTATATGCTTAAATTTCTTGCATGTTGACAAAATTACGGCTGCTGTTAATGCAAATTGGGCGTTTTTGGAAAATTCTCTCAAACAGATAACACCCCTTTATTTCGTGCGGGTTTTGAACAACCATTAGCTCTGTCCTTAAACAGTTGATCGCATCTACAAGCAATTTCTTTATACTTTTTGTATGTCAAAATAAGATGTAATTGATCAAAGATGTGAAAAGTTTCAGCTTAATAGACGGATCAATTGATATAAAATATGAAAACGTGAAAACGTAGCTCTTACATTCAGATACGAAAGAGTTAGATTAATGGTTATTCCAACTGCGACGAGGTTTGGCAGCCAAAACCACCTTTATTAGGGGTGTATTCAACTGCTCAGTGAATTTCTCTTTTCTTCAACCTAACAGCTGTATTAAAACCCGTCAGTGAATTTCTTAAAGTGACTGCGTTGGCGGCAAAATCTCTGATATTAACTTCTCTTAGGTTATGCGAGCCGAATACTCTTAGAATATAGACACCAATTAAATCAAATGTGAGATTTTTCTGCTGTCTGAAGCTGGCTCTCCCCGTGAAGCTTTGTCCGAAAAAGACATTGAGTTATCGAATTCATCTTGTTATCAAGTAACACCATTAGCTGATCTATATTCTTTAATGGAATCTTGAGTAAAAAGCCTCCCTCGACACAGCTGAACTTTGCGCTCACTTTTTCTTTTTTGCATAGGTGTAAAGTTACGTTTTTTGAAAAATTTTATGTCGAAAGCATTTCTAAGCAAACAATTTTTCCTTCAGAAAACTGGAAGTGAAATTTCTTCCAGTAACTTATTTACCTTTTCAACTATTATGTTTTGTTTAAAAAGTCGATTTTTCTCGGACAAATTCCAACAAAGTTTTTCAAACTTAACATCGCCTTGAAATTTAATATGATAAACACTAGCATCATGAAAATTTATGTGTAGACATCAATTTTTATCTTCAATCCGAATCATCACATAGATGAAGCCAACAAGAATTGCAAATTGGTTTGAAGTATGTTTCGGAATAGTTGATTTGGTATTGTATATAATAGATTGGCATAAATTTTTCAACCTCTTTCTACAAAGTAAGGTATTAGAAAATATTTCAAAGTTCTGCGTTCTTGAAGACAATGTTTTCGTAAAGATATATTGATAAACTATTTTTTCCTCAAATTTTATGTAACATTCCTCATTTTAAACTTAAAATGTTTGCTAGCTAGATTTCCTGACCTCTTTTTTTTCTTCTGAGATATCTTTCTACAATCTGGTCATTGTTTTAAGATAAAATAAACAATGTGCTTAAAGCTTGCTGAAAAGATACATCATTTGCACTTGTGTTCATTTATACAATCTTTCGCTCACTTGTATGCGGACATCAAACAAATCTGCATCATGTGCAAATTGCATCTTAATATTTTCTTTATTTCAATTACAACCAAATACAAAGGAATACAAATAAAGTTTTAGAAAAGAACTCTATAAAAGGAAAGTTGTGTAAAAAAAGAAAAAGTGTCATGTTCTCAATGAGTCAAGTGTCTTCCTAAGAGCAGTTCAAATTTTCGGTGTTTTCAGGGACCCTCTCAATGATAGTTGAATCGTTGGCTATGCACTATGAAAGTATTTAAGCATATAAACTAACACAATATTAGCTATTGACAATTTCTTCATTTTTAGCTGGCAGTGTCATTATCGATTTAGCATAATCATAAATTGTTTTTGTAAAATTCAAAGTAAAAAATGTCATTCATAAACTTTGAAATAGCTACCTTATTTTCATTTGAACCGTATTTCAAAACGAGACCTAAAAATGCTTTATTATCATTCTCAAAAAAATTCAGATACCTTTCTTACTGAACAAGGTTCTAAATCGAAACCATAGAGCACTGATGCAAGCCTAAACGCGAATTTAACGCAATCGGATTTGGGTAATTTTTCTCAAAATTCTTCTTCTTTTCCTTGAAGAAGACCATAGCTCTTACTTTTGATCCAAGAAACAGAAGGGCCTAAAATACTGACAAAGACCTTAGAAACATAACTAATACTCGTATTTGGACATTCTTTGTCCCCCCCCCTCCCCAAACTAAATTGTTGCCTTTTTGTGCACTCTTCTTATTTCTGCAACATACCAACTAACCTTGGCCTTGGTTGAAAGAAGAGAAGGTCACCAATGCGTAAAAGGCAATGAATTTTTCTACTCATTAAGAATAAATTTGAAACAGAGACATACAAAGCAATGTATGCAATATTGCAAACTAGGTATTCAAATTAGGTATTTAAATTGTCAGTCAGAAAACGTGAACTTGTGTATCAAATATTATGCTAATTAGGTTGCTATCCATTGTAAAATAGGCATCGTTGTGCGGCTTCAGACCACGCAATAAAGTTTGCATAGATGAAATGATTATGTCTTAGATAATGTAGTAACTCCCATGGGAAAACACGGTTTATAGCCAGCCGCTGTTGTTTCAGAGTCTGGGTCAATTCTCTACAAAACGCATGAACTGATTAGCGCTCTTTCATGGACATTCTGTAATCAATTCGGCGGACAAGTATACTGTTGATTCAACTGCATTTGCTATAAGTCGGTGATTCATTATCACAATGAGACTAAGCTTCTGATTGGCTGCGGCCATGATTGATTATGAGATCGATTGGGGAGTGAAAGTAATATCAGCAAGAGTGACAAAGGATATTCGAAAAATTGAAGCTGAGGGTCGTTACATAAGGAGTAGCTTTTTGAGGCACATTGACAGTGAGTTCACCATGAGCAGATAATCATCATCTGTTAATTAAACCATTAATATTCAATAAGATTGAAAATGCTATAAGTTAGCAGTGCAGAGAGACTTAAAGAGAGTGTTGCAACAGATCGCATCATCAACATAGCAGATATCTCTGAGTGGCAAGGCTCAACAGATAAAAAATTCCAAGCAATATTTAGTAGAAACTAACAATCACCAAGCAAAGATAAAAGAATCTTGACAGTTGATCGAGAGAAAAAATCATGGAAAGAGAGTCATCGGAACAGAAGCCTGTTCATTCTTTATTTAAACCTCTTGAACCAAGAAGAACAGCTTTTCTGCCTTCAGTTCAAAACGGATACCTTTCCAGAATCTACCATCCTTTGGATGCAAAAAGCGTATACCCGCCTCCAAGACTTTGTTATGGCAGATGCTGTATACCAAGACATTTTCCCACCAGAGATGCCTTTCCCTGTGGTGAGTATCACATCACTCTAAAACTCTAGATATTTATTAAAAGTTATTCAAAATTATCAGTAATCTTATCAAATGTGTTATGCTCCTTTTAAAGTAAATGTACTTGATGCCAAAGACTTTAATGCGTGTTACTTTTGAACAATCCCCCTCTGTAATTTTCATTCATTGATTTCCCTCCATGGGTTTCCTGTTCATTGGAACAAGTAAACGAACTTTGTGACTGTTTTAGTAGCCTTTCGCTTGGGAACTTTCTGTAAAATAACCGATTTTTCATCATATTTTTTTGGATGTCTATTTCTATTGAAAACGCTTTGCTTCCAATATTCTCTCAGCAGTTTGTATAAGTGTAAATGGCTATATAAATTTCTCATTGTATTTGTCATTTCTATACGTGTTGATGTTAACATAACATTTCAATGAACCTTCGGAATAAAATCATTCTCAGGGTCTTTTTAATATCTTCAGAGAGGATTAAATAAAAGTATCGATGTTATTTAAGTTATACACAACATTTACACCAGGAAAGGTTGCAAAGTTCATCAAAATTTACTTATTGAACTAAGAGGCTATCAATTTGATAAAAGGGTCAGAGAGAGGTGAGGCCACGGAAAAAAAGATGAACGCAGTTTTTCGCATCAACTAGCTAATTTTCTACTGAAGTAAGCGGTATCATAATGACTATCGCATTTTCTTTAAGAGTATGATCGTTGAAACTTGTAACCCAGATAAAAATTAATCTATTTATGATGTTTGAAATAGACATGATACAAGAAACGTAAAATCTATAAAAGCAGAACTGTGAAAGGAGCCAAAACCTGTTGTCGTGGCAAGGATGTCGTCAACATAAAGGGTATTCTGCAGAAATTTTCAAGAGTATTTTTTTAATACAATAAAAATAATTGGTATTGTTTATTAGCTAGAAGCATGCATTGCTTTTTAAATTAGCACATGCCTTTTGTAGCATAAATTTTTCATATGAAGCTATGATGTAAGATCAGCACCGGCGAAAGGCATTTGAACGTGTAGGGAGGGAGGGGGCAAATGTTGAAACCGTTAGAACAAATTAAGAAGTGATTGATGGCAAGAAATAATTTGGAATATAATAATCTAGGGATAGCCAGAAACTATATCAAAAATAGACCTTGATTGAAGGTTAATCGACTGAAGAATGTCAAAAGATAAATTCATCGAAAAAAGGGTTAAGCAATTCTGTAAAGTTGAGGCTCGATTGTGTAAAATCTGATTGTAAAAACTTTTGGAAAAAAAAGTTCTTATAAAAAGGAATCTAGTCTTAAAACTTTCGAACAGGGCTGGTCAAGACGATTTTAAAAAAAATCTCAATGTAGATTATAGTGATCATTAGGCAGTGAAAGGAAAGCTTGTTTTTTGCCCTTGTGCAAATCCCCTTCTACCACGAGATACCCGTTTACAGCTTTATAATTAGTGTTTCTTCTCTTTATTGACTGGACAGAATCATTGATAAAATCACACTTTGAAGCTTTTTGACAATACTTTCAAAAAACAAATCTGCCGACTTTCAGCTTATGGTATTCTTAAAAATGTTTATGAGAATGGTTGGCTGCGCTTCCTACTTTTAAATGCTGGATATAACGCCAAAACGACATGAAATATATCCCATCCTCTCTCCTTAAACCCTTACTAGGTGGGTGTCTCTCCTGAATTTCTATAATGACAAAATATTAGCTCAAAAATAGCCTGAGCACCATCAACACAAATTTCTGTGAACAGCGATTATCTTTGAAGTTATGTATCAAAAGCTAAGCAAATTGTAAAAGCAAATTGTAAGAGCAAATCACTCTGCATCATTATCTTGACGTACTGTGGCAAGACAGCCTTGGTTCGGCAGTGCTGGTTGCAAGATAATGAATATTGCACAATGTGACTAGATCTTAGACTTCGATCTATAACAGGACAATGAGGAAATACATCTAAGTAGTAGTGCAAAATTAATTTTAATCTGCTATTAATTTGTCAAAACTGTTAATCAAAATTAAAAGCTTTGAAATCGGAAGTTTAATAGGAGATGCTTTTCCAGAGAGCAAACTAGTTCTTATCCGGCCAATGAGCCTGCCATGTTGGAACAATTTGGTAACCCCAAGAAATCTCTTTCAGCAAATCCACAAGCAGCCTTCGAAGCTTTCTTTGCCATGGTCAGGCCCAGGCGACAACGCAGAATGAGAGTCCGAACGAATTTCACGGCATGGCAGCTGATGGAGCTTGAAGCAGCGTTTGAAAAGACTCATTACCCTGACGTGTTTATGCGAGAGAGTATTGCCATGAAGCTCAGGCTCCCAGAATCACGTGTACAGGTAAGCATATCTAATTCCCATTTTAACCAAAAACTGGAGATCCAGAGAAACGTCAAAGGCCATGCTCTCAAAAAATATCCAACTTGATGCTTCAAGTTCCAATTTAACAATGTTTCAATTCATATTGATTCATCAGAAAGCTTACGATATCCATACAAACAGGATAATTATTCCTGCATACCCTAAAGTTTTTCGGGTTTTCCATTTTTGGAAAGGTACTTTTGATTCGTGAGTGCAATTCTTTTGTAATGGTGGCTAGATCCATTCCCATGTCTCTGACATTTCTATAAAATCCAATAGACAATCTGATGATAGAAAAACCAAAATTACATATGTATTGTGGAAAAAATTATTCTGTTCTGATTGCTTCATCAGGATTTATTTCAATCTGAGTAAAACAAGGAAAGTATTCTGTCGCTAGATAAGAAACATTCAAAAACAAACAAATGCTTTACTGTAACAATGGATTTTGAATAAAGTGGAGTTTCTTTTCATACATACGTCACAAGTCCTACTCCACGTGGAAAATTGCTGAAAAGGAAATTTAAAGAAACATTATAACATATTAAAATTATACATCTTAACTGTTTGCGCAGTCTTAGTTTTGTATATGTTCAGCAGGTTACACCTAAAGCATGATTCATTATTGGAAATGACTATTCATTGTTATACGAACGAACCAGCTAGACACGACCTCCTCGTAAAATTTCCCGTGTAAATAAACTGTGTTATTGGATAAGCAGAAACTTTTATCACAAAGGCATATTTTTCAAGTGTAGTTGTCTTGCTCTTCCCTGCTTATATTAATCTGTGTAAACATTGTGAATAGCCAAAAGCAATTGTGTACAATGTACATTAGATACTCCGTTTACCCCTTGATTTCATAAACGGAGGATTCCGGGATGATGATATTTGGTTCGAGGCTAGGCCAAAATTCTCAAGGTTGTGTTGGAGGTTGTACCTAAATTAAATCTAGAGCTCCAGATTCATCTCATTTTCATGCAAACAGCGTGGTTTTCTGCCAAGGTCCATCATTTATTCTGTAGAGCATTGATTTATCTAAAGCTCAGCAAATTTTGATGACAATATTGTATATATCAACGAAGTGGCAGCACGTTTTCTTCAAAGTGTCCAAGTATTTAATATCTGATAACTGCATCCTTAAACCACCACTTGTTCAAGGACAAATCTTCCAGGATGCTGTTCTCTAAAACGTGACGTATTGTCTAGAATTTGTGCGCAGAAGAACATAAGCAAAAAATCTATTACAAAAATGGCTTAGCAACACCGAAAAAAGTGAGGCAATCAAAAACATTGAAAAGGAAATATTTGCCCTTCTTTAATTCCTGATCACGTGTTTTGGAGGATATTCGAAAATGTTACTAAAAATTAAACTTGTTGCCACGATAAACATTTTAACTAAATATATACGTTTCGTGTGGTGCTTCATCCAGAATAACGATAATACAGTTAGCAAATAAATTCAGTACCAGAATGAAAATGTAATAGTTTGATTGTTAAAAACACGACGTTTCGAGCATGTACTTGTTACCAAGAGAAATATTTTTACTTTCAAAGGGATTGAGTTCAAAGTACATGAAATGGTTCTTTGTGATCTCTACTTCATTCATTAAAGGAAAGTCCTTCAAAAATATTCTAAAAAACTCCTTCTCGTTATTTCTCGCAAAAATTAAGGTATTGATGTTCACGAATTGCTCATTTCTTGCAACATATTTCCGATATCCTTAGCAGCTTGAACAAAATGTTTTTCCGATATCCATAAGCTAAGAGACGAATAAACTTTGCAGCACTTTATCAAATTGTCTGTAAGTTGCGGCAATAAAAATCAATTATAGCTAAGCCAAACATTTGTGAGTACGATTGCGATTTCCTTGTTGTCAAATAATTCGTATTTGAACAGCTTTGGGCCTGTCATTCTACAAGTCTATGACAGTGATCGGGAATATGACATTTGGATGTGTTTATTAATGCTTTAGTTTAATTACTCTCCTGTGGATATCGTAGTTGACTGGTACAGCTGTGTAAATTGCCATCGAGATTCAATGACTCTCCAGCAAGTGACTTAAAGCTTTCATTTTAATAGTACTTGTAATTCAGCTTTGCACTGAGGATTCGACTGCCATTAGTAGTTGTCTGGTAGTAGTGCACTGTAGTAGTGTCTGGTAAAAGTTACATTTAAATCCGGGGGGTACTCCAATTAAGGCCTGACAGGGAGTCCGGTCGTCAATTTGAGTGTCTTATCAAATGGGAGAAGTTAAAGCAGTCGCTTCCTCTTAGGGGGAGCTTCCAATTGACTGCTGAGTTGAGATTGCCACTTCATACAAAAAATGAATAAGGCTTTATTTTCCCCGATTCAACAACAATCAATGTGGAACGAAGGAATTTGCCAAAGAAGCATTGCTAGCTTTTTGTATTGGCATGCTACTATCAAACTTTTATTGAACAATGTTATTTTTTGATCATTTTAGGGTAACTTTTAACTTTTTCTGGTTTGACCCTCTTTGACCTTGTCTGGATCCCACTGATAAGTCCTAATGAGAATACCCTCGAGCTTATAAATGCACTTTTCTATTTGCAATCCCCTCTTCTTTAAATGAGTGCATTTTTTGACGTGTGTCGATTTTGTGTTTTGATACTCATTGGTTTTCGTATAAAGGTATTAAAATATATTGGGAGGCATTTTTTCAAATTTCTTCTGCAAATTACTAGCGATCATAGGGTTGTAGAGTTTTCAACCTAGTTTGATTATTTCTTAGGTATGGTTTCAAAATCGACGAGCTAAGTGGAGAAAAAAGGAGATGGACCAATGTCAAAAGGTTTTGTCAAACGACGAAGAGTTAGACATTTTAGATGAACAGCAAACCGTAACACAGAACACTCCTCATGACTCTATGACAACACAGAAGAATGGGGATGATGACGTCACAGAGGTCGAAGACGGCGCCACAGCAGCTAAAGAGGTTTTGGTAGAAAAGAGCAACCAGGCAACATGCGAGAGATCACCTGAACTCATTTTACCGTTTAGCTATAAGAACAAAAGTATTGGCCCACCTCCTAAGCTAGTGCCAATACCTAGCGCTAGGGATTAAAGCGAAAAGGTGTCTGCGAATTTTCATTATCAATGTCCTTATCAATTATCAACGTATTTTGTAAATTATTGCTGGCAAGGTATGCAATTTAAGAACTTACGTTTTGAAAGAGGGTTTCCTTGTCAAGTTGTCGGGACAGCTAGGAACAACTGTAACGAAGTACGTTTCCGATAGAGACACGTTCAAGGCAACTTAACCAGTAGTGTATAGCCAACAAATGTAGAGGGGGCCATAGAGCTTTCTCTACATTGTATGCAAAATGAACGTTTCAGTTGTTTTTGTTTGCATGGCCCCTCAAAATCAATATTAATATCTTTCCATTTTTTTTCTAAGGTTAAATCATCTTTCGACGTCTACCTGCTACCTGAGTAGAAAATCTTACAAATAAAGAATTTAAAATAGTAACATTTTGCCAGCATTTATTGAGTTTTCTGTTATCGAGGTCACCCATTAATACAAATGTCAAAGGTAATATAGCTTCAATCAAAGATTTGATCCTGGCAGAAATTAGATATGATATTTTAGAACTACCCAGAAAAAAGAGGAGGGGGCGCAGGCCCCCTTGGAAAAATACCAGAAGGGCCGATCCCCCCTGAGCCCTCCTCTTCTAAAGCCCTAAACTTAACTAGAATCTGATAGTCTCTAAATCTAGAATCTAGGTTGATTCATTATCTAGGATAGAAAATAAAGTATGTTTCATTAAGTTAGAAAAGTTTCGCTTGAAATGCTGCATGAACAATTTCAGAATTGTCTAATCAAGCAAGTTAAAAGATTTAATACTAATATTTACCATTCCTGTGTGGCTTGTCAGAGAAAAAAAGGGGCGTTGCTTTAGTAGCAAAACTTTAAAATTTGTTCTGAAAAGATATAGAAGAAAAAGGTGAAATTTAGCTTGAAGTTACTTTAGCTTTTAGTGATTAGTTACAGCATGTGTTGTTAAGTACTCAAGTAAAATTGTTTATCACAATATGAAATATTATTAGGCAAATTCCATTAAAAATTTGCATAAAAAAATTAATTCTATTCTTTTAACTTAGTGCGAAAATTCGGCTTGTCTCACTAATTCATAGCACTTTAGTCGGTAATTCCTCCATATTTTGAAAATTATATGAAATGCTTCTTTCTTGGCAATCCATGACACAGCTTATCCTAAGACCTAAAATTGAATAGAATGCTACTTTATATTTAATTCATATCTAATTGAAATATAAAGTTAAATAGTATATTCAGTGGGACGGGGAAAAAATCTTTAGATATGTAATAAGTAGAACACGCATATAATTTCAGCTTTTAGATCTTATGGAATGAATCAATATAGATTTGTTTGTAGTAATGACTGCTTCGGGTTTGTAGTTAAATAAGTTTGATGCTCTGTAATAAATGTAATTTGCTTACCTGTAATGAATCTAGTGGTTGTTATTGGAATTAATGATATACATCTTTTGTTATCTTTGAAATCATAATATTTTCAGTTTGACATTTAATATCTTTTTGAAAACATCTTTTCGAAAGCATTATTAGATCAGGCAGAGAATGGTCGCCCGAGAGCGAAATTAATGGGACCTAGTGCTTTTGATCAATTCGAAGGTGCTGATTTCGAAAATTGATGTTATACGGGTTTGGGGGGGGGGGCAATCAGCCTCTTTTTCGTGTTTGAAGTCTCTGTAACAGTGAATCTTCTGGTAAGTGTGCAAAAATAAGAAAAAACCATATTCCACTGACCATAGGAATTCGCAAGTAAGGCCCGTAGTTTCACCATACTGTATGCTCTCATGCAATTACACTTGCGAATAGGCCAAACACCCATTTTGGGCGTAAAATTCATCATCAATGCAAACGTCATGCACCCCTGCATGACTCATTTTAAATGATCACCCTTTTAAACGAAGTTTTTGAGGATTTTTGAGGGGGTATAGGATTTTTATGATTTATATTGCATAACATTTTATAACTGATAACTTTTAATACTTTTATTGTCTAAAATATAGAATTAGAGGTAACCATGGCAGTGCTACGTGGCTTTCTATGAAAGACATTTGTATGTGCATATGAGATAAATGGAACATATCTATCTTGCTTGAGAATACAAAAATGCAGAAATATTTAACTACTAATATCTTACTTAATTAAAGGGCTACTTCCTCCTTAGTATCATAGTTCATCCACTTATTTATGTCTGAAAAGTTTTGAAACGTGTTGACAGGGAAACGAAAGTTATGAGGTGAATCCACAGAGTACCACTTATCTGGTGTGATTATGATTTGAAATCTAAAGCTCATTTGTGAGAAATGTCTGTAGATGGTGAAAGCCAACTCAGAGCAAAGAGCAAGCAACGCAGGCCTGGGGGGGGGAGGGAGGGCACTTGACCAGAAAGGTGACTAAAGTGTGCGGTAAACCTTTTTGCACCTGACCCTGTCCCATAGAAAATTTGCCAAAAGCATACTCTGTCCAAAAGATTGGTAAAAAGGCATATTGCACAGTTATGCCAAAATATACCTGAGCGGAAAGAGGATCTGCACTGTAACTAATGCGTGTTGCTTTTGGGAGCATATATTCCTATTTTTTGCTTCTAAATACCTTGTCCAAAACAGTTTCCTTAATTTTGATACCTTATATTTTAATCAGAAAAACTCCCAAGCCCCATAATTTTAATCTGAAAACCCCGTGTTTCATGGCATAACCGCTTATGTCAAGCATAGGCGTGCTCCCCCCGGGGGGAGGGGGAGGGGTAGGAGACAATTTCATTTGCCTCGATTCTGTTTTCGGGCATAAGTGCAAAACAACAAATATGGCGGACCAAGATGGTCAAGAGGGTCAGAAAGTGAAAGACCTTATTCATTCCTTCAGAACCCTTGACAATGTCGAAAAGACTTTGTTTATGTTAAGTTGTGTTAAGGAATGCAAGGTATCTTATTTGCTTGTTTCATAATTTGTGTTTGAATTTTTTTGCTTGCTTGAATTCCTCATTATTTGTTTCTCTTCAGTACGGAATCATTGTCTTGGGAGTTATACCGACAATATTATCATTATACTATCATTATATTATCACAAAAGATATTATCATTAATTTAAAAAGTCATTTTCACCAGCCTAAATTCGTTTTTGTCTGAAAGCCCAATCGATCTACAAACTGTCCAGGTTCTTTCGTGAGGGGAGTGTATTTTATTAATTAGATTTTGATTTCTCTATTTTGTCTAATCTTCTGTAAAGGAATTTTTTTAGTTTGTATAGTTTGATATGATCAATTGTATGCAGTGGAATTCAAAATAAAAAAAAGCTGAATTGAACTTTTAAAATAATTTGTTGTTCATATCGTGAATCATTAGATTGCGTTGATGTCACACTTAAATATTATATAATATAGAAATTTGGAATTCCCTACCATTGCAAATTAAAAAGTTACCGAATAAGTCATCTTTCATCAAAAACCTGAAAAGTTATTTCTTAAAGTCGAATTGATATACTTATTTGAACCCAATTATGAACATTATCATTAAACATATATTACCATCATGCATCTCACTATTGTGTTTTTAGTATAACCAATTACATATCTTATTATACTAACCCTATATTATCTTGATATTCCTCCTTTTTATTTCTCATTCACAGTCTTCTTTTGAAATCAAACACCTACACCTATACACGTCCAATCGAGCATATGACCTAGATAGCTCCTTGTGAGTTCTTTTCATATGTCGGACAGCAAACATACCAAACTTTGAACTATCTACTGTTTGTAGTTTTTCTTTTTTGTAAAAAATAATTGTTATTTGTGGTTCAAGTATTAAATAGAAATGTAGTAGGTAATTATTGCTGTGAATGAAATGTTTTGAGTTTTTGAGTTTTGAGTTTGAATACTTTTCTGTTTTCTTTAGAAAGTTTCATTATCAAGTTATTATGAACTCACTTTTATTCAAAGACATCTCAGTTAAAGGTGGTTTATGAAGAGGTAGAGAGGATATTGGCAAATGATTTTGTCAATATCTTACCTACTGAGCTTGCTGAAAAGATATTCTCATATCTTGATGCCAAATCTTTATGCAGAGTTTCATGTGTCAACCGTAAATGGAGAAGAGTGTCGAATAACAATAAAATATGGTATGTTTGATATTGTTTTGCCTGAAGATGACCCAAAAATCATTTGAGAAATGCTTTCTCTAAATACCCCTTGCAGATGTGATGTGAAATTTGTATTTTAAAGATGAATATAGTGAATATGTAATTTTATTTCAAAATATTTTCTGGATTGCTATTTGCTACTTTTTCCTGTTAGTTTTTTGCATTTTGGATGGGGAGCTAATTACCTTTGAAAATTAATTGCAAGTACAATTGGTGCTGATTATAGTCAAACCCTACTATCATAATCAAAGCAGTTGACTGCGGCTGAAGTCACACCAAATGTTGCTTGAAAGCCTGTGACTGTAAGCAGAGTGTGACTGTAAGCAGAGTGTGACTGTACCAAGAATGATGGCATGCAATATTAACCATTTGCAATATTTATCAAGGTTTGCCACAGGCATCTGCTGCATGAGGTTAAACTGTTATTACTGAAGTTCAAAAATAACATAGGTGTTACACCATTTAAAAGTGAAACTGTTTTAGTAAATGAAAAGTTTCATTAAAGGTGACTGAATTCGTTTTTTACATAAAGTACTGTAATGTTTTATTGAAGTACTCCAAAATGACAAGAAGCAATTCAATATAATGCAGTTTTTTCCAATATGAAGAACCAAAATAGAAGTTAAAATTAGATTATCAGTAAACTAATTTGTGTTGGGGATAGAGATAGTATTCAACTATTCAAGAACAAAGCTATATCTGGTTTAATCATGGCTGTAGAGGCATAAAGTTATAAGTTTGGCCATTGAAGAATTTGTTTCTTTAGTTATATACCATCACAATAAAGTAGAGCTGCCATATTTAAAGTGTTTTATTCATTTGATGTGTTATTTTTTTTTGCTCAAAATTATTCTTTCAGCCATCCATTTTTTTACCCTCATTTGAGCAATTGCACAAGCTTTGATAGATTTTTTGTATTAAACTGACACTGTCATTCTTTATTCAACCTAGGTATGATTTGTGTAAGGATAGAAAATGGCATGCTTACTGCAACAACAGAACATTAAAACATCCACCTGATAGAGCTCTCTCAAGGCCATCATCAGCATCAAGAAAGATTTCAATCAGACCTTTTGACTTCAATAGAAAAACATCAAATGCACAATATTTAGATGAAATTTGTGAATGGAAGGAATTATATATTAAGGTGTTCCATCTACAACAAAATTGGGTTGAAGGCCTTTACGCAGTTAAACCTATCTTGAGAGGTCATAAACAGCCAGTTACCTGTTTAGATTGTGATGGTAATTGTTTCTTTCTTCAGTTTTCTAAATATATATTGGATTTAGAGTTGAAATTTATTTGCTGGTTAGAATGTAACATTAAAATATGATTTTCTGTGACGATAATTTGTTACTCTTTGGATTTTAGGAGAAGTTATTGCATCAGGATCTTTAGATGCTACAGTGGTTTTATGGGACATAAATTCCCTTGAATGTAAGGTAAAATTGACAGATTTTGGAGGTGCAGTCAAGTGCTTAAAATTGAAGGTATGAATCTTCTTTTCGTGGTGAGTAGAAAAATATTCAAAATTAATCCTAAGCAGCATGTTGTCTTTCTAGCGTTACAATGCATCTTTCAACCTGCTTCTTTACATTAATCTCTACAGATAAGTGTAAAAAGGCCTAAAATGGCAATGCATTGAAAGGATGATCCACTTTGCACACGAGTTGCAATATGGAAAATTCCAATGTATGAAAATGCTAGGATAACTTACCTTACAGAAAATTATTTTTGGCTAACGTTTTTCTTAATAACTTGACGAGATCATAAGTTTCAAGGTGAACAGTTAACTTGCATATGGATGAAAATGTGAACAACATAGGCAAAGAAAGAGGCAAATGGCTATGGAGAAGAGTCAATTGCAAATGTCCAGTTACAGCTAGACTCTTTATTGTAGGACAATCACCTGGTTACTGGTTGTATTGACTCTGTTATTCGTGTTTTTAGTACAAAATCATTTAATATTCTAAGGTAAGTTTGATTCACACTTTTTTCATTTAAGAATATTAAAATGTTGAAATGCTGAAATATGTACATTGATTACAATGAAAGGTCGTGGGAAATCCCTTTGGGTATTCCAAAATCACAGAAAATTTACGCTCACCTAGTCCATGTCCAGTCTGGGATATTTCTTTAAGTATGGAGAGAGATAATGGAGGGCTTAACAAATGTCAAGTGATAAACAAAAACAAGAAGTCATTTTGTGTAAAATCACAATTGTGTACAATTGTGACAATTTCGTTTGTTGAAAATTTGTGGTGCGAAGCGCCAGGCAAGGGCACCGCGCACCAGTCTAAAAGAGGGTGGGCTGGAAAAGGCGTGACCCAAATTTTTTGAAGCTACGCTCTTTAGAGCGCCAGAAAACGCCCCTTTTAGTAAATATATAAGTGCTTCTTTCCACTTACCTTTTATGAGCAATCCGCTTCAGAGAAGAAATAGATTAAACAAAGGCAAAACACCTAAAAGTGAACAAAAAGGGTTCCCAGTCAAGAAGAAATGCTACTACTTAGGATCCGTTAGAGTAAACTTTCTAAAAATTGCGTTAGAGTAAACTTTGTAACAGTTTCCTAACCCATTATTGCCAAAAATGGAGGGCTATAGCCCCTGCTAGCCCAATGGCTACGCGGTGCCTGCGAAACGCCCTGGTCACCAATAGGAAAATGCCTATGACTAATTTTTGGCTACGTATCAGGGTCTTTTTAGCATACTAACTATGCTTATACCAACTATATCTCCGTTGTTTTAAACAGTGGACTTTTTTCCTCTTTAAATAAGCAAAATCTTGCCTTTGTTCAGCTAATTACCTTTCGAATAGGCTATACTACGTATTGATAGCTTCAATGCAACATCATAAAATCGGATGACGAAATCACCAACCATAATATTATCTCTACCCCCCATCATATCTTCCTTGGACAAAGAAGTAGGTCAGAGTCGATCCTGCCAGGAAACTGGGGAAGGGGGGAGGACGTATCCTACTTTTCCGTCTGTGGTGCCGCCATTGCAGAGTTGTGTAGAGGTTGCTACATCCACGAGTTTTGACCTTAAAAGTTGATTTTGAACGAACATTTTCCACTATTAAGAAGGATTTGTTATAGTAAGTGTCTATTTACAGATGCTCCACATTGTTATGCACTGCATCTGAGAATGTTGTATTATCATAATACGATTCAGATTCTAGTCAATTTTTGAAAGCCTTTTAACCATGCCAGCAAATTTACGGTATTACGATGCCTTTGCTTTTGCTTTTCTGTTTGCTTGGAAGGGCACCTTGTATTTTGACAAAACCTGTGCGGTCTTGTTTTATTTTGTTTGCATCTTTTTCAGAAAATTCGATTGTCAACAAGGAAGCATTGAACATATTTGCTTTGAAGAAACAATAATTGCAAACACAGTTTCAGGTGACAGGTAGTGGGAATATTTCAACGTTTATATTTCGTACGCTGTCTGTTAAGGGCATTGGAAAATAATTTTGATTGTGGGGGTAAGATGTTTTCAGTATGATTAGAAGCAAGGGAAGTATCATTTTAGGGAATGATGAAGCCCCCCCCCCCCTACCATCGTTCCCTCGGTCTCTGCTTCTTTGTGACTTTTTTTTGCTTTAGGCTGTGGTAGATATGCTCAAGGAAAATTTCAGAACACTTTACGATTTATAAATTCTACATTGTTCTCTGTTCTCTATACTAGAGCCTTTTATTTCTACACCAGATATTAAAGTGAGCCTTCTTCTACTCTAGGGACATACGTATTTGGTCAATTGATGATAATAAAAATGACGATAGGTGCTTGCATCGCTTAGAAGGTCATACAGATGATATCGAGGTTTATCTAACTTCTTTGATAATATCTTCAACGCCGTAACTCCAAATGTTGTTGGGGGGTGGCAGGGGAGGGGGGGACTTGTGTCTCCCCTGAAAACTTTTTGGAACCCATTGTTTCTGTGCATTCCTTTTATGTACGAAGAATGAGAACATTAAGAGGTGATGTGGGGGAATGTAAAAAGTCTATTTACTTGCTATATTGCATGCATTTGATTACAGTGAGTAAGTTACATTTCATTACAGTGAAAGCATTAACATATTCTATAAAATGAATGAAAATTTGGTTGATTTCTTCTTGGTGTCTGGAAATTTTCGTCTGCCTCTTGAATTGAAACAGTTCCTGTTATCAAACAGATCCCTGTATATTGATTTGTTTTCAAACAAAATGAACGATTATTTTGCTGTTTCAATTGAATGTATTAATGCTTTACACAGTATCGTACTTGTTTAGACCCCAGCACAGGTGAACGTAAACGTTTCATTTTTCAATTCTTTCTATTTTTGGAGCTTTTAACTTCGAATTTGTTGTTTAATTGTAAGAGTGTCAAGTACGACAGCCAAGAGTAAAACTACATTCTTAATTAAAAGAATTTTTCGGGGTCAGGAATGTTTTAAAGTTAGCAAAGATTGTGGTTAAGTAAGGGATCGCTTATACTGTTAAAAGTCATAAGCCTACGATTCTTAACGATCTTTTCGCGAAAGCAAAAGCTGAAGAGAATGATTGCACGTGTTTTTGACAGGGATGCGTGCATCGGGAATGCGTGCATCGGGAATGCGTGCATCGGGAATGCGTGCATCGGGAATGCGTGCATCGGATATGTGTACACCAGGAATTTATGCACCACTAATTTGATGCTTTCATCAGCTTTCATTATTCTTTCTGTGTCTTGCCAAGGAAATACATTTTTTCTCCGTTCTCCCTGTCCATTCTATGGGTTCGCCTTGCTTCTTGTTCTTTCTCTATCTGTACACATATCCTGAGTCCTGATGATTTTATCAAAATTCTGTGATTGTGAAAGATTTTTTTGTAATGCTAGAGGTGTTCAGCCTGCTTTGGAGAGGAGGGGGGATTAGGCCGTTCTAGGAATGTTCGGTCTTTTAGAAACAACGATTCACAGTGTGCTTTGGTAAAAACCATCTCAAAAAGTCGCAGCTTTCTCAAATCCGACGCACTGACTACCTAAGTCTCACAAACATATGTAATGCCAATCTGTATAGAAGTATTTTATTTACAGCAAGTGTACCTGCTTACTTTATGCTTGTTGTTTTCTAGTTTACAATGTGTTATTTGCCTTTCTTGAAGGTTCTTCAATTGTGGAATGGTACATTAGTGAGTACGTCTTGGGATGGCTCTGTTCGATTATGGTGTGTACAAACTGGACAATGCTTACATTCCTTGTTTGGCCATACTGAAGGTTCGTTACAATTTAACATTGTGCAGACTATTTAATTCAGTCAAGCATACACACTTCCATTTTCACTGCATTGTCTGTCTATGAAAATTCAATGATGTCTCTACAGAAATCAACATAATGTGTCTTACTTTGGCAAATTTACCCAATTTCAAATGTTTATCATATTGCGAGGATGCGTGTTTATTATATTGCGAGGATGCGTGTTTACCATATTGCGAGGATGCGTGCAAGTGAATGCAATCTTCATAATCTATAGCTTATCAGGTCTTGTTTAACAGACTCAAGCAACCTTGTTTTTCTTCATTACGTTTGAACTCCGAGACTAACGGTTTTTGGTCTACGCTTTGCAATATCGTTTAGCATTTTTGAGTAAATGATCAGCAGATTTAAATTTCCAAATACCTGTCATTATCGTTTAGAAATTAATTTGTTGACAGATTGTCATTCCAGGAAGGATATTATTCAGTCTTTCGATGAAAATTCGACATACTTCATCAAAATTCTGTAACGAAGAGACGTAGACAAAGTAACCAAGGACTATAGTGGTAGATAGAAGTAAAAACGATTACGAGACTAATTTTCTTTTACTGTATTTATAATTCTAGTGGTAATGTGTTGTCAGATGGACGACGAAAAGATTATGACAGGGGGAGCAGATGGAAACGTGATCATTTGGGACACAAATTTCGGACACTTGAGGCAAACCCTTTATGGTCATGCTGAAGTTGTAAGTGCCAGTCTATATTTTTTTATAGATAAAACTTCTTGTTAATTTTTTGACTAAATGAGTAAGATCTTGTGGATATATTGAATAATATCAACAAACTGGGGAAAAAACAACATTGTTAAGGCTCTTCATTATGTTCTTTAGTTTTTTTATGTTTTATCCTTTCTACATCTAATGTATTCTAATTTCACCTGCCTTTCTTAAAGCTCACTTGGTATCTATATGTTTTGACTGTGAAAAATAGATTTCAGTAATTGCTACCAAGTGCTGTTTTAAGATGCCAGCTTTCTTCGATCATAATCTTTTTTAACATCAACGTCATTTTATATATTTTGGTTAAATAAGGTTAAAACCAAACTATGGCATAGCGTAGGCAGCGAGAGCTAGACTGGTATCGTTGGAAGCCTGAAAATGCTGCAATTATTTAATGGTTTCAACATTTCACTGACAGCAAGAACACTCGTTCATATCAATATATAATCGTTAATCCGGTAAAATTTGGAGTTCATTTTTGAAAAGAACTTCCAAGTTTTTCGAAGGAAAGCAGACGAATTGTAAATTATTCTTGAAACTCAGTTACGTTGAAAAATTTCTGTCACAGAGTTGTGTGGCTAACAATTCACTGTGTGGGTTGTCTTTAAGTATTGCTATGTAGTAAGTCCAAACTCAATGTAAATATTTCCTGGACACCGAAATGGTTTTTTACGTATTTGTCACTTTGAGCCCTTTAGCTTTCAGTAATGATCAAGAAATTGAGATAAGCTTGTTTGAATGCTTATTGGTCAGAAAATCTGCAGATTATTATTTTGTTTCGATTAGCACTTTTTTACAATAAGCGAGACCGTTCTATATTGTTTTGGAAAAGCGTATGTTAAGTCTTCTTCTTCTTAGCTGAAATTCTTATCTTTCAGTATTGTCTCCAATTTAACGAAAAGGTAATTGTTTCTGGATCTGCGGACAGTCTTGTCCGTGTGTGGAGTATTCATGGTCAGTTTCAATCTTATTGTTTTAAAAGCATTGAACTTCCAATAACTATAAAAGCTCCTAATACAATTTATTTTTCAAAGGATTTAGGGAACAGCTGTGATTTAGGTCTGTTATTTGTCGTTAATGAAGAGATTTATCTTTTTTGGTGTACCACCAAATCATTTTAAAGCCTACTAAATGATCATATTTGCCAATTTCTCACAAAATATGTGTTCAATTATATAAAACTGGTGTAGAAATCTCTTAAAATGAGTACTAACAAGCCTTTAATACCTTTGGTAAATGGTTAAATGCGTTTAAGGGCAGATAGAACATCGTAGATAGAACATTTTATAGATAGAGAAAGGATATTTGGTAGTTTTTATTAGTGTTCTTAGGTTGAGTCTCAGTTTATTTTCTTCTAGTACTTTTCAGAATTCTTCACATGAGAATTCTCCTATAAAAATTTTGGTTCACTGGTCAGTTTAAAGGGCATGTGTCGTGAACATGTTTTGCTAATGCAATACAATTATATTTTTTGTTTAATACAAAGCATGGGATCGAGAGTGAATTTTTACGGCAGTACTGAAAAGTCACGAAGCAATGGAATTCCATTCTTAACGCTTTTGTTTTATTAGCTAACTGTTAATGCGACATATGCCCTTTAAATGTTTGCAGCATTCTTGGCTTGTTACTTATAGCAAAATCCTAGTTCATCAGTAGTAAGTTCAATGATGATTTTAATTGTTTATTATGTGCAGGTAGGCCCATGTATTCATTACAAGGCCACATTGGAATAGTTCGATGCATTAGACTTCAAGGCAGCCAATTGGTTAGTGGAGGGGACTGCAAAAAAGTTATTGTCTGGGATGCCGAGGTAAGGATATGCTCTACCATATAAGATTGTCATTTAATTTAAATTTTCATAATTGTCATTTTTACACTCACGGTACCGGATGAGAGGCAATTAACTCGTGGAAAAAATGTGCCTAATTCCCGCCAAAACAAAAGGATTTCTTGGAATTATGCTGGTGAAGCAATGGGATTTCACGAAAATTGGACAAGATCTTAATGCAGCTATTTGTCCCTCCCTCCCTGAACCAGTTGTTTACAACAAGGCCAAAACAAAAACAGTCGCTACTATCACTCCTGTCCAGTTCTCCCTATTCAAAGCTGGGATGGGGGCTATTGTGGAAAAAGTTGCTCAACCTTTACGCAGATAAACTTCAATGCTGTTAATGTTAAAACGTTAGCTCAAATGTTAGTCAATCAGCGTGCACACGCAACTTAACATGGAGGCAAGGTTGATAAAGTCATAAACATGGGATGCTTTATCTGAACTCTGCCTGTCCTTGATGAAAGTTTCATTTTTGAGGCTCGTGCCTCTTGTTACTTTTTTTGTTTCAGATCTTTGATTGTTGTTTCCGAAGCCGGGCAGATGTTAGAGACCGACCCGTGTCAGAATGAGCGCTAGATTTTAAATCTTTTCTTCGAAAGGAATGCTTTTCTAACTTGCTTTTTGTTTCATTTCAGAAGGGAGAGCTGCTAAATTTTGTGCATCGACACCCAACATCATTGCATTTGATGTGGACTGATGAAACAAGAATAGTTACAGCTTCGCCAGAAACCCCGGGTACTGTCACTGTTGTCAGCTACTGGTCATAATTCAGCCAGATCCGGTCACAGAATAAAACTTATACCGTAGCCCAGTTGTCGAAAAGCGTTATCCGCAATGGATATTTGCTGCTGTTCACCCGTCCATGTGTTTGTGTGGTACTGAAGTTGTGAAAGAAAGAAATAAAAGATAGCCTGCGTGCAGACTCGACTGGTTTATCCAGAGATGAATCTAGTTGATTGGAAATTTAGTTGATTGGAAAATTCAGTGTTTCTCTCCCAGTAGACAAACCAGCAGAAAATTCAGTGTTTCCCTACTGAGAGACAAACCATTAGAAAATTCGGTGTTCCTCTCCTGGAAGACAAACCCTAAATTTTCCATCCAACTAAATTCATCTCTGGGAAACCAGTCGAGCCTGCGCACAGGCTAATTAAAAAGATGGTGCTGCCAAAAGTGCGACACGAAAGCTGTATAAAAATTTGTCTGTTAGGAGATCTCCCGATCGAAGACTCTTCTGGACTGAAACCTATCAGTTGTGGTATAACATCATGCTAGTCTGTTATATTGTCATCATGGTAGATATTCAAAGGTGCAAGAATTAATACTAATAAAAGCACCAGCTGTTAGTATACCGGTTGCAAGATACACTCATTTTTTTATAAGAAACAAAGGTCAATGTTAAGTACTCCAGTTTCTTAATGTTCTGGAGATTTCGTGATGTCATGAATGATGTTTTGAAAGGTTTGTGACCTTTTTTATCACGTCAAGAGAATCGCTTCCATTCTGATGCTGTATCTAGATGTAGGAAGTATTTATTTATCCCTTTTGTCTTAAGTTCTGGGCCAAAAGGGGAATCATGTTCTTTGATTATACAAAATTTCTTTGTTCTCAGTTTTATCATATTTTGATAGTTTCTTAATCTTTTTGCTTCGAGTACTGAAGTTTCTTAATTTTTGCTGACTGTCCAATACTCGTTTATTATAGCCAGTTTTTTTTTAAAAAATGAGTGTACTGCATTTCAGCACGAATATTGAAAATACCTTAACCGCGACCTCAGCAATCGCAGAATTGAGCTTTAGTTGAAGCGAACAACAATTTTAAATATTGCAATCAGCGGCGTAACCAAGCCGTCTTCAACCCCGAGGAAAAATATGCTAACTGGCTCCTTGCTCTTTAAAATTTGCATCCCTTTTGTATATTGCTCTGTTTTAAGGGGGTTAAAAGGGGACATGATCCCAAACCCAGCGCTTATGTTAGCCAGAAGGGGCTCGCACTTAAAGGAGAACTGACACGCAAAAAAAACTTTGGCTTATTCGATGCAAAATTTGTCGCTGATTTCAAATCTGGAAAAAGTTTTCTTCTTAGATTCGCCGTTTTTCTGATATTTGCACTTTTATCCGTCAAATACGTCACAGCCAGGACTCGGGAATTTCCCGAAGCGGAAACAAGATTATCGCCAGGAGTTGTTAAAATTCTCGGTTGACGTCACAAGTGACATGTTAACAATGCCGTTGTAAAGGCTTTCACCGCAACGGTGAAAGTACAAGTGAAGTTTCGTGTTTTATTGAAAAAAGTCCGCGGTGAAAAGACAAAAAATTGTCAGGCATTTCATTTATAAGTATATAGAAGCTAGAAAATCCTAGCTACATGTCTGCTAAGACGCTTATATCCACATAAAATTTATTTTCATGCCATGATATCTTCGAACCAGCATGCTTTGAAACATTGAAAGAACCTCTAAGCTTGTGAAAAAAGGAGTCGACTTTGTTTGAAAATTGATACCGTTTCTTCAAAGTTTTTATTTTTACAATTACAAAAAAATCGCAACATGGGGGGTGGGGGGAGGGGGTTGAAGCAGTAGCCAAAAGACAAACGAAATCTAGTGGAGACAGCGGTAAAAGCGATCCTGCAACCTGCTTTGGGTGCAGAAATATGAATTCAAGAAAAAACCTTGGTTGATGAGAGCTGCGAGTGTGACTAAATAATAATTTCACTGAACTTGATTATTGTATTTTAACAGAGGTTGAGATACTAGGGAATAACCTAGTCTTGCAAAAAGACCATCCCCCACCCAAGTCAAAATTGCTTGCAAAAGAATATAATGCGCCAGTTGATATTCCTATGACAGCTAAACAGCATTTTCTTCGACTAAGAAATCAAGTTCTTTGACTACGAGCTAAGAGCCTATTTCGTAAATCCAGATCTTTCGACTGCCAGGTAACTTATCAGTTCCCGAAACCCTTCACGCCGGGTGAAAATGGCATAAAATCCGCACAAGTCGACTTTTAACCCGCCTTTACTATTCAATATCACTATACAGTTAACGCGTTTAAAACATTGAAAAACAATCATAGAATGTTATATTAACAATTAATAACTTGCAGTTCCGTTTAGGGCATCATGGGCATTTTAGCCAATTTAGGCCATACAGACAAAGCAGTCTGGCCAAAGACGCCTCAATCTGAAATAAAATTCTAGTTTTACGATACCTGATCTCATTTAGATTGTAGCAATAGCATTATTTTTAATAGAAATTCCATATCAGTTTGTACTTCCAGTCTGTTCTTTGTTTACAATATCGTCACTGTTGAGCCATGGGACGACTGTCTGCCCAAGCGGCAGCGCTGGTTGGTAGCAAAAACTCAGACGGCTGAAACTCTCCATTTGTTTCGAAATCAGTGTAATAAAACTCCGATTCAGAGTCCCAAACTATTGAAAAAGTCAATTATGTGTCAAAAATGCAAAATTAGCTCCTTTCACATGCACAAAATAAACATTTGTCCGCAGCATTTTGTTAAAGGTTTCTATAGAGAAACGCAATACGTGCTGAGAACATGTCACTTGTGACGTCAAAGATGATCGTCCACTCGTGACGATTTTCGCCTCGAGTCTCAAGTTGTCGGAACAATTGTCGTTTCTCAACTTAAAACGCCTGTATTTCAAAAACGGTAACTGTGATTTAAAAAATTTTTTCGATCCTGGAATTTGCTTGTCACAAACTACCGTTTTAGCCAAACTTATTTTTGCGTGTCAGTTCTCCTTTAAGGAAAAATATTGAAATTGTAAAGATCAAGGGTCCCGCAGATGTTTTTGAAAATACTCGGTGTGGCAAAGTTTCCGAAAATTGTCTGAAAATCATTTTTTTTTCAGAATTTGAGAATGCATGATAATTTTCCGAAATTTTGGCACCCCAAAGCGTTATGCTAAAACATGTAAGTGTGAAAAACACGAGGTACCTATCCCACCATTAGTTCAAAACTGCTACGCAACAACAGATGTTTGGATGCCAATCATCTCTCTTGGCCTCCTTATTTTTTTCGCACCCCCCAGGGACGGATTTACCGGGGGCTGTAGGAGGTGCGACACCGCCCGATATATTTGTGTCTTTCGGTAAATTTTGCTTTGATTCAGTAAACAAAATTTTTCGATGATCAATACTACAAAAAAATTCAAAAATTTACTTTATTTATCTTCTTAATCTTGAAATAAAGGTGGCTCTTGAAAATGGGCTTTTCCATCATTTTCTAATCACCAGAAAAGTGTGACATCAAAATCCAACCATTATCTAACACCCCCAATCTTTGCCGCTTAAATCCGTCCCTGCACCCCATCTCAACGTTTTAATTTCTGATTTTTACCTAGCCTAGGAAATATGTAAAAGAGTTTTATTGATTACTTTTCATTAACGGTCGACTATTCATTGATTACTATCTACCTCACTTACTTTATAAAAATTGTCTTAACATTAAAGCTTTTTTATTATCAACACGACTTGTGGCAGTATCCTAGAATAATTATGGAGGTAACAGAGTCTAGCTGCAGTACAACAGATTCTCCAAGAATTGACGTAATTTGCTCGATTCAGAACAATTTTCCTTTGATGGATATTAAAATTTAAATAGGTTTGCTTTCCCATTTTTTTTTAAAAATTAGATATTAAAGAAAGAAGTGAATATGTTGTCCGAAATTTTTTTGTCTGGAAAGAAATATCCGAAAACATCTTTGCTTAGGTTTATTGTTGGAAAATTTCTCCACTGAAAATGTTTTTACTCCTTGTACTCTTACCTATTAAACTTTATGTCTTCATGTAAAGTTCTTTCCGCTCTGAAATCTCATGAATCATGTAAAGATTTCATATTTCAAGAAGTGTTTTTTAGCTTACAAATAACAGCATCTTCGTGGTATGTTTCAAGAAAACTTTTTCCCAACTTCATATTGTATATTTCATCTCATTAGAGCTACACGCTACAGATAAGCTTAAAGCCTTGTTTCTAATGCATTCTGGTTGAAATGTAACTTGAGAATGATTTAGAGTAGCATATATTTCTAATGTGAGTGTTTTCACTTAACCATTAAAGACACTTTTAAAGTGGTACTTTATGAAATATGTTCGGTTTTTCTCGTGATTAGCCATTCTGATCACCCCTCAATCAACCTCATTGAATCTTTCTTTTTTCCTGTCATTTTTTCTCTACCGGTATCACATTGAATAGATACCGGTACTCACGAGCCTCGAATTCAAGGTACTTTGAATGCTAGCTGGTGTTTTTCATTCATTTTAATGATTTTATTGGGGATCCGCAGACCCTCAATTATTTTTTCCCACCTACGTTCCGTGCATCATGAATCATACAATTTCAGCCCCAGTCTCTTTTTACCGTTGTTAATTTCTCAATAGGAAGAATTCAAATACCCGTACCAAAATTTAGGTCTATATCTAGAGTGGGATTTTAAGTATATCTTTTATCCCCTATTTTCCCATTCAAAGACCTTAACCTTGATGAATTTCATCAAGGAAGATTTTAAACTAAACTGTAACTATTTAGATGTTAAACAAATGATTAGATTTCTCTCGGAACTGAGTTGCAATTATCGACCCGATCTTTTTAGTCACTGCACTAACTAGTTAAAGATAAAGTTTTCATTTTCTCACACCTTTCATCTAGACTATTTTTCTATAATTCGCAAAATTTCTATAAATCGAAGGTTGGTAGAGCTGGCTGTTACTCAGCCATTTTCGGTCATATGATCGCAGGAGCGGTATGGCTAGGTGGTACAACGGGAAATTTCCCAGTGAACCGCTTTCAAATTAGTTTGTAAAACCAGGAAAATGTTTAATATGAACAAAATCTTTGGTGAGAAAACGCCTCACTTGCATGTAGACTCGAGTTCACAGTTCAGAAGTAGAGGAGGTCCACATATACAAACAGGCCCCTGTTGAAATGAGTTGAATATGAACAGGGCCGTCGAGAGGGGGACAAGGAGGTGCAAACTGGCCCAGGCCTCGAGAACTTAATTTTAATGAAACGCGACTAAGTATGCCTAAAGATTGTAAAATGTGGTAAATGACTGTAAAAAACCTTCTGAAATGTGTTTCAAGCTAACTTAAAGGGCGTGACCGTGTGCATTACAGCGTTGGATTTGTTTCACATTTTCTTGCAGTCCTGAAGAGACTATGGTTAGAAAAAAGGGGATACACCCCAACAAAAATAGCAGATGAACCTTTAAAAATGATAGGTAGGTACTATTTTTGGCAACTTCAAACTAATTTCAAACTAAAGAGCGGGCCCCCTTGTGATCATTTTTTCCCGGCCCCTATCTAGAAGCCACAACGCCCCTGTATGATCGCCAATTTCTTACTTTTGGTGGTGATGATATTACAGGGGATAACAGACGATTGCGTTCTATAAGAATGGAAGGTGCGTGGATGACCAAATCCCATCTCGCAGTTCAAAGTCTCTGTATGATGCTTTCGTATCACAACAATGTTTTCATGAGAGTAAATATAATTTTACAGTGCGGATTTCAGCTCTTGTGAAAGAACGAAGCAAAGAAAATTGAAGAGGTTCAAGATGTTAGCGACGCTTCGGAGACTGATTTCGAAACCAGGTAGTCCTGATATTTTTGCTTCCATCTGGGATTCATGCCTAAAAGTATTTTCACCGTTATCTTGCATTCTTATCGCTTATAGCTTCTACTAAAACATCGACCCTTACGCTTGCGAAAAAGTGCTGCCCAACACGAGGAGTTATATTTGAGAAACATGACAATTAGACCTCTACGACAGTTGTATTCTTTTAGAGTGACTATCTTATGAACTTCGCTTGCACAAGGGTCAGAAATTTATGAACCTTGAGAAGCCACGGTTACCAGTGTTTTAAACCACAGTTAGACGCAAGTGAAGTTTGATTGTGGTTTGAACCCAAGCGGTTGCTTGAATGCGGAGATGTATGAACTTACGTGAGAGGGCTTGCTTACGTCATTAGCCTTGGATTAGGTTCCTTGTTCTCGTTGCAAAGCAGTTTTTCTTGACAGCATTTATATTGGCGAAAATTTGCAAACTATTTTTAAAAAAAAATCACATTTTGGGGTATAAGATTTAATGTAATTCTTCCTGTGGAGATAGAAAGAACTTGAGCTACTGCATAGTAATTCTTTGAAATTATGCTCCACATAAAACTCAAATTCAAAGTGTATGAAATTTACTAGGTAGCCGACCTATTCCAAGCTGTCCTGAACAAATTGGACCTATTAAGATGTTTCCTGCTAATTTACTTGGTTTCAGACTAATTTCCTGAATGCGACAAATTCTGGGTGTTCACTCACAGTATTATTGTTTAAATGTTCGCTTCCTTGTATGTCTCTGTAAAAGTTTTTACCTCTAAAGTGCTACTGCTTTTGAAGCTCAGGTAGAGCAAGCTCAAACTAGCATATTTCGAAAACTGGTGGTATTTTTCTCGTTCTTTCTACTGAATAATTTTGTGTTTTCCTGGCTGTCAGTTTGGTGAATATACGCAAACAGAATTCATGCTAAGACAATTTTAGGCGACACCTACATTCTAGGCGACACCTACACTCACTTTGACTTACGTAATACTACGAAGGAGCATTACCGGGGGTTTCTTCATCCAAGAGCTGATGAATGTGCCCAGGCACCTTGAAGTCAGCTACAGAAGGGGGTAAAGTTCTATTGGTTTCTCGCTAACAAATAAGTCGTCGTTTGATTTCGAAGTGAGAGTAGAAACTCAGTCGAATCTCGAGCTGCAATGCTACAATTCTGAGGAATATATTTTCATTAAACTCTCTGTCTTCGAACTTTTTTAGTATGAAAATTTTTTTAGCATCGTTTATCGCTATCTTATCGTCGTTGCGACATACATGCGGACATACAAGAAGCGGCGTCGATCCTATTGACGATGGGCCTAGTCAAGGAGTCGGTTCTGATTTCGATACGGAAAACGAACACATATACTCGAATACATGGGCTCTAGAACTAGATGGTGGTGAAAGACAAGCTAGAGAAATCGCTGATAAACATGGTTTTAAATTCATAGGACCCATTGGTAGTCTTGATAACCATTTTATATTTAAACATAGTAAGGTAGAAAATAGGAGGAGAAGGCGAAGTATAGAACACCATAGCCTCTTAAAAAGCGAACCGAGTGTGCGATGGGTCGAGCAACAAAAGGTTTTAAGAAGGACGAAGAGGGACTATAAGGACTTTACAGATCCTCTTTATAGAGAGCAGTGGTATTTGAAAAATACGGGTATGTAAACCTTCATTTTTAATTCATGTAACTCGAGTTTCGATCAATGCATAGTCGACTGTTTTGTACCAGAACAGTGCGGAAGGGATGACAAATGATGTCTTTGAAGTTCAGGATGTAGTCTATTTTCCTGCAAGGAACTCGCTTGCAATTAATTGTTATCTTATGTCCAGCCGGAAGAGGTTTTTCCATGCCCTCTTTTGAGTAGAATAAGGGCTAAAGTTTCCCACGAAAAGCCTGTTACCGCAAACTTAATACATTTATTATAGAGTGGTTTGACAGGAATACCTATGAAATCATAGCGTAGGTTAATTCTTCTTAGATCTGCATTTTTTGTAAATATAAATTAAATTACAAATCAAGTATTTGCTTTGTAAAAAAATCAAATTACCTGAGGGAATTTAATTGGTTATCGATCATAAATTCATATTGAATGTCAGCTCAATACCCTTTCAAGCTTCTTGTGATACTACTTTGATGAAAGGATAAATACAGGCACCAAACACTATTTCGCAACATATTTAGTCTGTAAACAGTGCATACATTGATAAGGCAGCTTTTCATCCAAATAACTCCCTGATTAGATTTCATTTAATTTTCATTATATATTGAAATACAAATTCAAAATGAAAGCTTTTATTGTGTGTTGCAATTTATTTCTTCAAAGAAAGATAGAATGACCGTGGTAGGTAGGTTGCTGTTTTGGGATGTGCTCCTCTGTAGATTTGTTGACCACTTTTGTTATAGGTAGTACTTTATATCCCATCTGTATTTTATTATCCTTGTCTCAATTAACTGTCAATAAAAACTTGTGATGCAGTAATAAAACTTCATTTCAAAAGCTAATTCTTGCTCAGAAACATGGTGAAGATGGGAGGAAAAATTTAAATTTGTGCCTCTAAAGCTGGTCTGTGCATATGTTTTAAGCCAATCAATAGATTTAAAGACCTTGGTGATTGGCAAATTAAGACTGTTTTCAAAGAGAAATTTTTTCTGCCATAACATAGACTACAGATGATCATCCACTAATTAAGGTGGCCTACATTGACCACGGCACAATCTGTTTTCACGGCGCACTTTCATTCTTCTCACGGCACATTTTCTTATTTTTTACAGCACACTTTCCACATTTTCATAACGAGGCATCTCTTCAACAATGGCAACTAAATTTATGGGTGTATAATAGAGCTGAATAATGGGGGTATAGTTGAATAAAGATCGGTATTAATAAGGGTTTGCTGTCTCATGGTGCCATGAAGATATGTTCTTATGTGCCTCAGTGATTTGAATGAACATTTTTCTGAACATGATGGTGATGGAATAATGGCCAGAATTTTTATTCAGAATATTTATATGTGGGAATAATCACAACGAAAGGTATAAGAAAGTGTTCCAGGAGATATAAGAAAGTGTGCCGTATATAAATCTGTGCTGTATATATCTGTGCAGTGTAAATATATAACTGTGCCATGAAAAAAGATTGTGCCATGGCCATTGTGGGCTAATTGATAGTGATGAATCCTTATTTGTAACTATTCAAAAATAAACTGCATTGATATTTGGCCCCTTAACAAAGAGTTCTTTAGCAGAGTAAATTGGTTTTCCTTGTCTTCTGTTTGGAGCTTCACAATGCAAGGAAGAGTGTACCAAGTAAGATAACTGATTATTTGCCTCATCAGCCATCCATACCACGAGCTGCCACTGCTTACAATTTTCATCCAAGGAATTATGGCACTATAATCTTTGCCACCAGTAAGCTTTCACTGATGTTGAATTTTTAAGTCATGTTTTGTTAAATTTTTGTTTGGCAATCATTTTATTCATGGTAGCTCCTTTTGCACTTAGGTATAACCCATTGCAAAGACACAAAGGGTATTAATGTTATCCCTGTTTGGGAACAAGGAATAACTGGGAAAGGAGTGGTTGTAACCATTCTTGATGATGGTATTGAGCACAATCATCCTGATCTGAAAGACAATTATGAACCAGGGGCAAGCTATGACTTTAATGATGGTGACAATGATCCATTTCCTGCCTATACCAGTGATAATGTTAACAAGCATGGAACAAGGTAAAGATGCATTTATTATCATTTGCTTTTTAACATGGGTTTGAATATTTGGGGTCAAGCCTTTTGTTTTAATGTCACATTTTTCCATTGTTTTAGAACAAAAGACAATTGTCTTCCAAAATGTTGCCCCCAGCTTTTTGCAATGCTTTTGGAGTCCCTCAATCAAACCTTCGGTGAAGAAATCACCAAAAACATACAATATGATGGTCCATCAATTTGATATTTTTTCAAGTCCCCATTCCTGTTCTATTTTGATATAAATGAAACAAGAATTTTTTTAATATACATAGTTCTGTTGTTTTATAGTAAGCCTTATATCAGTGCAGCTGATGATCCTTCCCTACCAGAAGGCTAGCAAAATTGTGGTCTTGTTCTTTCTATCAGTTTATAAATATTTTATTGGATTATATTTTAGTAGACTTAGGTTTTTAATTAGATTTCACAATTTAGTTGCATTCTCTTTGTTCGACTATGATGGCGGTGAAATGAACTCAATGGAATCATTGTGTTATAACTGGTTTGCAAGATCTGCTTTCAACAGTATTTATAAACATCATTGAAAATATTTAAGATTTAAAGGCAATTCACATCTGAAAAGTCCTGGTGGAAAAAATACTGAACTTTGATGGAATTGAAATTCTTTTGCAATAAGGAAATCAGCTTATACTTTATTTTAGGCCACAATATAAGGATTAGTTATATCTGTATCTTGTAAAAGTTAAAATCCTGTTGTTATACTTCAGATTTGATTTGAAAATTTTTTCACCTTCCAGATTCATTTTATTTAATATTCTTAAGAAGGGTGGCCCTCCAGCAATGTTGATTTTCAAAGGGCTTCCTATGCCTAGATCAACATGTGTTTCAACAGTTTCATTTTTTATTTAAACAGTGTGGCAGTACTTTTTCTTGAAAATATACCAAAAATGTACATTAAAAAAAAACAGTACCAAAAATGCAATTTCTGTCAACTGTAATTTTGCCAGGCATCGTGAATGCATTTAAAATGGCTGTTTCTCTGAATATCATTTTGGTGAGCTTTGTGTACTATACATTATTACAGCCTGTTGACAACTTTCTAATAAAAATTATTTCCCCTGATACAGTATGAATGCAATATGCATATGCATTTTATTGTATACTATGATACACGGAAGCTCCCCTTCTAGTAATCTAGCAAGTAAATATTAAATTGGAGATCAGAGGATATAGAAGCACAGCACATCTAATTTCGGTACCAAGGGGTCAAGAAGAGTAATGTTTTTGAATTTTTGATGACCCTTTATAATAAAGCTCTATTTTGTGTCAGCTTGTATTCACAGAAAAGGCATTTTAGCTTTGCAAGTAAACCCAGTTGTTTCATTGATCCTCCATGACAAAACCTCCGAACAGAGCTATTGCATTGTAGTTTACACGCTATCCACTTGTTGTCAACAACCGTTTACTGGTGATAGTTCAAACGCATTCTTCACTGGCAATAGTTCTGTGCCTGTTTTCCATTGTCATGTGGGTCTACTGCCATGTGGCTTTGTAAGTCTTTATCGTGACCAGTAACCGTCATTGTAGCCATCTACGTATCTGCGTGGCAACAGAGGCCAGATTAAAAAGCCACTTCGGGATTTTTTTTAGATCGTTATCACCTGATTTCATTTTTTGGCCTCTTTAAAGCGCCGACGAGTTCTTATTTCAAGCTCTCTTTTGGACTTGCTTTTATCTGATAAGCAAATAGCTGTTAGAGACAAACCAAAATAGTAAACAGCTCAGCGACGCGGTCGTACCCAGAACTGTGACACTGGTGCCCCGATAAGCCCAGTCTTATTATCTATCTAAAAGGGTGTGAAAACGTTTGCTATATGCGTGTTGTTGTTTATTGCTTCAAGCTGGCCACTTGATCAAGTGAAAACCAATCTTTCGCTTTGAATTTTTTTAAACATATGATAATATCTGATTCCATCACACCGTATCTCATTTATTGCGTTTGCCACTGCAACATAGGACTTGCAGTGTCGTAAGGAAGTTTGTCTGATAAAAAAATTGCTAACAACATTGGCGTTGAGTTATGTTATGTTTGTGTAGCCTAAGAATTAAATTATTGTGTTGCCAGATATCAAATTGCTGTTTGATTCGTTTTCATGTGATAACACACACAGAAACAAGTTTGATAAATGGAACTTCTGATTTGCTTGTTATTAGGACTAAACGTGGACTCCTATTTAACTTTTTTATAGTATTCTCGATTGTTAAAAAAATTTCTACTTCCCGCCCTCATCTTTCTAATCCTTCTTAAGGAATTTCGTCAATTCAACATTGTGCACATTTTTAGAATGCATACAAATTCAATTAACCGATACACGTTTGTTATAGAAACAGTTAGCATAGCATCATGAAAGCTTTGTATACCATCTTAAAGTTTATCTTTTTCTGTGCAAGAAAAACAGAAAGGCTGTTTCTTTTTCTGGTGATTTTTGTTGCTGGCTCCCAAAGACTGGTACCATATTTGATCTTGCGATATTTAAAATGAAATTCGTTTTTAGCTAAATGCTTAGGCATGCTTCAAAATAAACAGGGTCGGTATACAATGCTCGGATGCAAGAATAGACACTTTTCTTGCCAGTTTTAAACTGTAGATCACAGGTTTTCTTCCAGCCATATGCTGACGTTTCCTTGAATTAGTATCTTCTGTTTTCAAATCCTTTTTCGTTTGATCATAGATGCGCTGGTGAAGTGGCAGGGTCCGTAAACAACGGTATTTGTGGAGTCGGCGTTGCTTACAATTCACGTGTTGGTGGAGTTCGAATGTTAGATGGGGATGTAACAGATGCCGTAGAAGGAGGTTCGTTGGGCTTGAACCAGCAGAAAATTGACATTTACAGTAGCAGTTGGGGACCTGATGATGATGGGAAAACGGTTGATGGCCCAGGAAGAATGGCTAAAGCTTCGTTTCAACGTGGTATGTCCTATCAGCATGGTTGTTTTCTTTTCCTCGTTCTTTTCAACAGAAGACGCGATTACAAATTGCAGATACAAAGAAGTAGGGTGTGACCACGCCTTCCCCCCCCCCTTGCCCCCAGGTGTCCGCTACTGCTTAAAATCTTAAATATGCTAAGAAAAATGAAACTAAGGCTTCAAAGGCAAAACCCAGCATGAGGAGAAACTTTATTCTCACATTTATCTCTTTTTTCCTCTTTGTCTTTATTAGTCCTTTTCAGCTACAAGTAGGACAATAATCTACTCTTCTTGTGTCATTCCTCTCTTTTGTCCTTCTCCTTGTAATATTCCTCTTTCCACCACGCGCTTTCGGTTATATTTTTACGTCTTTCTTTTTGTCTTTTTCCTTTATTTTCATTAATTTTCATTCATTGTCTTTGATTTCAATCTGTTTTTATCCATGTTAATTTTTAAACCCTTGCTAAAATTTATGAGGTCCTTTTTATTAGTGAACTCGAAGCTAATAATGACCTTCAGTACTATCTATAGTGTGATTTTAACTCGCTCTTTGCTTCACAATTAAACTTTGTTTATCAATGTGATATCACCTTGTTAGCGCGTAGATGCTATTTGTTTGCAGGGACTAAGAGTGGACGAAATGGAAAGGGATCTATATTCGTTTGGGCGACAGGCAACGGTGGTAAAAACAGAGACTATTGCAGCTGTGATGGCTATATAAATAGCATTTATACAATATCAATTGGAGCAGTGGATGATTGCGGGAAGTCACCGTGGTACGCAGAACCTTGTCCTGGAACGATGGCAGTCACCTACAGCAGCGGAGTAAGCGGTATCAACAAGGAGATTGTCACTACTGATTTGCACCATAAATGCACCTTAAAGCATACAGGGACGTCAGCTGCTGCACCATTAGCTGCAGGTAATGATTCATCTTGAAATGCGATGAATCTCGTTGCACCATTTCAGCATCTTTCTTGAATGCAAATTTCCCTTTGGTTTAGGCCATCTAAAATGACGCAAGAGATCCTTCTCTTTTCAGTTATACAGCAACATAATTGGAAATTTATTTAAAGGAAAGTTGTAATGAAATTAAAGGATGTAAGTTTCAGGTCCAGCACTGGGCTTTCTTAGAATCATGGCCAAGAAAGAATGTGTTTTAACACGTTGATGATAAGGCAAACACTTTTTTATGAAACTTCGAAAAACTACAACAAATCGTTCTCCACTTTTTCTGCACGTTTTACTGTTATCAGATCTTTTGTCTCTTATTGTTCCACCGCTTGGACGAGAACTTGGTTCTAAATATACATGCGTTATATGTATTGTGTGTACTTTAATAATACGTTATTTATTCTTACACTTTACATATGCAACCTTACTTTTCATGGTATATTGAAAAGCTCTAATGACTATTAAAGCACTAATTTTAAACATTCACTGAACCAAGGCATCAAAACAGGAGTCAGTTTAAAACAAAAGGCTTGACATTAATTCCAGTATTTAAAACAGCTATTGAAATTTGACACGAATGTGTGTGCATTCATATACCTGAAAGGGCATGTGTCGTGAACATGATTGGCTAATGCAATACAGTTATCTTTTTTGTTTAGTACAAAGCATGGAATCGAGGGTGAATTTTTACGGCAGTAAAAATTCAAGAAAAAGAACTGAAAAGTCACGAAGCAATGGAATTCCATTCTAAACGCTTTTGTTTTATTAGCCAACTGCTAATGCTACATATGCCCTTTAAACGAAAATTATTCATATCATGGTTTCGTAGATCCTCGTTATCAATTAGTTCTGGTCTATAAATGACGTCTTACAAATATACATTCTTTCTTCTCTAATATATCTCGTTGTCTCCCAAAGTTTAGCCTACAGTTAGTCAAGCCTAGTTGTTTTACCTGCAAAAGTTCTGTCTGTCATAAAATTATTTTGCATGCTAAAGTTGATAATATGGAGAGTGTTTTTCACTACCGTTTTCCACGAGAGCTTTTCCACTCCTGCGTTGATGGTAGAATTTAGATATGAATTTTATTAATTTCAAAAATCTATATTTTCAGGAATCTTTGCATTAGTTCTTGAGGCAAATCCAAGTCTTACCTGGCGTGACTTGCAACACCTGGTAGTACACACCAGCAAAGTGGTGAGCCCAGACGATAGCCAATGGCAAACAAACAAGGCTGGCCTACATGTCAATCCGAAATTTGGTTTTGGAGTTCTGGATACTGAGGCCATGGTCAAGGCAGCTAAAGCAAAAGATTGGAAGACCGTAGATGAACAGCACATTTGCAAAAGCAAGCACAAAGTGGCAAACAAGAAGATCCCAGCAATGGGCTCGATAACATCTAAAATATACACCAGTGGATGTATTGGGCAGCCCTCTTGCGTCAATAAATTGGAGCATGTGCATGCCTTTGTCACACTGAAGCATCCATCTAGGGGTGGTCTAACAATTTCGCTGAAGTCGCCCTCCGGGATAGTCTCTCCGTTATTAGAGAAGAGAGAACATGATGTATTGAACCAGGGGTTCACTAACTGGCCTTTTTTGACTGTATTTAACTGGGACGAGAATCCAACTGGCACGTGGGAGCTGACTATTACTGACACGTCGGGAAGAGCGGGAGTCCTTGTGGAATGGAATCTAGATGTTTATGGTACTTGTGACTTGAGTTTATTGAAGAAAGTAGACGAAAAGAAGATGTGCATAGACGAATGTGTCAAGGGCTGTCCCCGTCCTTTCTCGGAAAAATGCGTCGGTTGTAAAAAGTATTGCGATTGTGAAAGGGGGGTATGTGTGTCGCAATGTGATAGTCATTCTTCAGTTGACGTGGAGCGACGTCATTGTAAGCGAGCACTTGACAGCGAGTCGGAATCGACGTCGCAGGAGCCTAATCAGCCTTTAGCTTCGAGTTCGACAGAGACGGTAAAAGTAAAAAATTCTCTGCTGAAAATTCCGATGCCTGCCAAATTTGCAGTTATATCCCTGTCAGCTGCTGTCTTGATTGCTCTCGCGGCTGCAATTGGCTATTTTCTGCTAGGCCTACCAAACATGCAGGGCAATCCTCGAGCGGCTGTCAATTACCACAAAGTTGGAAAGAAAGCGGGGGCATATGTTGTGGATATGAACCAACCCAGGGATGATGACACGCAAGATGAACAGTGAGCAGTCCAAACACTGTTTCGTTTTTCTAATTTGTAACCTCAACCGAATTTCTTAATAAAGTATATCAAAAATGTACCTATGTTAAGTTAATGAAAATATGTATAATATCAAATAATCGTTCAAAACTTAAAAGATTGAAAACGGCGAAAAATTGGAGTATTTTATTACGATGTATTGTGGTGAAATTTCTTTGGAATTCAAACAAAATGGCCAAAAAGTCTGGGATTTATATTTGTAAACTTTTTCCTGTTTCTCCCTTATCATAGTCTTTGAAAGTAAACCTATAAAATTTTGTTATTGTTGTTGATGCGGTTATTGGCAAAGATATTTTACCACAATGCATTGCAGTAACTGTTTTCTAAATGCGTGGTATTAACCCTTGGTTTGGTTTTAATGTCTCTGAACAACTAACAACTAAAATTTCAAACCCTTATAGCGTCGGCAAATGTTTTATGTAGAAATTTTGTAATATTGATTCAGTGTGTAAGCTGTTTTGATGCCAAGCTTGAACACTGTTCATTCATGACACTGAATTCAGTAATATATTTTTATCAAATTCTGGCTGTTGAAAATAGCAAGCAATTCTTTCATCCACGTCACATTTTTTTTCCTTTTCCACTTAGCTTAACAAGGTTTGGTAGACCCTTCTTTACTCATTTGGTAGTTTTTGAGTGAAGGGGAACCAAATTGTGACTATTCTGCCTTTTATACAGAGGCATTTATCATCAACACCCGATCCCCTATTCTTTCGTCACCGCTATATCCTTATGTTCTACGACGTTTAATGTAGCACGAACACGTTTATCGGGCGTTCTTTTTTAGTCCCCAAGTGTATCTATTCACCTTCATAACTAACTTCGTCTTTTGAATGAAGACGATTTTAAATAAAGGGGATAATTTAATATGATGGCAAATTTTGCGATAAGTATTTTATGGCAGAAAGGCGGAAATTGTTTTTGTTTTGTTGTTTCCTTTGTTGCTGGTCCATATTGCATTTGGGAGTGTTCCTATTGCCCGTGATTCAAATCATTTCAACATCTGGCATTGCCTTTTGCCAAATCACGCTTTGAAATCCCTTGATAATTCGATTTCCTTCTCCCAAAAGAGTTGTAGCATTATTGCTGGAAGAAATGTCTTAAAACATGTGGTGACGAGGTTCTTGCCCAAAAGATGCGAACTAGAATAAAGATGGTTTCTTTGGTGGTATTTTGAAAGAGGATCACTTTAAAGCATTTCAAGAAATGTTACTGTGCAAGTAAGATTATTTGATTCTCATTGAAAATTTGATGCCCCTGCAAAGTATGTGTCATTTAATGTCTTCACTACAAACTGAGAAATAAAGTTCTTTATTTGGAAGATTTGATTTAGTTAAACTTTCCAGACTTTTCAGTACATCACAATACGATGGTGCATCATCATATAATGCCAACGGAAACATACAAAAACACTAAAGCCAGAGTTTGAAAATGGCTTTGAAAAAAGCAAACATTTTACGACATACTAAAAGCTTTTTCGTCTGACACTCCTCAGAGCAAAAACGTCCTCGGAACCTTATTCTGACGTTTTTGCTCTGAGGAGTGTGTACCGCAAAAAAATTGTTCACATTTTTAAAGCCAGAGTCTTGAATCGGGCCTCGGAGGGCTGAAATCAAACCAAGCTGTTTCAAATCGCACCCAATACTTTCTTGTTCATGCACGCTGTCAATAGGATTGATTGTCAGTACAAAATAACTTACCAGGGTCAAAAGAACAACTAAAGATGGAGGGGAAAATTTTTCAAAGAATACAAAACCTAGCGTCAAAACAAACCACTGCTGTAATAACCTCTAAACCATATCTGCAATTATGCCTTTATATTTATGGTAACCAAAATGTACCCTGAAATAGTGCTAGGACCCATCTGCTCTTCTACAATCTTAAGTTGATGCTAATCGACTGCAACTCTATACCTCCACTAGATAGGGTAGATTTGAAGGGTCGGGAGGGGGGGGGAGGTACTCTCGAGTTCTGTTGAAAATTATTAGGGGTGCGCTATTAGGGATGCGCTGAAGGATAAAAATGATGGCACCTTTACAAGAGTAATATTCACGTAAATTGAAATATTTTCAAAGCAATCATTTAATTATTAGAATATGTAATTAAATCGGTAGAACTAATAACAAGATTCGCAATTATCTATAATCAAATATTTATTATATATAATTTATAGGATTTATACAGCAGTAGTATGAACAACTAAAAACTGCCAATAAATTGTCTTAATGCGTTATAAATATTTTAACAGCGTATGTTCATAGAAAGTGGCATGGGGTGGTTTAATAATATACAAAGAAATATGATTCTTATTTTCAACAACACGAAGAGACCGACTGACAAAGGTAGCAACAAACGAATTTTATAAAGCTATGATTACTGGGATGAAGAAATGTTTTCTTCTTTAAATAGTTTGCTCACCTTTAAATCACTACCGCCCGGGCGCTTATTTAATTTTTGAGACTCCAGGGTTGGTACTTATTCGAGGGAGGCGCTTAATCGAGGGGGGGCGCTTATTTAGAAAGAAGATTTGGGTGCAAATTGTGTTGTTCATTAATCTTGTTTTTGAATTACCTTCCAATTATGTTTTCGTTGAAAATTCAAATAAGCCCCGTTTCTGAAGGTTGAAGGATGGGCGCTTATTCGAGGGGTGGGCGCTTATTCGAGGGGTGGGCGCTTATTCAATAACTTTACCTCTAGAGTGGGCTTATTCAAGGGGGGCTCTTATTTGAGGGGGCGCTTGTTCGAGGCATTACGGTAGATAATTTTTACTTGACATGCTTCAAAATAAACTTATAGCCTGATACTTTGAGTCCAATATAACGAATGTAATGAGTATCAAACATAGTCTCTCTGACAAGTTTCTATTCTCCGTTCCGGGTTGACGTCATTGATTTTGTATCTCGCTATCTATGGATCTTTCTCAAAAATTGACGTCAGAATTGAAATCTTCATCTTTAAATTAGTTTATACGGAAAACGTCATGCTGTTTGGACCGTTTGGTCACGAGTTACTTTGTTTTGAATATTTAGTTTTGAAAAAATTTTACTACAGCAACAAATTCCATTGAAATGTATAGGAAAAGCTAAATCTTGAAAATGGGTTAATTCGCTGTCTGACGGCACAAACAACTTGAAATTTTCAGCACAGACTAATTTCAACATGACGATTCCAATTCTATGATCCATTTTTGCCAAATATAAAGATAAAAAATGCCCGGATCAGATAATAGACAAGAGGGAACCTCACTTAAACTTCAGAAATCCGTTTGGATCAATGTTTAATTTTTTCTGCAATTCTGATGTGGTTCTTTTCAATTCCTTCTCAATGCGGTCAAGTTTATATTCATTCCTCCGGTAAGAACTATCCAATGATGTCCGTCTCTTATTGCTCAGCATTTCAGAGTTGCTCTTTGATGTTGATACCATAGCATCTTTCGCTGAAAATGGCCTAGGCTTTCTTTTTGCCACATGAACTCGAAGTTGTTTGTTGTCTACCTTCTCTGCAAAGAGATTTAAATCAGTTGACAAACTAGAAAGCAAGACGCCTTTATCTCTAGGATCTCATTTTTATGCTTGTGCTAGAAAATCTGTAAAAAATCTGTCCAATATCCTATGTCCCATTCAGGACAAAAAACGTGCAATGACATCAAGCGGAATAATTCATCGATAAAATGGAGAAGAGATTAAATTTAATAACTTCTTCGCTGGTGATTTGTTCATGGGTCTTACCACAAGACAAAATATCATCTCAACCTTCAAAACAAAAATATCTAATAATGAATTCTTAAATTGGATTTAAAATTATAAGAAGAACTACAAAAACGTTTAGAAAACCATGAAGTTCATTTTTATTGTGATAACAAGCATAAATCAAGTATTTCTTGACGTCAACTTACTTGACGTTTTTGGTTGCGGAGGACGCTTAAAAGCTTGGGGTGTTGAGTTTGACTGTGAAAAAAATGAGTTAAATTCTGTAAATACAAGGCAAGAAATCTGATTAGCATCGATAAGATTAACTCTTGAAAGAAGTTGAATTAATTTTGTGATAAATAAGAGAAATTTTAATTGAACTGTGACGCTTTTCCATGGAAAAACCACGAGTTTAACAGTTATCACACAAGGCGAAAATAATGATAACGACTGTGCACTTTGACTCTGGAAAGAAATATCATTTAACTGACAGAGTGATTAGTTACACAAGATGGTCCATGGCATTTGTTTATTTGCTTGTCTATGCCCAGGGTTTATAGTTTACAAATTTTCTTGTGGACCATTGGTGGCAAAAGATTTATGGTAGATTAAGGAGTGGCCCATACTTTACTTAGCAATATTTTTCTAGTCACCTATCTATGTCCCCTTTCAGTCAAAATTTACGATGTCAACGAACACTTTGCAAGTAGCCATCAGCTTAGCAACGAATAACAGGGAATTAAGAGCAATAACAGAAACACAAATTGAATATGAATAATATCTGTTATCAAGAATAGTTGTTACCTGGTCCGGAGAGGTTTCTTTGTTGCAGGAGACATCTAAAATCAAGAAGATAACATTTCTGATAATGTCTCAGATAGCAAAGAAAACATATGACACCATTTGCGGTTCTTCACACACGTTGCTTAGAAATTAACTCCATAGAATTAAAGATCGAGATAGGATTTTGAGCAAAACATGCAAGTAAAGTGCAGTACAAAAGTCAAAATATAATCTGTCTTTCAGATCTATGTGAATTTGCCACAATTCTATCCTGAAAATGTCCAATCATAGCAAGGAAACAACTGTTATTTTATGTCCACATTGCCTTTCTCATCAGCGAGGCCAACACGTGGGTAATCTTACTTAGACAATGAGTTTTAAAAAGGGTGAGCAACAAGAAGCTTTTCTTGATCAGTTTGAAGATAAATTTAGAAATAAACGCGGTCAAATTCTGTCCAAACTTTCATGACCACTTTCATGGCCTGCAGAATCTAGTGCCTTACAAAAAATGAAAGTAAAAGACTAACAAAACATCTTACTATTTTGAGTCTTGGTGTTAACAATCTGGAATGATAATGAATTCCAATGAATGACAGGTTTAAATGGCAACAAAGAATAAACAAGCCTTATGCACAGGGTACTTTGCTCGAAAACGGTTTTGATTCTTACATGGTCCTTGGCAATCAGGGATGGCGCCACCGGGGGTGCTTGGGGGCAGGAGCCCCCAAAAGTTCATTGAGCCTCTCCGTCGGCACTTCAATTTTTGAAAACTTTTAAGCAATGTCGGCACTTTCATAACTTCGTGATATTTTTATTTTTTTCATTGTTTGATTTTTTCTCAGCTTTTTTTTCATTTTTTGAACAGGAATTGCCTCAGCGGAAATGGTGTTATATTAGATCTTTATTGGTGGTTCACCCACTATCGGCACTCTGACATTACAACCCCCCCCCCCCAGCATTTCTTTTCTGGCGCCATCCCTGTTGGCAACTTTCGTTTACTATGCACCATCTAAACATGTAGTATTGTTAAAAACTCTTTTAAAAGACAAATATTAGTACTAAACCATTTATAATCAATCCATGCAGTCAATGCCAATGAATTATATATATCTGAATTAAATAGAACTCATATCAATGAATATTACTGTTAACCGGTCTGTGAAAAGTGCATGATACCATATAGGCAGAGCTGTACATGCTGTTTTGCATATAGGACAGGACGGTTCTTAGTTGCTACTGTGAGTTTAACACCTAATGCAATCATCAGGCAGCTCATTGTATGATACTATTTGGAAAAATCATGCAATATAATCAGAAAAATGTCAGAATAGAAGTAAAGTTCATTATAGTGCCTTTAGTTGCAAGTATTAATGCAAGTACTACCTTCTTCTGTGTCAGCGAAGATGATTCTGCATTCAAACAAAAATCTGTCAATCCACCATCAGCACTGCATACTTCTTCACTTCTTTTGACAGTCGAAACAGAGTGTGGTCTAAACAACTTTTGCTTTTGTGCAAGATTCGACTTCTTTACCTGTATTTCAGTTTGCAGTTCCAAACTTGATTTTTCTCTTAGGTCTTGCTCTTCCTAAATATAAAAAGATTAAGTTTTTGAAAATGGCTTTGAGAAAAGCAAACATTTTACAACATATTGGCTAAAAGCTTTTTCGTCTGACACTCCTCAGAGCATAAAACGTCAGAATAAGGGTCCGAAAGTACACGATGAAAAATATATACCCAGTCGTGGATCAAAATAGGCCAATCAGAAAAACGCAAGCACAAGACCGGTATAGTTGACCATCAGTGTCGGGTGCCTAAAGAAACATTACCACTGGAGTCCAAGAGAGAAACCGAACTCCTTCTGTCTACACAATGGCGGTTTTTCGTTTCTGTGGATCGATTCCAAAACTGCTAGATGGAAGGACGACCGGGCACTGCCAATTATCCGGAACATGTTGTCATTATAGAGTTTTGCACAATCTGGGTTGTCTAAAAGATGTTGACCGATGGCAGAATCACTTGTTTTAACAGTGTTTCTAGACCTACAAGATCGAGCAGGCTTTTCTCTTTGAGGAGCAGTTTTGTTTCTTATGTTGGAAGGAACATGCTGTTTTATCCTATCCCCCAATCTCTGGGTTGTGCGTCCTACGATTAAGTTTTTAGTATGTATATAGGATTCAGAGTATAAACCCCAGACAAGAGGATGTAAGGAGCCAAATCTTGATGTGACAAATCAGTACACATTTGATACATATTGCATGGTGTTGCGGTTTTTAGATGGACACTTTGTTTAGAAATATATCTAAGATGAATGAACATAATGTATTTTAATAGAAGCTGCAGGGCTATGTTTTGCTTTGCTAAAAATCAAGAGAAGAATTTATATTTCTCGGTTATCTAACTAAAAAACCTCTCTGGTATCCCTTGCAAATTTATAATCCTCAGTAACATAATGTAAAAGCAAACAACAAACCTTCATGTTTCTCAAGAAATTGCTTGACAATGTTGAGGCTGCATCAGGAACCTCGCGCAGCACTGGGTCCTGAACAAACCCATTAAGCTGTTGATCCAAGAATTGCTCTCTTTCATTCAGATACATGAGTTGCCTCATCTTTCTGTCTTTTTCATCTTTAGTATATTCTCGATTTAATAACCCAATAGTAAGGCTGGCCCAATGATTAAGCGCTGCTGACTGTAACAAATACACACAAATAAATCTGGTAACTCATTTGAAAACACAGCACGGATAAGTTGTTCTACTGTGTTAAATAACAATCTTGAGCATTCTCCACAAACATCTTTTAAATACTTTTAAACCTTTTCCCTTAATCCAGAGGTAATAATTATCAAGCTCAATCTAAAACTATAAGTTTACTTTGTTATTTATGTCTAGAAAATCACTACAAGTTCAAGACAAGAAAAGTCCAAGGATAAAAAATGTAGCTAAAATTTTAAAGATTAATAATCAGGCAGAGATGTACTGCTGGGAAAAATTTCTTTTTGACAACCAAGCATGTAATCCCAATTTTTTGGTTGAGAAAAATGACATGTATATGAAAGTCAATGGTCAGAGATGCCAAGAAAAGAAGGATGTTCTGGTGGCTTGACTAAGCTGAGTCAGTTTTCACACAAAAATTAAAGAAATTACTAAAGAGATTAGAGACCCATTCTTGGCAAATTCATTTGTGAACTACCCCTGATTACTGCCATTGATTTTCTGTCAATGCTGAAGATAGAAAAAAGCTTGCTTGTGCCATTTGAAAAGGCTGCTAAAAACACATTATTAATAGATTAAATGCAAAATGCCTGAAACTGTTTGGAAGCCCCAAAGCTCACCCTCCTAGTTTTTATCACCGCTGCCATTTATCATCAAAATTGTTTTATACCTTAGGCACAGCCACAATTTCATTGGTGTCACCTCTTAACTGCAGATCTGGTGGTGCAATACCTACATAGAATTTACAGTTCTCATGTTAACTTTGAAACTTTAAATATTTCTCAACAAATGATTGGTCATAAAATAATAAGGAACCATTAGAACAGAGTTTTTTCTATTGTGAGGAGGGAGACTAACAGGCTCCAATGAGGACATTTAGCCAGAACCATCCACATATAGCTGGGAATCCTTTCGAAAAAAATAAATCATAAAATTGACATTCTATCAATTCGAACTTAGTGATGTCAACATGGAAATTATCATTAATGTAACATGTGATGACCACTTTTATGTAGGGCACAAATTTTAATACACGGTTAGCAGACATACCAACAATATTGGCGACATGGACTGAAGCTTCTACATCACCAGACCAGGCTCTGAAAAACGAAGCTGTAAGTTAAGAATAATACAGAGCACAAAAGTATTAAGAAGTATTTCAATCTGTCGGACAGTAGACAAGCTGCAAGATCAGCAACATTACCAAATGGTGCTATTTGTCTCAGAGACTTCGACTCATAAAATATTATCTTAGATATATACTTACAGGACATCTGATAGGGCTAGACATCCCTTTGATGGTACATTAACTGATAAAATCATATTTCTCCTTCCATGATTAAACTTCTCATCACTGATAAAACATTGTGTCAGATTAATAATGTACTTCCTATGTTTTTATTTATAAATATTTAAACTTTTCACAAACAAGATAACACAAAGGAAGCAGAATTTTCTGAAGTAAGTCGCCGCAATAGAATACACCATTGAAAATCTGTGTGGGCTTTTTTGAGAGGGTGGCTTATAAATCATTTGAAATAAAATATACTATAAAAATGCCAATGCTCTGGAATTTCTTCGAAAGAATCAGCATCAGTATCCTCTTGACTTCTGAGGCACACAAGGAAATCTTTACATGGACCGTATCTAAGGCACATGATCTTATCATCATCACACCCCTCATCAAGAGAACCACTAAATGCAAATGATTTCTTTGTTTGACATCAGGGGCAAAAGAGGGGATCTTAATAGAGAGGGGGGATTTTTTAAATTTTGGCATGGAAATGGGGCTTAATAGGGAGGTGGCTTAGGAGGCTTAAAAGAGCTTGGTATGCTAATTTACAATAATTCACAGAGATTCATGATCATTTGAGCTGAATCACAATGACCTTTGCAGATTTATCATGACTCATGATGATTTTCGATCACTCACAATGATTCACAATTCTTAACACTGCTTCGTGGTGATTAATGCTGGTTCACAACAATTTGCATTCATTCACAATGGTTCATGATTATGCACAGATATCACAAACTTGTAGATTTTATTGTTTCATTCGAAGTCTTATAGTTCCAAAAAGTGGCTTGTGATCACTTGTAGTAAGATTCTATAGGTGAACATTTTAACTGCCTCCACAAATTTTGAAAGTTGCTTTGCAGCATACTTCTATCTAGCTACTGTTCTATTGACAAAACAGCTGATTGCAATCCAACCAATGGCGAGAAAAGAGTTGCATGGAGATTTTCAGGGATATCAGGCATCTTTGTTAATAATTAAAAACTTCATTGAATAGAAAACCTTAATCCCCACAACAGCTGTTTCTTCCATGGTGCAAAGACACGTCTGATGAATTGTTGATGCTGCCGCTCACTCTAGCATTCTGTTATGGAAATCGCAGAAAACGGTTACTTACTTACTTACAGGGTCCCCCACACCACTGTACTCATTCTTCGTACATAAAAATCAAGTCAGTTACCTTTTCACAAGATGAATGAGACACTTCAGTTGATCCTTTGTTCTTCTTAGCTCTTCTTGACATCTCAATAGTTGAAACTGGGATGCACTAACAGCATCTCTTAATGCTTGATTTTCTACACCAACTGGTGTGGCAAGTGCTGTTTTCTTCTTGTGGTCCATTGTTGCTTGGTTACTTTTCATGCACCTGAGAGTAATGCAAGACAATATATAATTTTTCATTTTCTCCCAAATACCTGTTTAATAACAATCAACTGACATATCACTGAGTATCTTATTAAATTTTCTACACTAAACAATATCCAGTGGAACAATTTCCATATACATGACTAACAAAAACCTTTTCTGCTCTGGGCATTCTTCTCCCTGCGTATTTGCCAAAATTGGATCATAGAATTGGAATCTTCATTTTTAAATTAGTTGGTGCCGAAAATGAAATATCTAAATATTCAAAACAATGTAACTTGTGCCCGAACAGTCCAAACAACATAAGTTCTCAATATAAACTAATTTCAAGATGGAGATTTCAAACCTGGCATTATATCTTGATTATTATTTGAATTTTCATTCTCTCAAGATAAATTATAAATTAATTGAGAATTTTCTGAATAACAGTGAAAAGTATAAGTATATATAAATACCGCATTATATGCTCATCTATGTTATCATCATCTAGTGCTCATCTATGCAATACTTGCTAAATATTTATGTTTTAAAACTTGATTGGTTCTTGACATGATAAGAGATCTAAATGTTGTATGTTGTAAGCTAATAAGCACCTTTTTAGTTTCCAAGTTACACAGAAAATCTCCCCATTTTGAAAAAAGAAAGAGACGAAGACATAATTCGAAAAATTTATTAAATACGATATTTAAAAGTACCTTCAGCAGCTGTTTGCCATTCTTGTTTTGTCTTGTCTTGAATTCAAGGTAGGGGAGGCCATTGATAATTTATGATGTGGTTGCTGTTGCTATAGCCCAAACCACAACCCCCGAAAAACTACCCATTTCATACTTGTTTCACAAACTATTATGGATCACGATCAAAAATAATTTTTCTCGAACTTGCCAATACTCTGTTTGTAAGAACCTTTTTGCTTGCAAGTAAGGCAAGGCCGATACACAACTTCAAGAAATGCTAACGACCGACATGAAGCTGCAGCCTCACTTTCAAAGGGAGGCCTCCCAGTTAAAGTAAGAAAACAAAATGGACAACACGGCCACTGAAGGAACCGAGAACAGATTTGAAACGCTGCAGCAAAACATAGAGCAGTTTATTGAAACTACACGACAGATAGGCATCATGGTCAGTGATTTCCAGCCGGGATCGCAAGACACTCTAAATGACAAGATGTAAGTATATTACAAAATATACCTCCAGGGCCAGATACTCTGGCTGCCCAAAATATAGACCAAATAAATACATGGGTTTTTTATGTTGTTTGAATCTTTAACTTTATGTCTGTCTGTAAAACTTTAACTTGTTAAATTCAATTGTCAACGTGCAAGAACTGACAAGGTGTACAAATAATTCAGATTTTACAACCAATTCGTGGTCAGAAGATTTTATTCCACTGGATATGCTAATCAAAGGGGATTTTTTGACACTCCTCTTGGTTATATTGCATATAGATCAACAACCCTCTTTGTGTGCCCTTTTTACCAAATGCCGCTCTATTTGTGTTTACCAGTTTGAACTCATCAACTTAAGATACTATTCTTGATGGTCTATGATACTATTAATGAATAGCTAAAAGAGAGAAACTTCACTGTCCCGCTTAATACTTTGTTGTGTAATACTCTTCTATTACTTTGTTGTATTTCTTCGAAAAACGTGTGACTGTTCTCCTCTTTATTTGAGATCATTAATGTTGTTGTTTTAAGTTGGCGATTCCAGAGTAGTAATTGCGACCCATTTAAGAAGACTGCTTTTTGGGGCCATCTGAACACTGTTCGAAAAGTATTGCACCACTTTGAGGAACAAGTAATGGTGACAGAGTTGTGAACAATATGACCTTTGGAAATTCAAACCACTTTTGTGAAGCCATTAGATGTCAGTTTAGAGTCCAAAACCAATCAAATATAACTTCAAAACATAGACAACATTTCAAGTTTGAATTTTGAAAAAAAATATATTTTTAGAACATCAAAAATGTAAATTTTTTGTGGCCATTCTCGAAGCTTTGAAACCTTTACACAGCTTGCTAAATTTAATCAAAAACTTCTGAGTCAGGTTATTTTATATGACACATGCTGATTTTAACAAAACATTCACAAGGTCAAATTTAGGTATCTGAAATCACAGATGATCATTACTGGCCTTGAATTTTGCAGAATATGGCATTTTTACGGCCGATTTTTAATGAGGATACTTTTGATGCCATTGAGGCACTTGCATGTCTCTGTTTGTGATTGTTTCTCGCATAAATTTTGGTATTTTCTTCAACGATTATATGAAATATTGTTTTGGCCAATTTACAGCATTATTTGTTCTCTAAACAGTATTGCAATGGACTGAAAAACATGAAAGTAAAGACTAGTAACATTTTATGGACTGAATTCTTTTGTAAGATGCTACAAAATGCTCTTTAAAATTAGGCCTGTTGCAGGACAAAAACATGTGACCAAGACTTTTAAAAAATCCTTTATTATCAGTCAAGGAAATTCATAGTTTTTGGCACCCAAGCAGAAAATGAGTACCTCTGAATCCGCCTTTATTGTCACAACTTGCTTTTCGTGGTTTCGCAGTGGTTGGCATAGTTTGGAAATAAGAAAATATAAACCATATTTTTTAATTTTTCATTTCCATTAGTATTTCGTGATAAATTTTCCACTAGTTTCCACCCAAATAGTAATCCTAAAACGTTTATTTAACTTGCTATAGCTATTTGAGTTTTGGTTAGCTAAAAAAATTTGGCGGCAATGCTGCCATTTTGTGGCAGGTGGTGTAATACTTTTCGAACGTAAGTGTTCATGATTCGTGACACCACTTCCCTACTGTCTAATTGTCTAAAGTGTTTAATCTAGCCTTGCCCTCTTCCCTCATTCACCACAACATTAGAAATCTATGCTCTTCCTGTTAACTTTTAGTGTGCTGTTTCTTTGTTGCAGTTTCTCTTTAGGGAGTGGGGAGGGGGGGGGGCAGATAGGGCAAGTATGGAGAACATTATAGAACTGTAAATATGGAGAACATTATAGAACTGGAAATTTTACCCTACCATAACATCTTGAGTTAATGTTGTTAATTTTTCTTCATAGAAACAATATGATCACAGATATGCAAGAAATTGACAGATGCAAACATTTGGTACAAGATGTTGAAGTTCCTCTAGAAATTTTCCAGTAAGCTAATAGATTATATTCTTGCATGTAATCTACTTTAAAAAATTTTGCCAGGAACAGGGCTGTTTGTTTAAAAAAGTTGTAGGAAGATAGGAAATTGCCCAGGCTTATAAGGCTGATCACTTTTCTAACTAATCACTGTTTGTTTTGATCAGTTTTCCAAAACTCTTTTGCTCAGTTCAAAATAATCAGAATATACTGTTTAGTCAAAAAATGAAACATCCATCTGCTCAGACTTTCAAAATGATCCATAGTGTTTTCACTGCAACCATATGCTGATGTGTCTTGGTATTAGTTTTTATTGTAAGGTTTCTAAATAAGTGATTATCCTTTGTTTGTAAACAAAGTGTTCGATTTCATGATAAGTATGAAATGCTTTTAAGTCATACCCAATGGTTTTTATCATACCTAAACTATCTTATCAAACAGGGGCGGACACTTGATTAAATATTGGGGGGGGGGCAAGCCTTTTGTTTTAATAAGATGACGTCACATTTCCCATTGTTTTAGAACAAACGACCATTGTCCTCCAAAGTATTGGGGGGCAGTCACCCCCACTCGCCCCACCAAGTGTCCGCCACGGTTTTCAAAGACCCATAGCCTATTTGAAGGGAAAATAGATGCAGGGGCAAGCCCAGGCTTCTGAGTTTGAGGCTCATGATTGCCTGCCTGTGCCTTGGCACCAGCCACGTAGGTGTAGGGGGCGCAGGAGGCTGTGCCCCTCCAAATGAAAACTTTAACCAGAACTTGCACCCTCTGGCTACAGAAACTCCAAATTATTTTTGGGCGTTATTATAATTTTGTAAGATAATTGCTTTTAAAGGGACTCTACATCTTTTGAAAAACAAGAAACTTTATTATCAGCTCCTTTGTTTTATACACTTGACAAAATTGTCAATGTTACAAAATATTTTGATTCAGTATTAATATTCAAATTGTGATGATTACAGCTGGGGTGCGAAAGAATAGAGAGAAGTGGTCTAGCTTCCTGTTAGCATAGTCACTTGAAAGGACTATGCCAGAAATAGGAATGTAGCGCTAGCCCACCCTTGTTATTGCAAAGGCCCCCCATGAAAACACCAAGGAGGCATGTACAAACAAACCTCAGAAGTTTACTCGATTGATAAAGGGAATTTGGAAAGTGATTGCAAAGATTTTAACATGTAATTCTCAGCCAGTATAATAGCGAGCAATCGGATCCATGTGCAAGTTTTTAAAGTAGTAATTATGAAGTAGTGTTATTCTAACTTGTGAGATATCTTTTGAGGCATTTTCAGTTGAGTAGCTACAGAAACCTCAAAATTTGTTTTAAAATTTTGTAGCTGATGTGTTTTGTTCTTAACTCATAGCTCTGTGTAAGCTTGATATATTCAAAATAAACGTGCCATTTGCTGTTATGAATTTCTTTCTTGGTTAAAAACCTGCCCCCAAAACAAATGATTTGTGCTTGAGTTTGCCAACCCCAGCCAATATCCAAAGCTACGTGACTGCTTGGCACGCATGTATGTGAGACTAGGTGCAAATTTTGTCTGCTTTTCAAAAGGTGCACCTCAGCCATTTGCATTCTATAAAGTTTATTTTTTTATCAGAAGCTTTGTTTTGTTGCTCCGGGAATTATGTTTAAGATTACAGTTTTCACTATTTAAGCAATTGCAGGACATGTCATGCATACTGTTGAGTGAAAAGAGAGAACCACTCTAAATCAACCTCTCCACTGTTACAATAATTTTAAGTAATGTTTAAATTAAGGAGTTAATTTTTAGATTAAACACATGTTTATAGTCTATCTACGCTTGTTCAGTACTTTACTGTTTTGAATTCTTACTGGGATCAAATGATAGAAGTTTCTTTACATATATAATCTTTTGGTACTACAAATCTTAAAAAAACACACAGAAAAGCTGCAATATCAATGGTAATTACTGCTTTTCCGTGTGATTTAAATCAAAAGTTATGAATTCTCTCTAGTTTACATGTAAAAAAGGCCCTGAAAATGCAGATTAGCGTATATATATGCAATATATGTACATTTTAGGGGTCAGGTTTTAGAGCTAACATTTGAATTATCTTCTAGATATGTTGATCAAGGAAAGAATCCCGAGCTTTACACAGAAGAATGCTTTAAAAGAACAGTTAATAAGAATGAGGAAGTAAAATCAAAAGTAGATGCTTACAAGGTATACAATGAGTTCTTTAAATCAAAATTCCAAGCATTGTACCTTGAGATAGTTGCCACAATTTATTTTTTTGCCCTTAGAATTTTTTTCTGTTAGAGAATAAATGTTTTGCTTAAAAATTTCAATTAAATAAATTATTTCCTTTTTTCTTAGAATTTTAGAATGACATTGACTGAAGAACTCACTAAAGAATTCCCAGAAATGATGGTGCGATACCATCAGTTCAAGAAGCAGCAGTATACTGCTCCAGAGAGGAAGTAAGCAGCTGTTGTTTTTGATTTAAACAACTACAATCCTCTTCATTTTAAAGATTCAATAAAATGTGACGTGAATTTATTCTTAAGAAGAAACAAAATGCATTTCAAGTCATGGAATGTATTTCTGGTGTTTGCTCTGCCTAAGAAGATCAAGATGAAGGATAATGCATGATTCAAGGAAAGCTGAAGTTTTCAAATGGATGAAAAAACAAACTTAAGTTTTCTTCCTATTGAAAAATAGGAAAAGGAAATAAACAAACATATACACAAAGAAGCCAAACAGGTAATACTAAGTTTGTTGAAGGAATTGAGGAAGGAGCTCTTCCATAATAATTTATCATTTATCAGAATGCACTGATAAAAGAAAATGTTTACTCAAAAATTTTTTTTGATTGTTAAAAATTGTTACATAGTACATTAGCTTAAACCACAATGTTTGTTTAGAAGAATTTTCTCAAGAACTTTATGAGTCTCTTAAAAGTTACTGTCATTCATTTTTTCAAAAAAACTGTAAGAACGTAGCAAATTTTGAAGATTAAACGAAAGGAAACAAAGAGATGAATCAAAGGTCAAATTAAAAATACGAAAACGAAACCAAGTCAGTGTATTGAAGACAAGATGATTAATTGGGTTGAAATATTCTCTTAGGCTTGCTTCACACTGGTGAGTCACCTATAATTTTGAAAAAACACCCATTTGATGTATTGTCAAAGATTAGATATTTTACAGCATGGCATAGCTGTTCCTACTGGCTGAAAAGGAAAGGAAACCTTACAAATGTATGAATATTTCCTGCACCATGTGAGCCTATGCCTTAATGATAAAGTTAAACCAACAGTTAACAGCATATATGCCTTTATGATAGAGTTAACTTGAGTTTCAAATGACTGCTAAAGAAAAAGTGAAGATGTAGTAAAATTTAAGTATGTAATTTAATTTAAGTAATTTAAGTAAAAGAAGGTAAACTCATTATATGGCATCAATGTAATGTGATGCAAATTAAGCTATTTTGATAAACCATTGGGCTTGTAGAAATCTTTTCTTTGATGACTTTTTCTGATCTTTTCATAATCATATTTTACAAAAGCATACACCATGCAAATTTTTACAAATCAGATGCTACAGTATATCAACATTGAATACCCTAGCTATGTAACTCTTGCCGGTTTGAACATGCCTTAATGAGCCCAGCAGGAAGCTGGCAATATTGCTTACTCCCAAAAGCACATGTATTGTATGGTCTTATCGACTAACGTCTTCCATTTGCAATTATATCCAATAGCAGCCAAATTTCTTGTTTATATGTAAAGTTTTCTGTTCTGTATTCATAAGGCACTTTTTATTTGAGCATTTTTTCAGTTGGCTTTCACCAATAAAGTTTTTTTAGTTCACTTTTGACATATATTAAACTTCAAAAAGCTGTTTACAGCTGCATACATGTTTTTGCGAAAACTTTCACCAACCAAATAATTACTACATACAGTTAGTTAACATCATAAGATAAGTATGTTAGTTCAGCCGTCATATTGTCACACAAACAGGAGATTTTGGTCTCATAATATCTTCCCTTCTTTTTAATAATTAATATTCTTTGGATGATATTGTGTAAATCTTGATATGGAATGCATGCTGATGAAAGGATTCCCGTCAGGCTTTAAATAAAATTGTAAACATTTGCTGGAAAAGTTGACAAGTACTGTATAACTACGTAAAGCAAAACAAACAAACATTTATGGAGCTTTTCAAAACAAAGTACGCTTACTTTTGGATACGCAAAGCTGATAAAGCTTGCTTCGCGATTTGGAAATAATTGTGAACGGTTCTTATTAGATAAAATGATTTGCTACCACTTGCTTGATTCTGCTCTTTAATGATGTCAGGACATGCAGAATGTGACGTTAGAGGAAAACTGTCGCGTTTTATTGGTTCCTTTATATTGACTTAAGAGTCCAAGAGAGAAAATGAGCCCTATTTGTCTACACAAGTCGGGATCCTTTGTTTCGGTGTAGACAGGTTTCAAAACATCTAAATGAAAATGCGACCTTGTTTGCTCAATGATTTTAAAGTTGTCCCATAAGAGTGATATTTAGCTCCTTTCATTCTTTTCCTCGCTTGAGGATACGTTGATCTTTGTAATCTGATTATAGAAAGGCAGTATTTTCCCGATGATTATTATGATTGTATTTAAAATGCCACAGCTGAAGATATAGAGTAATCAGCGGCAGTTGGAAGATTGCAAGCTGTGCTGGATATATGAGTCTTACGAGCTATTAGGCCCTTAAATATTGTGGATATGTAAAACAGAGCATCGAGGTAAAACAGAGCAACAGACCCGTTTAATGCGCCTATCGTTTAAGAACAATCATTAGATATAGTTAGTTAACCTGTAAAGTTCCTTGTGGCAAATATTTAAGTGAAATGGCGTATAGAAATTCAAAAGGATTAAAGAAATACTTCGAGTGCAGTTTTACTTCCAAAAACACATTTAAAATTAATGCAATCCAGCTTCTTGCGATTAAATATCTAGGTAAGATTTGAATAATCATCATTTGAGATGCAATACCCCGGTTTTCATGTCACTTTTTAATACTTTCGAACACACGCACATATTGTTACTTTTGACAGTTTCTGACGACAGGCAGGTACATACAAGGCTACCTGTGAATGGTTTTGTAAAAACATTTCCAGAAATGAAGATAAACGAGCGCTTTGAGCGAGCCCGTTATCTGCTAAACATATGAGTTCATCTAGCAAGTTTATCTAACTTGATTCAATGCTTCAGTCGTGTGTTTCCTTGACAACAGTTGTAGCCGTCAGTGTGTCTTTATCAATAGTCTTCTCCTGTGTTGGACCATGCAGGTATACATCTGATCTCAGCTCCTTGCTGTTAATGAAGATGTCAACAATGAAGATGACAAAACACAGGAGACCAAACGCCTACGAAAGAATGTAAAACTTCTTCAGTATTGCAGAGAATATTTATGATTCGGAAACATTATTGATACAGATTTTATAAGTACGAACAATACGTGGCTTCCTGGGCTTTTCAATTGACCTTCTGTTGCTTTCTTGAGCCATTTTCCCATTTGAATGCATCACAGCAGAGGCTGATCATTTTTTTGCATACTTGCTAGAATTTCGCACTATATACACATCACAACAATGCTGACCATTCTGTTTCAAGGCGCTTTTCATAGAGATTAAAATTAGGTTGACTGCTTATAAAAGTTACTTTTTAGAGCTAATACATCAAGCGAGAGTTTAAAGGCAATCTGTCTCGTTGTGGATTGGTTAACGAGAACAATAGCTGGAACAATAGCCTAAACACAATTCCAGCGCTCCGCCATATTTTTTACAATGCGATAAATTAAAGGGGGACTGGAAACAATAAATAATCCCTTTGTTCTTATAATCAATCAACGTCGTGACAGATTGACTTTAAAGCAAGCATGCTATGTAACAATATTTAAAGTTTAAAAGTCATAGACAGTTAAGATTTTCAAAAGTATCCTTACAGCGCCTCCTTGAATAGCCAAGCATGATGTCTTGCTTTGCGTTCTGTTAATGAATTCGCAGTATGTTATCGTTTGCCAGTCTCGGTTGTTGGTAGGCCATTGTTTCGTTGTTGTCATCATTGATGCCACAGAAAGTGAAAGCATTCCTGTAGCAATCAGCACGAAAACCCCAAAAACAACAGCGAATACAATGTTCTAAAAAAGATGGTGCTTGAAACAAGACATGTCTTTAAAATAATAAGGCAGCTTATAAAGAGTAATGAACGGTATTGAAGAAATTGCAATTGAATATTTGAATTCAAGTTCTTGAAGAAGTAAGATATTCTTGCAAGCAACACATGGAGGCCAATGGTAAGAATATCTTGTCGACTTCCTCCAAGTATTTATGGAGGATGAAAACTCGCCAACATGAAAATTGAAGCTATTGCAAATTGCAAATGCATTAATGTCTGAAGATGCCGTCTATATGGAACTCGAAACCAGCTAATACCAAGATTAAACTTGAACTTAGATTATCGAGGATTATTAAGATGCATCTAAATCTAGACCAAATTATGAAAGATATATACATTTAACGAAACCATAATTTAATGTTCATGCGAAAGATTCTAGTAGGATTCAATGTGGTCTAATTGTTAATTATCGTATAATTTTACACTTACGTTTAAATAAAGAACATTTGAAACTTTTTCACAATGAGAATTATCAATCACGTAACAATTGAACTTGTGTTGTTCAAAATGGGCTCTTAAACTGAAGATGAGCGTTGAAACTGGTGGTCACATTGAAAAAAGCAGAATTTCTCCAATTTTTCGTAAATGTATTATCCGGAATCCGCTCTTACTCACCACTAAGGGCCACGGAACTGGAAGATTCTTTGTACACCTCGTTAAGATCATGATAAACACTATTAGTTCAACAATCCACGCAACTATTGTGACAAAAAGGAAAAATTGAATACGAGAGAAAGTTGTCCCTTCAATTTTCACTTCCCAGTTGAAGAATGCAACCGTAGCAATTGCTGCTGATAATGAAAGCTGAAAGGAAGACAAAATTTTTCTAAGAACCCTACTAGTATAAAAATTGTGAAGTACTTTCAAGTTCCTAATTGTAGGAGGGAGTAAACTCTATTTTTCAGTAATTTTGCATACCCATTTCCATTTATTAACACCCTCCACTTGTTATGTATTTCATGCATAATAAACATGATTTCGTACCAATTTAAACATGGTTTCGGAAAATCTAAGCATTTCAATCTATTATGACCCTCTATTTAAGGGTTTTTTTAAAAATGCCAACCTCTTCCTTATTAGACCCCCCCCCCCCTACAATTAGGAACTTGAAAATAGCGTAATTAAAAAAAAGGAATTATCTTGCGAGAATATCTCCACGATGGTTGCGAACCCATTTTCCTTCCAAAGTTACCAAGAACCATATTGTTATCCTTATCGTTTCAGGACCGCATTGGCGATCTTGCTTTGCTTTTCTATTTACCCAAATTATTTTTTCGCATTTGGTTTACAATGTGTTCAAAGGACGGACGGTATAGGTACACGTGCTCAAAGCGTTCTTTTGGAATCAACGAAGGATCAATGGATGATCTAACAAGCTCATCCTATTCGTTTCATCTAAGTGTTAAAGAGCATACACTACTTTTAAAAACTAACAGGAACTATTGTTTGAACAAATCATTATCTGTAATGATGTACAAACCCATAACTTCCAGACAAATTTAACAGCAGAAGTTTCGTCTTTTGTGCTAATTGAATTGCATTGCATATGCTATGGTATAACCTCTCATGTTACTGGAAAATATTTATGTTTGAACAGGTTTCCCAAAACTTTTCAAGCATTATCAATTGACATTAAGCTCTGCTTGTTTCCACTGGTTTAGTAATGTCAATGTTACTTCCTAGTCCAGAATATTTTTTATTGCAGATCAAGCTTAGGTTTTAATTTGAATTTCCCTCGTTTTGATTTTTGAATATTGCGCTGTATGATTTGCACTTACCAGCTCAATGAATTTCACAGCTGCCAGTGATGACCTCAGGTACTTGATGTTGCAGCCCATGTTTAAGCTGAAATCAATAAAGTTGAACGAAATAACTACGAGTTTTTATTTGGCCCTGTTTGCAAGGTTATCTGTACTAGGTAGCAATTATCTAATAAGACGTTTAAACTACGAATATTTTACACCAAAACGGCTAAAATAGAATAACAAACACTCAAGATTCCCATGACCAGAACTAAGCCTCCAAAATTTGAAATTCCCTTTAATTCTCCTGATATAAAAACAGCCCTAAACATAAAAGATTTCAAAGTTTGAACAAGACATGGTTTCTTGCAAATAAAAGTGTCTGACCATTCTGCAGCAGTAAACATATATATCTATACTATTTCTGGTGTCAGATGTTGCTTAATAGTCAATTGTTGTGATCATTTTTATCAGAATTAGGAATAAATAATCCATCATACGTATTCTGTACTCTAAAAAGTCGCCTTAGAAGATTAGGCCTAAGATTGCACATTGCTGTTTTTGACATAGGATCTCTAATTAGAGGCTTTTCCTCTAAGTAAAAAGTCAAGTGTTCCCGTCAGGGAAATTTTCCCACAGGGGTTGCTTCATTTTATACCTGCCTTAATACTGTAAGAATGATATCTTAAATTTGCTCAAACTTTTTAAGATTAAAACACTTGGGGCGTTTGAGGTCTGTTGCCTTTGAATCCATTTCGACTGAGTTAAAATTCTTTAACTGATGAAAAAGAAAGATAGAGGGCTATTAGGAAATTGTAAATTGGGATAAAATAACTAACAAAAACAAAACTTACCTTGCTGGTGATGACCAAGGTTTATAAAAGTGGATTATTTACACTTAAGTAGATATCACTATACAGCAAGAAATTATGAAAAGCATGCCAGTTTGCCGGGGGTCATTTATGACTTCTGCAAAATTTTAGAAATCCAGCCAAATAGTTGAATATCCCCACAATTCAAAACAGTTACAAAGCAATTCAAATCTTCTTCAAAAATAAGGTGCTCATTCAGCTTTTTTGAGACAGTCTTGAATCTTTTTGTACTATAAAATTCGTGTGATCAAATTTTCTTTGCTCTTGGATAAATGACAATGCACCCTTTGCCAAGCTTGATACTTGCACAAGAAGATAGATTATTAATGTGTTCGATTGCTGGTACCTGTGAAAGGAATAAGATAGAAAAATAGAATCCCTATCTAACCATTGCCGACTCATCCTCTTCTGTATTGGATTCCGACTGGTTTCAATTCAAATTGTTGCCATGAAATGCAAAATTTAGCTCTTACACACCAAAGCTTTTTTAAGTTTAGCATGCCTTAATTGGTTAGATTACTGGCCTGTCAAAAACGTTTCAATCGATTTTTCTCAACGTGACTTTTCACCATTCCCATCCGCTATACCCTATAATATCCTATAACATACCTTTTATTATTCAATTATTATCAAAGGTTTTATAATGCAATTTGAATAGGAAAGTTTACAAAGCTTATGGAAATTGTCCTGGGGAAGACCTAACCAACCACCCAGACTGGAATCGTCCGAGAGAGTTTATTACTTCTTGACAACAATAGTCTAACAATGGAAAATGAGGTGATTACTCTTTGAAAAGTTCTTCTTCTGAATACAAGCAAGAATGATGAAATAATGTAATTATTCTTGTTGAATATTCTTTCGTGTAGCCGGACCTTTATGAAACTGTAGCATAAAAATACTGAACGAAACTTGTTCTGACGTACTCTGGGTTTTCAATTGTCCATTTGTAGATTCATTACTTTCGAAAGGTCTGGCTAGAACGTTATTGACGTTCAGGTGTTGAAATTTGTTTCCATTGAGATTCGGTCATGTGTACCTGGCATCACGCAACTCGGCAAGAATTAGCAGACAGCTAAACTTGCTGTTTACATGAATTACACTCTTTTTTGTAAGAACCAGTCAATTTAAGTTCAGGCTGAATGTTCTTAATTTTCTCGAAAATCTGAGGCTGGATTGTTCTTAATTTGTTCTTAATCTAATAGGGTGTAAGCAGTGCGAGTGCTGGCTTTTTTGTTCTAGGGTTGTGTACAGGCCTCATTTGCCAACAAAGTGAGTGAGACAGCCTTAATTTGCTGACAAATTTCAATATTCACCGAAAAAGCACCCACACATCGCTAAAAATCCTTGATTTTGAGGAAAAAAGTTGTTCAAAATTGCATTTTGCAGAAGCTCAGCCTCAGCTTGTTTTTAATTTATTCTTAACTTTTGACTAATTTTGAGGCTCCTGTTCTTATGAAATATTTCTTTTAAAGAAAAAGTGTAGGCTATCTAATTGTATGAATGTTTGTTTGCACGAAAAATTATTGGCAATTATCCTTCTACCGCCAAAAGTGGACTACCGTTTTCTTGATTGAAAAAGGTTATCTTTCATAAATTGATGTAGGCTTCACTTTCAATAGTTGAAAACTTTATTCTCCAAAAATAAATGTGTTGAGAATACCGATAACACTCTTTTTTTCTTAAACTTATCAAAATAAAATGTTTTCTCGACAATGCAATGTTGTTGTCTCGTGGATAAATTTTCAAACGAAATTTTGCTAGAATCCTCTTCTACGGTCACAAACTATTAGCGTTTTATTTAAATGCTGAAATCCTGACAGGAACGTTGGCATATATTCCGGCCTCCAAACTTTTTGAATAAATCGGTAATGAAAACATATAGAAGAACTCTTCTGTAATGATAATTGTATGTGCTAATGCTTTGGGTTATTCATGATCTTTGGCTCCCCTAGCATCGTTAATGTCTATGTTGTGTCGTGAATCAGTTTCGTTTGTTGCACCCAAGTAATTTGGTTCTTGTAATTTGGTAATAATTGAATAAAAAATATATAGCTACATGCAAGCACGCCGGAGCCAGGGGCTGGAAGGTGTCATAATAAACCCCCTCCTTCATCCAAAAATGCTCCAGCGTCCCTTCCTTGTATTGTAGTTTTTTAAATGGGTATAGCAATAGCAAGCCAAGATTTTGTTCGACAGTCGGGTATTTTTTAATACGCGACAAAGCATGTGGAGCTCTGTCTTAATGACACCGACAGACCATTAAACAGCTGTCCACTTTGTGCTCATGTTAAAAAACTATTGTCAATGAATTAGGTATAATGCGAATAGAAACAACAGCCGTGTTGCTTAGTACAAGAAAACTGTGTGTAGTACTAATAAAAAAGTGTATTCTTATGGTTACTGCCAATGATGTTATACTTTTTTCTCACTTAAAATTTATGATCATTTTAAATATGTTGAGAGCCTATAATTATGCTGGTTCATTAATCTACGCTAGAAAGTAGCCAGTCTGACTTTTAATGTAGTGCGAGCCGTTATCTTGTGAGATTCGTAATGTTTCCATTGGAAACATTTTTATGTTTGCACAAAGAAGTTATATAGACGCAATCAGCAAATACCTGCCAGTGCAAGACCAGACGGTCAGAGTACGTAGTAGACACGTTGTGTGCGAGATATTCAACTGTAACAAGGTCGCTACAACTAAGACATGTTTGGAAATAAAGAGTGGTATTTTGATATTTGCATCAGAGGCTTACTTATTGTGGTCACTATGAAGTATGGCTTGGGAAGTACAGCAACGGTGACAGCAACGGTGACAGCAACGCCTGCGAGTAACTCATCTTCGGTAATCGCAGCTAACACCTCGGCCTCTACGAATTACACCCAACCATCCTTTGCTTCTACCATCAATAGTTCGGTGATATGGAATTCATCTACTCCAAACAGTTTGGCACTGGCTGTTGCACACTCTTTATCAACGCCTTCAACAACTGGTACTACTACAACCTCGATGTACGTAACATTGACTTCAGCTGGAATGTCGAAGACCGTGAACACTTCTCCAGCAGCCTCGACTGGACATTCCGCAGAAAGATCATCCACAAATATCCAGTCAAGTTTATCTACTAGTCGGCTTACAACATCAATAACTTCCCGTGCATCCGATGGGGGAGCAACTTCACCAACGAACTCCGTGCAATCTTCACTACTAACAACATCGCTTTCCCAAACGAAACCAGCAACCTCTACCAACCTTAACATTCAAACGACGCTCGTCTCATCAGGGGGCGAGAACGCTCACAAAACTACGCTAATAACACCTATGCCCAGCTCATCCCAATTGAATTCAGCACTGAGTCTAACAATCACAATTTCAGCATCAACATCGGGTAACTCAACGGAGACGAATAGTTCAAACTATACCCAAACAGTCTCTACTGCACCGTCAGATAATTCCTCAATATGTTCCACTTGTAGCGAGTCAAAAAGTTCGTTGACGTTCTCAGCAACCATTAATGCGTTTTCAGTTAACAGCAGCTCAGCTACAGTGAACGCTAGTTCAGTAGTTGCGAACATGACTTATGACATCACGCCAAAATCTTCTGTCGTTCTACGCGCTTCACCTTGTTGGGGCTGCTTCTCATCTGCAAAAATGGCCGAAGCTTTCGTCCAGCTAATTGTCCTCTGTTCTGCATTGGCTGTTTTTTTGGCAAAGGACTTCTGTTGATATTGATTATGTTGATTGTATAACTTGCACGTTCCCAAGCACCGATATATATTGCACAACCGCTAACTGTATTTATTAAAAACTGTATTCTTTGCTGAATACTAATGTTTCAAAGGAACCTCCTGGGTTTACACTATAGTGAAAATTGTATCTAACAATTTTAGTTAACTTCACTTTTTAACCTGATTCGGTTAAGCTGATCTTTATCAAGAGGCTTGAATGCTTATCACTGCTACCACCTCAGCCCTTAAACGATGACATTTTTCGGTATTTGATGCTACTAACAGCTTCTTCCTCGTACTTACATGGAAATCAATCATAATCGAATTGCCAGCTTTGCTTTTGATATTGTCCTAAGTGTTCAGTGTTCTATAACAAATACTTCTATATACCTCACGTTATTGTTTTTGCTTGCTGAAAGCAACGTGACAAGCCATGTAATGCAATTAATAACCGATTGCATCGTCTAATTTTCACTTGATGACGTAATAGCGGTACAGATACAAGATCATCAACTCTACACATTACACCTCGTAGATAATCTAATGTACCTTATGAATATAGGCCTCTGAGCTTTTTAGTACACTAAATAGAGTGGGTAAAAAGTACATTGTGGGCTTCTGGAAGGTCCTCAATTTTCTTTATGCGCTCTGTGAAAGGATAACTGTGGGCGTCCTCTTCATTTGCTCGGTTTATGGGAGAACTCGATCAGCCAAGATAACACTATAGAGAAAGAACTCAGCAAATTTTTCAAAATTACTTATCTTGTCGTATTCATGTGTGCTTTTAAATGACGTACTATATATGAAGTATAGTGATATTTCCGTAGAATTGTGTAGTTCTTTCATCTAAGTTAATGTAATGTAATTTAATTTGATTTAATTTTTGTTATTAAAACCTATTGGTGGAGATCTTAGTCACATTAAGCATGTTTTCCATTTACTTCAGCTTTCCTTAATAAATCATACAGCACTAAAAAAGGCCGCATATACTGGTATGACATGCTTTAACTATCCCATTTTGATATGATATTCCTTCGTATCAGAATTTTTGAATTGCAGAAACAAGTAGCCTTTTTTAATCAGATAAGACCAATACAGTCTAAGTTTTGTGTGCTGTCTTGATTGGGGTGCTGCTTCGTTTAAGAGCCTTGTAAAGTGAAATTTCTGCAGTATTTGACAATGCTCAGATATCATTGTCTTATATGCAGATAACATTAATGGGTCGGAAGTTATACTAGTGTAGTGTATAAAAATGTTGCAACTGGATCTACAATTTTGTTTTTGATGACGCTTTTTGTTGGCAAATCTTGCAAATTTTTGAATGCACCTATCTGTGATCTTTTTTTGAAATGTCAGTGGCTTCCCTCCACAGAAGTTATAGCTGTGTCACCAAAGGGAGAACCCAATTTTTGTGTGTCATCATTGGCTTATCATGTGCGCTTTTTCATTCATTTCATAATGAGTCGAACTAACGATACGCCACATCCATGTACCATACTTCGTCATTTCTAGACAATATCTTTCAAAGTCCAATTGTAACTAAATATGACTGCTAGACATATTTTGTACATATAATGAATTTATCATCATCTGCAGAAAATATTTATCATTATCTAAGTCAAGAAAAGTTATTTTCTTTCATATTAATTGAAGATTATCATGTTTTTCAGGTTTTTAAGAAAGGGTGACCTACAACCACACCAGAAATGTTTCGAATTCCACAATATTTACGTTCAAAAGTTGGCAAGACCGCGATTCAACCAAAGTTATCGGCGCTTCAAGTTTGTATGCGTCCAATCCTAGTTAGGTTTTTACAGACAATCATGCAATACTGAGATCAGGCAACATTGTAATGGGGGAAGGTGAAAAAGCTTTTAAAAACTTGATATTTGGCAGGTGTTTCGATGGCCTTGATTGTAACGTTTGTATAGCAGTATTTTGTTGACAATTATTCAGCAAATGTTTTAGCGGTGATCAAATGTACTGTACAGACTTTAAAGGGAGTTGCAAATACAATAAGGAGTGATGCTTTCAACAAAATGTGTTTCAAACTTGCCTTGCTGTCAAAAAGAAGCATTTTATGTTTCACGAGATGCTAGACTTGCTTTTTATTCAACAAAATGTTTTCTGCTTTGAATTTTTGGTTTCCGCGTGCATTTTCTGTGATTCCCCGGGATTTTTGTGAAAACACGCTAGCCAAAAATGCAGTAGTGGCAACATGAAATTTTTCACTTGTTAAGTCATGTTGGGACCTCCCTTAAGAGATGGGCATAACAACGACTAATTCAAACGAAAATTTCGTCATGCAAATATGTAAAAAGTTTTAATTGAAACAAGTGCAATATGTTTGCTAAGGCAAACAATTCCCAACAAGAAAGCATGAAACAAGTTAGCATTATTTGCATAGTTGCATTCAAATTCATTCTTGGTGGATGAACAGGATTTCATTACTGGTACGGTAAAGCCTTTTCCCAATCGAGAATTAACATGAAAGTAAATTATCATTTGATCATTATCCACACCTGTTAGTGTCATAACATGACGTCACACAGTGCAATTGCTTTGAATTATTCAAGTTTCATATCTGCCAACGTATAAACTACTTGAGGTTCAAGCACTTTGGTTACTAGCAATTTTTTTGCTTAGGTAGTGAATTTTCTTTGTCGAAGGCATATGATCGTGAGGCGTTGCATATTGCATATTGCAATTATTATTTTGAGGATTGCTCAATTTCATTACTTCGAGATTGCACCATTTTCAGGCATCATGCAAATTATTTAACTAGCTGAGTTGCTCTAACAGGTAGCTCTCTCCCATTTGTGATTTCCCTGTTAGTTGACCATCCATGCCCAGAAACCGCGGAAGCAATGAGGCTGAGGGGGCTTTTGCCCTCCCCTAATAATTTCAAAAATGTACATAAAATCATACAAGAAATTGCTTTGATCCTGGTCTTTAGCATGTTTAGCCCCCCCCCCCAAATATTTTTAGTCCCCTCTATCTGTAATTTGCTCCGCGGTCCTTGTCCATGCCCCATAAATTCCTTAAAGATGATTTTCATAAAAAACAACACATTGTTCTATTTATATCTTCCTTATTTTTGTAATCGTTATCTTAGCTCTGCACAATTACAGAAACGACTTTAGCTCAAATTTTAAGCTACCGTTACACTGATTATATCTTGCTTTTTGCAATTTATCTTTTTAAAGCCTCCATAAAATGAAACTATCACCAGTTATAATTCTTCTGATCATTTACCCATCTTTGCTCACAACCTTTAGAACCACATGACCACTATTATTTTGTCTATGAATTGACCTGAAGAGCGATTAAAAGATTCAGAGCATTGAAATTCTTAAAAAAATCACAGAGGCCAAATCTTACAATCTACAGAGCATAATTTCAAAGAAATCCAAACATTTCTAATCAATGGCAATGCTTAAACCTAATTTTTGCACTAAGTAGTTTAGAGACACTTAAATGGCCTGATAACACGCTAAAACAGAATACAGCTGTTTCTTTTGTTCAACCTTTTATCAGAGCCGTTTTACAGAAGATGATTTAAAAAGATTGCTAATTGAACGAGTCAATATTTTAGTGTAACTGGGGCTTGATTCAACAGATTGTGGTTAAATCCTTCATACTAATTGATATCAGTTCGAGACGAAGGGAACTTTTTTGTCATGTTTTTCTCTTTTTCCATGAGCGAAAGAAGACAATTTTCCCCATAAGCACAAGTTCATCGGCACGCCTTCTACAATTTCAAATTTGAGGTTATGGTCAATATGCTAATAGAATAACTATTTAGATAAGTGTGTTGTAGTTTCGATTTGATAACATGGCTAGCAAGTTTTTGACAAATCTGCTGCAAAATATTGCTGAAATTTCGTATTTTTTGTAATTTTTCAAGAAATTAATCAGAGTCAAAGCAATACAGGAATTATTAAGAAACAAAGCATTTTATCTAATATATGATATACATCGGCCCCATATATCGTAATTCTGCCTTAAATGTTTATCTTCGTTTCTCTATGCTTTATCAAAGATAAAGATTTCGTTTGAAACGTCATTATATCCCGAAATATTCTGATTACTTAGCTATCCGTTTTACCCAAAAAATGTTATCTAAATTAAACTCATACCAAGCTGTTAAGACCATTCAAGTAGAAATAGGTAGATTTCTGGTTAAAATAGATGCTATTGCTTCGATGATTATTCTGGATGACATTTGGTGTCCATATTTTTTCAAACGAGAAACTCTGTTTGGAAATATCTTGTGAGTTGATATTTCTTTGCTGTTGCTCGATGGATAATGATACTCATGAATTTCCAAACATGGCAACATATTGATGCTTAGCTCATTTTGCCTCATATCTGCATTCGAGTTCACAGAGATTTGTTTATCATCTTTCAAGTTGTAGTTCAGATCAACAGATGAATGCGTGTAATTCAGTGAATCTTCTGTGCTTGAAACATCGATACAAGTAACAGCCTCTTTTCTATTTGCAACCTCGTTTTTATTTGTCTCCCAGATAGCAGCCTGGATCGCTTTCTGCACTAGAATCTCAACAAGCTGGTCTTCAACAGATGCGTGGTGTTTGTTGGTATTGGCCAATGTTGCATTTAGTTTTAGATTTTCCAAAATTGGCTTTCCCATATTTTGTGCTGGGTTACTTCTCTGTAGAGATTTATCGTCATGTGATTCTTTAACATAATTTTGCTCTAGGCCGTGATGACATAAAGGCACAACCTGTGTCTTGTTCAAGGAGACGGCATCATGCTTGTTGGTAGTTTCATTATATATAGTGTATTTATTGACACAGTCATGAGGAAGATCATCTGATGGCATGGCACTAGCAACAGTCCTTGTGCCACAACAAACCTTTTTGTGATCAAAGTAAGCTTTGGACTTAAATTCTTTCCTTGAAATTGATGCACTGATTATTGCTTTTACTAAATCAGCTGCAAAGTTTATGATCTTCAAACTGACCACATAATTACCCTCTGCTGCTGAATTTGTATCTCCTTCTTCATTTGTTCTTGGGCCGTGTTTTGTTTCTCTTGTCACTGCTTCAAAACTTTTCAGGCTTCTTGTTAAATCTGAGATTGCCATCTTCATAATTGACCTGGTGTAGAAATCAGAGAAACGTCCCAAAGCCGTTTGAAAAGCTACTGTTCCATTTACGCAAACTGATTCTGTGCATATCGGTTCTCCACATTCAAAGTCAGATAGAGCACAAACTTCCTCAGTTTTATTAGCCTCATTTCGATTCATTTCATCCTCTGTTTGGGAGGACGACGTTTTTCGTTCTGTCTCGTTCTCGATCATATTGCTATCTGCATTCTCTTTTTCATCAAAGTACTTTCTTCCAGAATCACCATATACACCTTCTCCCTCAACATTGTTGTCAAACTTGCAGATTTGCTCCCCTTCTGGAGTTGATAAGATAATGATAACACCTTTGTTTGATTTTCTTTGTAAAGCAGGAGATTTTTCTTTGCTTTCGTATTGATTTTCTATACTTTTGCAAACAGAATTCTCTTGATTTCTGCTATCCATAGAATTATTCCGCGTTTCGTACCTAACATTTGTAGTGTCTCCATCTTCGCCGCGGTGTCTTATCGACAACACGCTCACTTCATTTTCATTTCCAGATCTTCGTGCTTCAAATTTTCCTGGCTGAAAGATAGAAGCAAAACTCGTGAAAGGCGAAAAAAAGAAAAATAGAGACCCGGCCATAATTTAAACAACTCAGTATTCTTTTGAGCTCACAGATAATGGCCTAATATTCTATATTTTGACAGGCATTTCATTAAACGTTTTGCTTTTTGGCAATGAATCTCAGCAAAAGTTGAGACCTTCTGGTTAGCAAAAGAGGGAATAGTGGTTTCAACGCTTTCTTCTGGTTTAGCGCAACAGGGAGCTCCATCGTTGGTTTCATTTGATTGTATCAATCATTTCACTTTAATAATTAATATAATCTAAAGCCTTTCGTGTCCCTTATGTCGTCAAACTTGTTCAGGGGCTTCTTTTCCCTCTCATTAAATCAACATTTAAGCTAATTCCCTGGAACTTTTCCTATAAATTTCAGCATGTCCCTTGTTTTCATTAATTTAGCCATATGTGCATGCATACCATTAGCATATTCACGACAATAGTTGAACCAAGGTTTCAAAAACAGTTGTGAAAATTGGGAAATTTGAAAATGAGAAACTATCAAAATGCAAAAAGGTTTTTTGGTTTACGTGTGCAGACTATTTGTGAAATAATTCAGGGGGTCAAAATTGATTCCCTGGGATAGATTCCCCTTAATGCTATTGAGCCTGCTTACAGATAGTAAGGGCGTTTTTTGAAAGCATGCTTAGAAAGGCTTTTATTCTAAACCATGCAAAAACTAATTCACAAGAAAGCACAGCACTGCGGCCTACCATCAATAACGTCTTGTTGAGAATTCATCCTGAAAAGCTGGTTGAATATTCGATGAGTTTCTGGTTGTGCAGCTTCTATACGTCTGCTTGTATTCTATTCTTCTCTATAACACAGCAATCCCTAAGCTGCAAATGGCCAGCGATTTTATTTTGCAGTAATTCTAGGATGTGGTGTGTTGATCGAATAATGGAGGACAACACTTGTCTGCGAGTGATAGCCTAGGTCACCTCGCAACTGCATTGCTTCTTTTTATAACTCACAAACAAGTCTAAAACGATCGAAGCAATAGATTCTTAACCATCCTAATTAATATGAGGTTCCGTGATAGCGAGCTGACAATGTTTTATACATACCTCAAAAGCATGTCTTTCTATTCCATTCAGGTAACCAAAACACTTTGAACAGACATCTCCCATTTTCAGGCAGACTCATGTGTTCTGACTAGAGTCGATGATAACACTTTGGTTCGCCTCTGTAATAACGCCCATCTTCACCTGCTCTTTGTTTTTAGGCCAATCTTCTTTTAATCTTTGAAAATTTTTCACAAGACTGATCGGAAACAAAGCTGTTACAAAACTGAAGTACAGCCAAATACGCGCTTTCTTTGATTTGCTTGCAAAATACTTCAAGGCTGCAACTTCACTGTGAACCGGCTGGCACCGTGCGAAAGCACAACAGAAAGCTCTTGACAATTTGAATTCTAACCAGTAATAAGTAAATAATCCAGTAATTATGTAATTTGAATGACTCTGCGTGTTTCACTTATTTATTTGTGCAAGAAGTTGATATGTTCATGTTTGTTTTCAGATAAGGCCTATTTTAACACAATAGGTTTCTCATTCATCTGCATTCATTACAAACACGCCTAATCGAGTGATAATAATTCAACTTAACACAGACAACATTTCATGATTTCCACATAAAGTGCCACATTCTTAAACCTATCAGGTCTTATGATTAACGGTCACCATTTCAATCAATATATGAATAATTTCCTAAGTTAAAGGAATATTTGGTAGTTACAATCCAGAAATTTCAGCAGCCTGAGAGCAGGAAAAGAACGTTGAATTCAAGCTTTCAATCTATTTAAATATATTGTTAATAAGATTTATGTTCAATCTTTTTAAGGCGTTTGGGGATGCAATGCAACATCTTCTCTGAATGATTGGAAGAGTCGGGCCGAAACAAAATCATGAAGGAGGGGAGTCGGCCCTGATTCTAGCTAACGGTACCAGTCACTTTGCGGCCTCATTTTAGAGTGATCTTAAAGGAGGCCGTATTGATGTTTTGTGCCACAGAGATTTGGCCGCATTCTGTGAGCTGACAGTGCTACGCGTAGTCTTGGTTTAACCATATAAGCAAAATGGGTGCTTGAAGAAGCTTTTCCGAAGTAACGACAGGGTAGAAAGACCGAGAAAGTTCAGAAAAGGGGCAGCTAACTAGCTTTCCATACAGTAGTGAACATAAGAATACCCAATGAAAAAATATGCCTCAGAATCTTTTAACGATCCAACATCACGTTGTCTGTTGGATGGACACAGCTTGTCGTGAGACTCTGCTTCAGAAGATTGCTTTCTGCAGAATTTGCTAGCCCTTAGCAAGCTTTAATTGTTATTCACATTACTTTGTTTATACATAATCAATGCTGTTGATCTTATAGTATTGTTAGCTTTTCAGATCGCTTTTTATACTTGTCTTGCTGCAATTAACGCTGCACAGATGTTAACATTAGGAACAGGTGCAAGGAAATATAATGTGTTTCGTTTACCCAGCAGTTAAAACACTTCGTAGGTGTGTGATTGTTTTGAGATTGAACTCGCCAATAACGTTAACTTGGCGTGTGAAGAGTATTTCTAATTCTACTCTAAATTGCTCTGCAGGTTCTGTTCCCTTTGAGACAAAACTGTCTTTTTCATTTGGTAAAGAAAGCAGAATAGCTGATAAGAAGTGATGGCAAAGATGAAGATCTTTGTGGCTATAAGTTCCTCTTATAGTCACATGGCTTAGATACATATTTCCCATGGGGTGAATGCAGGGGGTAGTGAAAGGGTCCTCAGTTACATAGTAGCCTTATTTTTAGTTTTCAATTGCAGAGTAGCCTTAGTTTTAGTTTCAATTCAATCACAGCATTATCTTCTCGCTATTGTTTATTTTTGCAAGAGCCCCTTCTACTCATTCCATCGGAATCCCCCCCTAATGTCATAGCCTTCTTTTTATCTTCCTATGTTTACTCATCTCCCTCATATCTAATTTTCATTTTCTTCTTAACTCATCCATCATTGTTTTGCTTGTTACTCTGACATCCAACTCTGTGCTACGGCTTGCTTCAATTCTGCACATTACTAGGCCAATGTAGACAATCCAATGTCTATAATCACCTTGTAAATCTGTTTATTAAGCTAGAACAATACAAAGCTTTGAAAAGTTTAGGAATTGATGCTTACGTGACGTCATTATTGAAGATTTCATCTGACGTCAAAATTAAATCTTTCAGAATTTATGTCATTGCTCTAACGTCACTCAAACAAGCAATACTTTTACAGAGCTTTGGAGGGATCGCATCAGTTTCAAAGAGCTTTTCTTCAAGAATAACGAAAATCTCATAACAATGTAAGTTTTTATGCACTGTTTTTAATAATAACAAAGCTGGGGTGGAACTTCTAATAACCAGTCTTAATAGTAATAAATAAAATTTACAACCCTTTAGTTCTAAGTCTTAAAACAGTTCAAATGCCAGATTTTTCATTCTGTTGACTACGAGTGTTAAATCTTAAAGGAACTTGTATTTTGTGAAAACCATTTTTGCAGAAGTTAAAGGAGTATAGATTACAAATAAAAGGCTGTGAAATTTTTTTTAAAACGTTGAAAAAGATGATAATTAATATGTCTAGGTTCTAATTAAGAAATGCCGTTTGTTTGCAGGCCGTACTTGTTTACTTATATCCGCCATATTTACTTAAAATTCCATCTACTCGCTATGAAATTGTGGAGTCGCATTATTTCCGATTATTGTAATCTTTAAAAGAGTCACTTTAGAGAGTCGCTCCAATCTCCTAGAAAGATCCCATCTAAATGCTGCATCAAGTATTACAAATACATGAAGTGTGAATATAGGACTTTTTTCAATATAATCTTACTTAATTAAAAAATGATTCTCTAAATGAAAAGAAATTTTGTTATTCCTCAAACGTAACTCTTCATTGGGTAAAAGAATGAAAAGAGCAAACTGTTGCAATAGGAGTAGAAGGATAAATTGGAATGATCAGAAATACAGAGGAATAACTTGTAAAATGTAAAATAGGCCGAAGCGATGCACAATGAAAAAGAAGAAGAAAGTTAAGGCTTGAAGCATAATACAATCTCTGCCAAAACTCTTGGAACACTTTTGATTTTCTCAACGTTTGCTTGCATTCGTCCCCCTTCCCCTTCAAACAATGTTATCTTACAGAAAAGTTAAGACTTACTTTTTTGGCAAACCCTTTCTAGCGATTGATTTGATATACTGCTTTGTACGCAACATTATTTTAGGGGAAGGGGGTTAGTCTATTAGAAATACGGGAAACAAATGAAAAAAGAAAAATTACCAAAATATGTGGGTGTTCCAAGGTTTTTTGTCAGAGATTGTACTTGTTTCTTTAAACGTCGTATCTATATTCGTTTTTCGTTTTCATTTTCAATTAGACAAATTCCTTTATCATTTGGCTTGTAACATAGAAGCGTTGTTAAAACGTTGTTTCCATCCCAATATCACCCTTAACACTACTGTAATAGAGCAGTTCCCTTTACGATCTGAATTGCAACACAAATTGTATATATACGATGATTTGAGATCATAACACTTTGTTCAGCGCTCCGCTAAAGCCTAGCCCGAAAATATAACAAGCTTATGAATTATGCAAATAGGATTTTAGATGTTTTAATGTTTGCTAGAATCGTATTTCAATGCAAGGGTACTATAAAAGCAGGTGTTTTTCGCTGTTTTTTACACAGCTATTTCTGCAAGTTAGAACCCCCCAGCAATTTGTCCGTTGGCACATCCAGGATTTTTATCGGGCAAAAAAAGCAATTTTTGTACTCACCCTGTAACCTTTATGCAACAATTGTAACATATTAACATTTCTTTGTAGTTGAAGTTTCAAAGTATGGCACTGACTAAATTTTATGAAAACAATCTATTGTTAATAATCCTAATAGAACGTAATTCGACGTAATTCATCGGAAGAAATAAAAAAAAATATTGTTTCTCACGACAAAATACGCTGAATGACGATGACTTAAGATGAAATACGTTTTTTGGTTTTCATATTCCGTGAAAATCGTGGACCCTGAATTGCTATAAAATGCGTCGAGATACGTTATATGAAAACCAGCCTTAATAGGTCATCATTGTACCAACATTGTTGGATGATGTTTTTTGCCTATAATTTATTCGTTTAAACAGGGCTTGCCATGTCAAAGTAACCTTAACTTGATGGATAGCATCAAGGAAGTTTGAGTAACAGTGGGACATTACTCGTTGTTTTTACTTTGCAGGAAAAACATAAAAGCTGGCATACAATACATTTTTATCGGTTGTGTACTGTTATCTTCGTTTTGCAAGACAAAATGCCAAAATCAAGCAAAGAAAGAAGAGAAACCTGTCATCAAAATGTATTCATTCGTCAGTGCTCCAGTTGATGACGTAGCAAGTGCAGATACACCAGCCCACAATCTTGTTATCAGATCAAACCTAAAGGTGTCTTGATAAGGCCTAAATGCTATTGTCAATAATCAGGGTGATATTGGATAAGTGTGTATCGAGGTTTGAAATTGGTACTTCATAGCAATCAGCAAATCACTACTCAAGCATGATGCAGTACTTCTTTCATTTTCTCTTATTCTTTTTTTATTTTTCGATTGCCACTTCTCTATTTCCTTTTTCTCCTCTAGAGACTTGAGCTCTGAAATCAGCTTTGTACTTGCATGTTCATTACTGTTAGCTTAGTCGATTTTTGCAAAGTAACAACGAGATTGACTTTACGAATACACTCCAACCGACAACTGTTCCTAAAAAAAATCTAGTATACTTTGATAGTTCAAATGTGTAGGCACTTGGTCATAGTTCTGTCTACAGACTTATGTACAGAGCAAGATGGTTTCAATTGTAAATCGTGACTAAAACATGTTGGATTGCCGCTTTTTTAATACTGTAGTGGTACTTCTTAGGACTATACTCGTACATAGTAATTCATTATAATTATAAACCTCAATGTACCAAGCTGTGTTGAGCAGATGTTTATGATACTAGACAATCCAGTATGCATAGGATGAAGCAAGATGAAGGCTGGTTAAAGAAACAGACAGAACAAATCATAACATAATTTCTTGTAATCATAATCAAATCTAACGCTCTAAATCTAAGATTCCTGGGCCCTAGTGTTGAGATGATGTCACTTCAAAATAAGAACACTTGTCCAAGCTATTGCAAAGTGAATGCAGTTAACTTGGCCTAAATTCCTTAAACCGTTCTGTCTTTATTTAGTCATGTTCATTGATATTTAAGCATGCCAATGTTTTTAAGTGCTTCTTCTGTTCTAGGGGAACATTAAGATAACCGTCAACAAAATGATGTCGATAGCAGATATGAAAGTGAATGTAAAAATGTCCGGAGTAAATGGTTCGAATTTTGCTGACTACCAAGTTAAATATCGACGAAAGCCTTATGATTATGAAACAGTACTTCTTGAAGTGGTAAGATATACCTTATTTTAAAAAGAGAGTAGCGAACAGGCAAGTAAAACCCATTATAACTTGAGTAGTTGAAGTGCTAACTTGCTAGATATTCTTGATAAACTTTGTACAAAATCTAAAAACATTCTATACAGTTCCTGTGATTTCTTGAATTTTTATTTCTTAAGGCATATGATTGCAATTTGCAAAACCAAAATCTACATGAATATGAAATATAGATTTTCCAACATAAATGACCATGACAATAGCTAAAAACAATCAGTCTCCTTCTTAAAAAGTTTCCTTCCCAAAACAAAAGTACGAGTAGTTTTCATTATTTTTTCTCCTTGCTATTTATCAGTAAACTTTCACATTAATTATACATCGGTAGGCCGATTTTATTGACAAAGTTTATAAATCTAAGGCTGCGATAAATCTAAACATCTAATCACTGCCTTTCTACTAACCATTTCAATATGACATAAACTAAGAAGGCATGGGACAGACTCTAGAAATACAGACATATCATTTACACAATGATAATAGTGGATGGAAGCAGTAGGAACCTGTTTGCAATTACTTCATTTATCATTCATGTTTTTTAATTCTTTGGAATATTGAAGCTTCAGAATATAAGCGAGTTTTTATTGCTTAATTATTGGGGGATGAGCAAGAGAAAGATTTTCAGGCAATCCTCCGTCCTGGGGTCGAAGGGCATGAGCATGGAACGAAGTTACTTATGCATTCTTTCTGACTCCAGAACGTAATGTTGCCTCACTCAATTGAAGATTTTCGCTCGCTCGAAAGGAAATAGGAGGTTCTGGTTATCAGGCTATCTTGTTAGTTGCAAAGCAAAAGAGTTAAATTAATTCAAACTTCTAACAAGTAGCTTTCCTTATCAATAAGTTTGCTTTTTCTGTAAGTGAATGTATGGATTCGTTATCTTTTACTTCTCTATCAAAGTTTCGTTGTTAGCATACCAAATTCAGCTTTAGACGTTCTCTGTATGGATTCGTTATCTTTTACTTCTCTATCAAAGTTTTGTTGTTAGCATACCAAATTCAGCTTTTCTGCTCTGCGAAATTAAAATTCCATTACTGCATTGCCTCAAGTTTTTAATTTATCACTTTTCATTGTGTCCCCTTTTTACTCTTTTTTTCCTTTGCTCGTTCAAGATAAATGATTACCTGATTTCAGCACGAATCCGAGCGAACTATTGACGGCCGCGACAAGCTAACAAAGACCACGGTTGCTGTTTTATGGGGGACAGCCTGTGTCTGCTTTGCAGCGACAGTTTTTGCCATCTTCGGTTGCATTGGATCAGCTATTATACGAAAATGTAAATCGATGAGAAGACGTTCGTACGAGAGTTGTTCCAGCTCTTCAACAGAAAGCGATGAAATCACTTCAATCTCAGATCCGACTGATAATTTGAACGAGACAGGTACAGAGAACACAAGTGATTCAACAGATGAAGTGCAAGACCAAACAGTGACGGAAGAAGATGATGACGATGATGAGGGTGAAACGGAAACCAAAGGCGATTCAGAAGATTATGATGATGATTATGATGATAGCCATGATAAAAATGCAAGCGATGAGGCACATGGTCGCAATCATCGTAGTGATTACATTGACAGTACTGACGATAATACTGAGAAAAAAATCATTCACAATAAAGGAGAGTGTTTTTATGATAAAAAGTCACTTGGAAAAGACCATCAACATAAGTGGGACGATAGTGGTAACGCATATGTAAGTAGTGGAGAAAAAAAAGACTTTAAATATCCCAATAAAAAGAAAGGAATTCGATTCAATAAGAAGAACGAGGATGAGGACATTCTAAAATATACGACTAAGCTACATGTTGCTGATGAAATACCAACGAAGCACAAAAAGAGATTGCATGGAAAGAAGGGACTAGCAAGAACTGGCGAGCGACATTCGTTCAACGATGATGAAGACTTTCTCTCAGTTCACAGGCATGGTGAATATAATTCCTTTGTCCATGAAGACGGTGAAAGCATTGTTGGCAAATCTAATTCCAAACAAGGGTTGGGAGGATTCATATCAAGTGACTGCGAGGCGGGAGATAACTCTAACGCAAGTAGTATTAGAAACGAAGCACACAGTAATGTATCTAAAGATCCATCTAAACATTTTCACAAACCAAATAAAAAAGACACGAAAAATTCCAATCAGGGTGACATCATGTCGAAGTCCAATTCAAAGAAGAAAGACCGATTAATGAAGGAGCAGCATTCGTACCACAATGATGAAGATTTCCTATCAGTCCACAGACACGGTGAATACAATTCGTTCGTCCATGAAGATGTTAACACAGCAACTTCAAGTCATTCTACCATCAGCAAAGGGAGCTGTGATGTCAAAACAGGAAAAAACAAGAAAAAGGAAGCCTACACTGGGGTGTTAAAGGAAAATGCAAGAGAGAATGCATGCACGTCTACAGGAGACAAAGCACAACTTGACATAAAAGCAAATTCAGACGTTAACTTGAGCAGTAATTTTAATGACACGTTAACTGTTAATGGCTCAAGTGTTGGTTTGGACACAGAACAACTGAAATCAGCGCATATCATTAGCAAGGCCAAAACAAGCAGTAGCTCTGGATCAGAAAGTGAATTCAAGAAACGCCATGCTGTCAAGAAATCTCACGCTGGAAAGGGCATCGAAAAGGTGATCGTAAAAGCAATCAGCGTGCAAGATAATCAATCCAAGAAGGACACGAAAAGAAGTAGTGAAAAAGGCAAGTTTGTGAAATGCAGCAAAGATTAGCAGAATATTATTTTGATGACGTCAGATTTTTTATAGAACCAGCTATGTCTATACTTGCCATTACAACACTTTGATAATCAACAAAAGCTTAAAATCTGTTGCTATGATTGTTCAAAGAGAGATTGAATGTAAAATAAACGGAAATTAGATTTCGACACCTGCTCTATTTCACATCTGCTAACGCCATCTGCTTCATTTTTTGATTGTATGAAATTAAGATCTATACTCTAAAAAGACCTTCCTTTTAGACATCATTGAAGATCTGTGTAACATGTGATATGTGATAATTAAAGTCGACCATATTTTATGGGCAATACAGGATTCCCGAGATATGTTAGGAAGAGAAAGCAGTTTTCCTTCTCTTAATCACTTACTACGTTGACATGTAGCACTGGGTATGAGATGTGTGCTATATAGGTAGATATATGACTAATTATACAAACAATTATCGAAGCAGTACACTAACAACAGAAGAATAAAACCTTTGCTTACCATATTATATATTTTCCAGGACACGAGAAAGCATCTGGTAAGCCCAACCGAAGATATGGTGGCGGGTCCTCTTTTGCTGGTCATCAGACTCTGTTCGTTGTCTGCATTTTTGGATGTTTGTCAATATCGCTGGCCGCCTTGCCAGATCTTTCCTTATTCCAGACAGTGACAGCTGATATTACTATCGAGATTCCTGATTTTTTTGAATCGGTAGAAGTCTTTCTCAACAGCAAGCACAAGAATGACGTCAAAGTAATAGGTGATCAGCATCGCTTCAAAACAAAGATATACGGTGAGACATAAGGCTTTAGAGTTTAGACTGAATTTTGGCTGTAATTTTAAACATCTTTAGCATAATATATATTTCATCAATCGTATTAATCGGGGTATGTCTTCATACAAATTAATTATAATACAAAACTCTACATCGAACATATGATAAATGTGCTTCTACTCTAAAACTGAGATTTTTGCCTAAAGTTATTTAAAGGCACTGAGTCGTTATAAAAGGAGAGGGTATACCCAAATACGTTCAGTCATGATTTTCGTACTGCACTGTTATTGATGGTTCTGACTAATATCACATAAACACACTGACTTAAAAAACAGCCAACAACGAAAGCAAATACCGATATCACATGAAGCTACAGAAGTCACGCCGATGATTCAATCATATTTACCATAATTCAATGATTGGAAAGAAGTCAAAAGTGTAACTTCAAGAAACTCAATTTTAATTGCGTAGATAAAAAAAATTTAATGAAATTATTGAAACAGCAACTTCCTTGCAGAAACGCCAACAATGTGTGTCTTCAGCTGTGAGCGATATTTGTTCTGCAGACATAGTTGCCTATTTGCTAATAAAAACTTTGTGCCTAGCCATGTATAAAGTAAAATGGATATTTAGTGAAATACCAAATAATATTGTACCTAAAGAGATTTTTGGAAACTTTGCTATGTATTTGTTATCTTATAGTATAGATTGCAATTCATTGTCTTCAGCGCTTGAGAATTTGCAGATACAGAAGAACATCAAGTAAAAAAATATTATAAATGTCAAAATACCTGGACAAAAAGCATGAAATAAGTTATGATCATTGTCAGATAGAACTTTCCTTGGTCTTGTAGATGTCGACACGGTTTCTAGTTTGGAGAGGGACAATTGCCACGGGAAAGCAAGGGGAAACTGTGACAGTGGCACCTGCGACCCTCAGACGGGCAGTTGCATTTGTCAAAGAAACTATCTGTTTGAAAAGACGTTTCTGAAGTGTGTCCCAGGTTTGTTGGAATCAACTCTCACTTACATCTTGTAAATATTGGTAACAAAATATGCTAGTCTATTGAATACTTTCAAGATAAACTCTCATCTACAATGGATAGGTATTTTCAAAATATACCCATATGCCATACTCATTTCTCTAGTACTGGCATGGTCAAGTATGAAAGCTAATATTTCAATTTTCTAGATTGTTCAAGAAGTTGTCCGTTTGAATTCTACATGGCAAAGTCATGCACAGTGCTATCTCCTGGCAAATGTAAACGTAAGTCGGAATTCCTTGGTCTGAACTCTTTCCTAAAATCACATTGATACATACCAGACATCAGTTAAGCTTCTACTCTATTTTTGTCAATCTTAAAATGTTTATTTGCTATAGGTTGTAGAAGTCCTTGCCCAAAGGACAAATTCGAAAGCACCGCCTGTGGAGGAGCAATGGACAGAGAGTGCACAGGTGAGTAATTGCTGCCCCATCTTTTTAAGACGATCGATTCTTTACTATTCGAATACATAAAAGCACCTTTGCCAGGTACACTTACAGACAAGGAAGGGCAAATAGTAAGAAACTATATAACATATAAAGACTTTTCCCTTTCGTATAATGCAGAGGTTTATTTTAGACGTTCATAATGCAAATATGTATGTATTTATACAACTTTTTTTAAATCTTATCATCAAATCTCATTCTTGTACTTTTGTGAAATCTTTAATTATTAAAAGGTTTACATGAAGGCTTTGAATCGAATCAATCGTTTATAATATGTTCCTAATCGAATCTTCCTTTCATTTTAAGGCGCCTCCCCAAATCGGTACCTTGCATCGTAAACGCAATAAGGCAATAAAGCTATGTCGATATTTCCTTTTTAGATGTGATTATGCTTTTGGCGTGGCGATGAGCAATTTATTTCATCGAAAACGAATATAAACAAAGACAAACATTAGCATCGATGCTTCACAAAAGAACCACAATAAATTTGCTTTAGCAATCGATTTAATCAATCTTGTGAACAGCAAAGTGTTTAAGGTTACTTAGTAGATTTCAAGATTAAACAAGTACCAGTTAATAGCAATTTTAAGGCAATCAACGACAAATAGAAGAAACTTTCAGTGCTCTGTCGTACAGTTAACAAAATTTGACATCATTTAATCAGACATTGTAAAAATAAGTGCAATTCACACAAGCATTTCTAGAAAGCATGTGTTTGATAAGAATTAACATAAGTTTTGTTTGTCTTACAGATATTTCAAAACTGCCACCTGTGTCCGTTAGTGAAATGATTGTTACTGAAAACAGAAAAAAGGTTAGACTTAGTCCTCTTTTTCTGTCACAGATAAATGTGCAACCTTTTTAAAAATAAATCTTTTATGATAAACAATAGAAAATGTTGGATATAATTTCAAAACAGACATTCTCTTTATCAATAAGGATCTGCCCCTTGCTATCAGGCCCCTTAGATAGCTTTTTGTGAAAGGTGACAAGGTGATGGCATAGAGCATAGAGAACATTCATGATGCTAGGATAACGTTTCTAATGACCACTTGGAAGAAAGATATTTATAATGAAGTCTTGCAGAGTGGTTGGAAATTTCCATGCTTCGCTTAACTTTTGGTGCTGCCACTCAGAATGAAACAGCTGTTTGTTCCCCACCATTATTGGACCACTGTTTATGGGATTAATCTCTTTGGATGCTTTGCCACAATAGTAAAAAATCCTCAAAGGATTCTTTGATTCTCCATATAGTGGATACATCTAGGACCACAGTTACTTCCTTTCGTAAGATAATCGTTCTCTGGAAGTTGGTTGTTCAAGGTTTTGGCTATAAGAAAAATTTTTAAACTAGATGTCTCTTATCGAGATTCACTGTATACCATCAACGATTATATATCTATGGATTAGTTATTTGTAAATGAAGCTTACATGCTGTCCAATGATTCTTTTGTGAACGCTAGGTATTATGGTCTCTGAGTGTTATATCGTTTCATGACCTCTATCACCAAACAAGTTGTTTAATCATGTCTTAGGTAAAACTGGCCTATAAAAGATTGCATCCAAAGAAAGGTGAAAAGTTGGTTGCTGTGCTTGATCGTGGAACGGGAATCAAAGTTGTCGTGAACGTGTTGGAAGCTTCTTTTGATGTAAAGGTAGAGGAGGCAACAAGTCAAAACTATGCCGTAAATCCACCTGAGAAACCATTATATGAATTATGCAGACATCAGATGCCTGTTTATTATGTTGCAAGGCACCATGTTTTGCAGGATAAGTTCTACTATGGCCAACGAAAAAACACACACTGCAATAAGAAGATTCCAGAATTTAAAAATGATGGAGTCTATTGCATTAACAGTGATCATGATCTTATTCGATTGTTTACAAAAGGGAAATCTGAAAAAGAGACATTCGTACATTCTGAGGGATCGAAATTATGCGAAAAGCTCTTACGAGATTGCTTTAATTGTGCTGATAATTGTGGGAAAGCTAGTTTGGCTTCATCTTGTATTAATGGCAAAGTTAGTTGTTATGATTCTTGCAGGAAAGCAAAGTGCGACTGCTCTAGAGAGGAATGTTTTTGTCAAAAATACATTGAAAATTGTGCTGGAAAAGCATCTGACTGTGTGGGAACAAGCGTTAGCAAAATAACGCTGGAGCCAATTTTTAGCCAGCAGTATCTGTACTGCTATGTGAAAATCTTACGGCTAGCTACCTACAGTATCAAAACAGATATTCTTGTTAATGGCAGCCTGGTAGTTTCCAGGTATCGTGAGGTCGCAACCAAAGTGAAAAACCAAGGGCACAGCATGGCCGAGGATGATCTTGGATACATGTTTGTGAAAGTTTCTGACTCTTTGAATCTGAATGGCAAGAACCTGTTGTTAAGAAGGGAGAAAGACACTAAAAGTCTTGAAGTAGGCCATTTCAAAATGGCGGATGACATTTATGGTGGACCAGCGACAGACAATCTCGCGTTATGGCCCCGTGCGCCGTATTCGTTGAGTAAGAAACAATGGAGCAATATGACTTGCAAAAGAGCTCAGGTAGATGCTTTCAGGGTTTTCGATAAGTACCCGATTAGCACCGAAGAGCCCAATATATTCGAAAAGCTGTACGGCCTTTCCTTAAAAGAAGAAGCCAGAACAATTGAAGGAAATCGAGTATTTTCCATTAGCAAAAGGAATGAAAATCGTTTTATTGATGTCACAATGCCAGCACACAAGTCCCTTTTAAGAAACATTTTTCCCGCAAGTGACATAATTCAAAGTGAACTGCATGGCAGCCTGTTAAATAAGTCATCGCATTGGTCTGTATCTGTTGGAGGATCTCTAAAGTCCTGCCCAGGCTCCTTCACTGCGAAACTTTTTGACCAAGCCCGGTCGGATAGCTTGCTATTTCATACCGACATTGCTGTCACACGGGGTGATAATTGCTTCTTCAAGTTTGAATTTAATATGCCATTTAAGAATACAGAGGAAGAAAACGAAAGAGTGTTTGTTGTACATTTAATCACCAGAAAGCAAACCATCAAACTTGTACTGTTGAAAGAAAAGAAAATCAAGAGGATACTTCAGATGATTCACATACCCCCGGTAGACAAAGGGCGACTCTTGAATGCGATTCTTCCTATATCTGTTATTGCAGGGGGATTTGTCTTTCTTTTAGTAGTGCTACTGGCTTTTGGAGTGCTGACTAAACCAACAGATCAACTATATCAGGTAGATGTGGACAACGAGTTCCACTTCAGACATGCGCTTGTAATTGTTTGGTTCGTGTGTGCCAGGTTAGCAAAAAGCATTTTATTGACGATAACGTTTCTGAGTTATATTTTTGTCGTGATTCACTCAAAAAACTACCATACTTTGAAAAGTTTCAACGAATTCCAACTACGCGAAAAAACAGTCATAAAAAGCATCTACGAAGATATGGAGAGACACAGAGTTGCAGAAATCAACAGACAAGAAAAGCGATTTACAGAAGAGAAGAATATTTGTGAAATTAATATGCAAAAACTTGATGCGTACCTTGCTGAGAGAAAACGTGACTCGTCGTGGGAGCAACAAATAAATAAAAGAGCAAAGTCGATCAAGAGAGCTGCAATACAAAAGTTTGAGGTGAGGTATGCCAAAATCGTTAGAACGTACTATGAGACAAAAAACATGGTGAAGACAAGTACCGAAAACCATTTTAGAACTATTGAGCGATTCGTGAGGGGTGTAAAGGGGAAAGTCTTAGGCCATCCATATCTTAAACCCGCAAAAGTTCCCTTCGGTTTGTACCGATTCTTTAAAGGAAGTAAAAATTGGGCACAGTACATTGGCCTTGATGTGAACTTAAACAATCTGAATTATTACAATAGATGGGAATCTGCATCTAGTGAAATCTCGCACGTAAGTAATGCATTAAGGAGAACTAAAAATAAGCAGGAGAAAAGCGAAAACATGAATTATAGAGCCTGGATGGAGCAGAGCAAATCCAGGATTTACGAGAAACCACCTATGGTCTATAAGATTCGTTATCCAAAGGTGAATCACGGACTTGGATTTGATAAAGGATTGGTGAAAAAAGTATTTGGAGTTACATGGGTCACTGAGTTGACGAAGAAAAAGATATTTTCTTACATTGGTATGGTAATGATGATAGCGTTAGATGCATTGTTTTTTGTTTATCGACATACAAGAACATATGCAATGGCTGCATCCATGGTGTACGGATTCAAAAAGATTTGCAATCTTGATAAGATGCAAGAAGACTGGCAAAAGGATGCTGAGAAGAATGAGATTTTGAAGCAAGGATTCCGGTTTCGACGGAAGGTGTCTCAAGATCACACAACGACAACCACCAATGAAGAATATACTTCTGACGAACGGGGTATTGTAGGCGAAGGATTGTCCACATCAACTGACGAGTACGAAGCGAAGAAGAAGATGGGCTCTCGAATATTCGAAAAGACGTATGGTAGTAGCCAGAATACAAGTTCATGTTCTGTTGTGACTGGAATCAGTAACTGCTCGGCCAGAGGTTCATTAGAGAGTAATGACACAAGTCAAAATTATACAGAAAAATCTGACAATGTTCAACATCAGTCTTTATCAGCACGTGAGAGAGACCAAATCGATGATAAAGATGATTCAGTTGAAGAGGCTGAAGATAAAGACGACATGATGCCATCCGGGTCGAGGGAAGTCACTTCAGATGAGAGCGATGGTTCTTCCGAATCCATGGATGAAACCAGCAGATTCATTGGTAAGATGTATTTCTTTTCTTAATTCCACATCATCAACTGACGATGCGACAGAAAGACACAATAAGCGTCTTTTTCCAATGCAACTGAGACAAATCCTGAATTTATAGTTAGGTTACAACGCTGCAAATGCCTTTAAGACAAACATCTTTCAAGCGTTACATCCTAAACAAAACCCTAAAATCTACTTTTCTGTACAGCAATGGTGATCCGATGCAGGTTGATTGACGTAATATACACGCATAAAAGTATAACAACGATCTCAAACGGCTGAATATGGCGAACTTTCATAGCTGTACGAAAAATTTAAAGGTGTCCGAAAATAGTTTACATCTGTACAATGTTCGATTATGGACTTGTGGTGAAAAATAAAAAAAATCTTCTATCTCTATGTTACATTCTTAACTTCAAATGATTTCAAGGATGGGCCAACCGGCTAGCCGTATATTATGAAGCAAGTTCCTTTGACAAGACGGTTTTAGTCAAGTGTGTGTGTCTAATTGAACTTATGTTTGCATTCAAGATCGTGATAAAGGACCTGGTTTGGTTGCAGAGGCATATGATGTTGCTATGACCGTCATCGGCTGGCTTGGTGTTCTCCTCCGAACCTTTGTGACGTATATGAAGAAAGTTAATATCGTTAACATGGTAAGTTGAATAACGCGTACATTGAGTGAGTCAATGAAATAAAGCTCTCTGACATCTGATAAAATGTGACCTCAAATGTGGCATTTCTATTTTGAGCAAAGCAACCAGTAGCTAGATTTATACACTGTTGATGTTGTTGTTGCTGTTATTGCTGTCGAAGAAAACTTGACTTGCTCAATTAGCCTCCTTTTCCTTGTTGCCTCGCTTTACGGACTGAGTGAGTCCCGGGAGGGGGAAGGTTACTCCCATTATGGCTAACAGGGGGTCCAGTCGGAGTCAATGAGGGCCAAAGCTAGAATGTTAAAAAATTGCCCTAAAATGATAGCGTTTTATGACAATAACCTTCAAATGGTAGCATAGGGACGCAAAATATATCATTGGTAGCATCCATTTCTTTGCACGCGGCAGATCCTTCTTTGACAAATTTCTTTGCCATTGACTGTTGTTGATTCGGGAAAGATAAAATATTATTCGTTGTCTATAATAAATCGCAAGCTAAACTAAGCCGTTGTGTTAATATCATAACTGGGCCATTTGGTAGGCATTTTGCAAGACCCTCAAATCGACTGGAACCCCTTCCCTGAGCAGCGAGTTTCTGTCAGTTCAATTAAATAGCATAATTTGCGACTGATATAGCAGTCCCTTGTGATACCAGAGGCTAGAACTAAAAATTTTGGTCTCAGAACGCTCAATTTTCAGGGTTAGAAAATCTGGAACAAACTTCCAGATGAAATCAAGGCTGCCCTCCCATTAAAATGAATGCAAGTGTTATTTTTGCAGTAAATCATTTGCCTTATACAACTTAAGAAATCGCTTCATGTTAGTATGAAATGGTGTTTTACAACTATTATAAAAACGTATATTTGATAAATAATGGAATGACATCCACAATGTCAATAAGCAAATGTGTCATTTGCGCTCATAGGAAATGCTCTTCTTTCTGTTCCACTGAAGCATGAAAAATGTTGTGCTTCCCTAGTTTTATAATTTGGATGACAAACTATGATGTTGAAATTTGTAGCATCTCTAGTTGAGTTGTATTCTGAAAATAGTGTCAACAAGTCAAAATTAACATTGTTTCCTAAACAATCACAGTCTAACTAAAGGTTGTAATTTTTTCTTCTTAAACTATGATAATGTTTAACTGATTATTTCCTCTTTGACAATAATTTGAGAAAGCCTTTGAAAATAAAAGGTTTTTAAACTAAAATCTATTTGGTTGAAGAAAAATTTATTTTCTTTCCAGGTGTTGCTGAACACACATGTAATTTTGATATTTTTTATCATGTCTCTTATCACCATTTGCGTCTACTTCACAATTCTCACGGCGAAATTTATTCTGAGAACACCTGTACTAGATGATCTTGGATTTTTCGACGCAAAAATTTCACCAATCTTAACTTATCGAAAAGTTGTTAATACGAGGACATCGATGAATGCATTCATGATCAACCACATCCATATTCCATACTACGAAGCAAGGTCAGTATTGCTAACGCAAGTTAAACAGATTTTTGTGATTCTTGGTTTCTGGGAAAATGTATCCTATGAAATCTATTAGAGTTGTATGTGATAAATGTCTTCTATATCTTTATTGTGGGAAAAGTAAAATGAGCTGTTTTCAGACTTTGCAAGCTGAAGAAACGATAAAATAACGAGTGAATAGATTAAATGTCAAAATGAAATGAGTTTAGTTTTTATTGTTGATAACACGATGTTTAAAGCATAGATTGGTTATTAAAGCAAAATTTATCTCATTTTGATACTTATTTTGTTCTTATCATTTTATCATTATTTGAATGATGTACCACAAGGATTTTATATATTTAATTGGGTTGTTCACGCTGCAGTGCTTAAAACAAGCTACTCTAAGTCGTACAGAATCGTTTGTGATAATAAACCAAAGAGCGACGTAACCAGAAAATTAAAACTAACCTTTGTGCTTTCTCAGAGCCAAATGATTGAATCGATTTTCATTCGATTTAATTAAGTTGTGTGTGTTTAATTTGCCTATGATCATTTGTGATGATTAAAAAGAAATTACAATAAGAAATTGAATCGAAATTTTAGCTTTCATTAAGTCTTAGTAATATAGAACTGTTAATGATATATTTTTTGTTACAATATTTGAACCAAGAACTAGAAAATTCATTTTGCTTTCAGGATGAATGCTCGAATCGAGATTTACAGGCTGAAAGCTGGGTTGTACAAAAAAATCCAATGTACCAGAGCTGTTTTGCACAACAGTGAATTCTGCTCATGGAATCGAGACCATTGCAGTGGTCTCGAGGCTTTTGATGATAATTTTTACAAAAATCTGACTCAATTCAAGTGTCATCTATCGCCAGCAACACCCAAGAGGTAACAGCCCTTTCTTTTCTACGTTACATCTTTCTGTTCATGGGCCTAATATGAACCAATATAAGAATCACCTGGGGCCCTAAGGGCCTACGCCATAAGGCAGCTTTCTCAAACAAATGCACCTCGTCTAGTTCTACTCTTCTCGAAAGATCACTAAAATCTATCACAAAAAAATCGTCACAACATGGTGGCAAACCATAATCATGTTCATTCAGGAATTTTTTGTGATAGTTGATTTTTGGTAAATTGGGCCAGGGCATTATTTGAAGGTATATTGTGGAGCATGACCACCGTGAAAGCTCTATTAAGCCCCCTTTCAATTAAGCTCCCCTCTTTAATAGCCCCTCTCAACTAGGCTCCCCTCTCTAATAGTCCCCTTCAAATTAAATTTTTCTTATAAGCCTCCTCTTTTATAAGCCCTTGTGGTGATGTTGTGTTTTGCTGTTGTTGTTGCTACTCTAAAATGTTGTTGCTGAAGGTATCCATAATGATGGCGGAATAGGCCATACAATGGTAGTATATCATTGCACAATCTTCAATTCCAGAAAGTGAAGTTTTACAGAGCTTTTACGGTAGTTGAACTAATATAAAAATTTACGTATTAAACAAGACGTCTGCAGAAATTTCGAAGTCTACGTTGGTGTGCTACATAAGATGCAGAATGGCTTGAATAATTATTAAAATCCACTTTCCATTGCAGATACTCAGATTTTGATAGAGTGCAATTCAAAAATGAAATGATGAGATCCTATGGTCCATATGTGGAAGCAACCAGAGGAATAATTTTAGATACTTTTCAAATGATAATCACCATAATTTGTATTCAAATTGCACTGAGTTTTTCCTCAACCATGATTACAAAGCTTTTGCTTAGATTTGATTTGATTAGACAAATAAAAGTTTATCAAACAAGAAAACCGTTAGAAACATGGGATTTAGCTGGCAACGAAAATACATAATTTACCCTGACATATATTTCACAAAGCTTTTTAGGTTTGCATTTAAAATATTTTGTTTTAATATTCATAAAAGAATTCTCATATCAAGTTTTAATGATTTTTGCACTTTATGATTCTATCTACCACTGCATGTTACAAGAACAAATACAGGGAAGTTGGGTTTGCAGTGTCTCGTGTTGCCCCTGTAATAACTTTGCAAAATAAGACCTGTGTAATGACAATATGTTTATGTATATGAATTACAAATGTGCCTACAGTGCATTCTTAAATCTTCAGAACATACCACATTGTCGCAGAAAGCTTAAAAATTGTTCGATGGTCTTTTAGTGTTTTTTAAGAATGCTTGAAAAATGCACGATGTTGAATTAACACTCATAGTTTCTTTTTGTAAGAAACCTCTTCTTGTGTTTCATCAAAAGCCCAATATTAGAAGAAGAGTTATTGCCAAGGATACTGAATTTCAAATGAAAATGGAAAATTGAAAAAGTGTGTCGAACTGTACAAAGTGGTATACAATTTTCTGCATCAGGCAACAGTATTACTGGATCAAGTGTTGCATTTTAGAACCATTCTCCCTAGTAGCAGCGCAGGCCACTGGGTTTTCTTTGGGAGGGAGACAAGACCTGACTCGCCCTTTTGAATGTAAGATATGCCCTTTCAACAGCAGGGAATGCTAATGTTACCAATATGGAGCGCCTATGACTAAGGCAGCCTTTCCTCTTGCCCGGGTTAAAACAAAAAGGGGTTCAAATGTATCCGTTTTTCAAGCGAGTCAATGGAAACGCCAGTTTGCAACAAAAGTCCTTGTATTCTTTGTATAAAGCTGTTGCTGTTGTAAGGGGATCAAAAGTTGTCCGGGTTTGGCGTTCCAACTATCTGTTTTCTAAGTGGGTTAGTGGGAACGCAACGCAACGCAAACACGGATAACTTTTAACCCGTTTTTGTTCTTTTTAAGCCAGGTTAGTGGAAAGGCTGCCTAGCTTTAGGTTACGTAAAAACTCGAAATGGTAGAAGTACATCACAAAGAATACGTTGCCAAATTATCACCATTTTTCGAACATCTTCTTATCAAATTTAGACGAATTACAGCATTGATCCTCTCAACAACAAGGGGAGTGTCCTCCATGCCCCCCCCCCCCTTGGCATGGCATCCAACAATAAGAAGATTTTGTCAATCATTGCTAGAAGATATTTTTTGATGAAACCTTGAGATTCTCAATTGGCAGATAGAGATAACATACCTATCACGCTTCACTAGTACAGAATTCTAAATCCCCTTTTCAAATGACAGCAAACAATTTAAGTCCTCTTTTTAAATCCCCTTTTTAAAAAAAACCAGACAAGACTGCCTGAAAACCACTAAACAACGTAAAAATCACAGAACACCATTTGTTGTCACCTATCACCCCTCTTTGCTACAACTATCTACCATCCTCAAACAAAACATCAACATATTGCAGAACTCTAAAACATGCAAAGACCTAAATACCTCCGGGATATACTGGTTCGTGCCAGAATAAAAAGTGGTACACCCAGTAATCCTAGAGGGACTTACAAATGCCACTCACGACGCAACTGCACAACATGCCAACACATCGCAGACGGCTCAACTTCTCTCAACTTTGCTAACACTGACAAAAACTACGACTTAAAACTGGACTGGACTGCAACTCTACTAACGTTACTTTCGCATTACAGTGCAAACGCTGTTTAACTAACGGACACAAGAACTGCCAATACATCGGACAAGCAAGCAGACGACTGAAAGACAGATTTAACGAACACAGACGAGACATTATCAACAAGAAAGTAGTACAAATCTGGTGTTGCAGAACACCTCTGCAGCTAAGAACATTCCATCAATGACCTTACTATTACTGCAACTCAACGACAAACGTGAGAATGTTTGACGAGCTAAAGAGCAATACCTCATTGGCCTGAACGCTCTGCCCTGAACACGAACAGCATGAACAGAGCCATTGACTGTTAACCTTACAGCAACATTATCATTATTTCATATTATAGTTACATTTTTAGTCCGTTTACTTTTGCTCTGATGAAGCCCGATACGCCAAGGCGAAATATTAGCCTTCATTAATTTACGTGTATTTATTGTTGTTCATTCTCGTCGCATAGCGGTGTTTCTTATTTGCTACATCGATTTTTCGCAGCAAGAACTCCTTGGAGTCCGTCGAGCAAACTGCTATTGTGACCTTTTCTTTATTCACACAAACAATTTAAGTATTGTTTCTATTCAATCAAAATTTGCTTAAGCTTTACCCTTTCGAAAACTGGACACAATTCTGGATCACAAAACATAACGCGTCTGGTAAGCACTTCTATATCATCTTGACCGGCATGCTTTGCGATTCTGATAATGTTGCTGTTGCGGCACTGCGGCACACAAACAACCATTTCGCTGTTCTGGCGCGGAACTCTATTCTGTGGTTCTGGCCGCTTGTTTTGTTTACAAAACTGGCAATGCTAAAATGGACCCCAAAGTAGAAAACACTGCAAATGATGGGGCAAAGATTGCTATTAAGAAAACGCGACATGCCTCAAGACCTGTTCTATCACGTGTGCTGATAAATATCATGATCGACTTTCTGCTTCAAGAGGACACTAGGCCAGTGCCGGAGGACACACCTGTGTGGACAGAGGCATGGGGTGAACTTCTAAAGGAAGACACTGAAATTAAATCATACGCGAGAGGCATTTCTGTGAAACATCGATTTTTGAAATGGATGAAGATGCTTGATTTAATTACAGGAGAAGACGAGGAGCCAAGGCTTTGTATTGCAGGCTCAAAAAAGTTATTGCCTTCCAAGGACGAGGTCCCGAGAATTATAAGAGATGCTCACAGAATGGTGGGGGAATTCAAGGCCAGCGACCTACAAGAAAGAAGGGAAGATAATACTGAGGAAGCAAAGTTATGTAAAAAAGATAAGCATAATTCGGTGGAAAAAGTAATAAAATTGGTAAGTGTTGAATGTGTTGGCCAGGTGCAAGCCAAATTGGGGAACATGTATGATTCTGACTAAGCCTAGTCTCAGTATTTTTATTTTTCAAGATGCAAAAATTTGGGATCAAAATACCAAAATGCATTCTATTCAAACAGGCCTGGAGAGGATGGCATTTTCACATAAGATCTCCAGGGTGCAACGTTAGTACCTGCATATGCAGGAACTATACTCATAAATACATGACTATGATACAATATACTTGACTTGATCGCTATACTTGTGGGTCTAGTGAAATTGCAAGAAGTCCATTGAGCTGCCAGCATATTGAAGTTTTCCAGCCTGGATTATGTGCAATTTTTGCCTGGTCTTTCATTTGTGTAAAGCCATTTTTATGTGTTTTGATAGGGGCATTACAATTGTTTGTCTCCTGGTAGAGACTACAAAAAACACTAAGTTCAATGACCAAAGCATGAGACACTCCACATAATTGTTTTAGTTACTGTTTAATTTACTATTTTATTTCAAGGACTACTATGTGAATTAATTTCTTTGTTCTAGATAAAAAGCAAATATGTATTTGGAGGCAGAGAATTTGGTATTCGTAAGACTGCAGTATATAGGGAAATCTTGAAATGCCCAGAATGCTATGAAGAAGGGAAACTAAAAATACCTGGAAAAGATGTTATTCAGGAGGCAGAATTGATTGACCCTGATTTTGGAAATGAAATGAATTATATATCCTTGAAGAATGCCCCTGTTTCATTCACTCTCAAAGGACCCTCAAAGAACTCAGTCTGGTATGATCAAGCAGGTAATGGCTACTTTTTGCTCCTAGTGTCTGAATTGTAATGGATCTTTTGTAGATCAGATATCAAGTTACTTTTTATTAGATTCAGTATTTCAAATTTAGAGATAAATGAGTCCCGGCCTTTTATTTGCTTTAATCACAAGTCTTTCTACACCACAACTTACATAACAGTAAAAACACTTGAAAAACAACCATGACCCATATCAGACAGATTAGTGAAAAACTTGAATCTACTAAGAAATTTTTGTAAACTGCAATGCAAAAATGGTTTGATTTGGGTTATCATAATTACTTAGCCTTTCCTCCTGTTTCCTTCTGTTTTAAGAACATGGTATTTCCTCTTTTCTTTGGAGGACTGGCAAAGAAGCGAAGTGTGTATAAGAAGCTGCTTGGCGTGATTAAAGAAGTTGGCATTGAGATAGGGAAATCAACAGAGAATGATGCTTTATCAAAAGAGCGGCTTATTACAAGTAAGTTCTTTTATAGTTCTCTTTATTATAAAATAACACAAACTGGTGGTTTGGTAACAACATTACTGTGTTTGCTTTACATTTTGAGTTTATAGTAGGTTTTTCGCAATCCTTGAGGCACCACTCACTGGTTTTCCACATGCATCATTTCTTTCATGTGTGCGATTCACACCCTTATTCCAGATAGCAGGGCAAAATTGTCTTGTTTCCAGAGTGCTAGCGTAAATGTAGGTGAACCGCAGCCGTTTTGTTACGGTCCCAAACTTGCAGAGACCAGTATAAACAGGGTATCGAGTTCAGGAGTGTTGTGGCTAATTAATTATAGAGGGGGCCAAAATTTTTGGACAAAATTTCTTTGATTTATTTTAATCAAATAGAAGGATTTCATGTAAGTATGGCAGGGGGTGGGAGGGGCAGAAAAGTTTAAAAATTTTGCCTGTACTGGAAAGAAATTTAAAATGCACTTTTATCTTGTCACTGCTTGATCGCAAACCTATAGATCGGTAGATTGGGACAAGGTAGAAAAAGTTACTACCTGAGGCGCCAATTGGGGGAATTTTTTACAATCTTTATGCTTCAAATTTGCCAGAAATTGCATTCTTTGGAGCGAATTTTAATAAAAAAATGTCTAGATCCCTAGGTAAATCCCTAGAAATAATTCTTTTGTGTGGGGATCTAGTATATTATTTACAAATGTGAATTGTCTTTCGACAATATGGAAAGTACTTTATTTTAAGTAATTTATGTCACTAAAGGGTTCATTACACTTCTCCTTTTCACCCACAGTTCAAGTTTGAGAATTTTTCCATATAACAATGATTTTTCTAAAGATCAGTCAAATTTTGATGCCCCTGCTCAAGCTGGTTATAAAGAGGGCATGAAACCTCAAAAGCAACTGAAATTACAGTGCAACTGTGCTTTTATTTCAGAAACATGTTTGTCATAAAATTTGTTGTTTCCCCGGCAAGTTTTGAAAAAAATGAAAGCTCTTATAAAATTTTTGTCTGAAAATCTATCTGGCACCTTCTATGAATTTTCCTATCTACACGCACTGAATTGATAATGACTTTGATTGTCGGGAGATCTTCTTTTGCCTTTCTATTCATCCCCTGCCTGTGACATCATTGACAGAAAAGCCTATTTTCCTCTGAGCAATTTTATTGATATTGACCTCTATCATTGCGAAAACAGGAAGGGGAAAGTTTTGAACATTATCTGACAACTGCCACGTTTCAAGGGGAATTTGAACAAAGCAAAGCAATTAGCCTCACTTTAGGAAGACAAATAGGAACTATTCAAAGATTTAGCCAATTTTGCTCAGCTTATGAAAACAAAACTTCCAATATTTTGTTGAAGAAGACAATTTTATGGAGGTCAAAAGCAGTTGTATGGAAAACAAAAAAGTCAAATGTACATCTCATGCGAGCAATATCGCAATATTGGCGCCATGCCTGTGCTGATGTGTGTGCATACGATTGCACGCATTAAATGACAAAGACTGAATTTATTATTATATAATTTTACAGAATAGCTAAAGTTATCTTATTAAGCAACATATATGTGTGCTTCATAGGCAGACATAATCATGTAATGTGTGCAGTCACAAACAAAACTTGATTAAAAACGCTGATTGACAATTCTAAAATGATTGACAATTCATCTGTAGCAAGTGTGAAGGAAGTGCGAAGTTATGTTGAATTTCATTTTGTAGAAAGCGCAATTCTTTGGCATTTGAATGCCCTCAAATAGTTCAGTATATTGGGATAAGAGCTCTTCGTTGCAAAAGAAAGATAAGAGCTATTTATTCATATGGAGTACATCTAATATGGTAGGTAGTATAGATAAACATTTTTCTGAAAATGTCTGCAATGTTTCTTTCATTAATGTTATAAAGGTGTTCATTTAGTAAATGAATTTTCTGCTTTGCTAGAATTGTGTTGCGCTGAGAAACTAGTGAGTGATATGAAGGAAAAAGCTGTGGATATATTTGCATATCGCATACCAACCTCACATTTCCTGTCTGATTATGCAAAATTGAAGTATGAATACTTGTCTAAAGATAACATTTCCCTCTACCTGCAAGATATGAATTTTCTCATGAACACTTACAAAAGTTTCAAGAATGGTGCATTTCTCAGCTCTGTAAATGCAACCTTTAAAGAGCTGGCAAGAAATGACAGAATGTCATTAAAGATTGTGCCAGTTGGTGATGGATTAGTTTTAGCAGGACATTCGTACTTGTCTGAGAAATTTAATAACAATACCTGTTCTGAAAGCTCTACAAGTACAGAAACAGGTCCAGAAGATGCTGGACCCCCTGGAAAAATTCCGAGATTGGACTTGGAAAGCTGAAGATGTAAGAATAAGATAATAAGAATCATGACCTAGAGGCAAAATTCATTCTAAAGAGACAATAAAAGGTAGTTTTACATGACAACTTCACTGGTGCATTATGCAAAGTGTGCCTTCGAAATGTTAAATCATTGCTTGAATATCTTTAAAGACATCAGTTTTGCTCATCAAAATCCTTAAAAGATTTTTTTGTAAACATTCATTTTGTAGTATTTTGTCGATAATTTTTTGACAGTGATATTTGTTTCCAACAAAATTTCATAATTTCATTGCCAATAGAAATGCAGCCTGTGAAGATTCTATTACTCCTCACAATTTATATTGTCTCTTTTACTAAGTAGAAAGTCATTAGACAGTGGTTTTATAATGATAACTCTGGTTAAGTCAATTCTCTTTCAATCTTGCTGTGGGTATTTATTAAGATATGTGCAACCTGGTAACACTGCAAGCATGCAAAATATTTCCTTGACATCATTCTTGAAAAGCCTGGATCAGGAAATATTTGGCTCACAAAATTTTTTATGCTCTTCAGTGATATGTTTTGGTGACCTTTGCTTTTCTAAACATTTTGACTGGTGAATTTATTCATAGACAACAAATGAGTTTATTCATAGACATTGACTGTGAAGCCAAAAGCCTGGGGGCTGAAAAGGCTGAACCCCACCCCCTAGTTCATAAGTGATTTGCTCCACCATCCATGGTATCATGCCACCCTTTGCTCCTTCTAGTTGATTCTGGTCCTGCCCATAGTATAAAATCACTCACTTACCAAGAATGTTAGGCTCCAGTACATATTTGAGAATTAGAGGCTTTCTTTGTAAAACCTCTCTTAATGGTTAGGGGCAGATGTGCCCGGCAGGACAACTGGGCTAGCTCCCATCCTCCCCCAGACATTCTTAGAATTTGATCTTGCAAGTTGCTATCAACTATAATTTTCTGTTTACCTAATTTGAACCATTTCAGCCTGGCCTCTATAGCCAGCAGCCCAATGGCTTTTTGATAAATATTCAACTTATTTCCAATTGATTTTGTACTTTTTGTAAACTTTTTTGCTAATAATATTGGAAATGAAATTGCATAAGCAAGAAATAGTCATTTTGTGAACTTTTAACCTTTTTTTAAAAAGGTTTAAATGTTTTCAAGATTTTTAGGCAATTGAGAACTAAAGAATTTTTCACAATCCAGAACCAAGACATCCGAAATAGTCCTTTCACTGCACCCTAATTTTCTTTTAGTAGCATTTCCATGTATTTCCCGTCTCTATTTCTGCTTGATTTGAAGGTTTTTGTAAAAAAAATATCCTAAAATATCACCTCCATTTTTACCCTGTGCCTTACTTTTTGTCCGAAAATTCACAACAAGTAAAACATCAAAATAGGCGTTTAATCAATCTGATACGTCTTTAGAATAGCGATACAGTGGAGTTCCTGTTGGACGTGATTTAAAAAGTTTTTGAAAGAGTGCCTTTCTCAAACGTCGCCTAGGTATTTTTCAAAGAAAAGTCATTCTCAGAACTCGCCTTCTCATTAAGCGTATTCGGTTGATTTTGATATCAAAAAAATCACAGCAGTAAAAGTATAACAAATATGCATTTGATAAACCTTGACTTCCTGCTGATAACTTTTTAATGTATTCCCCATACGACTTTAGGCATTATTTGAAAATTAATTCTGAAAAAGTGTATTTTTCATTAAGCCTATAGCCTTACTTTTTGACGAAAAAATCACAAGAGCCAAAAACATCAAAATCTGGCATTTAATCACCTTTGAACTACTTCTAATAGCATTTCAATGATTTCCTGTTGATGATTTTGGTTCATTTGAGCGTTTTTTGCAAGAAAACTCATCTAAAAATTGCCATTTTTCCTAAGCCTAAGCCTTACTTTTTGACGAAAAATACAAGAGCCAAAGCTAAAAATCTGGCATTTAATCACCTTTGAACTTACTTTCTAATAGCATTTCAATGCATTTCCTGTTGATTTTTGGCTTCATTTGAGCGTTTTTTTGCAAGAAAACTCATTCTGAAAAATCCATTTTTCCTAAGCCTATAGCCTTACTTTTTGACGAAAAATCACAAGAGCCAAAACATCAAAATCTGGCATTTAATCACTTTAAACTACTTTCTAATAGCATTTCAATGCATATTCATGTTGATTTTTGGCTTCTTTGAGCGTTTTTTGCAAAGAAAACTCATTCGAAAAATTGCCATTTTTCCTAAGCCTATAGCCTACTTTTTGAAGAAAAATCACAAGAGCCAAAACTAAAAATCTGGCATTTAATCACCTTTAGACTATCTTTCTAATAGCATTTCAATGCATTTCCTGTTGATTTTTGGCTTCATTTGAGCCTTTTTGCAAGAAAACTCATTCTGAAAATTGCCATTTTTTCCTAAGCCTATAGCCTTACTTTTTGACGAAAAATCACAAGAGCCAAAACATCAAATCTGGCATTTAATCACCTTTAGACTTCTTTCTAATAGCATTTTCAATGCATTTTCTGTTGATTTTTGCTTCTTTTGAGCGTTTTTTGCAAGAAAACTCATTCTGAAAAATTGCCATTTTCCTAAGCCTATAGCCTTACTTTTTGACGAAAAATCACAAGAGCCGGAAACATCAAAATCTGGCATTTAATCACCTTTAAACTATTTCTAATGCATTTCAATGGCATTTCCTGTGTGATTTTGGCGTCGTTTGAGCGTTTTTTGCAAAAAACTCATTCTGAAAATTGCCATTTTTCTAAGCCTATAGCTTTACTTTTTGACGAGAAATCACAAAAGCCAAAACATCAAAAATCTGGCATTTAATCACCTTTAAAACTACTTTCTAATTAGCATTTCAATGCATTTCCTGTTGATTTTTGGCTTCATTTGAGCGTTTTTTGCAAGAAACTCAATGTGAGAAATTGCCATTTTTTTTAAGCCTATAGCCTTACTTTTTGACGAAAAATCACAAGAGCCAAACATCATAATCTGGCATTTTAATCACCTTTAGACTTCTTTCTAATAGCATTTTCAATGCATTTCCTGTTGATTTTTTGCTTCTTTTGAGCGTTTTTTGCAAGAAAACTCATTCTGAAAAATTGCCATTTTTCCTAAGCCTATAGCCTTACTTTTGACGAAATAATCACAAGAGCCAAAACTAAAAATCTGGCATTAATCACTTTGAATACTTTCTTCTAATAGCATTTCAATGCATTTCCTGTTGATTTTTGGCGTCGTTTGAGCGTTTTTTGCAAGAAAACTCATTCTGAAAAATTGCCATTTTTCCTAAGCCTATAGCTTTACTTTTTGACGAGAAATCACAAGAGCCAAAACATCAAAATCTGGCATTTAATCACCTTTAAACTACTTTCTAATAGCATTTCAATGCATTTCCTGTTGATTTTTGGCTTCATTTGAGCGTTTTTTGCAAGAAAACTCAATGTGAGAAATTGCCATTTTTTCCTAAGCCTATAGCCTTACTTTTTGACGAAAAATCACAATAGCCAAAACATCATAATCTTGCATTTAATCACCTTTAGACTTCTTTCTAATAGCATTTCAATGCATTTCCTGTTGATTTTTTGCTTCTTTTGAGCGTTTTTTGCAAGAAAACTCATTCTGAAAAATTGCCATTTTTCCTAAGCCTATAGCCTTACTTTTTGACGAAAAATCACAAGAGCCAAAACTTAAAAATCTGGCATTTAATCACCTTTGAACTACTTTCTAATAGCATTTCAATGCATTTCCTGTTGATTTTTGGCGTCGTTTGAGCGTTTTTTGCAAGAAAACTCATTCTGAAAAATTGCAATTTTTCCTAAGCCTATAGCTTTACTTTTTGACGAGAAATCACAAGAGCCAAAACATCAAAATCTGGCATTTAATCACCTTTAAACTACTTTTTAATAGCATTTCAAAGCATTTCCTGTTGATTTTTGGCTTCATTTGAGCGTTTTTTGCAAGAAAACTCAATGTGAAAAATTGCCATTTTTCCTAAGCCTATAACCTTACTTTTTGACGAAAAATCACAAGAGCCAAAACATCAAAATCTGACATTTAATCACCTTTAGACTAATTTCTAATAGCATTTCAATGCATTTCCTGTTGATTTTTTGCTTCATTTAAGCGTTTTTTGCAAGAAAACTCATTCTGAAAAATTGCCTTTTTTCCTAAGCCTATAGCCTTACTTTTTGACGAAAAATCACAAGAGCCAAAACATCAAAATCTTGCATTAAATCACCTTTAGACTTCTTTCTAATAGCATTTCAATGCATTTCCTGTTGATTTTTGGCTTCATTTAAGCGTTTTTTGCAAGAAAACTCATTCTGAAAAATTGCCTTTTTTCCTAAGCCTTTAACCTTACTTTTTGACGAAAAATCACAAGAGCCAAAACATCAAAATCTGGCATTAAATCACCTTTAGACTTCTTTCTAATAGCATTTCAATGCATTTCCTGTTGATTTTTTGCTTCATTTAAGCGTTTTTTGCAAGAAAACTCATTCTGAAAAATTGCCTTTTTTCCTAAGCCTATAGCCTTACTTTTTGACGAAAAATCACAAGAGGCAAAACATCAAAATCTTGCATTAAATCACCTTTAGACTTCTTTCTAATAGCATTTCAATGCATTTCCTGTTGATTTTTTGCTTCATTTAAGCGTTTTTTGCAAGAAAACTCATTCTGAAAAATTGTTTTTTCCTAAGACTGTAGCCTTACTTTTTGACGAAAAATCACAAGAGCCAAAACATCAAAATCTTGCATTTAATCACCTTTAATTTTTTTCTAAAAGCATTTCAATGCATGTTCCGTTGATTTGAGCCTTCACTTAACTATTTTTTAAAGAATTGGCGTTCATAGTAATATCCTTTTTCCTATATCTTGTCTTTTTCAAGCCCATAGCCTTTAGTATGACAAAAAGTCATAAGAGCCAAAAGTTTAATGTCATTTAAAGAACTGAAAATGTTTTTCAACAACATTTGCTAAATTTGTGAACTATATTTAAATGGGTCTGTCTTTTTTCTTTAACGTTAGGCGATATAATCACGAGCTTTTTTGATATTGGAAGGAAGGAACATGACGATTCGCAATAATTATAGCTTCTCTGAAGCCTTTATTCGGAAGCTCTAAAGTAGAGAATTACAAAATATAATTATCGAAATGTCATAACTTTGAAAAGATCATTCTCCTCAAAAAGTATAGAAATATCTTGAGTGGAAAATTGGCACCAATCTAACACTCACTTATTTGATCGCCTCTCGCCTGGGCTTTTTCACTTGGAAGCTAAGACCATTTGGGGAAAATCTGTCTTGTTAATTCAATATTCAAATATTTTCACACCAATTTGTTTACATGTTCAACTTTTTTAGCTATGTCAGCAACATTTAGAACGTAAATTCACCTTGGTTGGATTAGAAAGACAACATGGAATAGCCTTGAATTTGACAAGGCTAAATCAGAGATTGTATCGTCCATGATACCACATACAAGATTTGCATGTTGATCGAAAGTAAACCAGGGGCATAAATAAACATGAAATGATTAGAACTACAGATAAGTAATATCAACATTAATCCTAACAAAAAAGATCACAAATTTGACGCCTCAACTGACAGAATGCGTGCATAACCTTATGAAAAATACAAATATACAAACAATTCATGTTAAGAACGATTAGAAAATCTTTAAATTAATTAAAGCTACTTCCTATTTTCTTCAGATACTGCTACGAACTGAGTAAACGGCCTTGTAAACAGGCAACCTAATCGAAACTTATTATGATTTGCAGTAGCTGAGCAGTGTCTGTAGGAAGAAGTTCAATTTATAAATAAATTAACCACTTTGATGATTTTTCTTCATGAAATGAGATAATTTATAAATAAATTAACCATTTTGATGATTTTTCTTCATGAAATGAGATCAAGCCAGCAACTGCACGATAAAGGTCTTTTCTGGTGAAGAGCTAATCTATCGAAACAGTTCATGCCAAATTTTACCTGAATTTGAACTTAGAAAATGACAAATTTCAATTAATACCCCTTGAAGAATCTTAAAAGATGTGAGAGGTTTACAGTAGCTTTTAAATAGGTGCTTTATGTGACTTTGAACCAAAGCGGAGCAGTGAAATCTTGGATTCAAGGAACAAGAACTAACACATAATTAAAGCACTTACTGAGTAGCGGTGCCACTGAAAGTCAAAATTGCAACAAAAAGGTTAGAAGTCTTTAAATATTTAATAATAATAGGTTCAGTTCTGACAGCTTCCAGCAATGGGAAACAAAATACTTGACAAGTAGGCTTAAGTTAAATGCCTTTTCTTGGGTTTATCAACAAATTAGTATTTTTCTTGCTTCACAAATGGTGTTAAAGGCAATCTGTCACGACGTTGATTGATTATAAGAACAGAGGGATTTTTATTGTTTCCAGTCCCCTTTAATTTATCGCATTGTAAAAAATATGGCGGAGCGCTGGAATTGTGTTTAGGCTATTGTTTCAGCTATTGTTCTCGTTAACCAATCCACAACGAGACAGATTGCCTTTTAAAATCAAATCTGTCAACACTGTGACTGAGAGTCTAAACCCACTAGAATGAATCTTGACAAAATCTGAATTGTTTTTGTTAGAAAATCTTGGCAATAAACTATACTAAGCTCAAAACATACACTATCCAACAAAGTTCATCAGACTTTGCGAATTTAGCTGGGAATATTTAATGGTACAGAGCGAGAGCATTGAAATAGCCTATAACAATATCTAAAAGACTGGCAACTACAACAAAGCCTTTTGATCATATTAAATCCAGCTCAACTTTGCTGTCCTTATCTAAGCTTTATACAACTGAATGAAGAAAAGATGTGTAAGATTCCAATGGAAATCTAAATAATGAATGATGCGTTTTTTAATTGTTATTATTATTATTATGTTGTCCAAATTACACAAATATTCAGTGTTGGTTTAAAATTTATTATGGAATATCTCCATTTCAACTGATTTAGGCCTGTCGTCAAGCAGTTATAATTCTCACAAGGAGAAAAGTTCTCGTCCAGGGTAAAATTTGCGAATTTCCAAAGGTAAATTGTCATCCAAAATGACTTAATAGAAGGATTCTCAGAAAATGTAATCAATTTAAATAAGTTCTAAACTTGAATCTGCCTCACTGTTTTGTTAGCTTGAACTTGCAAGGCTTCTAGCTCTTCTGGGGAAAGGCCATTTTTCAGTGTTCTTGTTCGTCTCACTACAAGTAGAAAAGGACAAAACCTTAGTTGACATCAAAATGTGAAATAGACTGTAACCTGGTGGAATCAATGATGAATCACCCAATCGACGGTTAATAAATCAACATATGATTAAGTTAACGTCTGGCCAAAATTAAAAGGAATGATAAGCATGGATGATAAACAATTGGAAAAATTATGAAGATTCTATAATCTGTTTCTTATTCATTTACAATTTATATTTTAAACTTTCATGATATTAGACAATGCTACAAAATGACTAAATAATGAAATTCACAAATTTTCAAATTTTGCAAAAAATTATAAAAAATGGAGACTGTTATCCCTCTGTAAATGCTGGTACAAAATAATATAAGGGCAAGATGTTGAAGAAAAAATAATTTGGTTATCTTTATTTGAATAAGTGACAACACAAAGTCTGTATCAATGGGAACGATTCCTGGCCAAAAACAATCGTGCTGTTCGATCCAACGTCTGCGAATAAACTTACAAAACCCACAAACCTGATTTCCTCGGTGTTTTTCCTTCCTTCGCTCTATTTTTTCTTATTCGTGTTCTTTTGTCCGCAGACGTCGCCGACTTAACTAATAAATCCATCATTTGATCCGTCTGATCATCCGTGTCATAATTAGTATAATTATTATTATTGTTCGTTGGGGTGCTCGGTACATGGTTGTTTTCTTTCTCCCTGTTCTGCGCTACATGAGGACGTCCTGACGGTGTTCGCTGGCGAGTTTTCTGTGGACTTTTCAACTGAGCTTTTGGGTTGTCAGCAACCAAGGCATTATGGAATGCTTCCATATCAACGCTTTCGTTGCTACGAGGGTCGTTGACTGGAACAGCAGTCGTGCCAGGCGAATTCGATGATGACTGCTGCTATTGCAATAAAAGTCGCATTTACACAGATGCACCCAGATATAATTGACATTTACTTATCAAATTGAAAGTGAGAGAGTCTTTCAAATTGGTGCAATGTAGAAGAGTCCTTCAAATTGTTACTAAGAGGGTCATACTGCTGACAATGTAGAAAAGTCTACCTATTGCTGGAAAGAGGGACCTCCTGATAATGGAGAGGAGGAGAATGCAGAAGACGTCTAAATTTACTAATGGGTGTTTCCTACACTTGAGTCGACTATGCAACGAAAAAGAAGAAACAGCCCCTCAAAAAAGTGCATTCTATGACATCATAAAGTGTAATTTCAGTATAGGCCTTCTAGCAGATAAGATCGATACATACCTCGACGTTACCATATGCTCCTGATTCGGTTATCAATTTTCCGCGCGTTTTCGTTCGTTTTCTATGGTCCTCTTTTTTCCTTTTTTGATCTAGAACTCTCTGCCGAACAGTTCGATATTCTAATGCGAATTCACTGATGACTTTGCAAAATTCATGGGGCTACAACCAAAATAGTTTTTCCAAGATAAATAATGTAAAGACTGCTTTCAAAACAATTCTTAAAAATGCCAGCTTGGTAAAAAAGAAACAGAGATAATGAGAACAAACACAAAACCCTTCACATCTTCGGATACCTTTTCAGCTGCTCGTAATTCTGTTTTAGTAGGCTTATCAGTATTTAAAATATACAGATTTTCCTTTCGGATTAACTTGTTTGTTGAGTCTGGCGTTCATTATTTTGGTCAAAATATGAGATTTTTTTTAAAAAAATACAAGAAGCTCAGCTAAACACTTTAGTGTTACCTTTGAGTCTTTAGCAGCTTTCGGTGTCATTGCAAGAAACAGCAACATTTTTCTATATCTAAAAAGCAGTGACATTAGAAATAAAATACATTCTGCAACTCCTTGGAGCAACCGCAGAGAATAAACGAGGATGGTTTTAAGCAGGAAGGGATACTGGATATGTAAACAACAACACGATGACTTTTTGTAAGGCACTGTGATTGACCTGCGCTTAACTCCAGCTTTAAATGCTCCACGGGTTAGAAAAATCTCCCTAACGAAGAAGTACAGGTAGAATAAGGATTGATGAGCTCCTTTTTCGATTTCTTAGCAGAAAAATTAACCTATAGAACGCAAAATCATTGTAGGGTAGTAAAAAAAAGCTTCGATTGCTGGATTGCGCAAATTTCTCAAAGGAACAATCGTAGAACGCAGCTTTTTAATAGTTGATACTAGCTTGATAATGGAATTAGAGTTTGAAGGGCCTACCTATTAATGACTCTTCGATAAACCACCTTCAGAATCGCTATTCTTTCACCGGCGTCAGCCAGAAACTCTGTGAGCCTGAAAAGACAAATAAAGAAAAACATTTAATATCAAATTTAAGTTATTTTTTGCAAAAACCATTGATAGATTGGCTATGCTGCTTTAGGAAAGCTATGTAAAGGACCAAGCTATGAATTCATTATTACCATCACCAACAACAACAACAACAACAACAACAACAACAACAACCGTTGTCAAAGTGATTTTTGAATAGAAAAACATCTTTAAATGAATGCAAAGCTACCTTGTTTTCAAAGGTGACGAGCTGTCATGTTTTGCTATAAGTCTCAAGTGTTCCCATGATCGTTTACAATTATCGTCCAGGCTCTTTAGTATTTGCGCTATGTTGTCAAAATCCACCTGAAAAAACCAAAGCCAATGAAAATTAATTGAATATCAAAGGGAATGTTTTGCCAGTAATGATAAAAAAAATATCCAAAGTTGCTTGCATTGCATTATGAATTCCAAAGATTGGCGTCAGTCAGGTTCAAAGGTAAGAGCGAGTACAAGGGTCTAATGGCGAAAAATACCCTCTACCTGACAAGGTTTGAAAAAGTTGAATGTTGTTTGAAAATAGCTTGGATAACATGTCACACTGAAGAATTTTTTGTTTGATGTTCCTCAGAGAATAAATCTTGGGTAATGACAGAAATTTTTGGTCAGCTGAAATTTTTATCCCGCTGTTGGACCAAAAGCAACATGAGGTGCAGTTTGATTGGTTCCTTTTTTATCAATCAGCAACCGGTAACCCCTTGCATAGTTGAAGAACAAAATGAGAAAACGTAGTTTTTCTGTCTACACAAAACGGGATCTTAGTATATGTTATCCTTTTTCCAAGCTAATTCCAAAGCTACCAACCACATGTAACTAAAATTATATGAAAGGAATCTTCCCAATGTGTCCTAATTATTGCAACCGTCTAAACAAAAACAGCATTATATATGTATGAAACTCTAACATTTTTCACTGGGTTATTCTTGTGTTTCGCACTCAATAGAAATAAAAGCAATTGGAGGCAAAATTTCAAAAAACCGACAAAATTTCAAGCATTGGAAGTTGACCAGCAAAGGCAACAAGCTGACCAATAACTTGCAAGCTTCTATTGTCGAACGCAAATGGTTCAAAATTATGAGCAGACAAGGAAAAGTTACATAATTAAAAATGAGACATTTACCCTTGAGCAACGATGTAATGCCCCAAGTTCACTATATAAATCTGAAGTGTCTGGGTATTTTTCCATAACCATTGTACATAGATGATATAAAAGCGATTGCTTGTGCACAGTGTCTTTCACCTCAGGAACTTTAGCAAGATAGTCAAGCTGGAAAGCTTTTATCTGCAAAAAAACGTTAACTTGCGTAAGGGTGGAAATTCAAAGTAAGAGGTCAATGGAATGAACCAAAAAGATATCTACTTAGGGATGAACCTGCACCAGAATCTCATGAATGAGCAGGTAAGAGTTCCTAAGACGTAGAAAAAAGTAAAGGGGCAGCAAGAATTCCTAAGAAAAAGCTAAGTTCAGTTTAACTTAGTTGAAAGAAGAGGTGGGTATTATCATTCGATACTTAAAAATGCAATATAAGCTCGATTTGCAATACAACTTGAGCTCTGAAAACATATCAATGGATGAACTTCATTGCCTATCATTTGAGCTCTATTGAAGGTCTAACATCTAGCAGGTTTAATTTATACCCCTTCAATTAACCTGAGCAAACCCTAACAAACTTAAGACAACAAAGCCAACCTGGAAACGACCCCGAATTCTGAGAAGCCTTCGTGGAAGGGCGCAAACAGCAAATAAACATGATTTGAAAATGTGGAAAATGTTTTGTTACCTTCACACCGTTGAGGAAATTTCCAATGGCTAGAAGTGTGGCCAATATCTTTCTTAATGTGACGCTTTTCCTTATCTGTTCAACTGTACTTTTCAAATCTGATAACGATTCTGCAGCCTCTCTCTCGTTAGTATCATAATCCATTTTAAAAGCCCACAGATTCAACCTCGGACAGAGCTCATTAATTGAGGATAAAGTCAACAAAAATTGTTCAGCATGTGCTAGCGGGAGATCTGGGAACTGCATTTGTGATTCCTGAATCTTTGACTTCTCCTCTTCAGTGGGTAGCATTTGCATGATTTTCTACAAAAGAACCAAAAGACATTTGAATTGCTAGATCCAAGCACCAAAAGCCTTGAAACACCAGCATTTCAACTTATCAAATGGTAATTCCACCAAATAAAAAATGGGAAAAGTTTAAGGAACCCTTTAACGCTAAAAGGCTGTTAAATTGACAGGTTTATCCAGTTTTAGCTTGCTTAGCCATAAAGGTATTTCTTTTCTGTTGTCATTAACAAAGAAAATCGCCAAAAATGCATCATAATTACATTTGCATTGGAAAACATTCCCACTGGCGAACTTTTCAGAGTAAGTTCAATCAAAGTTGATTTCAGCATAAAACGATTGTCACTTCATGGGCCTAAAACTTTAAGATAAAAAACGTTTCCCACCTCGATGCCTTCCCTGTCAATAACTGCACTATCCATATCAAGTATCGCTTGTTTGATTGCTCGAATAGGTGGCAACTTTGTTAAAACAATATTGATAGCTTGTGCCCTCTTCAGCGGCAAGACGCTAATTTCTTTTTTCCCTAACTTTTCTTCTGATTCCACTCTCTGAAATTAAAAACATGAGTCGTGATTAGGTAACTATCAGTCTTACGAGCTATTCAGGTGCAAACAACGTTAAAGAAGCAAAGGCAGGTGATAAAAAGTTGGACCCCCTTTGCACTAGCACGGATCCATACCAAACCTAACACAGATATGCTTGGTCGGTTTTCAACGAGTACTTTTTCGGATTCGCTCCAAACGGATACAAATATGAGAAACGAGGAACCGGGGGTAGGTAAAAGTGTCTTGTGACCTCCAAACCCCAGTCCAAGCAACAATACAAAGGCGTCATAGCCGGAACATTTTGGCGAAAAAAGAAAAATTAAATACATCTTTTTCAAATAATACGAAATAGTTTCTAAAATAGCGAATAGATGCAAAAAACCACATCTCCATGAGCACTCAATTCCAGCACTTAAAGAGGGCAAAAAGCTTGAATAAGCACGGCTCCAATGTAAATGCGAACCGATTTGAATCCAATAAAGTGTGAACACCATGTACCCGTTTGGTTAGGTCACGGGGGTACTCAAGTATTTGCATGACAATTCAATACTTGAAGGATTCTGGAACATTTCATTGCGTTTTAATACAAGCAAGGTGTTTCTTAAATGTGACAGCTTTTAACTGCCTGGCATCCTATTAAAAATACTTTTTGGACAAGTAATTCAATACATATATATATATATATTATATTTTAGTAACATTCTGCAAGAAAAAACTGGAATACCTTTAAAGTGCCCGCTTTTGATCGACTTTCAAACAAATGCTCTAGCTTTTTCGTATCTACATCCACAGGATCGATGCTTGACCAGATAGTTTTACTAACACCGTTTGCCACTGGCATATTCCTAACCTCTTGCCAAAACAGGCGAACGAGTTTTCGACTAGGCTCCCGTCTCGACGAAAGGCCGCCAGGTGGAGGAGGAGGGGGCGGGCCCATTCCAGGAGGAGGAGGGGGCGGTGGTGCCCCACCTGGGAAGCCTGGTGGTGGCGGAGGAAGAGGGGGGCCATCCGTCGCAGAATGAAGAACCTTGGGTTGCCCGAAAGCATCTTCGTCATCTTCATCTTTCAGGTCAGAGAAATCAAACTGGTCGATAATAAGCGGTCTAGTCCTTAATATTCGTAACTCAAGTTCGAGTTCTTCTTGGTTACGACCCGCTTCTTGTTTCGCTTTCTCTGCAGCTGACGAAGAGCTTTCAAACGGTTTTGTAATGACGCTTTTGACTTTGGAAAGAATGCTTGTCTTCTCGCTGTTTTGTTTAACGTTTTCTTGCTTTTCAGAATCAGTCGATGGTCTGGATATCAGTTTATTTTGAACAGACTGCACATTGCCTCTTATATCTTCAAGATTTTCAACGTTTTTCTTTTCTACATCTTCACTTTTTGATGTTGATTTTGTCAAATTTGATTTCCTTTCTCGTATACTCTCAGTTACTTCCGGGGATTTGATGACGCCATTTTCATTAGCTAACTCCATATCTGTTTTTTCCACAGATTGGCCGTAAAACATTCGTAACATTTTTCGTTTTGAGTCCCCCTGCTCCGTCAAGCTTTGTTTACGTTGCAGTGACCCCTGTGGCGGAGCATTCGGGTCATCTTGTTGGTGACCACGATGTGCTCGTCGACGGAATCTCGGGGGATCCTCTGATTCCTTGCTGTCGTTACTGCTATGCGAACTTGCCAATCGGTCTCTGAGGGGCCTTCGTTCCGTTTGTTCGTCAACTTCAAATCGTTGTTTCATGTTAATCTTTGGACTTCGTGGGGACTCAACAGATTTTGACGGTGACAATTCATTTCCAGTGGGCGATGTAGGTTCTGAATGGTCGCCTGAAACGATAAAATACATGGTACGTGTCAAATACATTGCAGCACTGTGTCTGCTTTTGGTGGCTGTATTAGTATGAACCTTAAAATATCTTGCTATTCTCTAATCAAAACAGCAAACAACAATCGTGTCTCCCTTTCTAACCCAACATGAATTCTGTTTGATAAAGAGCTGCTGCACTTATATTGTACTAGCCTTTCCCTCCTATAATTTCCACTCGCAAAAAGGCCCAGAAAATATCCTTCCACTTGCTAATAAACCAAGACCTGTAAAACATTCTGCGACATATTTCCAAAAAACAGCCAACTTATGCAAAAGTATATAAACATTCTGATACTTAGCAATTTGCAGTAAAAGTTCATTGAAATACATACCTGATTTTCGTGCTTGTCTCTCTTTCAGTGTAAGGCGTCGATCTGGCTCGGAGTGTTTTCGATCTCGTTCTGATGCTGAGTATTCATCCGCCGTGTCTAAGCTTTCTCCAGAGTTAATCTGCGACATTTTTCCAAATCGACGTTCCCTGAAAATCCAAAACAGCGCTCAAATACCATATTCAAAGTTTCTATTCTTCAATTACTCGAGGAGCCGTAAATCAAAGCGCAAAAGTTACGAATCTTACACTTCCCAGCATTCAAGTCGAAAAGAACCAATTGGACAAGGAAATGTAAACAAGTGTGAAAAACGAGGATAATTTTTCTAGTACAGACAAGGAAATGGATATTCACTTGAATGAAATTGCAACTGAATAAAATTCTGAGCACGGATAGTACTTATCACTCTTAAATGTTCAGATACATACAAATTGAAGATCTTTCACTAGACTGAAAGATCCACTGACTTTTTCCTAGTCAAAGAGAAGCAAAAAATATGCAAGAGACACCCCAGTTTGCACTGATTGTTTTAAATGCCGAAGCAGTACAGAAATCAATTTGGATTTTCAAGCCGCATAGAATCATTCTAGAAAAATAAAAATAATTAATCATTAATCATTTGCTCTAGTATTATTCTTCGGCAGAACCCCGAGAGCATTAGCAAAGAACCCTGAAAGCATTAGCAAAGAACCCTGAGGGAATCACCTTCTTTGCTGCCTTCTTCGCGCTTTCATGTCCAGCTCGGGTGAAGAACAGGACATCTGCTTCGATAGTTGTTGATCCTCAGCATGAACTTTTTCAGCCACTGTCGATGGACCATTGCTGATGACTCTGAGGTCTGGAGCCGAATTTTGTTCACTGCGTGCAGCACTAGTATGGCGCCTACTCTTTCGCCGATACGAAGGATCTATGATGGAAAATACAGAACGCTCTCTGATACAAGTGAACAGTAGGCTACTTGAGATGTGCAGAGGATGAACAATTACGAGGTACCCTTCCTTTAAACTCTCTCTATAGCATGACATGGGTTGGCAGGTTGCTAACTTCATAAACACTGCTTTATAGGGATTTTTGAAGTTCAAGATATCATTAGCAAAGAAACATGAAAGCTTCACCGATCTGCAGGACATTTCAATAGTTTGACGGGTGCTAGACAATGTCAACAACAAGAATTTAATGTTCATCAAAAAGCAACGGCACTGGTGGATTTTCTTGTGTTGAAAGGTTCAAAAACTTCAAACAGTTTCTAAAACAGAATGTTAGCTCTTGAAACAATAAGCCATTTCAAAGCACCACTTTGCTTAACGCCGATAAAACGAAGTCAACCCATTCACAAATGTTGAAAGTACTTAATGTTTCTGTTGAGATTACTCGTCTGTATTACAATTTACGACTACACCACACTATCATCATTCGAGAATCCATCTCTCTGAGAGTTAAATGAAATAATATTATATATATATAATATAATTGTGGTATAATCGTGATATAATCGTAAACTTTGATTTACGCTTATCTATCAACTAAATTCAAAGTAACTTCAGTAGGACACTGTATTTTAGCCTCAGACGAGGCCATACCAGACAAAGCTACCGGTAACTTACCAAGGTCCAGGTGTCCTGATCCTTTACTGCGACGAGATCTAGGAAAACGAAATGCGATTAGTATCTTCTACACGAAAATTACCAATCAATAAAGGAGCAAGGAAAATTACTGGGTTCCCTACTTGGGTTACATGTCAACACATATCACCCAGCAAACACAGAATAATTTTGACAGGAGAATAATATCACTATCATCGTTATACTTTGAACGAGACCTTGGGTTACTCAGAACAAAAATGGATGAGGGGGTGGGGGGGGGGTATTTGAACATTTACATAATGTTTCGAAATGTAGTTAATGCACTAATTAATGCGATTTACTTATTGTGTTTATTATATTGCATTGTGATGAAGACACTTGTTAGGTCTGAAACTTGAAAATATTGACAGAAAGATAACAAAGATAAACACAACAAAGAGATACAATCGTGTTATAAATGTTCAAGACTATTTTCGTAAAAGAAAAATATAGTCTTTTGAGGGTTAAAAAGTGTTCTGTGGGTCACAATACATTCTTTCTGAGTATCGAAATCCTATTCATAGAACAGCTACTAAAAGCCCCGCTATTTGCGAAAACAATGTTGGCTTTTGAGAGATCATTTTGGTAGAACTGTTTCTGTGTTCAAATTTTAAATGGCTTTGAAATGCCACTCATCTTAAACTATTTTACGCGCAATTCATTTGAATTCACTTAGAAAGATTTTAAGCTGAAAAGCTTAAAAAGACCCAGTTGGAACAGTTACAGTCCAAAGCTTCTTGTGAACAGCAAAATGCCTATTTGGAGTGTTAAAAAGCCCAGCTTACTCAAAAAAATTTCTGAGGGTGTTAGGTTTAGCTAAAAAAGAAATTTAACTACCAAGGACTTTTCATTAAAGATTGTACCAGTCGCCAAGAAAACGTTTGGTATTGCGAAGGAGGAAAGGAAACTCACGAGTTCCCTTCCAGCAATGATAATAAGCGTATTAAAAAAGATGAGTGCAGGGACAGCGCTGTGAAGCCAACATGACCCTGTGTGAAAATATACAAATTTCGAAAATATTCTTGACAAGCCACTGTGTCTGTAGCTGAGTCTCGATGTCTTTTGTCGTCAACGCATATCGTGTTGTGTAATCAAAAAAAATTCCTTACAGCTTAGCCATTTGAAGTTAAAGAATCGCATATTTGAAGAAATCAAATCTTCGTGGCAAACCTATTACTTAACTGTGGTTTCGAAAAGAGGAACTGAGCCATAAATAAATGCTTAATTTAAACCAAAACCAAGAACCAAAAAATAATTCTTCTCTTTTACGCTGACACATGATACCTTACGACTTGAGGTTATAGATACAAATGTTTCTTTGGTATTTCTGGATATTCCATCCGTTAATAGCCTAGACTTACAAAAGCAATATCTTGACGATATTTACCTAGTGGTGAATTCCCGGAACAAATAAATGTTATAGGCATTCTAATAACATAACGAAAATAATAGTTGTTTCATTAAAGGCGACTGGCAATGCCATCACATGGAATTTTGCTATGGGTCACATATTGCAGCATACCGAGAAAAAAAGATTAAAAAATGTCTATCGGAGATATGGAAACAATTTGAGATACTAGTCCCATCCAAACAGGCTGAATATTTGCAAAATTAGTGCTTGTTTTGAAAAAGACACAACTGCGCAGCCACATGGATAACCTTCCATAATATATATCAACTAGGCTAATAGGAATACCTGATGCTACTCGATCCCATACTGAGTTCACTGAAGGTCTCGTCCCCATCTTCGGCTTTTAGTGATGCCTTGTGATTAAAGAAAGATTTATTAGAGAAATATTTGCGAATCCTCTCCACCATTTTAGTTGCTGCAGACATTAGGTTATGATCTTTAATATATGTTTACTTGAGGGATTTGCTTCGCTAAAGGCGAATCACAGCTGGTCTCAGTGATAAACAAATATTTGGGTCTGAATACACAATTGATGATCAATGGTTAAGGAAGAGACTGCCAGTCAAATCTTGCACTGAAATCGATGTTCAAATTCTGGTGTTCGAAACGCAGGCAGGAATCAGTTACGTTGATCAAAAAAGAAGAGGTTCAATTATTAACAATTCTACATATCAAATAACTACATATCATAATTTACACAAAAACAACCTTACAGCACAGCTTGCTTAATTATTCATCAATAGGAAGGTCGGTGTTGATAAAAAACATTATTTCCAAGTTATTATAAATAAACAATGAAAATAAAGTAACAGATTTATTGGCAGCCTTTACGAAAAGTACAGTTCAATAAAATAACACTCACTTCGTAAATATCACACTGCTCAAACAGATTTTTGTTCTTTGGCGTTCTGTTTCTGAATTTCTGGTAAAAGGATAAAAAATAGTTTTAATTCTCAAACATACAGCTAATGAATGATGAGGATGAAGCTTCAAGTAGGATAAGAAGCCTAATTTCATCGTGAGTTTTACTGTAAACTACTTTTAACATGATAGAGAGATTGATAACAAAACGAGGCTGATAGTAAGGAGTGTCAGCGAGGCTCTTTTTCTCCATACAATGGCTGTGAATATGTCGATTTAACTCAAGAAATTTTTATGATTCAACCAAAGAAGTTTATGATTCATACAATGGCTGTGAATATATCAATTCATCTTATTTCCAACTCTTTGTTCGTATCATTGTTAATATATAAAATCTTAAACATTAGAATATGATGCGAAATATTCACCTGAACAATCGCCTCCATCCCTTCTTCTTCTAAAGTATCTGTAATATCGTAAAATGTCTTCTGGTCGGGTGTGCCGTACAAAATCTAACGAGAAGAAAATTTTCAAGTTTGATCGTGTCTTTAGACCAAGCCTAACAATTTACAGACGTTCGTTCTGGTTGCAAAGCTGTAGTCTTTAATCATTTTTTGACCTCGTTGAAAACTTTCGTATCTAAAAGACAGCCTTCAAAGAATACGAACCACTTTGGTTTTAAGTCTCGTTAAATCATAAAACGATTAGATTAAGGAGCAGAAATTAAAATGTTTAGCTGATCTATCTTGAGTCAGTAAAATTGAGAAAAATTATTAGTTTAGACCTTTAATTACTCATAGAATAAAAACCTTTAATTAAAAGTATATGTTGTGGCTAACAAAATACTAGTTATTGGTCATCACATAGGGGAAGCAATGGAGATAGAGTTCTGCAGAATGCTTGCACAATGTAAGAAAATTAGGCATCACATACCTTGTTTATTAAAGTCATTGCGTATTCAAGAAGTTCGTCATCTGTGGAGTTGTCAGTTTCGTTAAGGATGTCTAGAATCCCTTTCGCAAGACAGGTTTCTAAAAGTGAAAGAGTATCGTAATATATAAGGGGCAACAAGTATCTTCATGGCAAAATGCATTCACAGCAATCCAGCCACTAGCAAAATGCATTGTAGCTTATTCACAGTACACGGCGAAATACCTTGACAGAAAGCAGCATTCCACTCGTTGGCAATATATAGTTGAAGTTAATTAGAGTTACAATCGAAATAAAGTGTCAACGGTGGATTAGTAAAGTTATGAAAAATCTGGCAAAAAATGCATAATCTCATTTACCTCTAGACGTGTCAACACCTTTAATAGCATCCCAGACAAGTCTCGCATTGCTTTCAGTGTATTCCACAAAAACCAATAATAACTTGAGCGACGTTTTCTGTACAAGGCGATACTGCAAAAAGTAAACATTGAAAGTCAACTCGCAATGCCAGATTTTGGGACAAGTTTCGTATCGAACAAAAATAATTATTAGAGCAGAATTTAAAAAAATTGTATAAATGAAATTAGTCATTTACCAGGCATTATGTATGAGACAAGAATAATTATGTATTGATATGAAATAAACAAATGATATGACAGTGTATTAAAGTACATTGAAATAAAAGGAATTTATCTCATGTTCGTTGTTTCCAAGCAAAAAATAGAGCACCCTTCAGCACTACAATTTAATTTTTCAGCATGAATATACAAATTGATAATAGGTTTGAAATTTGCTTGCATCCTGGAATCAACAAAATCTTCCAGAATTGAGACAAGAAAAATGGAATTTGTTTTGCAAATTAGCATTTACAACATAAAAATTCAAAGACATAAAAATAAAGGCCATATATCTGCATAATTGTAAGACCAACCGGTTAACGGTAATGAGACAACCGATAATGAGAGTGAAAACCAATAAAAAATGGACAGTTTCAAGCAGAGTGAGACTCACCCTTGAAGAAAGCAACTGATAAAGCCACTGAATGGTTTCATTATGTTGGATAACTCCATTCATGCCATCAACATACAACATAATTTGACCAATAGCTGCAGAAATAAATTACAATTTATAGTCACTTTGCCTTAAACAGACAGCACAGATGAAATTTTAGAGAAAGAACTTCTTTCGCTCATTTGAAGAGCAAGCATCCTAGAAACTTTAGACATTTACAGCATTAGATTAAAATTTGTGACTAGAGTTCATCGTTTTTATAAAAAATACGTCCTATTGTGCATTTTTTCTAAAAATTGCAAAAATGAGCTAAAAACCTGCATCATTGCCCCGTCTAAGTTGCTTTATTAGTAGGAATAAAACTTCAATGGCAATTATCATCAAAAATTGATAAAGATAAATTTAAAAAGACGAATAGTAACTAAAACTGGCCCCTATGCAAACCATTTAAAGGAAATCCATTCCTACCATTAAAAACTATTGCGTCCGCATTATCATAACCAACGCAAGAAATTCTTCCGTTCAATTGATGCTATGCTGCTTGCCAAAAAACAGATAGGGTACTTAAATCAAGATATAAGTCCAAGCAGTCAGGGGTGAACCTTACTTAACTAAACGCAAGACATTCCCCGCTCTTGAAAAGGCACTACCCTGGCTTTCTTCGAGCTAAAAAGCTTTGGTGATGTTTCTAAGATTATTTGAAACATTAAACTGACGAAGTTATTGAGTCTCAATTGCGGCCACCCATTGCAAACTCTGAAAACTGTGGTTTTTTTCAAAAATTTGGATACCAAAAGCAGCGTGACTAGTGCAATTCAAAGCATCGAAAATATGGTGTTAGTACGCCCCCGTCAGACAGACTGTGGCTTTCCGTGTGCGATAACACTCGGCCTCATCATTTGTAACGCTCTTATGATGCTTTCATCCTGATTAACTCCACAGATATTGACGACAAATAGTGCTGGAAGAAGACTCATATCTACTTAGGGCACACAAAAGAAGGCATTATAGGGACTTACACTCAATTGATGCAACCCTTTAACAAGGAAAAGGTCTTGACATCAGATGAGATTCAGCTTTGTCTCAAAATATGTTTACGAGGAAACTGTTGATTTGCATATTCGAAATAGACTGGAGATTCAAGGGAACACCGCAAAGATATAAACCTGATACGAATGAACACTTGCATGCCAGTCATTAAATAACAGGCCACAAGTATTGGAGGATTTCAAAATCCGAACAATCATGGAAACAACAATCTAGAAAATGGGGGGAATTATCCTAAAATCGCCTTCAACAGATAAGAACTGGGTCAGCCCAGTAGACCAAAATGTTTTTGAAAGGCTATTTGTGGACTGTAAACATTGATTAGTAATCATGAATATATGCAGAAGTTTAAAAAGTAAACTGCACTTCTTTGATGTTTAAGAGGTTGAATATCGAAGCAGGACTCCAGGATTCTTCACTTTTTTTACCATGGCCCATCTACATTTGCACAAAAAAGGATAAGTGCTAATTTTCTTTATTTATCAAATGAGAACCAAACGGCCTTTCCTAACTACCAGACTTGACGCTTTACATTGCCATCAAAATGATCTTGTCGAGTTTAGCTGTGGTTTGCTTCTTAAAATACTTAGGTTGTTAAGACACGGGGCAATCTGGGTTTACGTCTCGGCGAAAATATCACCGGTTTGATACATTTCTGTTATTTTGAATTGACTGGAATCCATTTTGAGTTTTGACTTTGTCAATGAAGTTTGACATGGGTATCTAAAAACCCCAAGTATGAATTTTATCATCAAGTGAAGAGATAATGTTCCCTAAGTAGATTACTATAAAAGGGGTTGAAATAGCACTTATCAAAAGTTCCAGCAGGAGAGGTTAAGCTGAATCTACCACTGAAGCAGCAAATCAGTGAGACCCAAGTTGAGCAAAATCTTGTGCCACAAGGATAACTTCAATACAGAAATAAAATTATTTCGATGAAAAAAATGTGGAAACAAATCGAATAACGAATCCTACCTCGTAAAATGTAATTTTGGTAATTTTGGTCAGCATCCGTGCCAACACTGATGAGACAATTGAGTCCATCTGCAGTGACAAATTCGTGAACCAAGTCTTTGTCATCCTAAACGAATGAAGCAAGAAAATTTCAAAATAAAGTTTTAATCCTGGAGTTTTAATCAATATAACCAGCTAACAGAAAATAAACTTATTGAAATATTAAATCTGGGATTGAATGTAAACGTAGCTTTAAACAAAACATATGCTTTGTCTAACAAAATTAGGATAACTTTGGGGATTGAAGCCTGACTTCTTCAGACGAATAGCAATGGACAAACCAACACATTTTCCCAAACATATGGCATGGAAAGCTGTTTACGTTAGGACAGGCTGGATCATTCAATCAACAGGTACAAAAAATCATTTTCAGTATATATATTTTCTGACAATGAAAATATTTTGGTTTGATGAAAAGAAAGATAGTTAATATACCTATATAAGCAAAGAAATGTCCTTTGCAACTGGTTCATAATGGGCTTAACACTGTGGTACAATTATTGGGCATCATCATGATTATTCAAATTGATATGATTACCCACAATCTAGTTAACTTAGGCCGTCAATGCTATAATTAGCATGCATAACCGACGTTTAGCCACTGATTAATTCTTTTGAATAACGAAAAAGGGGACACACAGCGACTGGCAACTGCCACCAGACATTATGATTATGTGGCAATAAGTCTCATGGGATATGACGTAACGTGGATTGCGATTTGAAACTTGGCGTGATCGGCTTTTGCATACCATTAACGATAACGCATCTTTCATCCTATCAATAAGTTGGCTAATTCTTAAGAGGCAACACATTGATATGAAATGGCTGTAAATGCCATAAGTGGCTGCTAATGTAATGCAGGTGAAGAGCGGCACGAGGTATGCCAACCGCAAAAGACGCGTTGAAAGTGGCCGTGGGTCACAGGATGAGCCACAACTGCTAAATCCTGTTTCTAATGCTAAAACCTTCTAATGAATCATATTCATTGGACACCGCGGCTATTCAAGGCAGCTTCTGCCTTAAGTAGCAGCAGTTTTTGGAGCAATTTGGAGAAAAGAAGAGGGAAATAGGAGGGTGGGGATTAGGAGAACGAAGTGCGGTTGGACAGGAGGGTGAGATTGGCCGAGAGGGGGGGGGGCAGAGGAATCGAGTGCGGTGGAACAGAGACAAAGATCCAACGATATGATGAATGGTCGCTTTATTGCGTTTGGTCAATCCCGTTTAGGAGAGATGAATTTTACAACGTACATATCACGGCAATATTGTCTGCTTCAGAGGCCGCTGAGCGATATTTTCTAGTTGGCCTACTGTTGGGTTCAACTTTTCTTTCGTGCTGTTGTGGCTAGCAAAAAAGGTTGGGAGGCGAGGGTTATCTACGCTGATATCGCAAAGAAAATCTTGTAAAGACTTCAGTGGATGAAAAAGCAATGGAAGTAACTCAATACAGTCAGGTTGTAAATTAACATAGATTGATCTAGAAAATGTACAGTTGCAATCCTAAAGTCTATCAAACCGATCAGTCTTTTTCAAGGTAGATATCTGCCAGTGTAGGAGCCTCTGGATAATCCCTTATACCGCAGTCAATTTAGTTTATCGTCAAATCATGCACGAAATTCACTGATAATTTATCATTTAAGAGTATCGCTCTTCTGTTGGGGTTACGGAAATCACTTTAGACCAATTTTCCTGGGCAGTGTCTAGAAGCACCAAAATCTGGTTTCAGGTTCCTTCCTAAATTCAAGCCTTTGATTGTGTATCCGCAAGGAAATCTTAAGAGCTTTATCAACCTTTGACGATTTCAGTATTCAAATAATGCTATCAGGCGTGATACATTTTAGATCTGTGGGATCTTACAATGAAAAAAAGCAATTGGTTGGGAATAATATATTAATAAGGACGTAGAGCTATGCGAGGTACAACCCGAAGCATCTTCTTTAACAAATGAAACTCGCAATCACTAGAGGAATTTTGGTCAGTTTTGACGGCCACTCTATATAACTGAATTTAATAACTGAATTTGTGCAAATAGGATTTTGTAAATCTATTATAAATATCCACGAGCAATCAGGTGAGACTTATCCATCTTGTCAAGTCTCGTAATCAAAACTCCAGTCTCGCCTACATGTTGACCTACCAGCATTATTATTTATTGAAACCGTCTGTAACAAAATGGCCCCGAAGATGACCAAAATTTATGAAATTATACTACTGATCATTGTTAACTTAAGAAACTGATTAAAATCATTATTTTAAACATTGGACGGAAATAATTTTTATACGATAATGTACTAAATCTTTGTTCGATTGACATTGATAAAAGAAAGAAGAACTCCTTATGTTCTGCTGATGTTATGTTATCTTGATATTGTGTCGTGTAAATGTTATGATACTATGTGTTAATTTTCTGTCCGAAAAGTAGATTTTAAGAAATTTTCATTTCGTTCTGCAAACTGATCGGTCTTTGCTCTTATACCTTGCCGCCCCCCCCCCTTTTGGTAAATTACAAAAAGGCCCTAAGTCAATCTGGTTACATAGGTGATTAAGGAATATCTACACACAACCCTCCCCATTCAAAGGAAACTTTAATGAATGATTGAATAGGCATATTGCCATATCATTAAATATTTTTATCAAACCCAAGCAATATTGAACAGAAGAGTACATGCGCTCTAAAAATGAATAAAATTGTTTTACCTGAAAGATTTGTTTGAGGGAGAACAAAGCACGTCGAAGGTCTCGTCCCGTCGCACTTATAAGTTTGGCTGAAACGAGAATAGATAAATTATTTTAGTTTTCTATGTTCCACAGATTCGTACAGATTTTGCAAAATGTAGATAATGTCTGAGTAGAGTTTGTTAACTATAGTTTCAAAGCGATCTTATGAAAAAACCAGTTCCAACAATTCGATTTAACGAAAATAACTGTTACTATGCAGCCTTTGCGCGTTCGAATCATAAGATGTAACCAATATATGTTACAGCCAAAGAAGAATACACAAGTCAACCTTCCCTTCTTCAAAGGGTACGCTACAATGAATGACCTATCACAACGTATGTACGTTGAATATACAAGTGCTTATTTCCAGACGTTTCAAGAGTTGTGGAAATTACTCGAAGGTTTATGGTATGACTTTCTTGAGCTCCGATTAGACTTAATCACCATACTTCAAGTCGAGGTGAAATTTTTCGTATTCTTCCTATTTTCATTGTATATTTTTTGGATGATAGTTTGAAAACTTGAAAACGTAGAAAAGATTTGACAGCAATAATTATTCCAGCTGAACCCCCAGTTAGTCAACTTCCTTAACAATTTCTAAATTAACGTCGTCATTATATCAATATCTGGAGTACTAGCATTTTGAAGACTAAAATTTTGGTCCTTGACCCAAGGAAGTACAAAGAATTTGAAAATATATTTCAAAACAAGGCCCAAAATAGGTGTGAATAGCAAACGGAATGTCACAAAACGCAGTTTTCAATAAAGTCTAAAAGCTATCCATATTCCTTAAACCACGTTCCCGCAGGCGCCAAAAGCCATGAATTAAGCCATGAATAGTTGTGTTTTGATAAGAAAGTTATGTTGGCGACCAATCACCAAACGTATTTGAGATTGACGAAGAGGTTAAAGTTTGGAAAAATGGGCCTAGCAGATCGAATAGAAAAAACATTCTGCATAGATAAATCAAACAATAAACCTCGTCAAGGGTAGCAACAGTTACGGGGCGTAGAAATATGACCTCATTCCGCGATGGTGTCACATGATGAGTTGAAAAACATTTAACATTAGCTATAAATTTATAAAACCTTTCTGATAAATAGAGAGAGAAAAGATTAATTTCACAATCAAGTTAGATCAGCAGACTAATTAAAAGACAAAAGTGAACAAGAGATAAGCAAGCCACAAATGCGGAAAAGTATTGAACAATTCAAAATTGTATTGAAGCTTTGAGAGGAGGATAAAAAGGAAGGCAATTAAATTCAATAGGCGATTTGCCAGTGCGGATGTGCAAGCAAAACGAAACAGTCTGTGCCTTATCTTAGCCTTGTCTATGGCCACGTCTACGCGGATACGTTTTCAAAACCATATCAAAGTTCTGCGTCTACACGGAAACGATGCGTTTTAAAATCACTGCGCTTTCCAAAGTTTCAAGACTGGCGGGCGGCTTCAAATATTCGACCTTTTAGTCCAAACCTAGGACTTATCGTTGTCATGTGTTCGGTAAGGTAAAAACTTGAATGCGTGTTCAATTTGTAAACATTTTTGTGTAGGAGGATCTATGACGAGGCAATATCGTAGCAAACAGATGCGGGCTCCGGAAAGGCATTCTGTTTCCACTAGATTGGTTGCGTGATTGAGCGAAGGTACTTATGAGCATGCGCAATGTAACAACGACTTTCGCTGCGAAGGCCAAGGTTTTGCTCATATCTCAGTTAAAAGAACAAGAGGACTTTCGTTAAGATCATAACTTCTGGAGCGTCTGCCAAAAATTCCTGATAACACTGATCGTCATGTTTCCACATTGAATAGGGAGGATTAATTTTGGGAAAATCCGGCTCAGTCCAGTGCAAATATTTCTGCCCAAAATTGCGAACCATGAAATATCTATTTCCGTACTTGCTACTCGCCATATATACCACTGTATGATAATATATTTCGATGCTAAACATCTGAAGACTTCTTGTTAAAAGTTCAGCGGTAATCATTTATTTCTCTACTGAAATAAAAATATAATTCATTTCATTTTCAATGGATGGTTGATATGATGAGAGACCAGTCCGTCCGTCACAAATATGGTGGTCGAATATCAGTATATTACAAGGATTCGTTTGCAAGACCGGTAGCTCATTTGCAGATCCAGTATCAAGAAGGGACCACCCAGACAAGATAAACAAACAAAATGTCCAACATTCTGTAAAAATTAATCAGTTTCTAAATCACAATGCAGACTTTTAC